AAGATCTTTCAACTTCTCTAGACAACACACCTCTCGACTCGACGAATGAATGAAGAAGAGACAAGAGAAAGCTCATCTTTGCAATCAATTTCATGATCAATCGCTGTTCTTGGTCGTGCTGGAGGTCGGAATACGAGGATCTTCCTTGAGAGCCGCAAATGGATTTCATTTTCAAAGATCATGAACGTCAAGTTCTCAACTCGAAGATCGACGCAAGAACGCCTTCAAATTCAATCACTGAAACATTGTCGAAGTCCTCTCTACTCTCAAACAGCCAAAAAACAGGTAATTCTCGCTCGAGAGCCTCCTTTTTGTTAGGAGAAGCAACTCAGATCAACTGCAAACTATATTTCTATCAACATAGACCTGAACAAGTTTGACATTATTGAAGGTAATAAACAATATATTTTATATTGTTCAACATCAACAGCCCCACGCTTTTGTCCTACAACTAGTCGTGTACTATTACAAGGGAAAGAAAAAGAGATGGTCGGGAGATACGAAGAGCCAACCCGTCAAGACAGCTGGTCTCCGACCACGCGCATTCTCATCATTGTAGGCCTCTCGGTGCTGGGCATTGGTGCTATTGCTGGCATCACAGTGGGCATCGTGATGGCATGCGGGGGTTTTTCTTCCTCCTCCGCGAGTGGCCCTTTTTCCGCTTCTGGTCGTGGGTCTAATCTTCCTCCTCATTTCCGTGCCAGAGGTGCAGGTGCCCCGGTAGCTCCTAGTGGATTTGGAGGGCTTCCATTCACAATGACGACTGGTGGCAGAGGCTCTGCTCCTGGTCGCGTTTCTCCGTTCAGAATGCCAATGCCGAGAGCAGCCAATGGTGAGACACCGGAAGAGATGATGAGGGAGCGGGAGGCACTTGCTCAAGACCTGAACAGTTCTTCTTCTTCCCCACGTTTTAAGCGTCTCGAATCACTACATGCTGCACCGCGCTTCAACGACGGTCCCATTCCGGAAACGATGGTACAAAAATGGGCCACGAAAATATCTGCGTTGCTATTTTTCAATTTCTCCCAAGCAGCGGAAACTGGCCGGATCGATTATACCGCATTTGCACCTAAATTTTGCGATACCCTTGACACCATGCTCACCGACCTTGAGCATTTGTGGAAGACGGGCTATTCTGATGCGGCACTACATATGGCTTCCGAGAATGTTTTCGAAGCAGTGGAAAAAAAACTGCAAGACGAAGGCTACTCTCTCAGCAACGTTAGTGCAGACACGGATGGATCATTCGCCTTTGTCCGTCGAGGTCAGCGAACCGAAATCCAAGCGACGGTGACGAGTCAGGACATCAAAAACTTTCGCACTCTACTCCGTCCGGTGCTGTATCGATAATCATGAAGATTTCCGAAATATTCGGATTCGGACTATACATGTACATGAAGCAACTACAAGAACGAGAACCTGCGTTGTAATATTACAAGAAATGGATGGTGCTGGCTTCTTCCTTTTTATAAGGATGAGGCTTAGGTCCAGCGACACTTAAAGCACATAAGGAAGACAACAGGCTCGCTTTCCCTTTGAGTCTTAGGCTTTTCCCTTCACGCAAGGTATTAATCATGGTAGAGGTAGTTCACGCAAGGTATCAATCATGGTAGTTCGCTTCTGATGTAATATTGTTGTGTTAGTCATTAATCATGGAGGTACTAGTTGTTCGCTTCGGTACAGACTAAGTAAGTGCAACAGTTACAGTGTTTTAGATTTATAGTGCAGCTGCATATTAAGAACTATTAAAAGTGCTAGAAGTCTTTCAAGCTCAAGGAGAAGTTCGTTGTGTAGTACAAGAAAGAAGAACCACATCAACTACTGTGTACCTCTACTACGACTCCTGTGTTAGTATTTACCTAAAAACGTGTCCTGTGCCACTACTAGAAGTGTAGTACTATAGACAAACGAAGATGACGAGCATGAGAGGAAAAACAAAAAACAAGTAAGATACTTTTTTATTGAGATGGATGCTTCTGCATTGTATTACCTGAACAAGTCACTCAAGCAAAAACAGAAGAAAATAGAGAATAATGAGGAGAAGAAAATGCAAGAACAATAGTTAGCCAATGAGCTGACAGCACCCGTAAATAATTGCTGGGTATATCATCATCGTCAAGCATGTTGCTAGCATTGAGGATGCAGTCGTGTTAGCTGTAACTGATGAAACTGCTACTTCTTCAAGCAGTTGGGCATGCTCTTACTCTTGAGGAGGACGACGATGAAGAGCATTTTTCTCCCGTCTTTTACTTTCAGTTGCATGGCGGGAGGCAGAGCAGTGCCAAAAAGTGTTGTCATCTAATATTGTATTTGCAAAAGTAGCACATCTCCGACACATGATAGTGACACTATTGCACACATGATAGTGACAGTCTTGCAACTCTCTGATGAAGCAGAAATCCTTTGACCACGCAGGTCCTTGTTATGACGCTTACCCATGATAATCGGTAATGCTTGCATTGATGCGATTGCTATTGTTGTTGTTGTCGCTGTTCGCATGTTCATGTTCATCTTGGTGCTACTGTGTACCTATTAAGTGGTGGACCTCCTTGTGCTCGGCTGAAGAAGATCACTGCAAACGATGACCTCTTGAGATAAAATAAGTACAACTGCAGACGAAGATCACTACAAACGATGGCCCAGCTATGAAACGAAAATCTGTTATCATTATCAAGTTTCTCAAGTAGAAAAGTACGATAATGATAACAGATTTTGGCTTCATACCAGCTCTTGTTCCTGAGATAAATGAAGTAGGAAGATGTTGAAGGAAGGCATCAAAAAAGGATGAAGGAAGGTGCAGAGCTGCGTGGATCATCGTCTCTAGCGACATTGATCTTCTGAGTGACAACATGGCAGATAATTTGAATGATCTCTATCTGAAGCAAGGGAACTTGCTTTGGAAGTCAGTGTGGAAATATCGTTTGAAACCGCTTGCTACACCCACGACCCACTAGCCTCTTTATGTGAAGTTGAAGTACTTGTACTAGGTGTAGTGCTACTTAGCAGGACACTTATTTTTGAACAAGAAACGCAAACGCAAACGATTTCATCTCTTAGACTTGTTCGAGGTTGCTCACAAATATATCTCCAGTCTACTAGTCCAACTTCACCATCTCCACACTGCCTATTGAGTGGCCCATTGAGTGGCTCAACACCCACTGGATCGTCTGTCCTGGACATGACGCAAATTCCGAGAATGCAGCAAGCCGCGTCAATGCCGATAAGGCAGCAAGCCCTTGCTGCCACACCTGAAGACGTGACTTGTGGTAATGTCGCCCGCCAGAAACGATGCCGCTCCAGACACAATTGTACATTAAAGGTGGGCGACGAAAATGGCTACGTTTGGCCTTGGGTTTCTTAACCAAGCTACCCAGAACAATGGCCACATTGATGTAGTGGGGATGATCCCTAACTTTTGCGCACTCACGCGCGAAAATATACGCGAAAAGCTGAATGATCTTGATGACTTGTTGAAGCAAGGCTACTCCGACTTGGCTCTGAAGAATGCATTCGAAGCTGTGGAGAAGGCAGTCGACGAAAAACTGCGAAGAGAACACTACGTAGGACTAGGGAGAACAAGCCGTGAGTGTATTACTGGGAGATGACTCTAGTTAAGGGTTACCACATTGCATTCTTCACTACCATCCTTGACTTTTTCTCCAGTAGGAAAAGGGTCAGGGATGATCTGAAGAATGCAATGTCGCAAGCTCTAATCTAGACTAATCTTCAGGATGATGAAGATGATCCTACAGGAGGATCAGCTTACACGAGGATCAGCCTACACCAGGAGGATATAGTACATGCAGGAAGATAATGATCCTATTCCTACGAACTAAACCCAGAACTAAAGGGTCCACAGTTTAGGGTCCTTTAATCCCAGAAAAAGAATGACGAGCGAAAGAAGCACAGAAAAAGAATGATGGAAGAAATTTGAAAAATGAAATGGATGTTAAAAGAACAAGAAACGCGAAGGAATTTGAAGAAGAGGGAAGCAAGGTTCCCCTGAAAGAAAGACGTGGATGGAATTGCAATTGCAGAAGCATAATGATGAAAGAAGGAGGGAGGAGTATTTACAGAAAAATATAGATACGAAGGGGCTAGAGCTAGTACAGCCAGATGCTGAAAACAAGAAAGAATTCCAGAGCGTTTTATGCTAAACAAATTTAAGATAAAGAAAGACCTCGTTTCCGTTCCCTTTATGAAGTAGAGAAGACAGATTTATATTTATTGGGGACTTCAACATAATGAAACAAACAAGTAGAAAAACAGGACACTGAGTCAAAGGACCTCCTGGCAGGTCTTTTCCTGTTTCTTCTTGTTGGAGGTGAGCTGTATTTTTGTTCTTAGGAGAAGATGAGCAGGAGGAGCCCCCGCTTTCATGACCATCTTGGTTGTAGTGTGACTATCATGTCGAGAGAGGTCGTGTATTTTCTTTCTCGTCATTAATGTTGTAGTTCATGATAATAATCATGTTGGGCAGCAGCGTGGTGAGAAGAAGTACCTACTTCTCGGGAACTATGATGATCATTGAGAGATCAAGAAGATTTTAGGTGAACAGGGAATAGAAGGTGCGCTTTTAAGATTTCTAAGTTTTTGCAGATTGGTACGCTCGAGAACGAGATCATGTTTGCTCTGAAAGTAGATGAACTAGAAGAGAGAACCCACTGAGAGACACCCAAAAGCGAAGAGTTGTATGACGAGAACAAGTTGTTGTTTTGAATAAACTGCGAGAATTGAAAAAAAAATATATATCGTACTTGCTTGCTCCGTTCTTCTTGTTGCAGCTTGCTTTTTGCTCGAGGATGGCAGCCATTGCAGGCGCCGATACGGAGAAAGATGGCGAACAGCCATACTTATGAAGACCAAAGATCCAAGATGTTGACCAAGTAGAAGTAGGTCTTTACCTTCAAACTTATATCGTACAGCTGGCACTGTACACAAGATAGTGCAGCGTGATCATACAATAAGTAAGCTTCAGTAACAACTACCTATAATTCTCGGCTCTTATCTCACGCTTACCAGTTATATCAAGACTAGTACATTTTCAATATTTGTTGATTGATGGACACCGACACATTATCATGCACGATATAATTCAACTACATAAGTACGCTAGTCAAAGTCTTGCAGTTGTGCTCCTAGAACCCTAGAACAAGCCAAAGCCCTGGGCCCAAGTCCCCTCCCCTAAACAAAATCAAGACGTACCCCTGGAATGGGTTTACTACTAGTCTACACAACCTGGAATTGTTTACTACTACTGGAATTGTATATTCGAAAACTCAAAATAACCGAGTTACTGAGTGAAATAAGGGAGGTAGCTTAAGTAACATCAAGGCTACTCTTCCTTTTCATCAGTATCTCGCTTATTCTGATCAGTTACTTGCTTATTCTGATCAGTTACTTGCTTATTTCAGTTTTTCGAATACTACTACGACGGAAGGCTAGAACAACCCCTTCCTGTCTAACATAAGGAGAACAAATGCCTCCGGTGCAATGCAATAAAGCGTACAAGAACCTGGACTTCCTGAACACCCCTGCCGCTAGAAATATTCGGATACAGTGTGAGTTTCAGGAGCCTGGAGTTCGATTGCTCGAAGAGGTATTTTTTGTGTGTGGGTGTGGTGGTGTGTGGGTGTGGTGGTGTGTGGGTGTGGTGTTCTACTTGTTGACGCCTCTACTTGTGAGAGGTATTTAATAGATTTGTGTTTATAATCAGTTATAGTTTTGATCCTAGCATACAACTATGAACAATGGTTCCGGGATTTGGTAACCTGAAGAATTTGATCACAAGGTTTCCGTTCTTGTTTTCCCTTATGATCAAAAGCAGGCTACTGAATAGCAGAGCATTACAACATTATAACAAAGAGCATTTGCATTACGTCTATCTTCTACATGATCCTCTAGTCCTTTCATCATCATCCTAGCATGGAAGTTATTGTTATGAATGAACACGCTCAGGAAGTACATAACGTGGTTATGTTCTTTGGTTCGGCGAGAGCAAAAAGTCGGGAAGAGTTCGAAAAAGCGCTCGAACGTGCGATTCCCGGTAGCCCCGAAAGGGAAAAACTGATGAAAGGAGAGTTCCTGGTCAAGTACTATGAGGGCATTCGAACGCTGACAGAGAAATTCAGCGATTGGAACCATCAACGGGTACATGAGGGAACGGGATCAATTAAGGCTTCACACACGCACGTGAACTCATCCTCTTCAGCATGATTATCCTTGGTCTCTCTTTCAAGGGGAAAAGATAGAGAATGAGAAGTGTCCAAGCACTATAACTTACCCCTTGTTTCCCCCTTGATCTCTGATGAACTTACCCCCAGAATGGGTAGTGGTAGATTATTATTACTATATTTCAGGGGAGATGTCGATGTGTATTTAATTTGGTTGCAGTGTTTTTCCGTATATGTTCATGCCTTCAATTACTCGACCGAAAACGGTGTGCTTCCCATCTAGATGCGGGGTAGGAACTGTCGTAATAAAGAGAGCCAGGGATGTGCTCTTCTTATTTATCGCTCTATGGCAGATGAAGTTCCTGTCTTCTGGCACATTTTTGACTCTCTAAGGTTCACAAGCTAGTTATATATTAGGGGAGTAGATAAAAACGGGCCTGGGCTTATATTAGGGGAGATCGAGATGTTGATAGGGTGCCTGGGCCAGGGATGTGCTCAGATGAGATGCTCCTGCTCGTAGCTCCCAGGGAAGATGATGATGATAGAGCGCCTCCTGGGAAGATGTGCTCACAGATCGCTGCTCCTCGTAGCTCTAAGTGAAGATACGTAGTGGCGACGGGTGGTGGGCCAGGAATGATGCAAGCAGCAAACGAAGGCGCGTATCGAGCACAGGCGCCGAGCGTTGGCTTCGGAATCTCCCTTCCATTCGAAGCCGGATTGAACCCGTACTTGTGGTGTTCTTAGAGTAGAATTGTACTTCTATACTGAGTTGTAGAAGAATTCTTTTTCATACAGCAATAGAATTGTACTTCTATACTGAGTTGTAGAAGAATTCTTTTTCATACAGCAATAGATACAATTCTTCTATACTGCGTTGTAGAAGAATTCTTTTTCATACAGCGATAGATACGACCTTTGTACTTCTATACTGCGTTGTAGAAGAATTCTTTTGTATGGTTCTGGTATTTGGTTGCCTGAATTTGATCCTAAGGGTTCTCCTCTTGTTTTCCCGTAGGATCAAATTCAGGTTACCAAATACCGGAACCATTCATCTTTTTCATACAGCGATACGAACAATACCTTTTGAAGATCTTCTAGGTCAAAAGATACCTCAGATACCTCAAGGGGACCAGGTAAATGAATGAGTGAATGAATGAGTAGAATTCTTTTTCATACAAAACACTATGACGCCGCGTGGCAGTCTGCACTGAAAACTGTGCAAGATTAACTGTATTGTATTGTATTGCGATGTTAAGTTCTTGTACATAGTTGTGATGTTCTAGACGTACACGTAGAGCTAGTTCAAGTTCATCGTCCGATTGAATTATGATCCTATCGTTCTTTAAATCTAACTACCTACATCATGATCCTATCGTTCTTTACATCTCCTCCGCTCACCACGACGACAGGTATGTGTCTCCTTCACTTGCGTTCGAATTTCATTACTTTTTCACGCGAAAATTCTGGATGGCCTATAAGATTTGCGGTCTTGTGTGTGCGCCTGGCGGGTTCGGAACGCTGGACGAGTTGTTTGAGATCCTCACACTAAAACAGACCGGACGCATCAAAAGACCGATTCCCATCATTCTTTTTGTTAAGGCTAGTAGTAGTTTTTCATGGCCTGAACTAACAGGATTCATCTTGCAACAACCTGGTATTAACTCGTTGTAGTTACACACTTGATGATAGTAGACGACCATATTTGCACTACGCACAAAATCCTCTCCATCTAATGTGAGCAAGAGTTATTGGGAGAAGATTATCAATTTTCAAGCAATGTGTGATCACGGGATGATCTCGCAGGATGATGTCGATTCCCTATTTCTCACAGACGATCCTGACGATGCATTGCGATTCCTATGCCAGAGCATTGAGGAGGTACGGATCTCATTAATATAGATGATCTGTGTAGTTTACCTTTACGCTCTTATTTTGTCATCTTCGTCAACATCAACATTTTGTGTAAGCACGTCCTCCAATTTCAATTAGAACTAGTACTAGAAGACCATTTAAATTGTTGTAAAAAGCATCCCCCTTCTACAACAGGTCGAACAAGAGCATAACGAGTTAGGGAGTCCATTTCTTGCGCCAATGCGGGATGCGCAGGGTGGCTACCTTCACGATGCTAGAGGTCGCGTTCGTCGCATTATTAACGCGATATTAACTGCTTTGCATCCTTCTGAATGAATTTCTGCACGACCATCTTCTTTCTATGCAGATCACCAAGAGATCTTGTTCTATGTGAGAAAACGGACTTCCACTTCCACAAACAACTGACGTGTAGAAGTCGTTAAAATAGGATGCAAAGCTGGCGTGGAGATGATAGCTCCAATTTCGGTCGTGATGCACCAGAATTCGAACTGCAAGGGGCTCAAGGAATGGCATTATGATTTCTCAAAAATCAATCTTGTCGTGCTTCTGGCTCCTCTTGTTGATGTAGTATTTTGATTTTCGGAAAAAAATAAGATAGTAGGAGCTAGTTATCGGAAGGGAAGACGAGCAAGAAGAAGTGGCAAGCAGAGGAAGACTCTTTGATGAGTTTCATTCTTCTATAATTCACACCTTTCACAGTACTACATGCTTAAGCTAATAATCGATTGTGATTTGATTTCCGGATCTTCTATCTACTTCATCTTGGTGATCTTGTTCCCTTCGCCGGACTAGTTACTATCTTGCTACACTATCTAGTGCAACAAGAGCTGCCAACTCAACATTCATATCCTGGTCAAGCACGATCCCCAGAAACAAGTCCCGGAGGAGAAAACGCCAATAACGGAAAGGCAGCCGGAGTTCCAGACTCGTTTCTGGCTAAGAAAAACGCGAAACCAAAAGCGGAAAAGCCTAGTGAAAGTGTCATATAGAATAGGACTAGATGGTGGTAGGAATCTTAGGACTTCTACACAGTGGCAAGCGGAGTCAAGACCACCTAGGGATCGTGCGTCGTGGGAAGGTCTAGGCCAAGACTGTTTTTTAAATCAAGATTGACACTATGTTTATAGTATAAGACTCACTAGACTATCAGATCGTTGTTGTAGAAGATCCTTCGCTACAAAAAGATATTCTTGGAAAAAATAGAATGTCATTATCTATCATATCGTGTTGGGTTGTCGTGGAAAGTAAATTTTGTCTTTGAATACGTGACGATGCTATAACCTTAACCGTTATCAACATCTTCTAAGTTTCAATTTTTCAACATTTTGTCATGTTGATGTACCAGTCGTGGTCGCGCTTATGTTTTCTTTTCCTGTCTCGTATCTTCATCCCCTCTGAAGTGAGACTTACCTTTTCTCTTGTGTAATTTAAAGATGTTCTTCTTTTTCTTTTCTTGATCCATCTATCTTCTGTATTTTCATCTACCTCTATCTACAGCTGTATTAATACCTGTTGAACTAACTATAATCACATTCTAGCTCCTACTCATGATGAAGGTAATTCACTTGAACATCATTAGAATTATGGCTTTTCGTAGAAGTCTTCTTCTAGGAGTCAGTCGACGTATTATACCACCAGTGATCACTACACACACGATCATCAACTTTTTGTGTAAAATTTGGATTATCCACCTGGGAAATGGATGTTGATGTATCACTTACAGCTACCAATTCTCATCGTGCTAGTAACTTACAACTACCAATTCTCATCGTGCTAGTACACGACCGCCACGACGTCGTGCCTCCTAGTGGTCCTATTGAGTTCCCTTCTGCTTCTGATGAGATATTTTCTTCTGCTGTGGACGAAGAACGGTCGCGAATGACAGGACGACCGTTGACCTCGGCCGTCGCGAAGGCTCATCTTCTCTGCCTGAAGATGTACAAGGAAGATCCAACGATCCTGGACACATCAGCAGGATCCAGATAACCAACACCTCTATGCACAACATCTATCATGATCACATAACTAACTACACCTTGGATCACGACAACGAACAACAGGATGATCTACCCACTAATTTTTGCTTACTTCTACTTATTGTTTACATCGTCCACCTAATTAAGTCCTGCTGAGACAGTACCTCTACCTCATGCTAGGTGAACGAATGAATGGAGGAAATGTACAGGTGATGAGGCTGTTGGGCCTCGACACGGACAAGAAGCTGTAATCAATAGAATGCCGACTGGAGCTACAACAGGATGCAGACTGAAGGTGTCCTCCCACCTCTGGCAGCAACTGCGTTGCCCCAAGCTTTGCGTTATTCCCTGCGCGAAGATCGAGAGGACGATGCACAAGAACGACTTTTGCTACACAGCAGACAGCAGAACAAGTCCTTGTACTCGTCATCACAACAGAGACGAGTAAGATTTCATGGCCAAAGACGATAAGCATTATCATGATGAACAGGAAGAAGGACCATGGAGTGGAAGTACAAATATATGCAGAGGAGGTGAACAGGTTGCAAAGATCATTTGAGCATGAGATTCTACGTCTGCACAATTTTGTCGTTACAGATAACGACCCTATAAACCGATTGCTAGAAGGAAACAAGAAGCGACTAGAGGGGATACAAGAAAGCCCACCAGTGTGGCTTGACGCCGCAGTGAGCCTACGCGTCAGGACTTCACTCGATTTTTATCCAAGGAGGTCGACCCCTTCCGACGAGGCGCTAATATCAACAAGGGACAGGATTATGACCTTCATCTACAAGCAGCATACGAAGCCTTTGGTAGCGTTAGCGACCGTTTCGGAATACTACAACACTGTCGCTAAGGTAGCGAAGATCGAGAGGATGCACTAGTACAAGAACGACTTTTGCTAGAGAGTAGACAGCAGAACAAGTCCTTGTACTCGTCATCACAACAATGTCATCAACAACAAGTCCTTGTCCTCTTCAGCCTCCTATGTTGAGTTGAATGCAATTGTGTCTGCTGGTTTGACAACTATCGATTTGATGCGCCAGGACCTACCTGCTCTTTGGCCTGACCATCCGCTAAGATCTCTGTATCGTGACACTCTGAAGAAGTGGCTCGTTGCGACGAATATAGCTATTTGATTTCGTAATTGCTGGCAACTGGCAGCAAGAAGCACAAGCAAGAAACTGCGAGAGACAGGAGGTGCAGCAGCTCCAGTATCGCTTGACAAGAATGAAGTAACAGAAGACAAACAAAGAAGCAATAGTAGTTCTCTAGAAGTGGAATACAAAAATCTACTCCGTCTTCTAGCTCTTCCTCAGACAACGTCCTCAGAACGTCTAAATTACCCTGGTGTCCACCTCCATTTCATTGCCATTGCAGTTGGCCAGGACACAATAGACAGCAGCATTCCGGTTAACTATCTGTCCTCGCAAGTTGCATCAAGTTCCATAGAGCAGTAGGGTGGAGCCAAGGACGAGCCATTAGACAGTTCTTGAGTACCCGACACCAGAAGATGCAGATCATGATGAGAACGAGACACTACAGAAAGAGGAGGTTCAAGATCATGACGCTACCTTGGTTGAGCCGTCGTTTCAGCCAATGACACTGCGGCACGTCGGAGTAGATGAATGTGAACAGTCCGTGAGCTCCTGAGAGTACTAGAAGAGGTTACCGTCACCTGGGAAAAGGTTCTACATACACAAGTGCCCGAATTCGATGAAGATCCGGACCAAATAATCGGACAAAATGTGGGCCCTGGCTCAGCACGCTGTTAATGTTGAAGTTGGTGCGAGTGGACGAGCGGGGGGAGGCGAGCCGAAGGAGGGTGGTGAAGAAGTGAATTCGAAGGACCTGGATTACTTAAATTTAAAAGATCTTCGCGCGCAAGAAAACCTGCATTGGCGTTGGGAACGTGACCAGGTCAGACACAGTCCTGCACCAGCAGGTGGCAACAGGCGCTTCGAGCCTGTTATCCGCTATAGGGTGGGAAACGTTATACCAAAAAAGTTCTCCTCAGACGGAAGACGAAGATGTGGAGGATCGTACATTTGATGTGGCCGATAATCGACGAGGAAGTTATACTTCATTAATCTTTAACGATGTTTTATATTCAAAACGTGAATGTACAAGAATTTTTATAAGAAGAAGTCCTGAAGTCCTTCAGTGAAGTACTATACGTATAGGTATACTAGTGAAACAGAAGAATATGTGGTCTCATGTGAATTGTCAAGAACAAGCCAAAGCTGGAATTTCCTGTAGGAAACCAAGAACGACAAGAGGGCTGTGCCCGTGGTTTGGAAAAGATAATCTTCTAGCATGAATAAATCTTCAATAACAGAAAGAATCATAGTACGTACATTGTTGGTAAAAAGCGACCTATTTTGGCACCGCTAACGCTATGCTCGTGACCGTTGGACCAACGTTACACTTCTACAACTGTGTGTATGCGAGAGCAGCGGCAATCTCTGCCCTTATGGCAGTCTGCGCTGAACTTTGTGCGAGATTAATTGTATTGTATCGTATGGTTACGAAGGTTCTCGCCCTTCAGGTTGATTTGATGCCAACTTTGAGAGTGTGAACACGAACTTCAACTTCCAAACGAGCTACAATCAACACAGTCGCGGAACCCATATAATTCATTGACTTTTCCTCCTACTACAAGAACTTAGACCACTGCGAATTACAACTCTCTTTCTTGTTCCCAGCAGTGAGTGAATGAATCCTCGTTAATTTCAGTCACGCCTTCATTTTTTCTTCCTTACCCGTGATCTAGTTGAAAAAACAAGAAGATGTCCTCGTCTACTCCCAGTGCCAAGAACACACATAAAAATGCGGCAGCAGTGCCCATGATATCGGTGGTAGACGATGCTGAGCAAGCCTCTTATCACGCTGAATATCGCAGACCCATGACAGGGGTTGTGACATCCTCGCAAGTAGATGTTGTTATCGAAGACGGATGTCGTCGTGGCATCAACCAAGAAGACCAAGAACAAAGGGAACACGGGGAGCACGAAGAGGATCCTCTACAAGAAGACGGCCGTCATCGTTCTTTTAAGGTCTCTTCAACGTGGTTGGATCTCGCGACAGGCCTCCTCGTTCTCACCTTTCTTTTTGCCTCTTTGGCTTTGCTCACGTCTCTGGGCTTGGTGTCCTGGCACAGGGAGAAGGAGGACTGGCGCTACCAACGTGCTAGACATTGGTTGCTTATCGAGACGTGTCTGTGTGCAGCGCTGGCAACGTTCACTGCGGCACTCAGTCGAGGCTGCGCTCTGGCTGCTAAACCAGGACCGTTCTTGCCGGGGCGTACTTTGACGTTTTTCTAGAAAGGCTCAATTTTACCTCCGCACATGTTGACAATTCTATTGTCAACCGTAATCACTCACTATGACTATGGCGTTACTTTCAACTACATCATACCAAAGAAAATCTAGTTCATGAAAGTAGGCAACGACAAGGTGAACTTCTGTCTGCACCACATCTTCTCACTTCCTCTTCCTCTACAACAGGGTTCTCTCTCTTGCTTTCTCTCGTGCTTGTGAGTGTTTTCGAAGCTGCGGGTTATGTTGGCTTTTTCATCCTGGTTTCGTATGTGAAGCCTGAAAACTACTTCGTGGGTGGCTTTGCTGGGCTTGAAGTGCTCCACTGGATCTTGGTGATTTACCTTGTTGCAGCTTTGTTTTTTGCTTTGTTCAGGGTGGCCATCTCGTTGCAGGCACTTTACGGCTGCAAACCGAGCGAAGTAGATGCAGAAGGCTTTGCTTTTGGATCTTTTGGTGGAGGAAATAACAGTGGTGCACGTAGTTCGGAGGAGCACGAGGAGAGAACTCGCACGACTTTTATGGGTACAACAACAGGTACTTTTAGAATCTTGTTTGTAATAAGGGTTCTTGCATCAAGTTGTAGAAGTTGAGGATGACCGATCGAGTCGTCTATTCGGCCTTTCCAACGGCGAAAGAGACAGACATGCAATTACCACCGAAATAGGGAGAGGCAGAGGTTCAGACTGATAGGTCAGCTTTAGTCTAGAAACCCTAAAGATACCATTACCACTAATACTACGGCCCCGCGTCGATCAAGCAGCGATTTGGAAGTGGTCTATGACGTAGCTTCGGTTCAGCAGGTACAAGCAGAAGAGTTAACAGAGCGAGCGCTAAGAAGAGTCACATTTGCTGAAGAGGAGGCTGTTAAGGTCGCGGTCAAGGATGGTCAAGGACATGGAGATGGAGATAAAAAAGATGATAAGGGAAAGGGAAATAACAAGGCACCACAAGTCTAAGAAGTCCTCCGAGCAATTTACGGGCTATGAACTCCATAGGATCTTCCAAGATGGGGAGCCATCAATATGATGTTTATGTCGCTCTCATGACGTCTACTTCTACACATTTCGATTTTCTTGTTTCTCTTTCACCATGAAGTAGCTTTAGCTTTATCGATCAAGAACATAATTTAGAGACCTGTTACTGAGAATATAGTCCTAGTTGTGCCTGGTTTGTTTCTAGCGATATCAAAGACCTTGAACTACTTCTATTAAAAAAAGATAAACTACAGAAAAGTAAAAGGGAAAGTGCTCAATTGCCAGTCAGGACTTCCTGAAATTCCTCGTCTATTCAATCCGGTTTCAATACAACGACTACACACAAAGAATAAAATGAACATCGACATGTTTCACATGGCCATAGTTTCATACAGTTGCACGAAGATTGCTTTTTTCATCGATGCAGTTTTCTATCTTAAACAAGGCTACGGCAGTCGTAGAAGTCCTTGATGACTCGACGTCTTGTTTATTATTATGTAGTCACTGACAACATAATGACACTCATCAACAAATTGGCTGTTGTTTACTTGATGTCCTTAGTGCGCACGTAACTTCGTCAAGCACAATTATCATACCCCGTGCTGGACAGCCACAACGTTTGAATGAAAAATGCCTCCACCTGGCTTGTCCCATGATGTGATGAATTTGAATGAATACGGCTACAGCTGTCAGTTGAGCATGTCTTCTTAAACATACACGGAAAACGCAGTATATTCGGGGGGCGCTCATTCATGCCAGGCATGTCATCCATCATGCCATGCATCAACTCGCAACTTCAGGAAAAGCCAAATATTGCAATATTAGCCAAATGACTTCGGTATTCAAAAATGAGCGACGTGAGAAGTACCGTGCGCTGGTTTCGGTATTCTCTTGCTCCTTGCTTTTGTCGCCCTGATCTCGTCGTCCACGGACGAGCGATCCATCACCGCGTGGTGGTCTCTACGGTAATAAAGCGATGAATGGATTCCAAGGTAAATCACTTATTATTTGCCGATCGTCTTGTCTTCAATTCAAATAGAAATCTTCTATTCCTCCAATTTCGAGTGCTGCGAGCATTCAGTCTTCAATCTTCAAAAGGGCAATATCGAAATAGGACAGATATTTGATAAGTACTTTATGGACGTTCTTGCTTCTATCCAAAACTGTTAGGGTGGAAGATCTGAAGACCAAGATGAAGATCTACAGTAAGGCCACCACTAAGACCACGAGGACGCTAAGGCTCAAAATCAGGATCAGGATGAGGATCCAGATAATCAGGCTCAGGCAATAGAGATCCACGAAGGTCCTCCCCAGGGCCATTCTGATGACGGAAGGAACTGACGACTACGAGAATGAAGCGACCACCATCGCCCATGATGTTTGTGCCTTCGGGTTTGTATTGTTTTGGTAGCTGGCGACTAGGCTCATCAGTCACGCCGTTGAGGCTAGCACGTACTTGGACGGTATTCGTAGCTTCGTGCACTTATACAAAAACAAGGTCGCGAAGAATTTTGAGGTCGTTGAACAATAAGAAGTACAGAAGTTTTTATACCTCCAGACGTCTTATTCGAAAAAACCACCACCACCACGACTCGTCTTCAAAAAATGTCTGCAAACAAGGCCAAGATGTTGCTACCGTCGTGGTGTCTAGTTGTCGTGGCGGTGGTCGTGGTGAACACAGGAGGGCTGGGGGCTTCAGCTGCGTCACCCAGCGCCCCGTCTCCACTGGGAGGAAAAACTACTGGAGAACCGGGACCGGGAGAAATAACTTCATCAGGGACGAAAGGAGTGGAACAAGCAGGGGATATCATGAAGAGCAAACTCTTGGTGGATCGCATGGCCATTGCATTCCAGTTTCATCTTGTTGATCAAGAACATGATAAAAAAAGGGAGGAACCCAAGCACCAGAGCAACCACGACCATGATATGCTTCACAAAAGGCATTTGACATCCACCTTTGGGACATTATTCTCGCTGAAGGATTGGTCCGATAAGGGGCTGCTCGATGCCGTCAGAGTTCGAGTTCCACATAATGCCTTGTTGCAGGACTGGGAGTTCTTGCAGCTAAAACAAGCACGTTACCGGTTTTTCGAAATCAGTCGAGAATTGATGAATCAAAATGGCATTGAGGACGTCACGCAGTGGTTCGCCGGTCGGCTCTTCTTAGCCTTTTTGAGTCAAGAAACTGATGATCATGATTCACTTTGGGAGCACGACCTTTTTCTGAAAGACAAAACGGTGAAGGAGATACGCCGACGGGTCTTACACAAGATAGACTCTCCTAGCCACGAGACGCCCGAGAATTTCTTTTATACATTGCCTGAGCTAGATGGGCGTTTTAGTTTTTACGAAAATCCCTTAAAGTGGCCGGCCATGGAAAACAAGCTTACCTTGGTTGGCGCGCAAGCAGGAGCTACGAAGTTCTCAACGAAGATGCTCGAGACGAATACAGCAGTGGCGGAATTGTTCACCAATTGGTACCTTTCTTAAGACTTCCGGGAATCCATCTTCCGAAGCATCTTGGGGCACCTCTTTAAGGGAAAAACAGGACCAAAAAGACTCTCAGGATGGATTCCCGGCAACTCTAACTTTCTCGGCAACCAAAAGGAAGCATTACCTGTGATCTGTTGGCGTCGAGCCTGATCTCGAGCAGTCTGCCACAAAGGTCGATGATTGTGCACGCCGGCTATGTGCAAAACAAGGGTCGCGCTTGGTTATTGGAAGACCTCGAGGAGAGCAACAGCAAATTCCGCGAACACATCATGATGAACATGTTAAAAGAGTCTCCAAGAAAGGACGAAAACGAGCACGAAGAAGTGGCGTTGTATCTTCAAATGCAGTGGATGACAAGGGATGGAAAGACTCATTCCCACACGGTCACTCTTGTTGTTAACATTCGAGAAACCCAGAAAATGTTCCAACTACAGCAGGTACAAGGTCGTGAACAACAAGATGTTACAGGATTTTTACTGGGACAACAAGAAACTAAAAAATCCCCTCCTGCTCCAGCAGCAGATGAAAGAAATCCCTTCCACCAGCCGGTTGCCGAAATTTTTCAGGCTGGTGTGTATCCAAGAGCAGAGGGAGAAGGTCTGGAGATTGTTGAGGGTACACAAAAGTCGCTCACGTTTCTCGAGTTTAAGCTTTTAACCGAGAAGCTATTTGATCATGTTCATGAGTTTGAAGAGGACGAGGACGAGATGCGGAAGCAGGAGAACATCGCCACTTTGCAAAGTTTATCCGATAAACTTGGCATACCTCGTGGTCCAATGGCGCCAGTCGTGCCTGAAAACATGCAAGACTGGACGCATTTTTGGCTTATGGATTGGTTCGCCTTTACAGTACCACCTGCTGGCTCTTCCCTGCAAATGGAGGATGTAGTTAATATTCAAGGTATCGTGACTCGACCAGAGTTAAACGGACAGAAAGGAAAAATCGTTGGTGGTCCTAGTAGCAGTACCAGTAGTCGATACCCAGTACAACTGCTACAACCTTCCTCGAAGGGAAACGCAGGTGAAGAAGAAGTCCTGAACCCGACGGGCTCCCCTCTGTTATTCAAGGTTGCGAACCTGTCGCTGCGGCTGCGCCCGGTTATTGGATCGCTGCCTCCTACTATTGGAGGGGTAGTGCTGATTAAGAATCTCAGGGAAAGGCCACAATGGAATGGAAAATACGGCCGCATTATAAAATCTAGACGGGGAATGTCGAGTGACCGCTTTCGTGTGGAAGTGTTGTTGACTGAGGACACGTCAAACCAGCACCCGAAAGTGGACCGCGGAGCATTGCGACGAGAGAATTTTGAGGTGCTTTACTATCTCCATCAATGAGGATAGAAGGATGGAGGACCAAAAGCGTTGCCCTGGATGGAATATTAAACAGCATTTGGAAGGGGGTGAATAGAAGATGATGATTTGGAAGGCAGTGATGAAGATTGCACTTACTCTTACAACGACGTCCATGTTTCGAAGATACGTCGTTCTAATACGTTGTGGGCGTGGCGGTTATAAGGAACGTCGAGAACGAGAAGATGCAAAAGCTTGGGTACCTCTCTTCAAGTCTTTACTTAGTGGTAATTCAAATTATATTTATGTTATATGGACCACTAGCTCTAGCACTATTCTTGAGACTTTGACTTGCCTTCGTCAGATTTACATTTTTTGGCTTTTTGGTCCTTGTTTTTGGCGTTTTGGTGAATTATTAAGGATGAGGTGACTACTTGGATATCGACTCTTATCGGGAGAAGGTGTGGACTTTGGAAGAACAATCAAGGATAGCTGTCAATTCCCAGATCCCGAATACAAAGGTAAGACAAAAGTAACAAATAACTACCAAGATCAAGATCACCACCAGCATGAGGATCATGGTCAACAACAACAGGAGAACGGTCACCAACTAGGAGCAGCTAGGTCGTAGATCACTAAACAGTACTAGGATCAACATACTGGTAGTTATCATCGTCAGCGTGATCAGTATAGAGTAGTACTGCTACTGCGCTGAAGTAACTAAAGGACCAGCAAGGTCATAGACTGACAAGCACAGAACAAGGAAGAACATCATCGGGAGCAAAAACCAACCACATGAGTCATATCGTCAGTGGCCGGCCATGTGGGCAATTGCAAACAGCAAAAACCTAGTCACGCGATTGCCGTGCCATAAAGATGAACGGCTGCGCGCTAAGGGTGCCACTGTGTTCTCTACTTCATAAACCAAGAACAGAATAGACTTAGAGACGAACTATATACATAAGTTTTCGGATGTTGGATATACTCGAGAACGCTTCGCGAGGTGGTCAGCGATTGATACATATGAGTGCGTCTTTTTGTCTTGCTCGAATCGTTGAGGTGCAATGAGCAGCGTCTTCAATCACAAGCGTAGCGAAAGTCAATAGGAATTCCAAATATCGGTTGAGTTCAATCGAGCGACACGAGAGCATCGAATTCGAAATCGAAAAAAGGGCAATTTGTAACGAATGACCATTCAAGATGGGCGATCGCGATAGCTATCAAAAGTTTTGAAAACTCTACTGAATAAGTACAGTCTTTTTAGCACCAGCGCTATAATTCCAGAAAAAAATCTGTAAAAAGAATCCACCATCGTCTTAGTCTTTCCAAAAAAATCATGCGATAGCAAAAAAGCGTAGAACAAATCACAGAGAGCATGACTCAGGTGAGCAACGACTAGGGAGGCAGTGCTTACGAATCTTCAACTTCGATACGTACTGCACCAGTACGTATGCAACAAGGTAGAGAATCTCGATATCCAAATTTTTCCAAGAATTGACAAAGACAAGATGCCTCCTGCAGCACAGGCAAGGAGCAGCATGATGCTGGGCCCTTTTAGGGACCTTTGGCTAGCAGCAACGCATCCTTCGCGCAAGAGCACGCTGGAGAAGGACTTGCAGCCTCTCATTGTCGAATTCGAATTGCACCATGTCAAAGCAGCCTCTTCAACCTCAGGAGATCAACAAACAGGGAGCCTCGGACTATGTGGTGGTCCTCAACAACAGAAGAAGTCTTCCTCATCTTCAACGACATTTTTAAAAACATCTGCGTGGTCCTCGTCTTCTCTCAGTTTGCATGTTTACGGAACGCTGTTTCAGGGGTTGGCTAAGGTAATGCATTTGAAGCTAGCCAGAGTAGTGGGGCAAGCGGAAAAAGCGATTTCCCAGTTCCTAAAACGTGGTTTGCCGATCAAGAAAAAGAAACAAAAACATGCTGTTGGAGGTGTGGGAGCACAGTGGAATGTCTTAACACCGATCAGGGATCAGGAACAAGGTATATTATAATTTTTTTTTCTAATATAACAAACCAATTTTTCATCAATGCAAGATGAAAGGAATTGTGAAGAGTAGTTCTTTATTTAGCAGAGACAGGATGATGTCGTCCATGTCGAAGTTCTTTATCTCACACACACCAGATATACTAATGAAATATTGTTAAGTAGGTACCTTCTAGAGGTAAATAAGCCAAATTTCCCAAAAGAACTCCACTTCATTTTCCATACCTCCAACTCCACTTAGTCTTAATGTCATCACGACTTTTGAAAGAATAATCCTACTTCCACCGACTTCTACAGCCGTCGTCGTCCCCTTTCTCGATACTGATGGTGATCACGACGTGGACGCAGAAGTCATTTTCCAGGCTCAATCTGCAGCCTTCGCGCGTGAGTCTCTGTCTACACAGGTGGATGACTCTTCGCAGATGAACCAGGGTCAAGAGGAACATATCAATGGGCTTTTGCGGACTGCCAGAGGCCACGCAGCGGCTGCAAAAGGTCGTGGTAAGGATTCAAAGATGTTGGGATTGAGTCCTGCTCAGGAAGATCTAGAAGAAGGTCCTGGAGGAGGTGGAGGAGCTCTTGAGGATGTACACCACCATCGAGATGTTGACCTAAAACTACTAGATTTTGATGATCCATTGCCGGCTGCTAGCCCAGCAGCTGGAGAAGTAGACTTCGATTTGAGTCGCATGCTGCAGACTGGTGGTGGGAACATGAAAACAACAACTTGTAAAAAGGAGAACGATCACGTCGCAGCTTCTTCACCCGAAGACAACTACGACAGCATGATGATAGAAGCCTTACGTGGAGACGGGACAAGGACCACGAAGGACAAGAGCTTACTACGTGGCATGAGTGCTTCAAATCTCCTGACAACGGTGAATGTGAAAGGAATGGCAAGAACTTGTTCTTCTGAAGAGATAAACCTCAGGAACAACTCACAAGATTCTTCAGGCATCTTCAACCTACAACAACACCCTGATAGTAGCGAACTAGGACCACACGGTGCAGCTGGGGGTTCTCCAGACATGCCTGTTCCAGGCGTCCCAGGAGGAAAGAATTCCATAGAAGGCCATGACGTTGATATGTTGCAAGAACCTCCCGGAACGACCGATGAACCGTTTGCCCATGTAAACCTCAGTCCACCTCCTCCCTCTAGTTGTAGTCGTGGAAGCAGTAAAAGGAGTAGTAAAGATCATGCTTCTAAAGATGATCAAGATCATGAAGATCTTCAGGAGAAGAATAAGAAGCTGGGCAGCACACCTGGAAGCATGCCTTCTTTTGGCGCTGTGACTCCGGTTGAGGTGGCACATGATGAGCTGCATGAAGTAGGAAAGGATCAGCATCAGCTAAGTCAGATGCTACAGTCGTCCAGAAGTAAATCAAAATCATCTTCCTCTGCGGGAACGTCGGGGAATGGTCTTCTTAACCACGAAGGAGTTGGACAAGGACTACAAGACGGAAGTTATTTTCACCAAGGTCGTGCTAATGGACGAGGAGGTGGCTTCACCCCCGTTGAAGATGACGACGACGACGAAGAGCATGTCAACAACCTAAAACTGAACAAAGATCTCAACAATGCTGGAAAGGACAGCGATCACGACAACAACAAAAAGCTTCGGAAGATGAAGATGAAAGCGAAGAAAGTTCCGGTTGCAGAACGTGTGATTGTACAGAAATCGTATCAACGTTCTGACGCCTTCAAATTGAGCGACTTACTGGAGAAAAACGGACATGGATGGCGCGATCGCATTCGCATCAACAGTGGAGGCCCTGAGCAATGCGTTTTGTCGGTGGAGGCATTAGCATCGCGCTCGGATCAGCATTGCAGAGAGTTGTTCCCTGTGATGGCCGTAAACGTCGCGAACGCTTTTGAACTACAGTCTGCATCATCTTCGTCAGGCTTGTTGTTCGAAGACAACAAGGAAGCGAAAAGCAACAAGCGCATCAACATCAATCACTTTGATAACATCAAAGGAGGTGATGATCTACATCTAGGAAATTATCAATCTGATGTTCGCGTGCTGCTTCCTCGCGATCCATTTGCCGCTGTGGAAGGGATGGCAGAAGATCTTGGAGCAGGTAGTAAACGTCGCAGACTTGTCGAGGGAGGATTCGTTGAAGGACATCCAGTAGGAGATATCTCAACTGTTATTTGCAATCGTGAATTGGATTTCGATGTTGATGAACAAGTAGATGAGGGGCCCCAGGCTGAGGCATCTTCCCTAACGCCTGGCAGTGCTGGTAACTCAAACTTAGAAGGTGGATGTAATACAAGTGGAGGTGGTGCTGGTAACTCAAACTTAGAAGGTGGAGGTAATACAAGTGGGGGTATAACTATAAGCAGTGGGGGTCTACGTTTAGGGATCATGGAAGATAACAACATGCTTGGAGGATCTTCTGAAGGAGGCGGAAGGATCACACCTGGAGCAGTGTCAGTGGGCGGTAGTGCTGGTGGGTTGCCTCTCGCACAAGATGCTTTTAACACTGGATTGGTAGCCGCAAACAACAAGGCCACGACATTGCCTAGTAGTCCTTTACCTCGTCCAGAACTAGTACAAGGTCCTCAGGAGCAACAGCAGAGGACAAGAATGAACACTCTGAATTATCTCCCAGCAAACATCCAGCATGGAGGGAAGAAGAGCCACCTTCACCGGCTCGAGGATTCAGGGTCGTCTTCCTCCGATTTGAATCGGATTGAAGCTCTGCGTGGTGCTGGAGACTCTTCCTCTTCAGCGAGACGGTTCAGAAAAAGCATTTCTGGTGATGGACCTCTGCTTGAATCCCTAATGATTTCCTCTATGCAGAATCTACGAGGTCCCGAAGACGATAGTGAAGATTCCTCTTCCAATTCACGACAACATCTCAATTCACGACAACATCTTGATCTTGCTAGTCTTCGTGGTGGTGGAACGGGAATAATAAAGTCTAAAACTTCTAATTTAGTGAAGAACAACTCTCACTCGTCTGGTGATCAAGACGATGCGCATCTTCTACTTCAGCAAGAGCCACAACAAGATGAGCATGAACTTCACCATGAACATGACGAAGATGTTGCCCAACATGTTGAACAAGAAGATTTTCTCCATGTAGCAGATCCAGTTTTCGATTTCGGCAATCACCAGATTCATGTATCTTCCAGTCCTCATCCTAGAGGTAGCATGCCTGGCCCACCAGACTCAGCTTTTCGTGGTTTGTTTCCGGAGGACATGAAGAATAAGAAAGATGACCTTCCGTCGTCGACGAGTGCTGCCTCTGCCATAGGCATAGTAGAGGATGCCTCGATGCTTCCTGAAGGTACTGCACCATGGGAAGCGCGTTTGTTGCAGACCTATCGTGCAATACAGCTGTCTGCGAGTACGCGGAAGAGCAAACGCAGAAGAAGCGATAATGAAGATGGTAGTATGGATAATCGCAGTAATGAAGATGGTACCTCGTCCACTTCGTGTGTCGTGGTAGTGGAAGATGAGAATAACACCACTTTTGAAGCAGTCTGTAGTCCAGAAACAGAAGATCGAGAAGCAGCATCCTTGGCCTTTCGCGATATTTTGGCCCTTGCGACAGCTGGTGAAATTCGTGTACGTCAACGAAAGGCGTTTGGAACTATCAGCATCCGTTTGCTGGGTGCAACAGCTGAAGCGGTCTTCTAGATGATACTGCACACTGTGGTGCTGGGGAGTTGTACAAAGAAGAAGAAGAATCGAAATAGAATATCATATTATACTTGCTGACTTTTTTTGCTTAAGGATACGGAGGACAGAAATGGAATTGAAAATACCGATGGGACAATACCTGCTGAGGCCAACAACAAAAAAACCTTCCAAGAAACACGTCAGAAGTAGTAGAGTGCAATAGGTAGCAGGTACAACAACAACTACTACCATAGGAATACTAGAGCATTTTTTTGCGTGCAGCATCATCAACACCTAGTAAACCAACGACCATCATTATTTACCTAGTAAGTGTACAAGTAGTAAGAAAAAAGTACGGTCGACGTGCAACCTTGTGAAACCAGATGAATGACGAGCTACGATCGTCCTCGTTGTTCTTTGCAGATCTATTTTTACGCCTGATGCTCTTCCTCTTTCTTTGTTTTTATGAGCAAGTCTGAACAATGATCACGAGTACTTACGATTTTTCACCAAGAATTTTCTGTTTGCAAGTTGAAGTTCGCTCCGCTACCTCAAGTAGTGCATACTGCTATTCTTATTCCTTGGGAGTACTCGCAAATACAAGTAAGTCTGAGTATCTACTTCTAACTGTGCAACAAGTCATGAAAAGTTTGGATCGTCTAGAAGTAAATGAAATGCAATACTAGAATTTCAGATGCTGCCAGATTAATAAGTGCTATGGATCCTATTTTTCTTCTTGAAGCGTTGTAGACAGCGTACAATGGGAGCTACTTTTTTGATATTGAAAATAAGATGGTTAACTGAACAAAGCATGAATATCATGTTGATTACAGTAGTTGTTGTAAGTAGAAGTAATTTAGTTGATGTTGATCTTCCTGCTACGAATTGGACAAGAACGAGATGAAATGAACGTGAATCCTTACTGGTGTTGTAAACTAGAAGTAGTAGAACTAGTGATGAACTTCTTCGACTAGAACAGGTTGTTGTAGTAGAACTATTTTTCGCTTCATTGGCATTGAAAGTGAGAAGTTGAGTTGTGAAAGACGATTAGGACAACTATTGTTAGAGAAAATGAAGTAGAAGTCTGATATTCTACTTCTTGATGAAGACGTTTCCATCTATCAGCTGCATTGTGACCATGGGATCCAGGCAGGAGCAGAGTCACAGCTTGGAGACGCGCAGGTTGGTGATTCATATAAAAGGCGTTTGAAAGTGTACTCCTATCCTCCTGACATGAACAGAAATTAGTATCGAGCAATGCCAAAACGATAACGATGATGATGTCGTGCTTTCTCTGTGCGTCGGTGAAGCGCGTGCTTTCTCTTCCTCCACCGGTTTTTCTGCACCTGACCTAGGCCGATTGCGAGTCTTAAAGAAGTAATTCATAACCCCAGTGTGAGGAGTAAGCTATTGAGAATTTGCTTTTTTAGCTGCATGTTTAGTGCTTGACCTCAGCCGGTTGCGAGTGCTATAGAAGTAATTCTTAACCCCAGTATGAGGGTGGAGCTATTGAAAATTTGCTTTTTTAGCTGCATGCTTAGTGCTTGACCTCTGCCGGTTGCGAGTGCTATAGAAGTAATTCTTAACCCCAGTATGAGGGTGGAGCTATTGAAAATTTGCTTTTTTAGCTGCATGCTTAGTGCTTGACCTCTGCCGGTTGCGAGTGCTATAGAAGTAATTCTTAACCCCAGTATGAGGGTGGAGCTACTGAAAATTTGCTTTTTTAGCTGCATGTTTAGTGCTTGACCTCTGCCGGTTGCGAGTGCTATAGAAGTTTTTTTTCAACCCCAGTATAAGGGTGGAGCTATTGAAAATTTGCTTTCTTAGCTGCGTGTTTAGTGCTTGCCCTCTGCCGGTTGCGAGTGCTATAGAAGTAATTCTTAACCCCAGTATGAGGGTGGAGCTATTGAGAATTTGCTTTTTTAGCTGCATGTTTAGTGCTTGCCCTCTGCCGGTTGCGAGTGCTAAAGAAGAAATGCTGGATGCGAGTGTTAAAGAGGTAATTCGTGACCCCAGTAGTAGACTGGGGCGAGCTACCTCTAATTTGCTTTTTTAGGTGGTTCCCTCAATTCGTAACCCCAGTAGCAGACGCGGGCGGGCTATCTCGAATTTGCTTTTTTAAGCGGTTCTTCTCTGGCTGACCTCTGCAGCTTCGGAACGTAAAGTCGAAATTGAGGACATAGATCCTGGTAGTAGCAGAGCTTCAAGTGATGGTGATTCCTCAGTAGTAGAAGATCTTCAAGATCAAGTGAACGATTGTGATAGGCAATCTTTCGTGCCGTATAGTAAAAATTGTTGACCTAGACCCCAGCCGTAGCAGCAGATCTTCTTCAAGTGACAGTGATTGTGATTCATTCCAAGCAGGAACATTACGCGAGGAAATTAGGAGGACAAGAGTGGTGCTCGAGGCGCTCGATAATCAGTCACTTTTTCTATGAACTTTCAAGAAATTCAAATTCAAAAATTTTAATATTGTTTGTTCTTATGTTGTTTTTCAGAGATTCAATTTCATTCAGCTAGAAGAGAGCAAAGCTGTAGCATCTTTTTATTGGAAATTAGTTGGACGACTTGAAGGTTTATACCATCCTTTTCAGAAAAAATATAAAATCTACATTTTGATGAATTCGTAAAATTTTTGATTTTATAATTTCAGTTTTCCTTTCTTAATTTACATCCAGAAATTTTGATTTTATTGCGTTTCTCATAGATTCTAAGTTAGGAACTCGTATTTTCAGACTTGACAAATTTTTGCATTCCAAAAGAGAAGGTCCATATTAAGATCTCGTCAAGATCAAGATGAAACACGATCAAGAAACTTCCAAAAGAGAAGCACCATATTAGGATCTCTTCAAGATCAAGATGAAACACGATCAAGAAGCAAAGAGGCGCAGCTATCATCTCTCCTCGTGATCCTCATTTATGTGGAAAGATCAGGAAGATCTGCTCGCCAAGAAGAAATCCAAGTCGTAGAACAATGGAGATTTCTGTCCTAGAAGTGGTGACTCTGTCATGTTGGAAGTCGCTGTCGTAGTGCTGACAATATAGATCTCTGTCGTACGGGTGACTGAGACTGTCCTACTTGTTCTACGTCCGTTGATCATTCTGCCGCTTCCTCTTCTAACTACGCCAGGCTTTGTAGTCAACCATCCAAAAACATCTTCACGGGTGGCAAAAAGGTAAGAGTTCATATTTAGATCCCCCACTAAGATCATGAAGAAGCTGATCCTGATAGTCTATTCCACTACCTGATCCTTTCTAACATATATTATAGAGTGAGCGACATCGACATCATGCGTATCTTCATCAAACACCAGCCAGGAAACAATTTGAAAGCGCTTTCTCTTCATCGATCGGGCGATCCTTTCTAGAACAAACTAACTGAAGACCATTTCTGGTTTTTCTTGCCTTTTACCAGAAACTACCCAAAAGCAACATCAAGTAAGAAGTAAGAATCTATCTTGTGATACATCTCACTTTTACTAGAACAACTCGCTTTTCTCGAGAGTCGTTTTCTTGTTGCGTATTTTGATTCAACACCCATAGTGCTTGCGTAGCGGATAACCTCCTCGCAAACATACTTTTTTTCCTGAAAGAACAAGCAAACGTATTAACCTCCTCAATATCGTAGGTATTGATATACGAACAGAAACAAAAAGAGGCAAGATGATGTCGTCGCGTTTTTTTCAAAAAGAGATGCTCTCTGACGGTCCTCACCGCGCTGGCGTTGGTACGCTTGGGCGCGGTTCTTTCGTGATCTTCTTCTTGCTTGCCAACATGATCAGTGGAGGGGAAGCCTCCTCTCTATTGCACTCCTTCCGTAGTCGGCTTTCCGGTTACAGCGGCTTGCAGCAAGAGCTAGATGGGCAGGACTTTGTGAAGTTGATTAAAGACGAAATCCTTCGACAGAAGGGTCGGAAGACATTTGTGTATTTGGATATCGGGATGGACAAGCACGGTGCTGCAAGTGCAGCAGGAGCAGACGATGCAAATGGAAGTGCAGAATCTTCTGGAAGTTCTCCTGCGCCTGGAGGACCCTTCTTGGACACAAAAAAATCTATGGAGATTCTCGAACGGTTGGTACCATTGTTGCAATCGGAAGTCCGAGGACCGGACTCGGAAAAACCCAAGTGGGGCAACGTAGTTTTTCTTGTCGGAGGCGAGCACTCAATTGTCGTCAAGAGAGAGACTCATGTTGATCCGCTGAAGAGTAAACCGGATGCTTATAATACCCACTACTACGATTCAAGCAGAGAGCCTGCACCCGTATCCAATAATGGTGTGCAGGACAGACGTGATGTTGGGCCTATGTATTTTTTTTTTGACTATGGCGTGGAAAACGACACACGATGTGCGCCTTATGCCCGAACTGGAGGTTGGCAGCTACCTGCGGCCGACATTGTAGCTCTTGCAACTAGCCTAAGCGATGTCATCGTGAAGGTCGGCGTCGGTTACAGCTCGACCGTTGACGAGGCTCCTCAAGCAGATAAACTCCATGTCGCGCTTCAGCTGCAGGGTAAGGAGGCCACTGCAGAAACTGTAGTGGAATTTGAAGATTTAGAAAATATGCAGACGGGGGTAGTGCCGCACCTACAGACGATGATATTGAACGCGCACAATAAGATTCATCGAAATAAGGGTAACTGGTTCACGCGGCAGCTCGTCAAGTAGCACCCCTAGTAAGTCAAAAGACGACTGAAAAGCCTAATGGTAACTGGAGATTGAGGCAGCTGACGGATAAAATTACTAAGTAGAATTATGAGAAGCTTATCGAGATGATACTGAGTGCCGTTTTTGGCGTTTTGGACAATGGCGGGCGCCAGGAAGCTGGCAAATGTTGTACTGTTACTATAATTTTTATTTCTATTTGAGAATGTATATGTTGCATTAACATCGGGCAGCCATCGTCGATCTCGATTGGTGGGTTCATTCTTTCAGGTCGTTGAAGATGTCAAGACCCGTACTGACAATGGCGAGTCAATGCATAGCATTGCGCTTGTGCCATAGAACAGAAGTGCCACCAACAAAGCTACTTGAAGTTGAGACATACCATAGATAGTAGAAAAAATAGGAAGGATACACCAGTACGAATACCAGAGGCAGAGGTGGACCACAACGCAATTGATTCCAGCATACTGATTATCGGCGGCCTCAATTGATGCCCTTGTGGCAGTCTGCACTGAACTTTGTGCGAGATAGATTGTATTGTATTGTATTGCATTGAGTCGTCTTTCGTATTCTTCGATAAATAGAGAAAGCATGAGGCAAAATGCAAAGCAGAAGAAGACGAAGAGCTGCAATTGCAATAGGAATTAATCTAAATCCTAAGTCCAAACTTAACGTTAAGGTTAACCCGTGAATTCTGGGTAATATAAGTATCGTCATCATATTGCTATTGGGCATCGATTTCGATTGGCGCGTTTATTCTTCAGAAGACGCTTTGGATTAAACACTTCTACCTTGGTAGTTCAGACGATGCTGGTCCTCTCGTTCGCATTTAAACGGTCAAAAATGATTTTTATAGTTGAAATTGAACAGAAGCAGAACAAGAAAAAGCAGCACAGGTGGGTACAGATGATGAATGATTTCCTTTTACCTGGGTGACCCAGGCTTGCTTGGTGAGCTGCTGTTTCTAGCGAAAAGGGTGCTTCTAGGGCTTAGGGTCAAACTATATCGGTCGTGAGGAGCACGTGTTGAGTGGAAGAAATAAGAAGTAGACAACAAGAGCTACATCAACAACTACATAAGAGGCAGCACCATCAGTAAGAAATAAGAAGTAGGCAACAATAGCTACAACAACATGAGAGGCAGCACCATGAGTAAGAAATACGAAGTAGGCAACAATAGCTACAACAACGTAAGAGGCAGCACCATGGCATGACATGAGGGACGAAGCGTCGAGATGAAGCAGTCCAAAGTTGAGTCTGTCACGGTCAACATCGGTGTTCTTGTACCAAGTACAGACCCATCAAAATTCCCTATTTCTTCATCATCTCCTTCATCTTTTCTTACGCTTACAAAAGATGGTGGCTCCAGAAAATCGTAAATCGCCATATTGTGTTGAAACCAATTTTTACAAATATTTAGACAATGACAAACCGATTTAAACAAGTCCAAGTCGAGAAAAAGTCGTCGATGAGTGGAGACATCATCGACGTATTAACAACATTTATGCATGTTCATCTTACTTTTAGAAGTTCTAGATGCAACAAGAAATTCCAAAAATTCTTTCGAGGACGTCTTCGATGACCACTCAAAGAAGCGCGACACTCAAACAACCCTCCACAGACAATAAAAATGTTTTCCGTCGAAGGCCGCTTAACCCGTTCGAAGAAGGCGAAGGACAAGTTGTACCTCCACCACGGGCACCATAGCCATCATAAAGGAGTTATGTTGAACTTGCGTATGAGTTTGCAATAATTCTTCTATTACACTGTGAATAATTTCATTGAATTTTGGCAATGAATGAAGGTAAGTACTAATGAGTTTGTTAGACACTTCGACTGCGGCGGGGCGAGAGCCACGACCATAACCATGATGGACTTATGAGAGGAGAATTGCAGAAGCTAAAGGTATTAGACTGCTTCCTCGTGCTGTCCTAGTTACACTTGTACTAGTGACTGTTGTCGTTCTCTCGTTGCTCGAGGATGAGTAGTTGTTGAACGGATACTAACCTGATGAGTACTATAGTAGAATAGTTTATAGAACGGATGTAGGATGGACTTGGATGGATCGGATGGACCCCCCTGGTTCTTCCGATCCTACTTGAAATGGTGGGAAGTCCATCCGATCCATCCCATCCTCGATCTGGCACCCCTATAAATTATTCTAGTATAGAGACGACAACATTGCAGCAGCAGCAGCGTTATATCCACTTTCATACATAGCCACCACCAGCACCATCACAGCGGGCGAAAAACGAAAACTCACCATGGTTGCGATCGATCTACGAAAAAGCCTGTTATGTTGAGTATGTCATCCGAGAAGAAGATGCTTATAAATCATGACGACTGCCGCGTGCGTGTTATTGTTTCGACGATTTTTTTAACGTGACCAGAGAATGTAGACCAGCACCAGTGGAGCCTTCTTTAATTATTGCCCATTCTCCTGGAGGTTCTTGTACTAACATGATTAGCTACTTGGATATAGCTAGTAGGAAGGGTACTACTGGGCGGACTAGCACGCGACCCACATCACCGACAGCGACAACAACATCTCTTAGTACCTCTTCTAATCTCTCCATATCCGAATGGCGTAACGTGAATTCGTTGCGAGTACTCCTGGTCGTCGCGGTGATTGCTGGCATTCTCTTCTTTTGGGTGAACCGGTTACAGGTTGTACTCACGAAGCTCAAGTCGGAGCACACGTTTCAGGTCTTGTACACTGATGAGTTCCGAGATCGTGTCGCAAGGATAGAGCGACTCTTGGCGCTCGACGTTCGAAAGGTGGGGGCTGATTATTCAATTCTGTTTGGTGGAGATGAGGGTGGGGAGGAAGAGGAGAGAGAACAAGATATAATTAGAGATGCAAAAGTAAGGCACCGGGAGGACCTTGCTCAGCAAGTGGTAGACTACAAGAACAACGATGCTAGTATTGGTCAAGTAGAAGCACAAGCGCAGGAGCGGGCTGTGGCTCATCCGCCCGTTGTTCTTATATCTTCTTCAGAAGACTTGCCAGAACAACTACGTAGTACTACATTTTCTTCGTCCGTTTCGACAGCCAGCAAGCTGCGTTTCACGACCAGCAGCACTAGCTCAAGCAGTTCCACTTCCAGTCAAGGACAACGACAAGAAACACCGGGTTGGCGACTTTATCGCCTCGTGCTAGAGATATGTTTTGCTGTTGCCGGAGCCATGTGCTGCATTCCTGCACCGGCAGCAGCGGGCGGTGGAATTCCAGAGGTGAAGTGCCTCCTAACAGGCGTACCCGTTCCAGACTTCATCGGCCAAAGGGTCTTAATAGCGAAGTCACTAGGACTCGCATTGGTAATTGCCAGTGGCATGCCAGGAGGATGCGAAGGTCCTTTCGTCCACATCGTCGTGTGCCTGTTGGCGTGCCTTTTCTTATGGACACTTATCAATATTTATGAATTATATTTACTGTTATGTAAAAACTACTAACTTCTCGCTTTCTACGTACGTGTACGTACTTCAGCCTAAATACAACTAGATCAAAAAATCTCTAATCCTTTCCGGTCGTGTTCAAGTATCTACACAGACTGTACTAGCTTTGGTGGCTATAGGCGTTGGAAACACCTTCGACGCGCCGATCGGAGGGGTTCTCACAGGCCTTGAATTGATGATGCCGAACGTGTACGATGCTACCACTTATTGGTATTTTTCTTATCTTTTTGGATTGATGCTGGGTCAGCCGCGTGAGGCTTCTTTGCACCAACGAACTGCCTGTTGTTGTCAGTTTGCGAGTAGTACTAGCAATACTCTCTGTAAAAGATAAAGTTCTTGGTTTATTATCGCCCGACAAACCAAGAACTTCCTCTTTTACAAAGAGGTGGGTTGGATTCCCAAGTACAATCACCAAACTGCTGCATCAAAAACATTGATGCCACTCTCCTTTCTCCTATTGATTCATCTTCAGGAAATGCTTTCTCGCAGCCATGTTGAGCGTGTGGATCCGATTTGCGATCCGTTCACTCTTCAATGAGGATACGAAACCCTTTCTGAGTAGCGACTTGGTCGACTATTCCCACATTTTGGAGTCTGGATTCGTCTTGCAGTTCTTTGTGGACGTGATTATCGGCCTCGTCTGCGGCTTCTTGTCTGGTTCTTTCATCGTTCTACACCGAAAAGTAGCCACTAAGGTGCGAGCGATTGTGGAGCCAACTGTTGATGAGTGCTCATATGGTACTAGTCGTGGCAAAACGACCAGTGCTTCTGATGTACCTACTGGTACTTCTGGACAAGAACGACCTTGTTCTGCCTCGGGAGACGATATGGTGGAAGCGCAGCACTTCTCAGAAAGGGTCTCCCATATCCTTTCTCAAGTCGTGGATCCTTCTCAAGTTGTAAGTGCTAGTACTCAAAAATTTGAGGAAGCCGAGCAGCGAAAGCGAGCAGCCTTTTATCGGCAGAGCACCTATGCACGACCAACGACTAGAGATATGCACTTTGATCTCGGCAATGGACGATCAATGTTTGAAAGTCCTTTCGCCGTTGCGCAGAAGGGAGCAGAAAATGACGCGGCTGGAGGGAGGCATTTATGCTTCACCATTGTGAGTCGGATGTTCTGCAAATGAATACTAGAGCGATAAATGGCCACCTATGCACTTCTACAAGTCAACTACTAGAATTGACTCGTAGAAGTGCATTGGTGGCCATTTATCGCTCTACCACAAGAAGAAGATCTCTTTTTTTGACAAACTTAGTTTTTTATTATCTCGCCGACGCGGCAGACATCATTCTAAGTCTGTATGGTTCTGGTATTTAGTAACCTGAATTTGATCCTAAGGGTTCTCTTCTTGTTTTTCCTTATGATCAAATTCAGGTTACCAAATACCGGAACCATTCAAACTCGCACTCCCCAACGTCGCTTATTCATTCAAATTCAATACACATTCTGCTCTGTTGTAGGTATAGCAAGATATCTTCTCTGTAAGTACATCTTCTGTCTTTGTACTACCGCTAGGGACCCGAGAGTTACAGGAGATTCAGATACTACAATGAAACAATAAGGAGCGTGGTAATATATTATAAGTACAACTTACCGGAAAGGCTTGATTCAGCCTTCACCTTTTCTTCTTCAGCTTCAGCTCTCCCCGCAGCTCTAAAAGAAGACGCCGATCATGAGATGGGTCGTGACTTCTATGCACTGACGCCATTAGAACGGAGCTTGTCTAAATCCTTATCGTCCAAGAGGAGTTTGCTCCAGAGATCCGCTTCCACGTCTCTGAATGCGTCTTCTTCTATCAAAAGCAAGAGCTTCAAACGAGCTGCGTCAGCCCTTCCATCTTCTCCAGCTTTTCTTGGTGCTGAGCAGGGTGCCTTGTTGACTCGTGGTCGTAGTGGAGCGTCGTCGAGCACTTCGAACAACATGTTCGACTTGGTTGTAGTTGAGCATGTTGATGATTTTGATGATGGCCAACGAGGACTTGGACTACAACAAGAACAATGTTGCCCAGGTTCTCGTGACCATGTCAGCGGCTGGCAGCGTCGTCTAGAACGGAGGAAGAAGAAACATGCAATGCGTAGTATGTCCAAAGACCACGACACCATGACCGCAGATGGAGACGCGCAGGATGATACGACTACCAGAGGAGCATCAATGTTGAGACCTGGCGCAGCACCTAGGAAAAGCGGAACTGCACTTTTCTACCCTTCTTCTGGAGAAGACGGTGACGGACGACCTGAGAACGTTTCTAAAAGAACGAAACAACCTGCTGCTCTTCAACAAGCTCAACCTCAGTCCAGGCCACCAGCAGTTACGAAACTGAAAATCGTTGGACATGAACTGCACAGGGTTCCAGAAGATGAAGATACTGGTGTACTAGTTAGTAGCGCACTTGTAACTACTTCTATGTCTTGTTCTATAGTATCTCCACGCGGTAAGCAGGGGGTCGCAGTATCCTCTCCGAGAGCTGGTGCTCGTTATCAGACAGAAACGGCATCATCTAGGAGGCAAGCGGCATTTGGGCAAGCGAAACATACAGAACAAAGAGAACGGCGTAACCAACGTGAGCCGGCGTCTGTCTTTAGTCGACAAGCAAGTGCTGCAGCTAAAAATGGTGATATGCCTTTATTTTTACCTTGATGTTTTAATTGTTCTGATCTCAATCTACTGCATAGACTATCATGTGCAACATGTTGTGTACTTGTTCCTCGTCCCTCCTCGTCGTGGTCTCAGCTGTAGTTTGGTCTTCTAATTTTAGCCTCGTGCCAGCAACAGGAACAGCACCTTCTGCCATCTGGGATGGACCTCCAGATCCGGAGAGCTTACCGGTTGCTGCAGTCCCAGAAATGATATCTCCAAGATCGGCTAGGCGGAGGAGAGACCTCCGAGATCACAACCCAGAGACCTACACTTCTTCACCTTCTGGTGTCATAGGGTCACTAACAGAGTCAGCGAGGATCCGAACCGCACAAATCCGCAAGGCGCAGGAGGAAAGAAAAGCCAGAAGGAACGTTCGAGAAGTCGTGCCCTTTCCGTCGTCTCCCCGAGGAGGAGGTCGCGGAGCAGGAGGTGGAAGATGGGAGAAAATGAAGATCAAAGACAATCTGGATCAAAGACGCGCATCAGGTGGACCAAGCGGAGGTGGAACAGGAACAGTCGTAGGAGGACCTTCAGCAGGTGCGTCATCTCTATCAAGAACAGGAGCTAGTACTTCTTCTAGTCGTGCTGGCACCGGCACGGCAAGGAAGTCATCATTTTCGCTGGAGGTGAACAGCACTGGTGCGAGTCGTCTTGCACCAGAAAAATCGGTACCAGCTGCGATGGCAAGACCTACAACTGCTAACCTTGATGCGAAGGTACATGAAGATCTTCTTCTTCTTGCTGTAGATACTTCTTTTGTAGTAGAGGTGCCTCCTGATAGTTCTTCTTGCTCTTCCCAGATCGCTTCAAAAAGGTCGTTCGGATATGATCAATCAAAGTATGAAGAACAAGTCGATTCTGATCCAGGGAACAACAAGTCCATCATAGGCATGCTAAAGGATACTGCAGCTGGCTTTTTAGGAGGAAAATCCGCACGCACAAGAACAAGAAGTGCCACGACCAGCAGCACTGCGGATGCTGTCAGCAAATCGTTACAACAACCTTTACTTTCCAGACAGGCGTCGGAAGAACTACTTAATGTTGTGGACGAAGTAAACGGCTACAATGTTGTGGACGACGCAATAGAGAGACATGGAAGTAGTAGAGATAGGGATGCTGCGCTACTAGAAATTCTTGTTGAAACAGATGTAGATGACTTAAGGGTTGAAAGTTGACATCTCTATGCTGAGATGAATGGTTCCGGTATTTTTGGTATAGCCTGAATTTGATCATAAGGGAAAACAAGAAGCGAACCTTTATGATCAAACTCAGGCTACCAAAAAGAAAAACCAGAACCATAAATAAGAGCATCTCTCTGGTTTCTTCAAGTAGGAAAGCCATAGATATGCGAGCTAAAGATCGATGCCAACTCTCAACCTCTAACAAATGGAGAACAAAATCCAGAGGATCCGCACCCAGAAGAACCAGAACTGCAAGAACACGTCGACGTGCAGCTTTCTGGTACTAGTATAATCACGGTGAAGCAGCTTATTCGGCAAAGTTCTTCACTGATGCAGGGTGAGATGAAGGCGGGTCCGAGCGGCAAATTCCATACCCATAAAGTGAGACTCTGGACGAAACACAGGCACAAGCACGAGGATGGAGGTGAAGAACACCATCATCACCGTCATACGAAATTTATGGACAAGAGTCTTTCTCTTTCTGTCATACGACTGCTCCTCCGTCACCGTACCCTATCCCTCAGTAGTTTCTTTCCCACTTTCATAACCTTAACCTGCTACGAACGTTGGACACAGCGTTTGATTTTTCAACCACTCTCGGATTTAGGCGAATTTATCCTGGGCGCTGCGACTTGGGTCGGCTCTTTCACAGCTCGGACCTTCAAGATGTACTGGTCGCATCGTTCTCGACTCATCTTCATTGGAGGAGTGGCAATCTAAGACTTATTTTTTCCTTGTGTAGCTGTAGGATGGATGAACTCGTTAGATGTTGGCTTGAAGCTTCTATGTATTTCACTTTTTTTCCTCTGGCAGGACGGAGCACTGCCACTGGCTTGTCGATATGTACCTAATACAAGCTATACAGTAATGTACCCCACTTTTCGAACAGGAAGTAGGACGAGTACAAAAACGATGGATCAGTACTTTGTTTACTCATGAAGAACAGAACATCGTGGTGTTCGTCTTTCCGCTTGTCCCTTGTCCTCCTCCTCTCACCCACCACCTCTAACCCACGCTGTTCTTCTTTCTGAATGAAGCGAGTCCGCTTTTAGACCTGCCGCAGTCGAACTTTTTGAACAGTTTTTTCTCTTTAAGACTACAAGAATGGTTCTAAGATCTGTTGACGGTTTGCTTCATGAAAGTCGAAGACTTCCAACTCAGCTTAGTCAAGAAATCCATCTTTCCCTTTCCCAGCTGCATCTTGGTCCCGTTCTTATACATAGGGAAAGCGGCGACCAAGAAGAAATAATTGAGAAGATGGATTTCTGTTATTTCTAATCTCTGTGAAGGATCATGCTAGTGGAGAACGACATCATTCTCAAAGCGAGCTTTTTCTCGTACTACTGCTGAAATTCGGGACGACTTTGTTGGCGATGGCTCTGATACGAATTGGCTTTTGTTTGGCTTCAGATTCAGTTTCTCTTGAATATAAATTTCTACAGTCGTCTACTTCTACTTCTTTTACAAAAATTATCGATTTCTAGGATGAGCTACTTATTCTTTGATTATACCTCTTCTAAGACTCCCAATCCCAGTCGGTTGCGTCGCGCCCTTCCTTGTGATTGGTGCACTTGTCGGAAGACTAGTAGGAAACAGCGTGGAAGAACTGGCTGGGGTTGTCGCTGCTAGGTTGCAGAATAAAGGCGTCCACGACCAGGATCATGGCCATCTCCATTCGCTTCTTTTCAGTACCGCGCAACAGTGGGTAGGAGGAAGTAGTACATCCTCAGGTGGAACATCCTCTTCGTCACTGAGCACAAGAATGGCTAAAAGTTAAGGCTCAGCTTTCAATGGTCATTGGGGTTGGTCACTGAGATCGAAGAGGCGACCCCTTGAGGAAAGATGGGGGGAAAACGAAGGGAAGGGGGAGAGCTTTGAATGGGGTCCCTTCCGTTCAGAGTCAGTGACCATTGAAGGCTGAGCTTTAAAAAAGTGATACTATCATCAATCTCGACAGCGCTCCTTCCACTATGTTGGGAGTTGGCGATCAAATGGGCCACAATTTCCACCCATCAATCATGTCAGACGTGCTACCTGCGCGCTTTGCTCTCGTTGGTGCAGTAGCTTTCTGTGCCGGTGGCCTAAGGGCTTTCTCATTAAGGCCAGTTGTACTGGTAGTTCCAATCTATTTCATCTTCGGAATCGTCCTCTTAGCCCGGCAAAACTGGCTCAGTACAAGGGACAAATGAAGTACTAGCCGGAGGCTGAACATAATGACATTTCAAGTTGTACAGAGACCAAATGACATTTTAAGTTGTAGAGAGACCAAGTAGTCTGAAGATGTAAGTACTACTAGTACTACTAGCAGCAAATACACGACCAACTCTAATCTCCATCGTCGCGATTTTCACGGAATTGGTTTTTCTTCCTGGGCTGTCCACGTCGTTGATTTTGGCCTCCTTTGTGGCCATCTTCGTGTCCTTGAAAATCTCAGCATTTTCGGTTCTAGAGTCTATCGTGTTGATCAAGGACCTCCCCTGCATGCCCAGCACACCACCAGAAAGCTTTTCGCGGCGAACGGTGCTCGACTTCGCTTGTACGGACTTTGTCGAGTTGCCACGCCTCTGCAACTACAAACTACTGTGGAGATGTGTGAACTTATGGGGAGGAGGAATCGAGATTGATGATATCATGATCTCTAGAACAAGTTGTAGGCTAATTATTGATGAAGATAGAAGAAAATCTTTGTTATCAAGGCTTTTTAGGTGGTTTAGTAAGAAGCACTCTCGTCTACCTTTACTCGCTCAAGCTTCAAGATTTACCTTCCCAAATTTACCGTGCGAGTGTCTCAAATTTGCCTTTTTTACGCGTAGGTAACAGCTAGATCAATCTCGTTTACTCGCTTAGGCTTCAAGATTTAATACCTCCTCAAACGTAGGAGAAGAGTATCGCAAAGTTTGCATTTTTGCGGTAGGTAGGAGTAGGATCAGTCTCGTTTACTCGCTTAGGCTTCAAGATTTACTCCCCGATATGCGGGGGAGGAGTATCGCAAATTTGTCTTTTTGTATGAGAGTCGGAGTTGTAATATTTACTCCTGTTCACTCGCTTGGGCTTCACGATTTGCCTTCCCATATGTAGGCGAGGAGTATAGCAAATTTGTCTTAGACTTGTGTAGGCAACAGTACGATCACTCTCTGTGACTCACTTTTTTTTTGAAATTTACCTCTCGAAATTATGGATCCATACATCTTCTATGTGCAATTTTATTCCTTTTTTGCTCAATACGACCACTTTTATCACTACAGAGAGATCCGTGCAAAGGAATGATACCACTAGAGAAATTATCCGTGCAGACGCCTATTATATATTCTTCTAACCATTGCTGTCCTCGAAGAAAACAAACTTCCTAGCGAACACCGAACGTCAGCATCCCAGTTACTGCCTGAAAAAAAATGGGCTGCAGTAGATGGAGCAGAAGATGTTGGAGGACAACAAGTGGAAGCTAGTACTAGTGCTGGTGCTAATTATGGAATAAATAGAGTTGGACGAGGTGTAGATCATGAAAATGAAGATGAGCAAAGGGCAACAAGTAAGGACAAGGCCAAGGAAGGAGATATTGAAGCACCACCTGCAGGTGTTACCAGCACAAGAAAAACTAGTACATCAAGAACTAGAACTTCAACAAGTGGTACAACAACAGACCACATCAAGTCTGAAGATGAGCAGAAAGTTTTACCAATCATATCTGACGGGGCGCTCGTAGGAGTTTTGACTTTGCAGGATGCTAAAGCTCAACTTGAGGATTTAGGTTTGTATTTCTCGCGAGAGGAATACGAACATCCAGACGAATACGAGTACCTTGTGGGGAAGAACTCACCCAGGACAACATCAGTAGTTGTTGCAGGAGCAGGTGGAGGGAGGACTACGACTAGTCGCGGAGGTTTCTCCGAAGAGGATGAGCTACAGATCGGACGCGAAATGAGTGAAGAAGAGGAGCAATTGTTCGGAGGGACGGCTGCTTTTGACACAGACGAAGATGCTCATGTCGAGTTGATGCTGCAACAACTTCAAGTTAGAGCCATGATGTCGTCCACGGAAGAGCAAGAACTTCTCAAAGATGAAGAAGAGCAGAAGAAGTTTTCTTCAGGAAAAATGAGCATGCGAGAAAGGCTGATGTCGATCTCCAGCATATCATCTACCAACAGTAGGACAACTACTAATAGTTTTGGCCGTGTTATGAAAGAAAAAAGTGCACTCACACTCGAAAAAAGTGGCTATTTTCCTACTTAAATCCTAGCCAATTTCTTGAGTGTGAGTGCACTTTTTCGCTTCATACGTGTTGACGTGGCATCTGCTCGATTTTCTTTTACGGCCAAGTAGCAGATATTACAACTTCATCTTGCTTCGACTGCATCCTTGAAGAAAATGAAAGGTAATATGTTGAATTAAGTACGAAGAAGTCTAATTCTTCACGTTTCGTCACAGCCTTGGAGGGTGCGCATGCATTTCGACGTCAACAAACTACTTCTCAGGAAACACATGATCAAGGCCAAGGGTCTACAGCAGTTGCTTCCCAACTCCTAGCACAACAACAACAACAACAACAACAAACTCAAAGGAATTTTGCTACGAGGACCTCTGGTTCTGGTAGAAGAAGGGGGTCGCGGTTTACGGGATACCTGTACGATAAACGTGATGGCCGGCGACTCCTGTCTGCCGCATCTCCTAGAGATGTTACCCTGAACCTCATCCATGGCGGAGGTGCTCTGTTTGGCAGAGCAGAGGAAGATGCTGTTGAAGTAGACCCTTCTGGAGGAGAGGTGTTAGAAGGCGAAGAAGCAGGAGGGGAACAAGGTGAAGAAGTTGAGGCAGGTCATCATGAAGATGCCCTCCAGGAAGGTGAAGGAGAAAACGACGTAGAAGAAGTAGAGGTCCTGGACCAGCCAGAAGCGCGAAGTAATACTAGCAACAAGCCGATCCTCTACTATGTTGGAGGCGCTGCGGAAGGAAAAAGCGCCTCGAGTCCCATCTACCAAGACGACGAACAACAAGCAGTAGTAGAACATTCAGATTAAGGCTATTTTTCTCATCTCATCAACGAACAGCGTTCTTTTATTTTTATCCAGTTGTCTCTATTTCGAGAAGCAGAAAGGCCCACTTATCTTCTTTCTAACGCTAAAAAGAACTAGTAGAGACTATATCAACTTCGACTTCGAGAACATCAACCAGAAAAACTCATTCGGTTAGGCAGAGCTCCTCCTCCAGTACAATCTCTAAATAGAACAAGCTCCACAGGCAGACGATGGCCCTCTACGATGGAGCCAGATAATGGATTTGATTCAGCAGGAACCTCCTGTAACTACAACTCAGCGCCAAAGGGTGCAAGAGCCTAAAAGAGGTGGATTTGATCATCATAATCGATCGACATCAACTTAAGGCTCAAGAACGTGAGAATAACAGGACAAGAACTATATGATATAACTAGCTAAGTCAAGTAAAAATAGTAATGTCATTTAGATTTAGTAATGCAAATGCGGTGATGAAAATAGAAGCTTTTACTTTTGAATTACTATTTATCACAACTACAATTTTGAATTGTTCTGGTATTTGGTAACCTGATTTTGATCACAAGGATTCCCTTATGATCAAAATCAGGTTACCAAATACCAGAACCATCCAAATTTTCACTCGCCGCGTCAGGAGAAGCTCCGCGCTAATGATGAGTGTTAAGTACTAGAAAAGTGCGAAAATCTCCTCTAATGAAGACTGTTAAGCAGGAGAGGCCGTTCCGTCGAAATGGTGGACGATGTTGATGAAGAGCTAGTTCCAGAATTACCATTAAAGCAAACGGAAGCTGATGCTGTCCGTGCCGCGTATCTTCATTCTCGTAAGCACTTTCATCCGCAGCCAACTAATATGCCTCGTTTAGACATCACTCATAGCGCTCCTGTTGAAGAAGTCGAAGAAGATCCAGCCAGTACTAGAGCTAGTAGAGCTAGAGGACCACGGGGGAGAGATATTTCAACAACTCATCAACATAGTTGTACGACAACTAGTAGAGTTCTTGGAAGAGGTAGAGACGATCATGAACATCAAGGAGCTGGAGGAGCTCTTGAACAGGATCCAGAAGGCCTAGCACCTTATGTCCCACAGCCACTTCTTCTGGAAGGGGACACGACGACGACTTTAGAACGGAAAGCCCTTTTCCGATCAGCAGTGGAGGAAGAGTTGGATGTACTGCGCAATCTACAAAAAATCCATGTCCCCCTTGTCGTAGGCGATGAGATGCTGGCTACTGATGCATGGACACTGTTGCATTTCATTATGGTGGAGGAAAATTCTAAGTCGTCAACATATTTTTAACATGATAAAAAGAAAGTGCGTTTCTAAGATTTTTCTGAGGCCAACAATATCATTGAGCGCTTTTGTGGGAAAATTTTGATAAGTATTTCCAACCTACATTCGTCCCGTTAGTGTTGTTGGAGGGGAGGCTCAGGCTTGTTTATTATTGTTTTCGTCGACCTCCCGTTCCCCGTACTCGTTCGTTGCCCGGGTCCCGCCTCCAACGCGTGCGTGCCCTACCTAAGAAAATCTGGAGCCAAGTGCTGGGTGAGGGCGCCATCCAATTTTATTCAAATAAGCCCTTTCTGTGGCTGTCCCGCCTCTGCCGTGTGCGTGCCCTACCTAAGAAAATCTGGAGCCCAGTAAGAGGAAGAAGAAAATCTTGAGCTCAGTAAGGGGAAGTGGGGTTCGCAAGTTTTCTAAATTGGCTTCTCTGGCTCGGTCCCGCCTCTGCCGTGTGCGTGCACTACCTAAGAAAATCTTGAGCTCAGTAAGGTGAAGGGGGGCTCGCAAGTTTTCTTAAATGGGTTCTCTGGCTCGGTCCCGCCTCTGCCGTGTGCTGTGTGCGTGCCCTACCTAAGAAAATCTCGAGCTCAGTAAGATGAAGTGGGGTTCGCAAGTTCTCTAAAATGAGCTCTCTGTCTCCGTCCTGCCTCTGACGCGTGCGTGCCCTACCTAAGAAAATCTGGAGCCCAGCCGCCTCTGACGCGTGCGTGCCCTACCTAAGAAAATCTGGAGCCAAGTGCTGGGTGAGGGCGCCATCCAATTTTATTCAAATAAGCCCTTTCTGTGGCTGTCCCGCCTCTGCCGTGTGCGTGCCCTACCTAAGAAAATCTGGAGCCCAGTAAGAGGAAGAAGAAAATCTTGAGCTCAGTAAGGGGAAGTGGGGTTCGCAAGTTTTCTAAATTGGCTTCTCTGGCTCGGTCCCGCCTCTGCCGTGTGCGTGCACTACCTAAGAAAATCTTGAGCTCAGTAAGGTGAAGGGGGGCTCGCAAGTTTTCTTAAATGGGTTCTCTGGCTCGGTCCCGCCTCTGCCGTGTGCTGTGTGCGTGCCCTACCTAAGAAAATCTCGAGCTCAGTAAGATGAAGTGGGGTTCGCAAGTTTTCTAAAATGAGCTCTCTGTCTCCGTCCTGCCTCTGACGCGTGCGTGCCCTACCTAAGAAAATCTGGAGCCCAGCCGCCTCTGACGCGTGCGTGCCCTACGCCTACCTAAGAAAATCTGGAGCCCAGTGGGAGGAAAGGGGGTTCGCAAATTTTGATTTTCTTAAATGGGCTTTCTGTCTCCGTCCCGCCTCCGACGCGTGCGTGCCCTTCCTAAGAAAATCTTGAGCCCAGTAAGAGGAAGTGTGGTCCACAAATTTTCTTAAATGGGTTCTCTGGCTCGGTCCCGCCTCTGCCGTGTGCGTGCCTTACCTAAGGAAATCTGGAGCCCAGTGGTAGGAGAGGTGGCTCGCAACTTTTCTTAAATGGCCTTTCTGTTTACCAGTGTGAGAATGAGGGGCTCGCAGGGTTTCTTAAATGGGCTCTTTGTCTGTGTCGTGCCTCCTAACGCGTGCGTCCGTGCTCAGTCTTGATAGGGAGAAGGGCTCTTAAACTTAACTAGTGCTCCTCTTTGGCGGCCTCAACTAGTTGCCCTTACTAGTGCTGTTTGGCCCTTAACTAGTGAAGTTGTCGACTGAGTTTAATTCTCTTTCTCTAATGCCTTGCAGATGAAGCACCTTTTTGTGATATCGAGTCCGAAGGATGAATTCTCGCGGACGACTTTAGACCGAGAACTATTAGGCTACTGTTAAGGCTCTCATGTATCCTTGAGCAAAACTATAATGAGACGAGAGTAAAGAGTATTCAGATTAAGAAAAACGGATTTAGGTCAGAGATGCATTATTGATAGCTCTAATACTCTACCATGGATGGCCTGTTGAGACAAGCGAAGCAAAGCAGCAAGAGGCTTGTGGGCTACCGCGGTTTCTGAAGAGGGGTTTACCTGTACTAGGATCGTTTGTCTTTCTGAGTTCTTTCTGATTCTGAATCCTGTACGAGGATCGTTTGTCTTTCTGAGTTCTTTCTGAATTCTGATCCTGAATTCTGATTCTGAATTCTGATCCTGAATTCTGATCCTGAATTCTGATCCTGAATTCTGATCCTGAGTTCTGATTCTGAATTCTGATTCTGAAGAAGAACTACAAGGGTCGTTTAGGTTTTTTAGGAGGATCCATAACCTGACCTAACATTCAAGGGTTCATCGAGGGGCTCATGAATATCAGGATCTTGCTCACGTCGGTTTCTGGGAAGAAGGGTTGAGTAAGTTTATTAGGGTGATCTTCTTTAATACGGCTATTTAATTTAAATTTTTCTGAACGGCTTGATGTGGGTTTGCGGTTTCCGAAGAAGGGTTTATGTGGTCTACGGCTTCTCCTGAACGGCTTGTGGGTCTATGGCTTCTGAAAAGTTGTAGGGTCATGACAAGGAGACAGCGCGATACTGTCTAATGTAATTCTCCTCAATCCCGATTCATGACTTCTTCTTGCAAGTCCCGAGTCATGACTTCTTCTTGCAAGAAACTTTCGTAGTGAAAAACCGGCTTGTACTAGTGGGTTTCTCAGATGACTTTTTGCAAAGAAGTTCCAGCGATGTGAAGATTTTTACCTCAACGAAAGAATAATATTATTTGTAATATACGTCCAGTTCATCTCGTATTTTATTGCCACGAAATTAATTCCAGCACCAGTACTACAACTACCACAGTGTTTTTTGATTGAAGATTATTATATGAAAAATTTTAGATTTCATTTCAAACAAGTTTGAGGCCTTTCACTTCTAGAAGTATGATTTCTGCAGAACGCTTTCAGTTCGTTTACTGCTAGGGCCATGATTATTATGCCTAGCTGCACTGCAGCTTTTTTTTTTCCTCCATCTTGCGCGTTTGAAGGGATGAAAGTGAGACAGAATGTGAGAATGTCTTCAAACACGGTGAGTGTCTTCTTCAAACTCATTTTTATACTACATAAATACAGAGATGATAGAGACGATACTAAGATAGTCAACTACAGCTGCAGCTCTTACATCCTTGTTGTGCAGATATTTCTTGATCAAGCAGAGTATAAACATCGCGAGTCAACGAAAGGCAATAGGTATAGTAGAAGATATCAAGAAAGAACCAACAGGCACAAACTCAAACTGACACAGAAACAGAAGCGCAGCTGCGTAAACCTCCGCCACTGAATGTGAATTATAATTGATAGAGTAGTAACTCTACATGGTCTAGTTAAAAGTACAAAAAAAAACCCGGATGAATTGGGTAACTAGTACTACTACGACTAATGCCACTTATATTTGACGCCTACAAGAAGGGCTACTAGCTTACAACCTCTTCAAGAACTCTCTGCTTTTCTACTAAGTCCTTAAAAACGATGATCAGCAATCACATCCAGGGAGGCGGCGCATCAAAGTCATGCTGTTGCTGTTGCCTGCTTAGCATTTTGAGTTTGATCTTGGCGATTTCATTCTAACTCTATCAAAATAGAAAGAAGGACCTTTCTCGACTCTCGTCTATCAATCTCTCTATCAAAAACGATGTCAGACGATCATGAACGAAGATCAGATATTCAAGATCCACCTCATTTAAAAACTGTTGATCCACAACGCCAGATGAAAAGACGACGGTCCTCGTTCTTGAGGATACAACATGATGTATAACTAAAAGATTGAGATCCTGTATTTTTGATCTTGATCATGGTAGTCGCCGTGACAGTGATCATCTTTAGATTCTCCACTAAGATCATGAAGAAGCTGATCCTGAGATGCCTGATCCTCGTAGTGTATTGAAGTTGAGGCGCCTGATCCTTTCTAACATATATAGAGTGAGCGATATCTACTTGCGTATCTTTATCAAACACCAGCCACGAAACAATTTGAAGTCGCTTTCTCTTCGAGCGGACGACTAACTGAAGACTATTTCATCTGGGCTTTGCCTTTTACCAGAAACTACTCAACAGCAACAAAGGGAAGAAGTGAGAATCTATGTATAAGAACAATTTAACTTCTAGACTAGGGGAAGGGGTTACTAATGCTGTGATACATCTCACTTTTACTAGAATTCGCGCGCCTCATCGTTTTCTTGTTGCGTATTTTGCTTCAACGCCCATAGTGCTTGTATAACGGATAACCTCCTCGAAAACAAACTTTTTTTCTGAAAGAAGCAAACGCATTAACCTCCATACGAAGAGAAACAAAAGAGGCAAGATGGTGCCGTCGCGTACGCTTGGGCGCGGTTCTTCCGTGGTCTTTTTCTTGGTTGCCAACATGATCAGTGGAGGGGAAGGCGTTTTTAAATTTAAAAAATTTTTTCTTGACCCTGGCGCTGGCAAGCCTCGCGATGCTTACTACGCCTTGCCGCCATTTCTAGATACGGACGAGTTTGTAAACGGGACTATAAATGCGATCCGTGAAAAGAAAAACAAGGAGAACAAGACATTTGTGTACTTGGACATCCAGAGGAATATTGCAAGTGGAGGAGCAGCTGGAAGTGCAGGATCTGGAAGCTCTGCGCCACAGCCTGGAACCGTTTCAGTTTCCATGGAGGACAGACAAATTTCTATGGAGACTCTCAAAAAGTTGGTGCTACAGTTGCAATGTTGGACACCCGTACGGGAATTGGAACAACGCAAGTGGAGCGACGTAGTTTTTCTTGTCGGAGGCGACCACTCAATTGAAGTCGAAAAATCCAAACCTGGCCAACGTAAACCGGAAGCTTTTAGTCTCCACTATGTCGACCGCCCAGGCAAACCCGGGTTTATGGAGTGGATCGAGCATATTGGGGTTGGGCCTCCAGAATTTTTTTGGGCCTATGGCGAGCGTCGCGACGAACGATATAGGGCATTTGGCGTAGAAACGCATATCGATGGTTTCAGGGGGCTACCTCCGAATGAAATTACAGATATTGCAACTAGCGTAAGCGATGTCATCGTGAATGTCGGTTACGACAAAGGGCAAGGCCAAGGTGAGGCTGAGGCGGTAGTTATCCATGTGGCGCTTCAGCAGGATCCTCAAAAGCAGAGTAGCGGTGCCACTCCAGAAACAGCGGCATTATTAAGGATCTCGAAAGGTGACGACGACGAGCGCAAATGGCTTAAGGATTTGGTAGCGCCGCACCTTCAGACGATAATACTGAACGCACAAGATGAGACTAAAAAGCGTAATAAAGGGTGGCGGGGTCAGGGGCGTCCTGCATAAAATTACTCAGTAGAATTATGAGAAGCTTATCGAGATGATACTAAGAAGTGCCGGGTAGTTGTAATATTAAGGTTTTTTGGCGTCTTGGACGATGTTTGTTTTTGGCGTCTTGGACGATGGCGGGTGCCAGGAAACTGGCGAATGTGCTATTCCTTATTCTTTTACTGCAGAAAGCCCCTGGTTTCGGAGCTGGGGGCAACCTTTATCGTCCTGAGTAGCACGCCATCCACCCACGAACTGGATTATGCTACCCTGGACCCGGAGTTCGTTTAGACTCTTTTAGAATCCCAGAGGCGCTGCGTTGGAAGTGGAAGAATAGCAGCTACCTGAGATGTTTGAACTGCAAAAAGTGGAAGACTGAACTCCAAGAGGAAGAAATGACGTTACAGGCTAAACCCAGACGAGTAGACCTATATAAAAAAACACAAGGAGAAGTGCATTAAAAAGGTGAAAAAATGAGCTATAAGAGGTGCTTGCAACTAATTAAGTCGGGCCTCAACCTCGTGCTAGGTAAATGAATGAATGAATGAATACTATTTGAGAGTGTATAATTAAGATCGGGCATCGTCGATCTCGATTGGTGCGCTCATTCTTCAGGCCGTTGAAGATGTCGAGACTCGTAATGACAATGACGAGTCAATGCATAGCCTTGCCCTTGTGCTATAGAACAGAAGTGCCATCAACAGAACTACTTGAAGTTGAGACATGCCATAGATAGTAGAAAAAGTAGGAAGGATACCAATGCGAATACCAGAGGATAGGTGCCGGAGGATCGTTGAAATCGGTTGGGAGTGTCTTCTAGGGCTGGATGACAGCGGTAAGGCCCTCGGTCCAGAAGGTGGTATAATGTGAGTTCTGCTGAGCAGGTAGTCTTCTGTTGCAGGCTGATGAAGCAGGTCTCCTATTAAAAAAGCTGCTGAGTTGTAGCTGGTGCTCTTCAGAAGGCATGAGGGAGGTGATAAAAGCAGAAGACATTAGTTGAAGATGGATAAGACTTGGTAGTCCCTCTGGGGCTGCACACATTCGCTCTTTACCCCTTACCCCTGCAGCACATTCTATCGGTGAGGCGAGACTAGGTTGAGAAGATGGATAAGACTTGGTAGTCTGTCAGTTTGTTTTTTGTTAGAAAGATCGTCCCTTAAATTCTCGAGATTGGTAGTCTGTCACTCTTCCCGAGGAGCCCCTCCTCCCTCACGCTCCCCCTGTACCTGCTCTTGATGAGGCGGTTCGTTTAGGTTGTACGACCACTTCTGCAGTGAGAAGTCAATCCATCGTCTGGATGAATTGAAACGAATTTTGTCATATGCTTAGAAGTTGGTCCCCTCCTCGCACAGACTAGTACGACTGCAACTTTCTATGTTGATCATAGATTCCTTCTTTTTCGTACGCGTACCACCTCTAGTTGTACTAGAAGTACCTTGTTGCGTTATGTGTGAAGAGTAATTCACCTAGTACTTTTTCTTAGTGGACAAGAGTTACTGATGGTCGTACTCATACAACAATGAAAAACAAGATGGCACATCATCACGGCACCCCCACTTGTTCCACAACTACAGGTTCTTCTTGGGGCAACTTTGACTCTGTCAAATGGTGGGCAAAGCATAAGCAGTTGCCTACAGTTCCTCCTTGGGGAAAGACATCACTCATGTGCAGGACAAAGCTGCTGCTGCTGCTGCTGACCCTGGTGAACATCTTGACATCGGCATCAGACTATTCTGATACTTCCACCGAGGACGATATTGATGTTCAAATCGGCTCACGACGACCTTCGAATTCGTTATCACCGTCATCATTACGAGGAGAAAAACAATTTGTGAAGTAGAACTTGAACTTAATATTAGGATGAAGATCATTAAGTAGTTAGTAGGATGTTGAGGAATGAGGTGAAATCCTGGAAGAAAGTGACTGCAAGAGTTAGGGGATGAAGAGTATCAAAGTAAACGTTGTGAAGAAGGGAGAAAAACGTTTTCCTTTCAACGTCATTTCTACGTTTTCTTCTACGTGCTGGTCCTCTTCCTCGTGCTACGACGTACTTAAAAATGTGTCGCTAGTAATAGTAGTAGTAGTACTAGTAGTTGTTTCCACCTCCTCTTGCAGCTTCTTCTTCTAATTCTAAGCCGCCCACCTAGTAGAGCAGGAACTAGTCCTCGTACTGCTCCTCGTACTGCTCCTCGCCGAGGCCGACAAGAAGATGCAGGAGCGTTTTTAGAAATGGAGGAAGATCATGTTGATCACGACCACAAATACCAACGTCAACAAAACGCCTTTGACGATGCGTATCTCCAAGATGTGGGTGAAGAAGCTGATCACGTTTTACCAGTCACTGGAGGCTTCTTGATGAAGACGCCATCAGGTACATTATGGATACCGCTGGAGCATCCTCGTCAACATCATCTTGCTCCTCGTCTTTTTCAAAAAAAAGAGGCGAGACCAAGGACGTTCTGAGGGATGTGAACACGGTAGTTCTAAGTAAGACAGTAGACACAAATAAATGTGACTACTGCACTACTAGTACAAGTGGTCAACATGATCCTGCTCAATCAACATCTTCCACTGGGGAATCAGCATCTTCCACTATGCAATTGCAATCACCGACGACCCTGCTCGAAGTCGAAGGGTGTGCTTTCTGTGGTCCCCAGAAAAGTGAAGCTGATTAAGCATAAACCCTGCTAAGTAGAACTCGTCTAGTTCCTACAACTCTCTTAGTGTAGTTGTTGAAGATATAGATGCATGAATCGATGTTGGCAATGTCGTGTTCGTTGTAGAAGTTGTGGAATAATTTTGACAATTAGCGACCAACAGTATCTATCTGAGGCAGAAGAATAAATACGAGGATAAGATAGAAGGACTGCCATGAGTATCGGGCCATGTCGTGAATATTGGGCTGGTGAGGTAATCAAGAACACAGAGAAAAAGTATCATCTAATCTTGCGGTAGACGTAGAGGTGGAAGTACTACGACTGAGCGGATGAAGACACCCACAGTATCTCAACCTCCGCTTCTGAAGGCCTCTGCTCCTGATGTCGTCGCATTGTCCAACCCCCTGGCGCAAGATTCGCAGATGAAGACACGTAAGATCTTTCTTCGCTAAAATTTATATTTTTCTTGATTATTCTTCAAACAAAGGGGTTCGTTTATTTTGCCGCAAGAAGCCACGCGATGGCGATATTTACTTTTCGTGATTATTCTTCATTCAAGAAGCAGGTGTACTTAGATTCATCATCAGGGACCGGAGGAGGACCGACTGAAGCTGGTTCAGCGACATCAGGCGGGTCTTCAGGGGGAACAGACGGAGGACGAGAACAGAAAGCCGAAGATGGTACATCTCCAGAAGCACCAGAAGCAGGAGCAGGTGGTACAAATGGTGCACCTCCACAAGCACCAGAAGCAGGTGGTACAAATGGTGCAGCAGGAAAAGGTGGCACAGGACAAGTAGCTGAGGAAAAGCACGACTTAGGGAAGATCACGTCGTTGAATATAAGCATAACATGACATCATGTACTTAGATGTACTATTGTCCTACTTTAAAATGATACTTCTTACTAGAGTTAAAATCAGACCACATCTGCTCTCCGCTGGGGAATTCGCGAAGAAAGAGAGTGGATTACAAACTCCAATGAATCAAAATCAATGAGATGTTGAGGCTCCCTTTTATCCAGCACCTTCATTCTCGTCCACTTCTAACAAGTTCAAGTAAAGCACCGGAACATGGGAGTGCGGAGGCAGCTGGTGGTGATTCGCAAGTCCCGGATGATGCGGGTGTTGAAGATCCACTTTCACGAACAAAGAAAGCCTTATCGAAGCAAGAAGAGCAAGCTAATTTGCCTCAGGTAGTGTGCAATTTCGATTATTTTATTCTTGACACGAATCAGTATCACATTCATTATCATTTTTCCGTGTGAAACTGAAAACGACAGGAGGACAAAGTACAAAAACTCCTTGATAGTTGTCATGATTCTTATCCTATTACCTTATCAGGATCTGTTGAAGCTAGGGTCTCATTCTCCAAAAGACCTGGAAACTATGGACCGAATAGATGCCCCTACGAAGATCAAGAAGGGCGCTGAGTATCCGGATATGCTGGGAACGGACGTTGTGACCTACCGTCTTATGGAAGTAGGTATTATAGAAGAGTAGTTTATAACACGAATGGCGGTTGGCACGGTTGGCACGAGTGACACGGTTGGAACAACCCAACGATGCCTGCCATTCGTTCCAACCGTTCCATTCGTGCCATGCCAACCGGCCCCCAGAAGCCTTATAAACTGTGCTGCGTATAGGAGAGCTTTTAACATTGCTAGTAGACGAAGTAGTTCTTAGTGGCCTACCGTCTTAATATGGAAGTAAAACACTTTTGAGAGTAGAAGTAGCTCTTATGGTCTACAACGGGCGTTGTGGTACTAGTACTTATGGAAGTAAAACATTGGAAATATCTTAATAAATGACGACGAGGACGATGAAGACTTTTTTTAGCAAGCAGGACAACATCAATAGCATTTCTCCATTTAAAGCATCTTTTGGATGATCTGGCGCAATAAAGAGAATAACATCGACTATCGAGTTCAACCTCGTCCACGATACTGCTGCAGCTGCAATCAGAATAACAGCTTCTACTACCTCAAGTATGATTACGATACTTCTGAGTGAAGAAAAAGAGTCGGGCAATGCTAGTCTCAACTGGTTCGAGGGCATCGACATGTATTTGATAACTAGGAGTAGATCTATCGTTTATCCTTTATCCTCTAATGTTTGTCCGGACAAATGGCATGCACAACATGAGAAGCATATCGAAAAGCATATACGGAAAACACGGGACGATATGAAGAAGAACAAAGCGATTCTTTATGGAAGTAGCACCTGATATATGATTTTTACACTGCAAAAATAGTTTACTAGTGTTCATTGGAGCTGCAAGAAGTACCTTATAATGCTGCAATTAGTGTTGCATTGAAGCAACTAGCGCCTTTTATAATGCTACAATCAGTGCTGGTGCATGATCATACTCAAGAATAGTATTTCTAATAGTCGAAGAAGAACTTTCAATTTTTCAGTGCTGGCGCTCAAGGACAGCCACCACAACTCGACCGTGAGTATTATCCGTTCGCTCCATCTCCCAGCGGCGACGGAGTGATCAACCCTGTCGAAAAGGTCTACGAAAACTGGCTCCGAGCAATGGACTGCGCATATGCTTAAGGCTTCCAGCAGATGTACTTAGATGAAGTAAGTTACTACATTTCTAAAATTTTGTCGTCGCCTCCGCTTCTGTGATGCATATATGTACCATGGAGGGAGGCTCCCCCACAGTTTAGTAACCGTTGCCGAGTCCGAGATTGAGAAAAACGAGTAATTTAAATTTTTAGAGTCTCGTCTTTTTGGAGATGAACAAGACGAGATTGAGTCTTTTTGCTTCTCCTCTAATCCAGTGATGACATCACTCGAAAGCGACTCACAACATCGGGAACGGCGGCGGCTGAGTGGCAAACTGCTTGCAGCGAGCCATTCGCAAAGTATGCGTCTCAACTCTCACTGGGTGTACATACACCCCAGCTCGTTTGGTCTCGAGGTGTCGGGAATCAAATTTCTGCTCCTATGGTTTGGTTATTGTAGCAGTAGCACTTAGCACTTGCTGTTAGTGAAGTTGTTGCTTCTTCTACTAGATGTAGAAGAGACAAAAAAGATCATAGGTTAGAAGGAAGTCCATCCAGCACATGTTGGTTGTATTTTGATAGTCGGTATCGTAGTACCTGCTGGCTATGGCTGATATAGTTGGGTAATAATGACACAGGAGTCATAAGCATTTCTACTTCATCTTGATGCAGGTCTCTTCTTCGATTTGCTCTTCTTCGAGATTTGCTCTTCTTCTTCGATTTTCTAAGCATAAGGATGCCTTCGCAGAATTCGAGGAGTTTAGCCGTGGCATTCACAAGCAAGAAGTAACATCGCTTCGCTTTTGGGCACTTCCACTACTATTAAGAATGGTATTGAAAATCATGGTAATACTAATAACCCAGAAATTCAGGTCGTCCGCGTCTCGGAAGAACCAGCGACACACCTGCTCACTATCTCGTCTATCAGCATGAGTGAATAGAGCCATACTCAGAGTTCAAGACTTCAAGATGGTCTTCAAGATGAGCTGCTCCATAATATTAGTCTTCAAGATGCGGATGGTCTGCTCAGAGCAACTCTTACGAAAGGGGTCTGCTCAGATGGTCTGCTATGATAGTCTTCAAGAGCAGCTCTAACGAAAGGACAAAACTTTGCGCATGCACTCGCGACGGGTCGTCAGGTGTACACAGAGGGCTTAAGGCTTTCTTGAAGAAGAATCATCAATCTATCATGCAGATGACGCTGCAGGTGAGTAAACTGAGATGAAGATAGGAATTAGGTACGTAAAATTAAGTAATTTTCTTTCCCCTGAGAAGTGATGCTAATAACAGTAATATTTGCTGATAAAGAAGGATAAAAATACTCGCCAATTTCTTCAAGAAGCATCATGCATCTTCTCCTTCTAATTACGAAGAGGACAGAAAAGGTCGAGTTGAGCGAGATTTATCCGGATTTGAATGCGGAGGAAATCGGAATCGTCGTCGCAGCTAACACAGGTTTACCTGGTGGGGGAACGTGCAAGATCCCGGAACCAAAAGAAGGGGATGATACTAAAGCTATGGCTTTCACTTGTCAATATGCTGCCCCTGTTTTTTGTGATAGTAACTGATGGAGGCTTGCGATGCTGGTCTCAGGTCTCCTGTTACCTCTCGGTGTCAACTATCTCATTTCTAGCACTGTTCTCTCCGCTTCAAAGCATATTTTCCGATTTAGCAAGAACAACAACTTCAACGAGCTCCTCGAGATGATATTATCGAATCTACATCACCCGACTCTTCTATTACTCCTCGGGAACAAGTAGACAATCCTGGACCACATCCACAGATGTTTCCTTTTATATTAATCGTCTAATGTCTATGCCGGCGATTTTCCGTTACAACTGGACCAAATCAAATCGACCCACAGGTCGCAGGAAGAGTCGGTCGGTTCGAATTGGTACGTCCATCAGACAGCCGCCAAATGGGTTTATGAGTCGTATTTCAAGAGTATGCTGAATGAAAACAATTATCAGCATGATGATTTTGATTTTTCCTCGTCGTGCTCGCTTCACGAAGTATCATGATGATATATATACCGCCCACGTGCCCCCGGCGTGTACACACGCCGGGGCAGGGCGGAAGGGTCTTGCAAATGCTACGAGTTACATAAAACCCACACGGCCTACGGGCATGCTACGAATTACGTATAGAGTGGCGGGCTATGGAATAAGCAAAGCAGCTACTTGCTACAAGCTACTACGTGCTACGTAAGCCCTCACCCTGGCAGCACCCGAAACGCCCAAAAAGGAACTACTTCGAACGAATGAAGTAAACGGGTAACCAGATACATTCGCCGAGAGTCAAATCCTTAGGCAGATCGCTCCGGGCCTGCTGTTTTCGGTTCTCAGCGTAGTGGCCGGGCGAAGCGCTCCGGTTGACCCCGCTCACCGTGAGAGCCGCACGCGCTCCCTGGCCCGGGTTTTGGGCGTGGGTCCCCCACTCTAGCAGCGTGCTGCGCCTCCGGCTGGCATGGCAGTGTCGCGGGGGGGGGCCTCGGGCTTGTTGCTTCCGGTTCTCAGCATAGTCGGCGAAGCACTACGCCTGACGCCGCTCACCGTGAGAACGTCGACAGTGGACCTTTTCCGTGGAGAGAGCTAGGGGGTGGCTTCGTTCTACTCTCAGCCCGTTTGCGGGGTTTTACTTTTTGCGCCGTTTTTGGTTTTCCATCCAATTCGCGCAGCTTTATGCTGTCGCGTTGCTGCCTACTTTTCAGCTGCTTCGCGTGTGCTATCTCATCTGTGAGCCTTTTACCCTCTCAGGCTTGCGATAAGTCGCGTTCTAGCGCTTAGCTTCCTTGTCTGCTTCTGGCTTTCTCGAGAGGTGTGGGCGTGCGTCATCTCAGGGCTTTGATCTAAGTGAACAAGAACAACCCCGCGCGAGTGCTGCGCGGCTTTCACGTGCTTGAGCGATGCAGCCTGTGAGCCGCTTGAGCTTTCTGATCAGGAAGCAAGCCCAAGCCGATGGGCTTGCCCGTTGCTTATGGCTTACTCGAGAGGCCTCACCTTTTGCGCCCATTCTTTTCTTATCCAAAAAGCGCAGCGCGATGAAGTTGCTGCGTACTTGTGAGCTGCTTAAGAGGTCCCACCCTTTGGCGCAGTTCAGGACCCTCATCCAAAAGGCGCAACGCTGTGAAGCTGCTGGCCCTTTTGTTTGACTTGCTGGAATGGAAGGCGAAGGTCTCACCCTCTGACCCAGCGCAGGCACCCTGTCCAAACGGCGCAGCTTTATGAAGTTGCTGCCTACTTTTGAGCGACCTGCTTGAAAGGTCCCAGCTTTTGACATTGACTCTGCTCAAACCTCTCACCCAAAAAGCGCAGCGGCATGATTTTGCTCTCTACTTTTGACCTGCTTGAAAGGTCCCAGCCTTTCAGTCAGCTCAGAGATCTCTCACAAAGAAAGGGCGCAACTCTATGAAATTGCTGCCCACTTTTGACCTGCTTGAAGGGTCTCACTCTTTGGCCCAGATCTGGCCCGCTTGCTTTTGCAAAGCGCGCAGCTTTATGGAATTGCCGCCCACTTTTGACCTGCTTGAAAGGTCCCACCTTTTGACCAAGCTCAGCCAGGCATCTTATCCAAACAGCACAATTCTGTGGAGGGGCTGCTGTCTGCTTTTGGCTTGGCTTGTTTGAGAGGTCCCGCCTACCTTTTGACTTTGCATGCTCAAGCCCCCTGCCCAAAGAGCGCAACTTACTTCATGAAGCTGCTGCCTACTTTTGGCCCGCTCGTAAGGTCCCACGCTTTCACTCAGTCAAGCCAGGCAAGGCTTCTAACTCAAAGAGCGCAACTGTAAGAAATTGCTGCCCACTTTTGACCTGCTTGAAAGGTCCCACCTTTTGACCCAGCTCAGGCCAGGGAAGCATCTTATCCGAAGCGCGCAACTTTATGCGACTGCTGTCGTCTGCTTTTGACTTGCTTGAAGGGTCCCACCTTTTCACTCTGCTCTGGCCTCTTATGCAAAGCGTGCGGCCTTCTGTGTTTCTTGTCTATTTTTGACCTGCTTGAAAGGTCTCACCCTTTGACCCAGCTCAGGCCCCTTATCCAAAGAGCGCAACTTTATGAAGCTGCTGCCTACTTTCGAGCTGCTTGAAAGGTGTCACCCTTTGACTTAGCTCAGACCTGTTATCCAAAAAGCGCAACAGACACTACGCCGCTGCTGTCTGCTTTTGAGCTGCTTGAAAGGTCTCACCCTTTGACGCCGCTCAGACTCCTTATCCAAAAAGAACAACTCTACGAGACTGCTGGCTACTTTTGTTTTGACCTGCTTGAAAGGTCTCACCCTTTGAGCCAGCTCAGGCCTCTTATCCAAAAAGCACAACTCTACGAAGTTGCAGTCTACTTTTGAGCTGCTTGAAAGGTCCCACCCTTTGAGCCCGCTCAGACTCCTTATCTTAAACGCGCAACTTTATGGGATTGCTGTCCACTTTTGAAGTGCTTGAAAGGTCCCAGCCTTTGAGTCTGAGCCAGCTCAGACTTCATACCCAAAAGGCGCAGCGTTATGACGTTGCTGCCTCCTTTTGACCTGCTTGAGTGGCCCCATCCTTTGAGCCAGCTCCAAGTCCCGCATCCAAAGCGCGCAGCTTTGTGAAGTCGCTGCCTACTTTTGACCTGCTTGAAAGGTCTGACCCTTTGAGCCAGCTCAGGCGCCTTATCCAAAAAGCAAGCAGATGCCAACTCACTTGCTCAGCGTATAGCTGCTGGATGCTTGCCTCTGTTTGCATTTCTTTGCTTGCATGTGTGCCCTTATTGTAGCACATACGCAGACGCAGCGGATTTTCTTCATGAGATGACTGGCCTCAGGCTGAGGCGCTTCGCTCTTCGTTTTTTGTCCATGCAGCGCAGTCCCTGGCCTGTGCTGTTGGTTCAGGGTTTTGAGGTACTGCTGAAAGCCTTAGCAGGAGCAGAATCGCGGGGGAGATGTACTCAAAAGCGCGGCACTTTTTCGGCGCGAGATGTATACATCTAGCCCGTACATCTTTCCCATGATTTCCGTACATCTCAAAAAAGTAGAACTCTGGAAACCTACTACGAATCGCCCCGGTGTAAGTACATCTCAAGAGTACTTCTTTCCCGTGATTTACGTGCAAGATATATATCTCGAGATATATATCTCAGGCGTATACATCTCGCCCGTACATCTTTGCCATAATTTGCGTACATCTAAAGCTGTAAACTCACTCCTGTTTAGCATTGAAAATAAGTCTTGGCTTATAATATAGATAGTCATAGTTTAAATATGACGCGGATGTCACACAACTTCGCGATGGCGTCATCCCGAAGTAAAGAAGCATCCTACTCCTAATGCGTAGCTATCTCATTCTAAAAGTTTAGGATCGTCGTACTAATACTATGCAAGTGTATATATGTTGGAACATCTGAACACATCAAAGCACGCTATGAAGCTCTTGAGAGCAATTGGAGCCACTACCATTGCAATGAAACAGAAAGACAAGCAGAACGGACGCGCCGAATGATCGCTGACTGTCTAAGTAAGGCCCTGAAATGGTACCAAAATGGACTCAATGCCATTGGGGTACCATGAGGGGCCATAGTGCAGCTAAAGATCTGGGAGATCTTGCTCCTGCTGCTCATTCATGTGGGAACTCATTGAGTTCAACTGATGACCACGCGAGGAACTAACAAGAGTCCAAGACAAGGAACGGCGTCGATGTCGATCATGATCAAGCTGACGAGTGAGCGCAGTCATTTGGCACTCAAATCAGGTTCATCCATAGGATCTAGCGCCGGCAATGGCCATTCATTGACCAGCGCCCCTCCTCAGTCGCTAGATGAGGAAATGGCGGGGGTTACGAATGGCCTGGCGTTACTGCTCCAACCCTGGGCCATCACTAGTTGCTAATATATAGCCTATGACGCCACCAGTGGCCAATGATCTAACACCGCAAGACGATAGAGTAGGCAAGCGCCGCCGGAGAGCCAGAGCTTGAACCAGTCTCGTCGTCTTCTTCTTCCGTGTCGCTATCGTCTTCGTTCAACTTGGCTACGGCTAATTGCTGGGCTCTCTATGTGGTGTAGTATTAGTCTTTGCTGGGTGGGTGGATGAGCGTGGGGGCTTCGGTAGTCCATCAGCCTTCATAAGGTGAGTAGGGCAGAAAGCGACTTCCTCAGCTGCGTCTCTAGCCCTTAAATAGCGGGGCGCGTAGTGTCTACTTTTGGGCTTCGTGTCGTCACTCTTTGCCGTCGATGTTGCGGACTGGTTGACTGTCGACCCACAACGTGGCATCGTCGAGGGGTGGCGATATACCAGACTGCGTCTCCACTAGTTTAGTCGGCAAGGGATTGGAGATGAAGTCTGCGAAGTCATGCAGCTCGCTCATGGCAATAGTGTCCGGCGCGGCTATATGCTCTGACTCTGCGGCTGAATATGCACGCACGGTTTGGGTATTGCGTTTCCAGCAGATTGGAGAACCCCGGCAGTAGATAGTCGAGCCACTGGCCGAGCGCGTGCGCTTTATGCAGTTTGCAAGTCTTATCCTGCACCTGAGGGCCAATCGGTATTAGGTAACTCCCTACCTTCTGGTAAGCGCTTCTTGTGAATTTCGTTGAATTCTTCTCATTTTCTGGAGGGTAGATAGTAGAGTCCTTGGCCTTTTGTCGTAGCTAGATACTTCAATACTTTGCTTTCTCCAGGCTTTTGCAATTCTTTCAGTTACGGGCTTACTGACATACCGCGCCAATGTCGCCACGGGGGCGCATATGTCTGGCTTTGCGGTTGTCGATATCAATCCAAAGCAGTGCGCCAACAGTCTCACGCAATGGGAACCCGGCTGCTAGCTTAGGCCCCTCCTCAAGCAATGCAGACTCGTCGAAATTTGGAGACCGCGCCGGCCTGCCTAGTGTTATTCTATACTTCTTCAAAATTTTCTCTATGTGCACACTCGTCAGGATTTTCACGGATCGCGCTTCCCGACAATAGTGCACAATCGCACCAAGAAAGTCGAACTCTAGCCATTCGAAACCGGAGTGGGTATCGACTCGCTTTGCCATCTCAATAGTATAGGTCGGCCGGGGGCGCGACTAAATACCCGGCCGAGCTCGGGCCGTAGCTCTTCTCTTGCTAGTCAGGTCCCGTAGCTAAGTTAGCACCAACATAGACTGGCGTCTTCGTGTACTTTCTTGGGTGCGTTTTGCTCTTTTTCCGCCACAATCCTGGCGCAGAAGGAAACGGCTCCCGTCTGAGTTCGGGCAATAGGTAACACGCAATACTTCTTGGCCCAGGCTCGTGGGGCGTCCTTGAGCCCATGCGGCGCTTTCTTAAGCTTGACGATATCCGCTCCATGCTTCTCCGCCCACACTGGTGGAAGACGGCAGAAGCAAGACGCCGCGATCGAGTTCAGCATTAAGAGACGCCGAATCAAGATCAAAGGGGGCGACGAAAGCGGACTCCGTCGCCGCTGAGACTAGTAAGGGTCTATTAGCAGCGTGTGACACTACAGGGGCGTAGGTGTCGATATTCTTTGAACGGTCAAGATTCCCGAGCACACAGGCGCGAGCTTTGAATGTTCCATCATGTTTTACCGTGGGAACGATTGCCATAGGCATTACCTGAGAAGCGGCCCGCAGCTCCTCGCCAGTAGCTGGCGCCCAAGTCTCGAAGGCAAGTAGTCTAGCTTCCTCCTTGGTGATAGCCGCTCGCCATTTTTCGGCGTCAGGGCTTTGCAAGGCTTGGGAAACTGAAAGCGTGGCATGTGCTTCGGGAAAGGCTTCCCCTTCTTCCAGCTCATGCCCGCGCGCTAGCATGGCAAATTTATTCATGTCTTTTCTCAATGCTTCAAGCTCGGACTTTGGTCCTTCTCTTGCGTTGTCTTGGATTCTTATCCCTGCCCCCTTTGGGTCTTCCTCGGCCTTTCTTCCCCTCCTCGGCTTTGCTTGGCTGAGGTGGTGGAGTGGGTATCGGCCTTGGGTTAGACTTTGCTTCAGGATTAGGGTCAGGTGGCACACGCTCCGATGAGCTATTCCCCTCCCCAACGTGTTCGTTGCGCGTCAGAGTTGGAATCGTCGTCGGTCTTTGGATCTCCTTCTCTGTCCAAAGATTCACAGAAAAACTCACCCGCTTCGTTTTTGTCTGATATCATTTCCATGCCGGTTGGATCGCCTGAGCTGTACGCCGTGCCAGAGAAGCGCGGCCGACAGGCCATACGTTGCAGCGCATGTCTGTGCAGGACGGGACCCAGCGACGGCGTGCCAGACTGCAGGCCTTCCAGTGGGTCGCAATCGATATAAATGCCCTCCGACGTAGGCAATAGCCAGTCAATGTTCTTCACTAGTATCGACTCTCGAAGTTTCACATCTAGCGTGGAATACTCACTCCACTGGAAGCCAGCCGCTGTTCTCCCATCATTGTGTTGCGTGCCCATTAGCCAACCAGCCGAAACTGGACAGAGATTGAGGAACACACCACGCCGATAAGGTGGCGCAGGCTTTGCCCCTTTCTTGTTGGTGGTGTCCACGACCTGCTCGCGAAAGTACACCAAGCAGCCGAAAATCTTCTTAACATACCTAGACCACTTGCCACCACTTTTCGAGGATTTCTCCTCTATCCTTTTTTCTAGTATCTCGACAGGACTCCTGCCGTCATGTTCTGGCATTTTTGCACAGCGATGCGGTAAGCGATTCCAACAGTCTCTGGAATACTGGAGGCAGTAACACCAAGAACGCCGGCCGACTTTGACCAACATGGTACGCACAGCGCCGAACATGGTCCGCGTGAAGCGTTCGCGCCATCTCTGGGCTGTAAGGAACTCCTGGAATTTCTGAAACCAGTAGCGACTGCATGACTTTGGTCATCTGGTCACTACTCAGGACGGGTTCGCTATCTCTACGGATGAGCCGCGCTACTTTGTCGCCGAGTGGCAATGGGTAGTCTTGGTGAATGTCTTTCGTCACTTCTTCAATCACCTCGACGCAGTCTGACTTAAGGCATAGAGGTCGAACGAAGCGCATTTTAATCGAATCGCAAACAATAATTAAAGCGCATCTCTTGCCTCTTATGAATACTGGCTGAATACCGACTGCGAAATCAGTTGCGACCGAGCGTTTTTAGCGGAGCGGGTATCTATATGCCCAGCGGGCCTCGCTTTTGCGTGAGAGCGTCTGTGGCCTTTGGTCCGGTCACATTTTGGAGGACAAGATACCCTAAGACTATCGGCGTGAAAGTGGCTAAAAAAATCTACGACGTGTGTCTAGTCTTGAAGTTTGTGACTGAAGTCTAGCCCCTTCTACACTAATACGCACTGCATCCTCCTCAGTTTCGTCTTCTTCTTTGCTAAACATGTCACAGCGACAGCCTAGAGTAGGCAGCTGCGTCTGGGGGCAATTTGTTATGGGTAGAGAGCGGCCGGGGCGGGTATTGTACAACGCTCCGCCACTTTCTGTAAAGTTCATTCGCCAGCCTTTCTCGTTGCAGTTTCTTGCTCCTAGCCATGGCGTAATGCGATCTATGGCTTTTGGTAGGTGTTAGCTCAAAGTGTGCGCCATACTTTAGCCCTAATCTATTTTCTTTTAGTCTGCCCAAGTTCCCGCTTCGCTGTCCAGCGGTGCCGCTAATAAATGTGACAGGGCCGGTAGCTAATCTCCTGGAAACAAATCGGAGCGATAGCGATACGATGGCGAGGCGAGTACTTATTTGCACAGCTGTCAGCAAGTGGGTGCGGGACTGTTTTGCTATTGTCTCTTTTATTTGCACTAAGGTAACAGACGGAGCGACCATCAATCGCATAGCTCTCACCCCAAAGCAGTTCACTTCTATACTCGTTACTCTCTGAGCTTTCCTCAAAGTTCAGAGAACGTCTGCCATTCTCGTGGCCGTGACCTTCTTCAAATTCTTCTTTATCAGCTTGGGTCTGTCCATCTTGTTGCCCATATCCACTCCATTGATTCCTGATTGGGTTCCTCTCAGCGTTGTGGCTGTTGTCCACCCCATTGCTGTGGGCTATTGTTGTCGAATCCTTTTCCTCCACTTTGTTGCGGTGGATGGCTGGCGCCCTTTGTTGCGGTGGATGGCTGTCCTGGTGCCGCGGAGGCATACTATAGCGCTACCTTGCGGCCAGCAGTTGCGTGAATTGTCGAAGAAGTTGCTGCCCATGGCTTTACTAGGTTGGTAGCTTTGACTCGTCGGCTTTAGCCAGCATTTATGCGCCTTATGTCCATACTTGTGGCAATAGTTGCACTGGGTGCCCTCGTTAGGATTTGAGCCCTTGGCAACTTTACCTTTGCCATTTCTTTTGTTCTTCGTGCTAGGGTTAGCGTCATTCGATTCTTTCCAATTCCTTTCGCTCTTGATTTCTTTGCGAATCTTCTTGCGAAGTCGTTTGGTGTCGTTGTCTTCTTGAGAGCGGCAAACGCGTTAGCATCGTGATCGTCATCGCCCTCATCTTGACGCTTGCGCTTCTTGGTTTTGGTATTGTTCTGGTTTTTATCATCGGAACCTTCGACAGCCGGAAAGGCTTTGCCGAGAGATGGGCTCTGTCTCGATCTTGTGCTGACTGGAGTCAATTAAACTGCGAAGCCTTTTCGTGAGTCTTTCACCGATTTGGACGAACGTTAGAGGGTCTTCTTCTTGCATCCTCTCGATTGTCTGTCGAAATGCTTTGGGGAACATTTTAGGCAGAGCGTCGAGGGCTGCTCCGCTTTGTTGGTCAGCAATAGCCGCACCAACTTCCGGCGGGTAGACGGTCGGAGGTTGGTTCGTGACATCTCTAACCTTCGCCAGGAATGTTGGAGCGAGCGTGAACGCCTGGAGGAGCGTCGCGGTTCGTGAAGTGCATTCCTTCCAATGCTGGAGCCGGGTTTCGCTGCTCTGTGCGGTCATTTTGACTGGAGCCAGGCCAGCGTCGCGGAGATTCGTCACCACTTCGCCGGCGTTCATTGCTGTGGTATCTTGGTCCTCCGTATGCGCCTCGGCTGCACCTTTGGGCGCCTTAATGATCACACTCGTCAAACCTCGCCAATTCTGCTGAAGCAAGCTTGCGGCCGTTATTGTTGGGCTGGTTCGGAACCCCTGCCGCGTTGCCGTTCAGCACGTTGCTGAGGTATTGGACTAAGTCCAGGCGGTCTGCTTCTTGCGTTACCGCTCGAAGCCAGTCACGCCAGTCGGGTCCATTTCTGCCCCAGTTTGGGTGAAATCTCGCCAGGACTCACATCGGGCATTTTGTGGCGCAGTTAGTGCGGCTTTTCTCTACTTCTACAATCAATGGAGCAACTGACAACTTTTCTAGACTATTTAAGCAAGGCCCAAGGGCTTGGGACAGTGTTGGAACATGTGAACACATCCAAGCACGCTATGGAGCTCTTGAGAGCAATTGGAGCTACTATCGTTGCAATGAAACAAAAAGACAACCAGAACGGACGCGCCGACTGGTCGCTGACTGTTTAAGGCGCTGGCTTGGTATCGAAGTGGTTTCAATGTCATTGGGATTTCATGCAGGGTCGTAGTGCAGTTAAAGACCTGGGGGGTCTTGCTGCTCATTCATTTTGGAACTCATTGAGTTCCACTGATGATCACGTGAGGAACTAACAAGAGTTCAAGACAAGGGACGGCGTTGATCATGATCAGGGTCGTGATGGCAGTCACTTGGCATACAAATCAGGTCCATTCAGAGGGTCTAGGGCTGGCAATGGCCATTGGTCAACAATATACGCCGTGCGTGTGTTTGTTACTTGTGCTTGCGTCGTGTGGTGTCGTCGCTGTGAAGCTCCGTCCGCGTGTACTGTCGCCGAAACCTAACCCACTTGTTCTTGACTTCTTCTACATAGTATGGCCTTTTTCATATAGCTGCTCATCAGGACGGCAAATCGTCACTCGATGGCGGGACGGCGGAAGCACTTGGCCGGTTGTACGCAAGTACGATAAAACAGGAATGGGGTTTGAAGACCAACAAAGAGGACGACTTCGAAACGTGGCACGCGCCCGGCGTGGACTTCCGTACGACAGAAAATCCAATCGATTTCGCCGATTGCTGTTACGATTTTCTGTGACATCCATCTTTTTCAATTTCTTTCCAGGAGGTTTTTTTACTAAGGAAGGTATGCAGTACTAGCAGAAGTAGTTTTTTGACCTCCTCTAGGTTTTCAATTTCATTATTGACGAAAGGTTATGTTTAATTATGACTGAATGTTAGACTCCGCCACCTTCTTTTACTAACTAGTTATAATAGATAGCTATGTCTTCGTTCTAATGCGCGGTCGTCCGTAATGCAAAAGTCGGACCAGAAAGCGAGCGACGAGCTCTCTTTACTGGGCCAAACACTATAAACGGTTATTATGTGGTGGAGCAGGGTCAAGAGAAGCAAGTGCTCGTCGGCAGGCCAGTGTCTTTGTTTTTCGTGGCTGCGCCTAATGGAGGTTCTTGGGGTGGCACTGCCCATGGTTCTCAACGACGTACATTCAGTATGGACGATGTTTTTCCCATCTGGCCGAGCATCGACATCGAGGCTGCGCCTTTTCCTTTTCAAACTGTATAATCGAAATATTAGAGCAAGCGAGTAACAAAAAACTCAATAACCGAGTATCTGCAATTGTTATCTAAATAGATTTGTCGCTTATTTCAGTTTATCGAATAGCTTCAGAGGAGTCTCGATGTTGGTCTGCAAAGATGGAAAAAATATCATTCATATTCAGCAAGAAGTCTGGTGGTTGGAGCGACTACTACACCTGGAGGGGCGCATCTGGCGTCTATACGTACAAGTACGAAGACGGTGTCGAGGAGCTGCAGGATGGCACTGGCTTTTTCTTCTTTCTCTCTGGCTTAGAATTAAGGCACTGTGTGCAAAGATCGCCTTTGTCTTTGAGTGCCTGTTCTTGATTGCATGGAACTACACGCAGCAGTCGAGATCTTATTTCCTCACTGTGAGGAGCGTTCTTTGAAATGCTAGCAATAGTTCTAGTCACGAAGACCGCCCACCTTTGAAATCGCCGCGGGCTTTGTCACTCGGTTGCCCCTTAAGTTGGAAGCCTATGGAAGTTGTGGCAGCTGCTGCGCCTAGTCTCGCGCTTCCTGTGACTCACTAGCTTCGGCGCTCTTGTGACTAGTCGCCGACCCCCTGCGACTAGTGTAGTTTCAGACTTACTGCGACTAGCTGAAGCCCCCGCGTGTCTTGGTTCTGAGGCTTTAGCATTGGCGCACATTTCAGCCCGGGAAAGTCCAGCCTGGAGCTCGCTTTTTCTCCATGTAGGTCCCTCCATGAAGATACTGCTTTTTGTGTCTGTTTTCTTTATGGTCTTTCTTTCGATCTTGGGCGCCTCCTCGTTAGACGGAGCGTTCAGCCTTTTCTGCTTCTTCTTCATATGTGCGTCGTTATCAGGATCAGACGGGGCGCGTTCGAGCTGGGTTGGGTCTTTCCATTTTCTATCTTTTCGGCGTGTGTGGGTCTCTCTATCAGATTTCTCACCTATAAAGCGCTCCCGCGTGAAGCTGCGCCATTTGTTTTTCTGCCTCTTCGTCTGTCGTGTGTTCTCTTTTCTAGATATTAGGCGCCGCCCCGTGGGTCTTTTGCTCCTTCTGCTTCTTCTTCTTGATTGTGTTTTATAGCATCGGAGCCTCTTGGGGTTTCCGGCTGGAATTTTGTCAAGTTTTTGCATTTCAAGTTGTAGAAAAATGAGAAAACTCGACTCAGGACGAACCTGCGGAAAGTGGGAAAGTTTTGCACTTCGCTGCGTCTCTACTGATGGCAAATCTTTGGAAAGGGTGAGACGTAGAAAAGTGGGAAGCTTTTACCCCTGAACGACTTTCAGAACGTTCCAAAATTTTGAGAAGAGACAGCCGCTGAAAAGCTTCCAAACGTTTGAGAAGAGGCAGCCTCTGAAAATCTAAAACGTTTTGGCCTGGGTTGGTTAGCTTCGATAGAATAGAATAGACGCGAGTGCTGGCAGTAGCCTGAGCTTGGAAGATTTGGGCTCGTGAGTTTTTGGATTTAATTGGCCTAGGACACGAGCACAGCACGACCACAGCCACCCGACCCCACGCAGCGGCCCCGTTGACTGCTCGCCCCCCTCTTCCGCTCCCTAGACCAGACGAGGCCAGTCGAGTCCAGTAGGCTACGGCTACACTAGAGCTAGACTACGCTAGTGCTGTGTAGTCTAGACTGGCTTGGCGCTAGTCCTAAGCTAGTCTTAATGTAGTCCAAGCGCAGCGGCAGCGCTAGTCTCCTCTAGACTAGACTCGTCCAGTCTAGAGCACAAGACAGCCCCAGCCCAGTCTAGTCCACTCGCCTGGCTTGCCGTCTCGTGTCTTGTGCTGTAGAGTAGTGCAGCGCACGTAGCTCGCTGCTGTCTTGTCTTGTGTTGCCTTGGGCTTGGCTTGCGTTGCCTTGGCTAGGCTGGCTTGCGTTGGGTTGGGTTGGCCCAGCCAGGCCAGCGGCTGCGTTGGCTTGCCACTTTGGTTGGTTTTGGGTTGCGGTTGCCCCTGGCTTGCGGTTGCCCTTTGCTTGCGCGGTTGCCCTTGGCTTGCTCTTGGCTTGCCCTTGGCTTGCCCTTGGCTTGCCCTTGGCTTGCCCTTGGCTTGGCTTGCCCTTGGCTTGGCTTGGCTTGGCTTGGCTTGGCTTGGCTTGGCTTCGCTTGCCCTTGGCTTGGCTTGCCCTTGGCTTGGCTTGCCCTTGGCTTGGCTTGCCCTTGGCTTGGCTTGGCTTGCCCTTGGCTTGGCTTGCCCTTGGCTTGGCTTGCCCTTGGCTTGGCTTGCCCTTGGCTTGGCTTGCCCTTGGCTTGGCTTGCCCTTGGCTTGGCTTGCCCTTGGCTTGGCTTGCCCTTGGCTTGGCTTGCCCTTGGCTTGGCTTGCCCTTGGCTTGGCTTGCCCTTGGCTTGGCTTGCCCTTGGCTTGGCTTGCCCTTGGCTTGGCTTGCCCTTGGCTTGGCTTGCCCTTGGCTTGGCTTGCCCTTGGCTTGGCTTGCCCTTGGCTTGGCTTGCCCTTGGCTTGGCTTGCCCTTGGCTTGGCTTGCCCTTGGCTTGGCTTGCCCTTGGCTTGGCTTGCCCTTGGCTTGGCTTGCCCTTGGCTTGGCTTGCCCTTGGCTTGGCTTGCCCTTGGCTTGGCTTGCCCTTGGCTTGGCTTGCCCTTGGCTTGGCTTGCCCTTGGCTTGGCTTGCCCTTGGCTTGGCTTGCCCTTGGCTTGGCTTGCCCTTGGCTTGGCTTGCCCTTGGCTTGGCTTGCCCTTGGCTTGGCTTGCCCTTGGCTTGGCTTGCCCTTGGCTTGGCTTGCCCTTGGCTTGGCTTGCCCTTGGCTTGGCTTGCCCTTGGCTTGGCTTGCCCTTGGCTTGGCTTGCCCTTGGCTTGGCTTGCCCTTGGCTTGGCTTGCCCTTGGCTTGGCTTGCCCTTGGCTTGGCTTGCCCTTGGCTTGGCTTGCCCTTGGCTTGGCTTGCCCTTGGCTTGGCTTGCCCTTGGCTTGGCTTGCCCTTGGCTTGGCTTGCCCTTGGCTTGGCTTGCCCTTGGCTTGGCTTGCCCTTGGCTTGGCTTGCCCTTGGCTTGGCTTGCCCTTGGCTTGGCTTGCCCTTGGCTTGGCTTGCCCTTGGCTTGGCTTGCCCTTGGCTTGGCTTGCCCTTGGCTTGGCTTGCCCTTGGCTTGGCTTGCCCTTGGCTTGGCTTGCCCTTGGCTTGGCTTGCCCTTGGCTTGGCTTGCCCTTGGCTTGGCTTGCCCTTGGCTTGGCTTGCCCTTGGCTTGGCTTGCCCTTGGCTTGGCTTGCCCTTGGCTTGGCTTGCCCTTGGCTTGGCTTGCCCTTGGCTTGGCTTGCCCTTGGCTTGGCTTGCCCTTGGCTTGGCTTGCCCTTGGCTTGGCTTGCCCTTGGCTTGGCTTGCCCTTGGCTTGGCTTGCCCTTGGCTTGGCTTGCCCTTGGCTTGGCTTGCCCTTGGCTTGGCTTGCCCTTGGCTTGGCTTGCCCTTGGCTTGGCTTGCCCTTGGCTTGGCTTGCCCTTGGCTTGGCTTGCCCTTGGCTTGGCTTGCCCTTGGCTTGGCTTGCCCTTGGCTTGGCTTGCCCTTGGCTTGGCTTGCCCTTGGCTTGGCTTGCCCTTGGCTTGGCTTGCCCTTGGCTTGGCTTGCCCTTGGCTTGGCTTGCCCTTGGCTTGGCTTGCCCTTGGCTTGGCTTGCCCTTGGCTTGGCTTGCCCTTGGCTTGGCTTGCCCTTGGCTTGGCTTGCCCTTGGCTTGGCTTGCCCTTGGCTTGGCTTGCCCTTGGCTTGGCTTGCCCTTGGCTTGGCTTGCCCTTGGCTTGGCTTGCCCTTGGCTTGGCTTGCCCTTGGCTTGGCTTGCCCTTGGCTTGGCTTGCCCTTGGCTTGGCTTGCCCTTGGCTTGGCTTGCCCTTGGCTTGGCTTGCCCTTGGCTTGGCTTGCCCTTGGCTTGGCTTGCCCTTGGCTTGGCTTGCCCTTGGCTTGGCTTGCCCTTGGCTTGGCTTGCCCTTGGCTTGGCTTGCCCTTGGCTTGGCTTGCCCTTGGCTTGGCTTGCCCTTGGCTTGGCTTGCCCTTGGCTTGGCTTGCCCTTGGCTTGGCTTGCCCTTGGCTTGGCTTGCCCTTGGCTTGGCTTGCCCTTGGCTTGCCCTTGGCTTGCCCTTGGTTTGGCTTGCCTTCTTTTCCTTTCCTTTCCCTCCCTTTGCTTTTGCCCTTGCGTTGCTCCTGCCTTTGCCTTGGCTTGCCCTTGGGGGCCGCTTGCTGGAGGCCGGCCCAGGTGCATGCGCTAGACTCGCGGGCGCCTGCTATTGCATTGCGGTGGCACGGGTTCTTTATTGGGTCTTTTGTGTCGGATCGGTTGTTGCCTCCCGGCAGCCAGATCAGATGGCGCGGGTGTGTTGTGGTGTCTGTCGGTCGGGATTTTCTCAAAGCCCGAAAATTTTATCCGAATAGGCTGGCTGGAGATGTGTCCGCCTGAGAGAGTGCTCGGGGCTTCGCTTGCTCTTGCCAGTCTGGTGCTGGTCTCGTTTGGCCTGGTCTGGTCCGGTCCAGTCCGGTCTTGTTTGGTTGCTCTGCCTTGGTCTGCCTGGTGTGGTCTGCTTTGCTCTGCTGTGCTATTATGGTTTGCGCTCGCTCAGGTCTGCTCTCTTCGGGTCTGCTCTCCTCTCCTCTTGCTGCTTCGTGTTCTCTGCTTGTCTTGTTTTCATGCGTTGGCTTCCTGCGTGTGCTGTGTAGTGGTGTCACTTGTTCCGCCTCTGTCGTTGCTGCCTCGTGGTCTCTCGTGTCTTGTTTTTGCGTGTCTTTTGCGCGCGGGGCTTTTGGGGTGGCTGGTTTTTTGCTTTCGTTGTCGTTGCTTAGTGTTCTCTCGTGCCTTGTTTTTGTGTGCTTTTATTTTGCGCGTGTAGCCTACCCAGTGTAAGGGGCTTCTCTTTTTTGCCTCGTTTTCCTTGCGTAGTGTTCTTCATCGAGCGCGCTTCCCTTGCTTAAGGAAGGCTCTGAAGGAAGGCCCTTAAGAAAATGAGGTCGATTGCTAATATTATAAATACTAATATCTTCTCTCCTTTCCCCGACAGTGAATTTATTCAATGAGATTGTCAGATCATTTCTCATTTTCTCCTTTCCTTATGTCATGTTCTACTACTGAACAGTTTCTGCCACTCGTCTTTTCGTCTCCACCTCTAAATACAGCAGCTATTACTGCAGCTGTCGACGCCGCCATTATGGAGCAGATAACTCATGGCGGAACTCGCGTGAAACACCTGATCTTCAACAAGCTTGGTGGCGGTCTCTATTGGCCAAAATTTACTTCGACTTCGGACGACATCAAAACAAAAATTATTGGCTCAATTGGCTCCGGCAAGTCGTGGAAGCATGCTCAGTGTTATGATCAATGCAGATCATGCACAGAGCACATACTTATATCCTGATATTTAAGTTAAAGTTTTAGGTACAACTTATCCACCTTAAGCTTAACCTTAACGACCTTTCTTTTTCTCAAGTTTACTTATATTTCTACTTACTTCACGTTCACTTCTAGGAACACAGGCACATCTAAACAAGGATGAAGGAGACTTATCGAGTGCTTTTCCAGAAAGTGCTGGAGACGCCAGTCGGGATTCGCTTCTCCTCTCGCAAATACACTGGGACGCCGCCAACACCTTATGCTCGGGTTTTTTTACTTAGACTTTTTGTTGAAGATAACCGACCTCTGGTGTTCCACAACGCCAGGTGGTCCGAACATCTAGGGCAACTGGACATGATCTAGGACCAGAGCTCTAATTTTGACCTCTTTACCTACAGTGGGAGTAGGTTTACCTACTTTTTCTTCTTCTTATGGGATAGGATACGTGCGTACCTTATTCTCCCGAGCTAAATAGCCCCCGTCGTAGACTAACAATTCGGATCGATCGGTAGAACTCTCTAAACTATCACGGACGGGAGCATCGAGAAAGTGTACGAGTTCAAGCGTGGCCAGTTTTTCAAGGGCGTACACATGACGACAGGTGAGACGAAGCTAGGTGAGAGTGTGGAGTGGGACAAATGGGCACAGAAAAGCTTACAGGAAACAAGTTAGATAAAAAATAAGGGTATTTAATTATAGAGACAATTAGATTTAGAAAGTGAAGGAATGGAATTGGATATTAAACTTCTTCTACTTCTTCTTCTACAGGAAACCGACACGGTAGATGTATGTAGTAGGTAGACGAATTAGAAAAGGATGAAAGGTAGATGTCGTGAATTAAGAAAATAGAGAAAAGTAAAGCTTCTTCCCTTTTTATAGGGTCGAGGTTTAGGTCCAGCGGCGCTCAAAGCACTAAATAAAGCAACCGGCTCGTTTTTACCTCTAGCGTGTAGCCCTTCCAACCATAAAGCAAAGTAAGTTGTACTTGTATGGATGAAGATCATGAAGTGAGAACTGGCGTTGGAGCAGGAGTTTGCATCTATAGCCTGTATCTGTAGTACGTACCTATCAAAAATAAGAATGTTGGCAGATGACAAGAGAGCAACCACAAAGATGACAAAGTATAATCAAAGAAAACGATTAGTACTCAATAGGAAATGAACTATTACTCAAGAACAAATCAAAACTACCTGAACAATCATCATTCAAGCACGTTCACGTTGTACAATCATGATCAAGCACTTTGTACCAGCACTACTGTTGCATTGATGAAGAAAACGAACTCTAGGTCTGACCTGAAAGCTAAAGAAGCCTGACGTTACCGGCGCTGGACTAGAAAATTGACATTTTGATGCATGACTCAGGAGGGCCAGAAATAATGACAAGTAAAAACAGCACACCTTACCTGCGCGGCACCTTACAAATTATTATACCTCTCATTCACAATCGATGATGACCTCCTCATGACTAAATGGCGACTAAGTGATCTTCAGAAAAGAAGAAACGGCGAAACAACTTCTAACCTGCTATTATCTTATGTGACGAACTTGTGGACGACCAAATGACCATCAGACACGGAATAGTAACAACTGTTCCTTCTAACGTTGACGTGTTCTTTAACCGGAATAGTAACGTCGACGTGTTCTGCGACCGGTTTAGGCACGGAATAGTAACGTCGACGTGTTCTGCGACCGGTCTTTATAATCATGTGTTGGAAAAGTTTTCGTCTTGTTGTTCCGGTATGTTCATTATATCGTCGGAGGACGTAGCACAAAGTCCTCCGTGCGATGAGACGTCTTGTTCAAGAAAGTGTTGAAGTTCTCGAGGTGAAAGAGACTGCAAGCGGAATGTTCTCCAAACAAGAGGGACGAGGAACCCCAAACAAGACGGGTCCCGTAGACGAGGAGGTTGTCTGTTGTCCTCAGCTGGTGCGCTGGCCATTTGGCCGAAGACTTTGGAAAGTGGTTGTTGTTCCGTAGTGACGAGTTCTTGTCCGAGTGCTTCTTATCTACACTATACTAGAACTAGAACTCTAACTTCTTAGAAGTTGTCCGAGTTCTTGTTAGAACTTGATGTCCTCCTCATCGACGATTCGGATTTCTTTCATCGAGTTTGTTCACTAAGAACTTTCAACATCATGATTAGATGAGGAACTGCAACATCTAAAGGATCTCTAGCTTGGTAGGCACAAGAAGAAGAACGACACTTGTTACCTCCACAAGAAGAAGAACAAAAAAAAAAGACAGCAAAATGGGTGGCGGCAAAAGCTCTGGCAAGAAGAAATCCGGCTCCAAGGGAGCCAGCAAAGCGGTCATCAAAAGCAATGACAATTATGGTTCATGTTGGGACTATGCAGCAGGGGCAGGGGTGGACGATAACTTAGTACAAGATCATCGTTTTTGCACATGATCAAGAAAACGCCTGTGCCGCGTTATTAGGTTTACGTCCACGTCTTCCATTTTTTTCTACTACACTCCATATCCGGTTCCGCCCCGACCTGTTCCCCTCCCTTAATATGCTTATGTTAAGCATGTTAATCTAGTAGACCATGATCCACTTTGACTCTAAGGCAAGAAGAAGGTGGACGAGGTGAAGATGATCGAAAAGCGCACGGACCCCTCCGACGGCAATGGGCCTTTTACTCACGCTAGTTTCATCAGATTCCATGGCCCAGAGAAAGGAGAGGAGCTCTGGGAAGCAGGAGGTATTGCTCGGATGTCTTCTCTTTTTTATATATGTAAGACATTTACGACGTATACAACTAAGTAAAATTTCTTATAGGATGAAACTTACTACTTCCACCTTCGTAAAGAAGTGTTCATCCTCTTCGCTCTAGTTGATTGATGTTCGGAACAATTGAAAACTCTTCTAAATTCAGTGCTGAGATCAAAGGAAGTTGGAGATCAAATTCAAAGGAAGTTGAAAAAAATAATAGAAACCTTTCAGATTAGAACAACTTCAACTGCATAATAGAAACCTTTCAGATTTATTGCAGGACCATTTCCCTGAAGCAGTGATAGAGATGCTCCTGATGGCACTTTCACAAAAACTAACGACCTCTCATCCACTTCCACCACAGCTGATACTGCGGTTATGGTAGAAGCGAAAAAGAAGGGCAAAGGAAAGGGAAAAAAGAAGGAAGAAGCAAAGAAAAAGGTTGAGCGAGGAGGTGGAGCAGCCTCCTCATCAAAGAGTCAAGGGAAGCAGAGCCAGAAGATCGTCAAAAAGGAAAGCGATCCGAAATCTTATGATTGTAGCACTAGAAGCAGTGGCTGTAGCACCAGCAGTAGCTTTTCTATTATTTTCTCAGTTCTACAACTTCTTGGCACCACCAGAAATAAATGTCTACTTACTCCCACCAGCTCTACATCTAGTATCTACAAACATGCGACGACTATTCATCCACAACCACGACCTGATCTAATGCTTGAAGAGCAAAGGCAAGGGAGGCAAAAAGGGGACAGGAACGAAAGGCGGGCAGGAAAAACGAGTCGACCCAAGTGACGGCAATGGACCATTCACTAAAGGTAACGCGTTTAGCTAAACCATAAGACTGCCTGTATTTCTCGGCTCTTATCTCTCGCTTAATACCAGTTACTCTTACTGTTATCGTATGACATAATTCGAACTTCACGCTCACATACTTTATTCTCTTTTTCCTTACCACCCCCACGAGTCCTCGACACTGACGCTTGTTCTTACGTGTCTGTGTCACTACACTAAGACTTCTCAAGGAAGACACATCTTGTCAAGATTTTCCATCATAATCTCCAGCCTCGTTCGTCCGATTTCACGGTGAAGAAAAGGGTCTATCGTTATGGAACCAGGCTGGGAAGCAAGCGTCACCTGGAAAAAAAGCTCCCATGAAAAGTGGATCATCCGCTGGGAAGCAAGCGTCACCTGGAAAAAAAGCTCCCATGAAAAGTGAATCACCCGGGAAGAACCCTTTCAAGTAAGAACAGTTGTAACGCCTATGCTGGCAGACAATTTAGCAGGTCGTCATCTGTTTTACATCATGTAGAAGTAGGTGGTCTTGTCAGTGACACGGGCTGCACGGCGGCCTTGATGTTGCTCTTCACTCTCTTCATTCAATACTAGAACATGTTCAACAAGCACGGGCACTGGGTTCTCCACTTCAAAGCTTTAGCAGTGATATACTAGAACATATTTAAGCACTGAGTTCTCCGCTTCACAGCTTCGGGACTACCAGCATGCTGAGCCTTTTTCCTCATCACGACCGAAGTAGGCTCAGGCAGCATCAGGCTCATCATGTGAGCTATTTACTTATATTGCACATGATCCTTCAGAATTTACTGAGCCTTGATGTCAGGCTTCATTCACAATTTACATATAATTGTCGTGACTTTATAGCTATACTGCGAAAGGTTAAGATAGTTGTTCTTCGCGGTGAAATGAATTTTTGATCAGCTTCGTACTTCCGTTCCGAGGCCCGATTTTCTTCTCAGCCCCCACACAGTGGTATTGGTCCTCATATGGCTCGACTTATTGAATTTGAATAAGTACTTCTAGATAGCTTTAGCCATTGTATTTTGTTACGTTAATATTGACGGCTTCATCTGATGATTACGTTTACGGCAAGAAGGTATTTTTTGATATGCTCGATGAACGATGTAGCCATCTACCGGAGGAAGAGGAGGTCACGACCAAGCATAATAACGTTTCTGAGCACCTGATCCTGATGAAATACTATGTGTATTAATGTTGCCGAAAAGCATAACCATCGTCCTTCCACCAGCACCAAGTATTTTGGTGCCCCTGCATCCTGCTTGTTTGATGACAGGAGTTTGCTAAAGGATACATGAGGTACAGGTCTACAGAGAAGGTTGGTAAAGAGAACAGAGTTCTCAGAGGAAAAGGAAAAGATGAGAGGAGAGACGCAAAAGAGTAAGATGCCGACGAAGACCCAATCTTTTAAAAAATGATGATCACACGTTCGCCAAGGCAATAGTATATTACTGCTTAGTCATCTTATTCTATCATCTCTCTCAGAGCCAATTCCCCATCAGCAATTCTCAATATCATTTGCATTTCACCCCTGTTTTTTCTGATAGTACATGATGGATGCTTGCTGATCAGGTACTTTACATTTAGAAGATCTTGAGCACTGTTCTCTTTGCTTCAAGGCTTACTTCAAGGCTTATTTGGGAATATCTATCCACCTCTTCGTCAGGAGTTCATCACGGTATTGATAATCACGGAGATGACCACGATGAGGATCAACTTCATCATCGGTGAAACACTAGATACAACCAAATGAACGATGTGATGAAGAAAATGGCACAGTGAAGATTGTATGATGTGAGTCTGCAGCCGTGCAGCGCCGGTGACTTCCATCACGGGTTGTTGAATAGAGACTGTGGCTGGGCGTGATGTGCAGGTGGGATCCTCACGACACGACTGACTGCGCCACCGCATTACATCAACTGCAACAAGCTACAATTCCAGATGCTTCTACCGAAATAATAATTGAAACTCCGAAGATGTTGACGCAGGATACACAGAACTGCTAGAGCAGCACTCTGCTCTATTCTAGTCTTTTGCTAAAGGATGAAGTACAAGTATGGTCGACAAACATGATACTGCTCACTACATCTTCTTTTACGACGACTAAGAAGCGTAGACGAAGTAAAGTTGATGTGGAGTAGTACAAGAAACAGAATGTTTGTTGTGCAAGAACGAGGACAAGAGAGCTGCATGGTAGGAAGCTGACAATGTAACCACCAGGAGACGATAGAACAGAAACTTGTGATTTCCTTCTCGCATGATCAACAGAACGTTCCATCCACCACCAACAACGACAAGTTCTCTTTTAAGTACTATAATCAAAAAAGAAGCAAAATAACTTCTAAAACAACCACAAGAACATCAAGAACAAAAACCACAAGAGGAGCGAATTCAACTTCTTCGGAAGTTGAAGAACACGAAGAATGACGGACTTAGATTCCCTTGAGTCCTCTCCTAGAGGAGAGGGCACGCTGTTGAAACAATGGCAGCAAGTGAAATCGACAGGCATGCCACCAAGGCAAAGGTCGCTGCACGTAGGAATCGTGCTCAACGACTGCTTGTGGATATTTGGAGGGTATTTTAACTTCTACGGCATCAAGGGAGAAGTTGTTTTTTGGAGGAAGTGCCAGTAGAGTTGCAGTTGGCGTTCGTTCACGACCACGAAGACGAAGTCCACATACTTACTCAGCTGCCACATTATTACTCTTATATTTATTAGACATTTTGACTTCTGCTACAAGTACATTTAGCGTTACACAGTACGCTTCATCTTCATCTCAACAGATATGACGGCAGCAACCGAGTGAACGACCTGTATAAATTCGATTTCAAGCGCTCGAAATGGTCCCAGATACAGACCCAAAGTAGTCCCAGTGTCCGCGATCGGCATGTCGTGGTAGCATATAAGGATAGCCTGTTTATGGCGTCACCACCATTCGTAACCACTTCCTTGTAGTCACAGTCTTAGGTTATCTGCTTCTGCTGGCTTAGTCGTCTCATCTCTACCCTTCTACCTCTCCTACCAACCCATTCTAATCCTGACATCTTCGGTGGCTACGATGGGAACAATAGAGTGAACGACTTTTGGGAGTTTGACACGGTTAGGTCAGAGTGGGCAGTAGTGAGCGGCGAAGGCATGCCACCAAGTGCACGACATTCACATGCAGGAGTGGAGTATAAGTATGGCCATGATAGAGGAGCACTTCTCTACTTCTACTTATCGTGGTGAATAATTGTCCATGTCCTCCGACGATGGCCTCTTTGAGAAATAGCATTTCGGCACTTTCTATGAAAGAAAAAAGTGCACTCACACTGACTCAAAAAAAGTGGCTACTTTCCTACTTAGATCCTAGGCAATCTAACTTTGTAAATCCACCTAGCCAATTTCTTGCTGAGAAATAACATTTCAACAAAACTTTGTTCTTCATACTCCTGGTTGCACATACATCTTTGCGGGATATGACGGTAATTACCGAAACGACTTCCACGAGTTCAACTTTAGTACGAGGAGATGGAGCCTTGTGAATGTCCGTGGGCAACAGCCGAAAGCGCGATATAGGACTTCCGCTGCGTCGTATAAGAACAAGATGGTAGTTATTTTAAGGGTCGGTCGTTGAAGGTGCTTTTCTTACAACCGCTTTTTATGCCTCTCCTAAGGGAGAATGAGAAAGGCATAACAAGCGGGGTAAGCGAGCACCAAGAGCCTACCTCTAATTATTGGCGGCCACGATGGTCAGAAGCACCTCAACGACTTCTACCAATTCGACTTCGACACAGAAGTTTGGAGCTTAGTGGAGGTAATGCTCTTGATATTGTTGAAACAAGTAAAAATGTCATCCTTGTTGAGCTTGAGGACGAAAGCTGTTGTAGCATGATCACAAACCAGGTAGCAAACGGCTTCGCCCCAAGTCCAAGAGATAGTCATAGCGCGTGTGTCTATGGGGATTGCCTCTATCTCTTTGGGGGCAGTACTGGGCATGCGAGAAATGACCTGTATGAGTTCAGGTTTGACAGTAACACTTGGGCAGAAATCAAGCCACTAGCGGCATCGTCAGGCCAACAGCAGACTTTTGTCGGGGCAGCTGGAGCGGCAGGAGGGGTTAATGATATGGTGATCACTGTACAAGCATAATCATGCTAGTTCTAAATATTGTATCTAGTTTGTGCTTCAAAAATGATCTGCTGCATTGTTGTCCTGCTCCTGGCATTGTTGTCGGCAATCAGAGCTTCATTCTCCATTTCGTTTCCACGCAATAATCTTGAACTGCCACTAATAAAGGAGCAAACGACCAAGCCGCGGATCGACCGCAGTCAAGTCGAGGAAGCACCCCTTGTCCCAGATTCTGCCATACAGGAGTGGTCTACAACAGTTGTCTCTACATATTCGGAGGCTACGATGGGCATAATAGGCTAAACGACTTTCGAGCTTTTAGATTATTATGAATGGTTTTACGACTATGTCCCTTCATCCCAGCACATCACGACAGATAGTCTTACATAGTTCTGAAGATGAACACCTCCAAGTAGGAAGGAGCAGGAAGACGATCTTCCTCTACTACTTCACAAGATATTCCTCTAACACTCGTCGACGAGATCAACGTCGAGATACCTCCGACGACGCTAGTAAGTGACCTGCGGAACGCGCTGAACGACCCCAAGTTTTCAGACGTGACCTTTACTCTCGATGATGGCAGGGAGATACATGCGCATAAGCTTTTGTGCATGCGATGTCTCTATTTCAAAGCCATGTTCGAAGGCTCACTTCGAGAAGCGACGCAGCGGGTTATACCGATAAAGAACATCGCATACGAAGTCTTCCATTCGTTGTTAGAGTACTTGATGCTACAAACTCTTCTGTGCTCCTACTTGTGAACTGTGTGATGAATTTAGATTTTTTTCGCATTCCCCTGTACAACAACTACAGTCCTCCCTTCTAGTTCATGATTCATGTTTCTGGTTTACGCCGGAAATAACAGCAGAGCGAAAACCTAATAAAGACCTCTCCACTACGTTCTCGCATTACCACACCCAATCCGAATAGGTACCTCTACACCGACGATATCGAGATCAACCTCTCCATGGCGATGGACCTGTTCGTCGCAGCAGACCAGTTTGGTGTGGAAAGACTGAAGAAGTTGTGCGAGAAGAAGATCCTAGTATCGATCAACACTGAAAACGCGGCGACGATATTTATGCTGAAGATACTAGTGCGTTTTGAATTTGTTGATGGAAGTGGAACGTCCTCCAGCTTAAGAAAGTCTTAGTCTTAGATTGCCGCGGCGTAGGGGTAGGAGAGAAAATCTTGCAAGAAGACGAGTTCACGAAAACAAGTACCAGCCTCCTGACTGAGAGTTGAGAAGATTATAGCAGAAAAAGAGGACATGAACATGATTATTTTCCCTTATTTGTACGCTTGACTTTGATCCGCTTGAAACATAGGACAATAAAGGTGCATAACAACCGCACCTATCGCTAATTTTCTACAAGCGGCGAACATGCACCACGCACTTGGGCTACGGCAGAGCTGTATGGAGTTCATCCTTACGCACTTCGATACGGTATCGAAAACTTCCGCCTTCGAAGGCATGGGCCGCAACAACGTGGAGCTTGTCTTTGAAATACTGAAGAGGAGATAAGTAACAGCTGCACAGCTGGTGCTGCTCTACGTACTCCTAGTAAGATGTCAACATCCTTTTTACAATTTCTCTCGGACGTTACCTGTCGAGATCAACAATAAAACTAACAGTTGTTCCTTCTTAAGAACAAGCAACGAGAACAAATTTGATTTCAAAATGACTACTTGTTTTTACAGCGTATAATAGCATAAGTAGAAAACTCCTATTCGACTTTACGAACCAACTGTTCGTGAAGTTAATGAATACAATGTATGATGTTAAGTACTAATTCCAATACAAGCGCCGGAGGTTTGTTGTAGCTGCTAGACTACCACTGGAAGATCCCCCATCAATACAACTAAGGGGATTTTTATGCAGTTCGTGATCGTGACTTTTTTTTGCATCAGGTAAGGTAGAAGTAGGTAGTACTCAGCTAACAATTCCTTCATCAAGATCAAGCTCAAATTATGTTGTACCATCGTGCTAACGCTAAGCCTAAGTATGTCTTTTTTGATTCCTTTATTCACCTTCGTCTTGGTTCTGTTAACAATTTGGAAAGACTGTAACTACTCTAGTTGGTACTCTAGTTGGGTAAAGGTTTCACCATTGATGAATTCTTTGCATGACGCTTTAGCTGTAGCTCCGTTTACGGAGTACATCAAGTTTTGAAATTGATCTATAATAGACGCATCGCTGACCTACTTCCTGATGATCTTGTTCATAATTATGTTTAGTTGACCGTGTTGACGCAGAAGATGTACTAGATAAACAACTGGTGCCGCAACAACTCCAGCACCTCCTTCGTCTGAGCAAAGATAAAGAAATATTGGAACCGATCGAAGAAGGAGACGTTCCTGAATTATGGATGCAAAGAACCTGTTTTACCAGCTTTTTCATCACATGTTCGTGGAAAACGAGGTGATAAAAGACTCCTCCGGGTCATCAACATCATCTTCCGACCCTTTTTAAGAACAAACAGAAATAAGGTGAAAAACCCATGATCTGACCCAATCTTGATCAGCACAGGTTTCCTCTTTGGCTTTTTTTTTCCGGGCAACAAGTATCAGTAAGGTACCTAGTACCCTCCAAGAAGGAATTTCAACAAGTCCACTCTTCCTTTCCAATGTTGATGTCGCATTTAAACGCAAAGTGACTACTAGCTAGAGGTACAGATGAAGCATACCTCGTTGCGCTCTAGGTCGTTTTTATGAAATACTCTCTCATAGATATTGTTGTTAACAGAATCAACAAAGAATGGGTAAAAAAGGACGCTGGGGTGGGGCGAAAACTAAAACCCCGGCCGCTGCCGCCGATGCCGGCGCTGCGGAAAATCGTGAAGAGCACGTCGACGAGAGTGGCGGGTTGCATTTACTTGGCGGCGCAGCTAATCATGACCTTCACACAGCATTACTACAAGGTGGTGAAAATACTGCCTTGCAGCATATCCAGGACGGTTTTTTCACCTCACGAGGTGGACGAGGAGCAGCAAAGCAGTCAGAATTCGAGATGAGCCAGGGGGGCCCGACTGGAGCTGTCTCTATGCAGGAGAGACTCATGCAATTCTTGACACTAACAGCTGGTGAAGAAGTCGATGTTTTCGAAGTGGATCAGAGGACTGGGCAAGAAGTACCCACAGGCGAAAAGCGTAGGATTCAACATGCCATATGTCAATTCGAGGGTTTTTGCAACCGAAAAGACATGAGCGTGTTTGAAAATCTGATGTCAGAGCTGGAATTTAGACCAACATATGCGGAAGACACAGGTCATAGGTTGAGGAGAGAAGTGATCGATCCGGGAATGCATAACTACGAAGATGCGACCAGGACAGGTGGAGGAGCCACAAGTTCAAGTAGTAGTGGTAGCAAAGGTGGGAAGCTACAACCAGACAATTTCAATTATTACTACGAGGACCACACCCAGTCCCAGCACAGCAAGTACAATATACACGACGAGGGCAAGGGCAGGCATGGCAAAATAGGAAATATATCAAGCGCTTCTACAACTAGTTGTACATCTTCAAAAAAGAACAAAATCTGGGATCAAAGTCCTACTTACCGCTCTATTATTCGCCACCTTATCAAGGAGTTTGGCTTGCGCGGGCCTTACTTCAGCGTGATCAACCTCTATCGAGATGAAAAGGACAAAGTTGGCTATCATCGCGATTCGTACAAAGGCAATGTCAATTTCACTGTCGGAGTTTCTCTAGGCGCTTCTCGGGATCTAGAGTTCATCTCCGAAATAGATTTCCAACGACACGCAAAAGAAGGCACGATCGGCAGCTTGAACAAGAACTCTTCCTCCCTGTTTTCCTTTCCCCAAGGCAACGGCGACATCTTTGCCTTCAGTGACCACGTCAACCGAAATTACAGACATGGGGTTTTACCACACCAGGGCGGCAGAGGTATATCCTCGTTCAACAGAGGTATATCGTCCAAAGTCGGCCCTCGCATAAGCGTTGTATTGTGGGGAGAACGAGGTAATGGGACAGACCCAGGTGTAGACCGGGAAGACTTCGTACCGGATTTTGGAGGGATAGAGGGGGAAAGGATAATTTATTTGAACTATGAAGGGGAAGATAAGGAATACCAGGGTCGTGGATAGACGACCCCGCCTCAGTTGTGCCAAGAAGACGATACTAAGTAAAAATTTTTTTCCTCAGAACAAGGCGTTCCTCCACCAAGAACACGATTAATATACCTCGATCCCTCGACTTATTCACAAGTACTTAAATCTGTTCGAAAACGCGGCACAACTGATCTTTGGTCAAGAACATGCTACAAGAACATCCTCTAAGTACAAGGCTTTGAGATGATTGAGGGTCTTCTGATGAGTGTGCCTGTCTATGACTTGATGTGGCTAGGCTATGTCTTTTCGCCGAAGAGAGAACGTAGTTATTGCTGGAAGACGAGATGGAGCAAAATATAGAAAAGTGTACTACTTGTTGATGATGTATCAACATTGATTTTAGGTTTTTAAGCAAAAATAGGAGCTGCACCAGTTATACAACTCAAGTACTTACTTCACTTCTTCATAAAGAAAGAACAAAATGCGTCGAACGAAGAGCAGAGGTTTCATCTACTTCTCTTTTGTCGCTGTTGCAACTAGCTGCGATTTTGTCTCTTGTTCTAGAGCTCCTGTTGTGGAGCACGAACACGATCATGGTGCTGCAAGTAGCAGGGTCGTGAATCCTAACACGTTGAATCTGAACATATTGAACATCACGACTAACTCGACGGAGACGACGTCGGAATCGGAAAATGATCAACTAATGAAGCTGATGAAGAAGAATCAACGACTAAAAGCGGACCTTTTGCACCTAGTCAGCGAGGCTCAAAGCGCTGTCTCTTTGGCAGCCTCGCTAGCGTACTCTGTGTGCCGTCATTGTGTTGTGCCAAGGTTTCGAAGAGGATGGCGAAGATTGTGGAGAAGGACAAGAACGAAAGAGAATCATCGAGATCATGGAGGAGGAGGACTACTCCGAACCGCAGATCTTTCTGGTGAAACCTTACTTTTAACCGGCGTCACTGCGGGCATCGGCCTAGCTGCCTTGAAGGATATACTGCAGCAAGAAAAACCACCAGCCCATCTCCTGATATTACAACGTGAAACACCGCCTAGTACTAGTAGAGTGAAGCCTATGTTGGCTCCTAAGGCTATTTTTAAAAAGAGCAGCAGTTCTTGTGGAGGTGCTGGTTTTTGTGTTGATGAAGGAAGAAATACAAGAAGCTACTTTTCCTCTGCCTCAACATCTCAAGAGGAATACCGTGAATACCATGACTTAATCCGAAAAGCACAGCAACTGGCAACGTCGCACTCTCAGTCGCGTAAAGGATCCGGAAGAGGTGGAAGGTGGACTGTGGCTAGCGGGACAGCAACACCGAGAACGAAGATCCATGTCTTCCAGGTTGATTTGTCACAACCCTCTCAAGTTATCGACGTTGCGGAGAAAATTCAGAGATTTTTGGACCAGAACGGCTTGACGCTGGACCGAATCATGTTGAATGCAGGAGTTTGGTTGCCAGGTGGTGGTGGAGGTGGACGAGGAAAGCTACTAGGCGGGTTCGACGGGCTTTCTTCCTGTGGGGGTGGCGGGTCTACGTCTACGACTTCTCCTAGGACAAGTATGGGAGCGGAACAGCATTCATCGTCCTTAGAGCCGCACTTTGTAACGAATTTTCTCGCCAATGCTATCTTACTGCAAATGTTGGTGGTAAAGCCTCACTTAGCTGGAAGTGCTGGTGCAAGAACTGGCGGAGGTAGTCCTTCTAGTAGTAGTTCTTCGACGAGCCCGAGCAGTATTCCAGTATGTGGCGTGTCTCGACCTACAAGCGGTAGTACTGGAAATACCAAGCCCAACAAGATCCCGACAGTTGTTGTTACAGGATCCTTTACGGCGTTTGATCTTGTTCCCCGTTGTGCTGGAGGGAGTACGCCACCCACTTCCAGTGGAACAACTGGAAATGCTGCCACGACATCGCGGATAGAAGATCAAGATCAAGACGAAGATCATGCACCCTCACCGTCTTCATCTTCATCTTTGAGAACAACAACAACACGTACACGACGACTTCAATGCGACGACCTCCAGCTCCATTTCAGTTCGAGAGACCGATTTGGAGTTCCCAATGCGATTGCCTATGGGCATTCGAAATTGCTTTTGCATGCGCATATGGCAGGACTCAGTCTAGCACATCCGGAGATGAAGGACCTTTTATTCGTCGCAGACCCTGGTGTGGTCAACACTGGACTTCATAACACATTCAAAAGGGCTTTGGCTTTGTGCACTGGTGGTTGTACAAATGCAGCCAAAGCTGTTCCACAAGAAGGAGATGTCGCCCAGCGTCAAACAAAAAAGATGACCTCGACGTCTTCAAAGCTGTTTTCTGCTTGCCCAAAATTAACATTACCGTCTTCGTTTTGCTTGGGCGAGCTAGGGCTACTTGGAGATACTGCCACCTCTTGCTCAATGTCCTCCTTCAGAGAGAAGCGCATCGAGGTTCTGTATTCCTGCCTATCAAAGTTACAAATCCTCCGAGAGCCGGAGGATGGATGTAGACCGATTCTGCATTGCCTGTATCAACAGAGAAGCGGAACAGGTGGCAATTATTGCAACCTGCAGCAGTCAACTTCTCCTTCAAGTAGTTCAACTCCTACTTTAGTTGCCGACGTACAAGCCTCCAGCTCCAGCGCGTCCTTCTTCGATACCAACAGCAAGAACTGCAACATGATTCGTTACATGGATTGTGGTAAATTTGGGAAACTGTCGTGCTGGAAGAAGAGCTCTGACCAAGAAGAACGGGAACAAAGTCTCGACCTCTTACAAGAAGATGAAGATTGCGAATTCTCACCTATCCACCGGTTCCCTGGTAGCGACACGCCGTGGTCTGGGCCTGCAGTGTGTGGCGATCTCGAGGACACAGAAATATGTCAAAAAATATATTTGAATGTCAATCAAATTATCGAGAAAATGCGTGTGGAAAGAAAAGAAAATGAAACTCTGAGTGCGACTGGGTCATCGGGGATCACTAAAACTAGGAGCAACAGCAGAACCTAAACCACACATCCGTGATGATCGTTTCGCTTTGTCCTCGTTAGACTACTTCTAGCACATGATGATCGTCCTACAAGAATCGTATGACTTTTTCTTCTTTATTAATTTTTAATACCGCAGAAGGAGAAGTAGTTGTTCTTGGCGGGCATATGTGCTCTACTTGTAGTCGTTGGCATGCTTCGATCGCGAAGAACAACATGGTCTAACTTCTCTTTTCTCTACTTGTGATGAGACTGATACCACCAAGGCACCTGGCACCAAAAACGAAAATAACAAGAAGATACAATCACAATTTTTCTTTTTGTGGACATCGATGTAAAATTTCTGATCTCTGGATCTGGATCTGTTCCTCACCTCGGCAAAAGATCAAAGTACAGAGGAAAAGATCACAGTAAAGATCCAACTATGTATACACCTAGGTCTCGGTCTGCAACTAGCTGTAAACTGAAGACCTCAAATACCAGTTTCGTTTCAAAGCCTGACGCAAAGATTTGTAATGTCAAGATGAGTGCGAAGATGAATACGTACCGAAATAAATGGGTGTGAAGATGAAATACAGAAACAGCACAAGCAGGAGTCGTGACACTGGTAAACGAGTTTTAGTTTTCAACTTGAGGCTTCAATCGAACTTGTTTGAGTCATTGTTTTGACTTCATACCTTACTTTTTTTATTGCGTGAAGAAGATAACTGCTTTGACCTCTTACCCATACCCTTACGTTTACTGTAGACATTTAATTGCTTTGACCTCCTACCTTATCTGCCCTATATTTGTATTGAGTGACTATATATACTTGTTTTGACCTCGTACTGCCCTCAAGAACAAGAAGATATTTTTTGTTTTGTTTTTGTCTTGATCTGCTCGTCACATTTTATTCACTACAAGTACAACGCACTACGCACCACACTGCTTCTTCTAATCTATCTAACTGTAACAACGAACTATAACCCCTCCAATTGAAAAATCTTCTGGTAAGAATCTCCATCCATCTCTCTGCTAAGAAACAAGAAGGAAAAAATGAAGATCTTCTCTATCCGTGCTTCTCTTGTCGTGGTCGCAGCTGCTACAACTAGTGTAGCTCTAGCAGCTGCTTCTGGAGCTGAAGATGGTTCTGATCGTTTTCTACGTCGTCGCGTGATTCAGTTTCAGCAACTTTCTCTTTCTCAACCTCGTCAAGAGGTTGTTGAGCAGAAAGAGGGTCGTGTTGAGCAGAAAGAGGGTGTTAGGCAACGAAAAGCGCTCCAAAAGAGCTTGATGCGGGAGGCTGGATCATACTTTTCAGGATTGGGTTTCGATCAGGACTGGGAGAAGCTCGATAAGATACTGCACGAGTTCCTCGTCGAGGGAAAAGGGAAGGCCGAGAGGTTCGGGAAAGCTGTCCATTTGCGGTATTCTACCCGCGCCCATGATGAGCCGCGGTTGCCTTTAATATTGGAGGTCACCATCAAGAGGATGAATTGCCCACGACAGAATCTGCAGAAACCTAACTTCCAACCTGGTCCGGACGAATGGAAGGCCATTTCGGATTTTGTCCAATCACTAAATGAAAAGCAGAAGACTATGGGTATGAAAATGGATACCATGTGGCTAAATCGTCCGAAGAACGGGCGTTTCCCGGACGGACTGCAAGCCGATCTAGATAAGATGTTCAAAGAAAGAAAAGAGTGGTGCACCATTCTGGGACTAGCAGGCTGGTCTGGTTACTCTCAGGAGAATGACAACCCTCAGAAGAATCCTGCTGTTCCTCATGATCTTCACTGGGACACGGACTGGTGGATGCATCCGGATGCTCCGCGGATCAACCGAGACACCGATATTCTGCTCGTGTCCTTCACTCCTCCCTTCCACAGCCCGCAAAATCTTGCAGTCATTACACCCAATGGTCGGGTGTTCGGGTTTTTTCATCAAGAGTTGCGTCCCCTTGATGTGGCCATTTCGATATCGGACCTGAAGTGGTATCCTGAAGAAATCCCAAAAAAAGACGAAGAGACGCAACTACCAATACCATGAAGCTGTATGATATTAGAGTTGGAGGTGTGTGATTATAATAATAATTGTGCAAAGTGAAGTGATAGTGTGGAACAAAATGAATTTTAGTTCCTCGCAAGAGTTGGCAAACATTCTTTCACAGTGTTGGAATTTTTTACATTGTGGGATGTTTGTAGACACTGTTATAGCGGTTTTTCCAGTGGTGTCCCAGACGCCTATCTTCTTTTTTTTTCTCTTTTTTGAGGGTTGCGTCTGCGGTCAACGAGCGTAGCTCACCGCCGCTTAAGATCATTAGTTCTTGACCAATGCTTATGCGGCTTCTGAGAACTTAAGATCAGAAGTTCTCTGTGTAACTTAAAGGTCGCACGTGAGATACTGATACATAGAGGCGCATTTTCGCTTTCAGGAATACTCCGGTCAAGGTCTGCCTTCTGTCCCCTTACTAGAGGGGAACTTGTTTAGTGGGCCTGTTCCGCGTACTCTTACATGCGGCTATGCGTAGATGTACGTCTATTCGTTTACAGTTAGAAGAGCGTGGAGAGCAGGTACTTCTATTTATTTGTCAGACAGAAGCACGTAGATCATGTAGAGGTAGTTCTATTTTGTCAGACAAAAGTAGCAAGTAGATGTAGAAGTGCCTCAACTATTCACTCTGCTACTTCATTGTTGTAGGTGAGCATGTAGATGTACCGTAGAAGTAACTGATCACGTCAGCTTTCTTCTAATGCACGAAATTAATTAAAGGGAGAAAGCGTTAATGCAACTAACTAAGTAGGCAGAGGCCGAAAGTGTTAACGCAATTTGATAGGCGGGGAATGGGTTAACGTCCTTATCATGAAGATTTGGACGTAAAGGAAATCATGAGGACTTATCTTACAATGACAATGGCGATATTGTAGAGAAAGCTTGAAACTTGCAGCAGCAGGCACGAATTGTGGTTGTTTCTTCTTTCATCATGTTGTGGCCCATTTTTACCTGGAACTAATTACCGCTAAATCGGTCTTCTTCACTGGGTATCTCATTATCTTCATGACGTTGTAACGCCCCTTTGGAGAGGGTGCCGTGAACAGAAAGAGGGCGCCTCCTTTCCGGGAGGCTTAGGAGGGATATTGTTTGCGAGACACAAGGAATATACCTTTACTTCGTATGAAGGCACTAATGTAAGGCCAATGAAGGTAAAAAGCAATTACACAATTGATCCATTATTTGCGGATGAAGGGGAAGGGGGTGGACCTTTTTATAGACTGAAAAAATAAGAAGCACTTATGGTTATGCAACTTGAAAAAAGGCACAACATCTTCAAGCCACCCTGGCTCTACGTGAGCAACGGTGGGGAGAAATGATCCTTATAGCCTCTTTATACTTCTTCAAAAAAGAGGAAGTCTCGCACAAGAGGAAGAGTCGAAAGTAGCTACAGAAGTTGACAGAAGGGGGAAGCTAAACTTAAATAAAAAGTAGTGAAAAAGACTTTGCTATTAAACTCTTTCAGTTCTTGGTGGAAACCTTGGGCAAAGGGGGAAGTGCGTAATTAAGTAGAGGGGAAGCTGTACCTGTAGAGACAGCCATAAAAGCAAGGTAAACACATGAGAAAAAAAGAAGAACGGGCGCTAGAACAGCGGTTGGTAAGAGAACTTCCTTTTTGGAATCTTTCAGATGGCGCTCGTGATTGAAAGAAACAAAAAAAGAAGAAAAAAGCAGGAAATGTGTGCCGACTGGCAGCGCGTACAGCTTCCTCTCAAGAGGCTTCCGCAGGGACCGTAGCGGCCGCGCTGTGGAAAGAAGACTTGCTGAGCTTCCACATGATAAGGTGATGAGTAAGTACAGAGAGAAGATAAAGTAAAAGAATAATCGTGGCTGAAGAACGTGAGCTATTTAATCGATCGATCGTCATTGATGGACAGCAAGACCAAGAGAAAAGAAGAAGTTAGGAAGTACTTGAGAGCTCATCAGAAGAAGATCCTCAGTGTTAGTCGGAACTTACTCTTCGAGAGACAAAAATATGAAGAAGACTTCTTCTAACTCAAAATTTATGAGAGGGTGGGAGTCGTCAAGCTCAGCTTTCTCCTCCTTCGATGAATCTCATTTGGGAGAAAAATCTCTTTGACATTACAAATGATCTTTGCGTCAGGCTTTGAAACGAAATAACTTGGGATCATCTTTCTTAGTAGCTAGCTCTTACTGAACGCGACGCACTGAAGTTTACGTGCGAAGTACTCACACGCCGAGCGTTGATTTAACACTACAACGAAGTGCCCACTTCTGTTAAAAGATAACTGTTTGGATCTCGATCCTTAACCTTAGGTCTTGACTTGATTTTTTACATCCCTGCTTCAATCGAGCTTGTTTTGAGTCATTGTTTTGACTTCATACCAACTGTTTTGACCTCTTACCCTTACATAGATACTGAAGATAATTGCTTTGACCTCCTACCTTATCTGCCCTATATTTGTATTGAGTGATTATATATGCTTGTTTTGACCTCGTACTGCCCTCAAAAACAAGAAGAATAATGATATTTTTTGATACTTGATCTGCTCGTCACATTTTATAACAACGAACTATAACCCCTCCAGCTGAAAAATCTTCTGGGAAGAATCTCCATCCATCTCTCTGCTAAGAATCAAGAAGGTAAAAATGAAGATCTTCGCTATTCGTGCTTCTCTTGTCGTGGTCGCAGCTGCTACTACTAGTGTAGCTCTAGCAGCTGCGTCTGGAGCTGCTGGCTCTGGTTGTTTTCCATCCGAGAGTCAGCAATGTTCTCAAGCGGTTCGTACTGTTGAGGCTGTTCGACCGCTTCATGGTGTTAAAGCTAGTGACATTGGCGCGATTTTTACACCAGGTATGTAACATCAGAACAGCATTGATTATCATATTACTCAAGATCATTTTCCCACTTGAAGATGACGCTTTTCTGCAATAAGTGAAGTAGGGGGCGGCAGACATTCACAAGTGGGAAAAAAAATCTGGATTAATATGATAGTCTCCTCTTTTTCATGCCGAAAATGTTGAAGAGTTTTCTTCGCACACGTGGACCCGGGACGTCGATCAAAACTGTTCATACTGGGGAGACGTTGGTCAAGGAGAAGGAAAACGGATCCGGCGCCCAAGGAAGTTGGTTCACTGTTGCCCCGGATCACAAAGAAGAAGAAATTGGAGGCGCTGCAACGTCTAGCTGCACACCCGAAAGCACCTTCTAACTCCAGCACTAGTGGTGCTCCTAGTACTTCATCTTTCACCTCGACCTCTACAGCAAGAACAAATAGTACAACAACTATTAATACCAAGACCTACAACTACAAGAACTACAAGACTCATCGTCCCTCTTTTCAAAGAAGTTCCACGAAGGCTCGACTGGACTTGCATCAGAACCTCGCACTAGACGTCCGCGAATCTCCTGTCCCACCTTCGTGGGGTGCGAAGTACATTGCGGGTCTCTACGACTACGCAGTGACGACCATTCTTCTCGAGCGCCCCGAACAGGATAATCTCCTCAAGAAAAAAGTCGATGTTATTACTGACCTAGTCTTAGAAAAAGCCCCCGGCAGGGAATTGTTTTACGTACTTGCCGATTATTGTGAAGACAAGAGGAGAACTCCTTTTTGCGTATCTTGGTTGGGTAAAGAAGATCGGCAGCAGAAGAACGACAAAATGAAGGAGGTCAGTGAAAGCACAAAGTCTTGTCCCGTGCTCATATCTTTGCCAGTAGTGTACGAGGGGCATATTCGGTTTGCTGCAGAAGTCATGCTCCGCCTTCTCCGAGGCATAGCCTTCTCGCATGAAAGAGGTGTGATTCATCGGGATATCAAGCTTGAGAATGTTGTTATTGACTTTAAAGAACAAGCTGCATCCGCGAGACCACCAGAGTGGGATAGCCGCGCTTTCAAAATGCAGAACTACTACAATGACTCGTCCGAGACCGATACCGAGTCGTACGGGCTTAAAAGTGTTAAGCTGATAGATTGGGGACTCGCCTTTCTCCGTCCAGATTCTTCAGAGGACCAGGAAAGGACTGCGACTTCTTGGATGCTCAGTGACGAGGATAGGGCAAAGTGGTGGTTAGCTACCGGTAGCCCAGGAAATAGAGCCCCTGAGAGTTGGTTTTCGGGAAAATATGGAGACTACAAAAGACACCTTCAAGCATTGAGGCTACAGGAAACGGGTAGAAGAAAGCTACAAAAGAGTACAGAAAAACAGCAAAGACTCGTCCGAGAGCAAGATGAAGGACTACAGAAAGAAGAAGACCACGGCATTACTAGCGAATACGAGAAAGTAGCAGAAGAGCTGCAGTTGGAGACAGCGGACATTTTAGAGAAGAGCGACATTTGGGCGCTTGGAGTTATGTTTTGGAGGCTTTTACTCGGGGAACCTAGATACATGCAGAGGGATCGCAAGACTGCGGCCGAACCGGTCATAGCCCACGCAGATCGTTATGGATATGACGCTCAACTCGAGGCGTTGTCGAGTAGATATCATGAGTTTCTGGGTGGCCATGGTAGTTTTACGAGAACAGAGGCCGAGGACTGTGCAACCAAAGAAATTGAAGCTAGGAAAACTGCCTGGCTGAAGCTTCCCAAAGAACTGCGTGAATTGATTGAACCGGACGAAACTTTTGTCGATGGATATACGGCATCCAATGTGCGATCCATGCTAAACTGGGACCCGGTTAAGCGTCCCTCTGCGATGGAATGCGTCACAAGGTTAGAGCACTTTATCAAAACTTATTTTGCTGAGGGTGACACAGTTGAGCGACCACCTGAAGAAGACGAAGCAAAAGAAGCGTTAAAAGGGTTGCGACGTGGTTACTATGGTAAGGCCCTAAGCGCGGAAGCGGACAAAAAGGACCGGAAGGAATTCGCAGCAAAAGTGAACGGCCCTCTGCGCGAAAGTTTGTACGCACGTGCTATGGACAAAGGGACAGAGCTGGCAGATAGAGACGATTTCCCTCACTTAACGTCGGACGAAGGCTACGAAGCCTTGGGGACATATGCCTCGAGTGACATCTATTGCATGGAGCGCAGAAAACGAAAGGAATTGGTTCTAGAAGCTAGAAGACAGAAAAACCTGCAAAAGCTTGAAGCTGAAAAAAACCTTCAGCATCGAGCCGAAAAGGACGCTCATCTTCGAGCTGAACCTGGCGAGGCATCATTTTTTGTTCAACGTCAAAAGAATGCAGAGCAAGGGACGAACAATGGGGAGCATGAGCTTCCAAAACTTCAAATTGGTCGACGAGAAGATGAAGATCAAGATCCTGAAGCTCGTCCCAAGGAGGACGAGCAGAGGAGAGAGTTGCTGGCGCGCGTGGCGCGCGTATCTTCAGAAGCCCAAGCCAGGGTCTCTCGTGTTTTAGCCTCATATGAAAAAAGTGCTGAGGAAATGATATGGCAGAAGATCTACCTGGTCAATGTCAATCAAATTATCGAGAAAATGGAAACGCGTGTGGAAAGAAAAGAAGGCGAAATTCTGTTCGCGACTAGGTCATCTGGGATCACTAACACTAGGAGCAAGAGCAGAACCTCAGTTACACATCCGTGATGATCGTTTCGCTTTGTCCTCGTTACACTACTTCTAGCACACGATGATCCTACAAGAATCGCATGACTTTTTCTTCTCTATTATGATTTGTGCTAAAACAAGTTTAATAGTACGGCAGAAGGTGGACGAGTTGTTCTTGGCGGACTCTGGATCTGGATCTTCATCTGTCCCTCACCTCGTTCTGGTGGATCATCGCTTGGATATGAATACCAGACTGGGCATGTTGATGATGCCCCCCCGCCTATAACTTTTATGCTAAAAGGATATGATATTGACCTTGTTCATTGATGAATTGCAGGTCTGTGACGCGCAACAGCACGACGAATATCATGGTTGTATCTTCTAGTTGATGAAGTTGAAAGGCTAGTTGATGAAGTTGAAAGGCATTCCTGTCCTGGTGATTTCATGTGATGCCGTAGGTGGTTCACACTCCGCATCTTGTGAACAAGGTGATTGTAATTATAGAAGATGTCGGCCATTACCAACGGAGCAAATGCAGGTGGGAAAGCTGAGCATGATGTTGCTTCTGCACCAGGAGCTACTATGATTGGCGCTGAACAGGAAACGGCGGTCCTGACTGGTGACAGCGCATCTCCTGCTCTTGCTCCTGCTCCAGTTGATAACCACACCACGACCACTGGCGCAGGTACAGCCGCAGGAGGTACAGCTGAAGCAGAAGGATATTTTTATCAAGATACTGATCAACTACATGTCGACGTTGACCCTCTGCTTGCTGACTACCTACCTGGTGATCGTGTTTGGGTCTTTTTTGAAGGCAATCGCGGTCGGGGAGCGTATCGCTGTCACTATCTCAAGTTGGTAGATGAAGAAGCTGAGAGGATCATTGACCAGGCTGGATCAGCAGAAGCTCAGGGTCAACAAGATCGTTGTATGTCGACTCCTCGTGATGACGTGTATGATGGACCGAATGGTAACCAAAAACATAAAGCACTGTCGTGTAGTACTAGCACCGCTGCCGGCCACACCAAGATGGTCACCAAAAAACGTGCGAGTATAACACTTGAACAAGGGAGGTCTCGTACTTCCCTACAACGCGCTAACGGACACGATAACACCGAGGAAGGGAAAAAGAACGAAGATGCTTGTTCGACTCCTCGTGATGACGTGTATGACGAACCGAAGCGCCCACGGACTGCCACAGCTGAGTCTTCTTCTACTTCTGAAGGTAATAATTATATGCTCGCGACCAGCTGCGGTGATAAGGTGGAAGATATGAACGATTATATCAAGAAAGACCACGAGGACAACACCGACTTTAACACGGACCAAAACCAGAATGGGATCAAGGACTACACGACGGAAGCTACCTACACAAGCAAACCTGTTCGTCAGTCTGTTCAAATCAAGCGTCCTGTGTGGGGTCTTACTTGTGGCTGGGTTCAAGGGGTCGTGACGGATGCTTTATGTCCAAAGTTTGGCTCTGTCGCGGTGAACTTAGATGGGATCTTCTGCGAAGCCTCTGGGAACACGACCGCGAATATGAACATGCAGGCCAAGGGCCGTGGCGGTCGTGGCGCAGGCGGAATGAGCTACTATGTCTTCGATGGGTCTTTGATTCGGAAGATTCATATGGTTGCTGGTGGACGAGAGACTAATGGTGATGCCGCAAGGGACGAGGAAGAACAAGGAAATTTCAAAGGTTCTCCCCTTGTTGCAGCTCAGATGAACGGTGAGAGAAAGAATGCGGATGGGACTCTACATGCGCACAATGGGTCTACTATTTCAACCTCGAACTCTGATGGAATAACAGATGCTGCCGCCTCATCAACCTCAGCGCCACCGGCTCCGCCAAAGCTTTCTATTTTTATTGCCAGATGGTTCGATTATTGGTCTGATCAGCGACGAAGCGAGTATAAGATTACCCAGGATTGGCCAGTGAAATCCTTACTCAGCCATTCTGGTGTTTGGGCACACTGCGGGACCGATTTTGAACTGTATCAACTCTACGCAAAAGATGCGGACTGTCTAAGAGAGTTTTATGATGGACCAGCTCCTGCAGCTGCACAGGCACATGCACATGAGGATGAACATCTTCAAGTTTCTACAAGAACAAGAACGCCTTTCGAGATTCTCTGCAACCGCATGAAGGCTGCACAGCATCAGGTTGGTTTGTACTATTTGTGGCCAGCAGAAAGGATATTTCCAACAGGAGCAGGAGCTACGGCCGGTCTTTCAATCTTAAATCAGAAGATTAAAAATGGCTACGACTCAAAACACTACGTAGTAGACCAACAGCAGGAAGTCCACATTCCTCGCCATTTAGCAGGAATGTTTGAAGAGAAGGCATTTTTTGAGTTCATGCATAAGATGGAAACCAAGTTCAAAACCCGATATCCAGCACCTGCAAATTTGTATCGTCAGCTCTGTGGAAAACTGTATTACAAAAAAGCCTGCCGTCGTCCCGAATTCCGTGTGCCTGCTACTGTGTATGTGAAAAAGCCTGAAGTTGAAGACCATCGTGCTGGTGTAGTTGACGTATATTATTTGAAGGCTGCGCAAGTGGCTATCAAGGAATTAAACGAGATAAAAGAAGAGGTATGGGGAAGAAAACCTGCTGCGACCACGACATCTTCAAGCATGAAGATAAATTCCGGAGTCGTGAAGCTAGGTTTTTCTTGGATGGGTGTCGACGTGCAAAAGTGGGATGGCGAAGCGGGCTTAGCGGAGAAATTGAGGCTGTTTTGTTCTAAAGAAGACTGGACTGGAATGCATGTAATCGTTCAAGAATACATTCCTCACCGGGTATGCGAACTACGCGTACATGCTTTCTCAAGTAGCTCCTCGGAGAAGAGCTCTGGTGGAGTAGATGGTGTCTCTGTGCTAGAACAAGGTGGCGGGCAAGTAGAGCACCAGCAGACGACCACGACCCAAGAAGAACTCGATGTAGCAAGGCAAGATCAAGTTGACGAGCCCTTAAAAAAAAGTCTACACGAAGGGATCAACGGCAACACTTTTGATCTTCATGTCGCCTATATGGGACTGCGTCGGGTACTAGCTGATACGCGATCTATCACTAGTGTGAACGAGCATGACAACAATGATGGAGGAGAAGAAGCGGATAAGTTTTCTTTTTCTATGACGGGTCACATACCTATGACTCCAGAGGACGCAGCAGATGCGATTTGGGATGGAGATACAAAATTGCAATACGAAATGGAAAACGAAGCAAAGAGGCTGACAATGCTGTGGTTGAAGGAGTGGTACTTAGCCCAACAAGATTCTTTTGTTACTGTTAGCAAGAACATTTTTCTCTTGAATTTGAAGGGATTGTGGATTCCCTTTCTTTCACCTCTCCTCTTTTTAATGTACGAGCTTATCCTCGAGACTGCGCCATAACTTAGCCCCCCTTCCTTGTCTGAACTCAACCTCTTCACCTCCTCCACGACATCTACAGGTATCATCCACAGTGGTCGGAGGCTTTATGTCCAGCAAACGGACGATTTGACTTTCATCTATCATGGAATAGAGAAAATGACGGTTCAAAACCAGAACTCTGGGTATGCGAAATCACGGAGTGCGGTGCATCTCTCTGCGGTCTGCCGATTGAACTTAGAAATTCTGCATTAAGTAGGAGCTTTTTCACGGCATAGCGTGGAAATGAAGTATAGCGTGTACCAGTGCAACGAAGGACTTTCACGGCATAGCGTGGAAATGAAGTATAGCGTGTACCAGTGCAACGAAGGACGAAGATCATAATGCCAATACCTCACCGAGACTCATAAAAATGAAGATGAGAAAAGAAATGCACATCTTCGTGCGTGTGCCTTTCCTCAATTTCAATATGATTTGGTACCTTGTTGTTGTTGTTCTAGATGATCATCATCTGATGATCTAGAACAAATTTTTAATTTAGATTTACGTATAATATTATCCTCGACGTGCCCCTGACCCGACTAACGATATGATCGATCCCATCCCTATTCCAATAAACAGGCGAGGAGTGATCATTACTTCAAAATGATGGTTTAACCATGAACATGGTACTAGGTCCCCTTCCTCCTACTTTCTACCTCTGCGGTTGGTGTTCCTTATCTCCCGAGACTCATATAGGGACTAGTACGATCATGATAAAACTGATCCTGGGAAGGTCCGAAAGAAGCAAAAAGAAGAAAAGAAAAATGAGCGTCCGCATCAACCAAAATGGAAATAGTCTGAGGCTAGTAGCAACAGAGACGATCCCTTGGAAGTGGATGACGATCATCTGTAAGGATGATTCTTCATAGATTTCTTTGCTGTATGCTTGCGCCAGATTATAGATGCTACACCCCGTGAGCGGGGACGTCAGTCAATCAATCAGCTACGTTGAAATTGAAAAATGCCCATCGATCCAGAATCGCGGAACGACGACCCAACGACCATAAGAAGTAAGAGGTTAGACTAGTTGTAAACTTCTTCCATCATTCGTCCGTATTTCTTGCTTGCTTCCAAAAAAAATCGACAACAACATGACGGCTTCTTCGACCACAAGTAGTAGCTCTTGTGGCACAGTCCACTTAGACCCGAAAGCTTCTTCGACCACAAGTAGTAGCTCTTGTGGCATAGTCAAAAAAATCGACAACAACATGACGGCTTCTTCGACCGCAAGTAGTAGCTCTTGTGGCATAGTCCACTTAGACCCGAAACTCTACGCTTCGTTGGCCAGATGCTACAGGACCGAAGAGAATTTGGACGAAATGTTGGCCGCTCTCCAGCAACCACCTTCACAACTCTGTCTACGTTTGATGGGCACGTCTGCATTTGAGCGGGAAGCCAATAGAGACGCTGTGAAAAAGTGGATAGAGGATGAAATGAAGCAGGTGAATGAAAATACGAGAATTGTGGATCATGCATCTTCTAGCTGGGCTGGCACAAGTACGGATCAAAGGGACGGCATTAAAAGCGTAATTCCTGCTATGGTTCACGATTACGTTACCCTGGTGAAGACAAGTGATCCAGGGACTGAAGTAGAAGGGGGTGCGGATTCTTCCCTGTCGTGCATCAAGTCAGAGCAGAACAGCCTTATCAACACAGAAGACATCAAACATGTACTCTACGTGGATTTCAAGGTTGCTGCAGCGGTTTTGCGGGGTGCAAATTTGTATTGTCCAGGTGTCTTGGCCATGAGACCTGCTGATGTAGGAGAAGGACTTGAAAAAGCTGTTTCATCGACTCCGTCCACTTGTGCGAGTAAAAATGGAGAAAGTCCTGGTACAACTATGGAAGTAGACGCAGATGAACACGATGATGAACACCACAAGGATGACGAAAAGATCGACGACGTGGTCCTAGGAGATGAGCCGTCGGCGCTCCAATCTCCCTTATCTCCGACCCCAGGGAAGAAAGCACCACCACGACCAAGCAAAAAGGACAAAGATGCGTGGACTATCATACCCGGACAGAGAGTGGAGATCCGGATAGCCCCAGACGAGTCGCGTCTTCATATCACTCGTGGGCAAGATGCTTGTCCAAGTTGGGACTCTTATGCTTGTCCGGAACGGTTAGGAGTATATGGACACACGAGAGATGAAGGAGTATGTGGACGACACAGAGATGGGATGGACCACATGGAGGAAGGAGTATATCATGGACACAGAGTGGAGGAAGGAGTATATTATGGACACAGGAGAGATGGTGCTGGTGCTCAACATTGTGCTGCTGATGGCTGCAGCTTGAGCTTGCTTTCCAACAAAATAGCAGAAGGAACTCTAGTGGTGAAGTCTAGGAATCAGCTATTCGCCGGACAAGGTACGGCGGTGGAAGTTGACACACTGTTTGTGCCATGCAAGGATAGAAGAAAAGGCTTGGAGAAGCATCGACCTTTGGTATCACTCAATGGCGTCCTTGACGGACGAATCTATGGGCAACAATTACCTTCAGTCATCGCAGCTCTTGCACTCGTACCTACTGGTGCTAAGATGAAGGGGTTCTCGGACGAGATGCCTCCAGAGGACTCGAAAGACGGAAAAGCTGCAACTCAAAGTCAGCAAGGCCACCTCCTGCGAGAGCAGGACATCAAAGTTTTAGACATGTGCTCTGCGCCTGGTGGTAAAACGTGTGCCTTGTTGGAATATTTCGCTGAACTCGTGTCCTCCGAGAGTACGACGACCCCCACCTGCGGAATCAAGAGTGTCAGTCTCACTGCTTTGGACCGGAGCTACAGCAAAATTCGACGAGTCCAAAAACTATGTCAGAAAGCGCTCAAGAACGGAAGTTGTGGCGCCAACGCGGCTGCAAGTGGAAAAGTGCACTTCGAAGCTTTTCGTGCCGACTCAGCGAAGCTGTTACCTGTGCCGGAGAACCGTGCAACAGCGGCTGAAGAGGAGCATGAAGACAGAGGTGAAGAAACGAAGAATGGCAATGTTGCTTGTATGCAGCACGAGCACGAGCAGAAGACTGGAGAAGCAGAGACTTCTAGTACGACGTCTAGCTGCGCTAACGTTCATCTTGTCCTCGACAACAAAAAAGCAGCTTCCGGTTGTGTAGTCGTCCAAAGGAAGAAAAACCCTCACGTTTTCTACCACAAGAAGATCGATTTGCGTTCTGACCACTGGCAGGCTTTTTATCAGGTCTTGTGGGAGGATGAAAAAAGAGACCTTCAGGACAGTGTCCTCACACGAAAGAAATCTGAGAAGAAATTCTACAAAGCCATCCTCGCTCGCTTTAGTAGAGACCGCAGCATGTGCAGTCGAGAACATGTTGACGCCATGATGCGGCTGCACAACAACGGTGATCGGATTCTGGAGGAGGCTAGAAGAATGCTGGCTACAGATCATGTACAGGAACACATGGACAAGGAAGACGAGACGGTCGTGAAATTTCTCGAACAGCAAGTAAAATTACGCGATCAGGTTAGAGCGCAAATATTTCCGCCACGACCACTTCCGAACTCGGCTAACGCATCTTCTCCACCAACGACAGCGACTATGACTCCTTCTCCTTCAACCTCTGCCACCACCTCATGCTCATCAGTCCCTTCAAGCGCATCTTCATCTTCAAAGAGTCCTACGTCAACCGGCAGCTCCAGGACCTCCACCTCTTCCTCCGCTTGGCTCCCGGAAGGATTCGATTTCATCCTGTGCGACGTCCCTTGCACCGCTATGGGCCAGAAACCCCTTCTTTCCTTTCCTCTATCCTACGAAAACGACGTCCTCGCAACGCAGCAATATCAACGCGGCTTCCTCAGACAGGCCTTTGAGTTGGCAAAAGTTGGTGGCGAATTCGTTTTCTCCACGTGCACTCTAACACTCGAGGAGAACGAAGAAAACGTCGCTTGGTTGTTGCAGGCTTATGCCGGAAGATTAGAGTTGGTGGATTTGAGGAAGCACTTTGGAGGCAACATTGGGACTCTTGGGAAGAACAAGCAGATTCTTGGGAAGAACGAGAAGAACGAGGGTGGACATCAAGAGCAACATGGGAACAACTCCGAGAAATCTAGTGGAAATTGTGTTCTCAATCTCATCCGTAGAGACGATGCACAAGAAGTATATGTACATGATGATGAACGTTTGTACGGGTTTCAACTTGAAGAAGCTCCAGATACGTTCGATCGACGTTTTGTAATGCGTTTTGATCCTCGTTATTGGGATTTGGGTTTTTTCGTTTCGAAATTCCGGAAAATTGCGTCATGAACAATTCAACGCACTAGATCGGCGATAAGAGCATAACTCTTGCTTGCTACATGATCATTGTAACAACCTCCACGATGACGCTATTTTTAATATTACAAGAAGATATTTTTTCCCCCGAGCTTGACGGGTCGTTCAAGGTGTAATAGTACATACGGTGTTGCAGACCGACGTGCTAGGAGACGAATGAAAATCTTTCGTGACTCTGTCTTCCACCCTAGAAGCATAAGTACTAGAAACTGTTGATTATATCTCTGGTGGTGCTTGTCTATGTTTCTTGCAAGTTTTTTAGTTCAAGATCTGGAGCATCTACTGCGGAAAAAAAGTGGAACAAAATTATGACAAAGACCACTGTGAGGGTGAGCAGTGCGATACCTGCGGTCGTGTCGCGGAGCACATCAAGTGAATGATGATCATATTTTTTGTATTCGTTGGCAACGAGGAGCAGATACAGTAGATAGTGGAAGTGGTATGAGAAAAACGACTGACAGAAGACACTCATGCAGGACTACTCCAGGAAAGGGAAAGGCTAACAACAGCATACATAGTTCCTATGTTGGATGTAAGTATGCATTCAATGAGTATGAGACGAGTTCTTTTTAACGACAGCAAAACGGAAAAAAATGAAGTTCCTCCTGTCGAAGAACAACTACTAGTTGTAATAGTAGTACCTCCACGCGGACCACGACAAGCTGGAGAATTTCATGTCTAACGCCGTCGATTGTGTTGAAGAAATCAATCAAAATGCCATCCTCTTCGTCAAGGCGTGCAGCAGCAAAGCCTGCTGTGTTCAGTGACGATGAGGAGGACGAGATACCGGAAATCCCACGGATGGACACATTAATGGAAGTGCTTCGGGGTAAGACAAGGCTTCTGGCGGGCTCATCCGGTGGTGTTCTTGGAAACAAGACAAGTAAGACTGACCTGAAGGAGCAGAAGTATGAAGATTTGAAGACAAACAAGATGAATAATTATCAACAAGGTGGCTCGTCGTCATCGTCTTCATGGAGAGGTAGAAGCCGAGGTCGAGGTGGAAATGAAACACGTGGTCAAGGAGCAGAAGACGAACTAGAGGACAGTGGGATCGAGGTTTTAGAAATGAAGACACGAAGCTGCGGTCTTCCGGGTCCGTCTTCGACTCCGTGGGGCAAACCAGAGCACGACGCGAGGATTGAATTCCTAGGTGAGAGAAGTTTTAGCTTGGAATTGGATAGGCTTTATGATTGCGGAGGTGGCGAAGGCGAGACGAGAGGACAATCATTAGCATTAGGCGTCGCTCCTCACAACCCACCTGGAGGTGCGACAGCTAGCAGCTGGAGCACATCATCCAGTCAACATCCTATTCCAGCTACGGGTCGTGCTGCTACGAGCCGTAGCCCTTATCACCGAGATCAGCATCAGCAGGGCGCTGGTGCTAGCGAGAGTGATCATGTTGACCAGGCTCCTCCGTCTTCGATACTAGTCGCCGGATCTTCCGCAACCTCTGTAGAAGCTGTCGGAGGGCCTAGCAGCATGCCTCTTCTTTCAAAGTTACGAACAATGCCACCAGGAGTCCAGCAGCAACTACAGGCTCAACAAGTTTCGAGTTTTTCTCGTGGCCAGCAAAGTCAATATCAGCATCAAGTGGCTGGAGGGAGTTCTTATAATCATGGTGCTGGCGGCGGGCCCATGAACACCAGCTACGGCCAAGTGCCATGCTCTAGTGCAAGCTCAGTTGTGAGCGGGGGTGGTGGGCGCACACCATCTTCTGCTACAATAGCGCAACAGCAACAACAGCACAATATGAAAAAAAAGAATTTGAAGGGAAAAACTGCGATGCGCCTCTTACCAAGACGCGAGCCTGCTCGTGCGGCTTCAAAAAACGTAACGAACTCGACTGTTGTGGCCAGTGCTGGAGGTGCAGGAGGAGTGTTGCCCTCCTCAAGTGCAAGCTGTCGAAGCTACAAAAGCAGCACAACGAAGAAGCATCAGAATCATCACTTGCACAATAACAAGATCTCTTCGTCTTCGAGTGTGGTCGGTGGAAATCAGAGCCATAATTACAAGAACAACTATCCTCCTGCAGGAGCGACAGCCGCGTCCTCTTCGTCGAACTACGACTACGTCGTCGGTGGAGGTGCTTGTGCCAGTTTAACGGCACAACGCTCAAAAAATCAAGTCCACCATCAAGGTACGAAGAACAAGACCACATCGATGATGATGAATACTCCAGTTCTTGTGGTGCAGCTGCCATCTTCTTCGTCTTCGTCTTCAACTGGTCCCCATGCTCCTGTAGTTCCTGAAAAGTCGAGTACTACGACAACGAGTGCCGCTGGCAGTCCTACCCCTGAAGACCTCAGCATACCTTTCATCCTTCGCGACGGTCAACATCCAAATCCTGCAGCACCAGGAACACCAAAAATTGAACAAGATCTCAGAGGGGGTGGTGGATCTGAAGACTTTCTTTATCACAAAGCATCAAAGGCGAAGATTCTAATGGGCGATCATCATGAAATGGGAGGTTTTCTCACTCTCACACAACATGAACATCATGATCGTGCTACTCATAAAAATATTAAATTTCATGCTTCTTCATCATCTCCTGATCTACGAGGACGTGGCTTCACGCAACAACCAAATCTTGCACCAGTAAAAAAAGATGACAGGAGGAGTGACGAGGACGTGTCTGAAGATGACAGTGCCGAGGACGAGAATGAAAAATCTGCCGGTTTGTCGACGATATTGAGTGACAATCTCAGTACATCTGAAGACGAAGAAGATGAAGCTGAACAGCTAGCAGAGCTCAAGAAACAGAGCAGAGTTGACCATGGACAAAGCAGCGAACACACTCTGTTTGAAGATCATGAGGATGAAGATGTTGTACTAGAGCGAGGGCATCAGCAGCAGGCTGCTGCTGACGGTGTCGTGTCGGTGCGCGGGGCGAACACGAGAAAACCTGCTTACACGGAGGCTGGTGCTGATCATGAAGGTGAAGATCAAGGTCGTGAGCAACATGAATTTGCAGCTTCTAACTTCTACGGCAAGGAACATCTGCATCTTCAACACAAGGACTACACACCGCGAGGACGAGGCATGCTGACATTTCAACAAACTGGAGTTGTAGACTTCTACCAACTTGCGAGTCATCACGACAGCGAGACTTTTCAACATCAAGTAGAAAACTACAATTTTAAACCAGATTTATTTCATCAAGCTCGCGGCCTAGTGAGTCATGCATTCGAAGTTCACCACGACAAGGAGGAGCAAGAGGATGCTGAGCGAGGTGCTGCAGTGCATCCTCCGCCTCCACTTCCTGCAGATGATGACGATGCCGTTAAAATTCCACAAGTTGAAGGGCAACGGAACATTGCTGAAACTGAAGACATCTTCGAAGGAGAAGAATTACAACCACAACAAGAACAGGATGAAGGTGAAGACGACGATGAGGACGATGAAGAATACCACGCCCAACCCGAAGAGCATTTGAACATTCGCCGTTTGCATCGGCCCATAGACCGCCTCAGCAGTGACTTCTTCCATACCGTCATCGATAATCCCACTAGTCGCCTCTTTCTCATGATCATCTGCGTCTACGTTTGCCACTATTGGTTCTTTGCCGTCGTTTATCTCGTGATCAACGGCGTGATGGGCGAAGAATGGTGTCATCTAGGGTTTACGCACATGGTGGACGCTTTGTATCTTTCGATTGAGACTAGCGCGACGATTGGGTTTGGGGCTAGCGATAGCTATTTCAACCATTGTTTTATCATGTACCCGACGATTGCGGTGCAAATGCTCGTGTCGATTTTGCTTGACTCTCTAGTTATTGCGGTGGTCTTCACGCGGTTTTCTAGGGGAAAACAACGCGCAGCAACAGTTTTGTTCAGCAAAAAGGCGTGTTTGGTGCAGTCGCATCGTGGAGACGTTTTTTTCCTGGTACAGATTGGAGAATTGAGACAAACGCAATTGCAGAACTGCTCGGTGAAGGCGTACGTGTTTAAACAAAACGATCAAGGAGAAGTGATAACAGAAAGTTTACGACTGCAGAATCCGGATGATTCGCTGCCCTTGCAAAACCTCTGGCTAGCACTACCGAATGTAATCGTGCATCGCATTGACGCGTTCTCACCCTTTCTGCCAGTCTTGGATCGCGACGCTTTGGGAGGTGGGATCCATTCTGCTCCGACGAGTTTGGTACAAATGAAGGATATGCATATGCATACAGGAGGAGGCTTACAACCTCTAGACAGCAAGTTTAACAACATTCCCTTCTTGTTGTCTCAACAACAACAATACATGCACATGCATGTTGACACGAATTTTAGAGGGCAAAATTTCCACCGACAGCATGGCCATGGGGGAGCAGGTGGGCTACTTCGGCACCGAGTTCTCTCCGTCATTCCTGAAGCAAGTGCTGAGTCGGCGTACGTGCAACCAGAGACGAACTCGTCGTCCATGCAGCTCGTACCCACAAGCTTGCAACGACAGGTTGATGGTACGAAAACAGTTATTCGTGAGCAGCAGCTTATCTCGAGGATATCCGAGACTTCTCACGACCAGCAGGTGGGACACGGCCTGGCTCAAGACCGACCTTTGGCTCAAGACAGCAACAGGAGTGATGATTTGCTTGTGTCAAGTGCGGCGGGGAAGATGGACATCAAGCACAGAGTCGTAGACAACCACGCGCCCCCTTATTCATCCGCCTCGAGTGTGGCTAGTGATCATAAGCTCATTCATCAACAGCAACATCAACAAGGTCTAGCACCTGCTTCGGGCAACATGAGCTCTGCTGCTTCTATTTACGGTGAAGGTCTAGCACCTCCTTCGGGCAACATGAGCTCTGCTGCTTCTATGTACGGTGCCGGTGAAATTGAAGAGACCTTTTTCCGTAGACGCCTGAGAATGCACAAGTTGCATTGTAGCGGCAAATTAGTAGACGTGGATACCATGGAACAGTGGCGGGATCAACACAAAAAGAAAAAGCTACGAGCGAAGTACTACAACAAAAACAGTAGCAAGGTCGTGGGTGGGGGTCCTGGAGGTGGAGCTGCCGGGGCCCTCGAATTACAAGCCGCACACGCTGTCGCCGTGCATCAACAGCATGCGGCTGCAGGACCAGGGATGAACAGCGGACACAAGAATAATGCTGCAGGAGCACCAAGAGCAGTACAGAAGTCTTCGCTACAAGCCGAAGAACCTCATTATCCGCAAGTTTCGACTGCTAATCCGCAAAATCAAGTCCTCGTACTAGCTTCTGCCTCCTATTCCTCCAATGGGAGCACATCACATGTTGGCAGCCCGCCGGCTGAGTGGCTTGGACAAGTAACGACGCCAAAAAAAGAAACAGCACAAGCACTGTCCTACATCCCACCAGCGGCTGTCCTCCTCGATGTAGCTGGAGATGATCAAGAGGGTCCGCCGCCTTCCTCTAATGAAAAGAACCAGAAAGCTCCTAGAGTGCCAGAAGAACCCAAAACACCGACCACTTTCCTCGTGGAGAAGTTGGGGGAAGCTGCGTCCGCAACAATGTCAATGGGGATGGTGGTTTTTGGAGAAACCGATGGAGGCCTGTCCAGATCTGTGTGCCCCGACTTACGTGAGCCTCTGCTTCAAAACTTTGACGAGGAAGAGCTCCACGCGCCACAGCGGCCGCCACGCACCGACATTAGATCACCTTGTCCGGCTGAAGCAGTAGCAGCGGAGGAGGGCACTCTGGGTCTGGCGGCATCAATAAAACAACCAGACGATGTCGCTGTTACTGATGTTGAACATGTTCATGCCCATGAAAACAACAAGAATGTGGATGAAATTGAACCCGGAGGTGGTCCTTCGGGATCGGGTGCGGCTGCGTTCCTCGTTGAGGAAGGCGACATGGATTCCTACAATGAAGGACAACTGGAACGCTTTCCTTCTATGAGGGACGATCCTCCTGTTGTAACCACGTTAAAAGATTGCAGCAGAGAACAAGAGCCACATCCTCGTCCAGCCGACGATGCGCAGGGTCTCGAAAAATGTCTAGGACGGCACGACCACCAAGGGGGAGCAGCTGATGAACTTCATGGCGAATGCAGCTGCTCCCCCTTGTTGGTCGTGCCTACAAAGCAGGCGAATGCAGGACAACAAGATCAACAAGAACATGTCAAAAACACAACAAATCATGACTCGGAACGGGAACCTCCAACCGATCCTTTCCTCCCACCACCTGTCTTAGTAGCAAAGGCAGAGCGTCATGGCTTTGCTTGTCGGATTCCTTGGGCTGGCAGCCTTCGCGAGCGTGTGATAGATGCCGAAGCTGGTGGGAGAGCCGGTTTTGTCTGCTCTGCTTGCGGGGCTGCTTTTCAATCCAGAGATAGTTTGCTCAGACACTGCTTGTACAAGCTGGAACAAGCGGCTAAGAAGAGAACCACTTCAGTACTAGAGAGGATATCGGAGGAAGCAACAACCACTGGTGCTACACAACGAGTGCCGAATGTAGCTGCTACTCAAGAACAAAAAAACGCTGCTTCCAAAGCTGACACTACGTCGACTAGTTGTACAACCGCGACATCATCTGCTCAGCCAAATCCATCGACACGAGCGCAGATACCAGGAGCTGCCAGTTGTGGCACTACAGCAGGACTTGGAGCACCTCTACCAGTTTCTTCTTTTGCCCAACTTCTGAACAACAATCCTCAGCTGCCTCAAAAAGGCCAATCCAGAAATCCGACAACGAAGAAACCGCCCTTCATATCTGAAGACAAAGCTCTCCGTTTGCGTATCTTGGGAACGACCGAGGATCCGCATCGTCCTTTACTCCAGTTTCTTTTGAAACATCAACAAAAGACTAAGGGGATTCATGTTCTTCATAGTGCACTTGGAGGCGTAGGAGCAGCATCAGGTGCTGCTGGATCTTCGCTAGGAGGTCTAGGAATAGGGACTACTAGGACAACGACATCTACTTCTGCTGTATCGGGATCGGGTGCAGCTGGGTCTAACAAGAACTACATAACTCCTACGACCTCATCTTCCAGTACAACCCTGAACAAGAACTCTTCTGCTAAACCAGCCTTGCGCAAGATCGTTGAGCAATATCTAGAAGAAAATTGGATCGAAGTTTTAGTTGTTGTGAACGGGGATGAACCGATCACGGGTGCTGCGGTGGAGGCACGGACTAGCTACCGATACACGGACATGATTTGGGATCATATCTTCTTAAGGTTCAGCTTTCAATGGTCATTGGGGTTGGTCACTGAGATCGAAGAGGCGACCCCTTGAGAGAACAGGGGAAAACGAAGGGAAAGGGGAGAGCTTTGAAGGGGGTCCCTTCCGTTCAGAGTCAGTGACCATTGAAGGCTGAGCTTTAATCTTCGCACCCTGTGTGGGCATAAGTAGTATTAAACATTTCTTCTCCCCCAGCACAGGCGGAGGAGTTCTAGGCCCTCGTGGAGGAGCTGTAGGTGTAGTTGGACCTCCTCGACCTCCGAGTACTACAACTGCTCATAGTTTTCCGTCGAATGCTGCACTTGGAGGAGCTGTAGGACGTCATTTCCAACATGATCCAAATATGACGTCATTTGCAACTGGTGCGGGACGAGCCAACACGTCTACGCTTACCACGTCCAAGAAAAGCGCGCTAGATCTCATTTATTCCAGCACTTCTAGTTCTTCCTCTTCTTGCGCCAATGATGACTGTGGTACGCGTACGCCTTGTCCGACTTTAGATTTCAAGAAATTTCACAAATTAATCCCCTATCATCCTATACCCAAAGCAACGAATGTTTCTAGAGATTTGAAGTTGCAGAGTTATCTGTAAGTCAGTGTTCTTGTATGTAAGTTTTTGACTTTTTGACCAACACCTAGGATAAGTTGGACATGGGCATTATGTAGTTTTTCTTACGCTTTCCATTCGTTCTCTTTCATTATGGGAGTGTTGATTGCTGAGAACATGATGAATCAATGAATACCATGGCCCCAAAACCACACCTAATGATCGAAATACGTGACTTAAACTGCCCGCGGGGAAACAGCAGTATGCACGAATATCAAGGCTAGGATGCATGAGTTGTTCAAGATGTAACCCCATTTTCCGGGTTCACGGAACGAGAGGTCATGTGGCTATGACCGATCCTGATCATATGACGGAAACGGATGTAGAAAATATGACGGCATTTTGTTCCAAATGTTGTAAGAAGAATCTGAATCAATCTTAAACTGAATGTTAATGAAATTGTTGCTGTTCCACCGAATTCATGCTTCTTCAGCTACAATGATCAATTGAATTGAATCAAGCGTCCTTTGGCGCTGATTTACTTACACGTTAGTACTAATTACATCGATCCTCGTCATAACAAACAAAGCAAAAATGGAAAACTAGCTCAATTTTGTTATCTTGCAGTTTTGGTTTTCTCTACTTGGTACGACTACTTCTTGGTAGTGGTAGTTGTTCTAACCGTTGTACTCGGCACGTCATTCCTTTTTTTTTGAGACTACATCGTATTATTTAAAGAACACTTCGATCACCTACAACTACTGCTTTTTCTTTGAGGCTAGGAACAAAACAAAATCAAGATGGAAAACCACGATACTATGAAAGACAAATCCGCCATTTGTCGTGTGGCTGTAATGGCACCCGCTAGTCACATCGCAGCTCTAGTTCCCCATGTGTTTGAGAAAGGCGTTGCGCGACTGAAGCTCCTTTTGGAGGAAACGTTTCCAGAACGCACAATCCAGGTCGACGAGTTAGCTTCTTGTTTTGGAAAAAAGGAGCAGCATGATCTTGGTGCTGAAGAAGCCGGCTTGTGCAGTTTCACAGAAGAGAGGTATCCAAAGCCGACCTCCACCACGACGAGCACATCAAGAAAGATAGTGCAGTTGTCTCCGCAAGAACGTGCTCAGGAGGTGAACGATGCTTTGTTTTCCGAAGGCGAAAAGAAATACGATTTCGTTTTTTGCACTATCGGAGGTTTGGATTCTCTTCGCCTGAGACCGTTTTTACGACTACCAAGTAGTTCTGCTTCAGACGAGGAGGATCTTCATCAAATAAAAGCGAAGAAATTTGAATTTCTTCCCTCTTTTTTCGGTTATTCTGATATCACAAGTTTACAATGTGAGTTGTGGAACTTGGGTGTCCCCTGTTACTATGGTGGTGCGATCTTGGTCCAATTTGGAGAGTCAGGCGTCGATCCGCATGTGAACGCTTACACTAAGGCATCTATCACAGCAGCTCTGAAACGAACTTGGTTCGAGCTAAAGCCTCACGGAATCTTCGTTCCTGATGCGCACAACTGGTTCGATCCATCGAAACAAAGTTTGCCCCCACGCGAAACGCCAGCGCCAGAACATGCGTGGTATTTTTTGCAACGAGATCAACAAGTAGGAGGTGGTCAGCAAGGCCAAGGTCAGACTCTTCAAGAACATGCCCATCTTGACACAAGTAGTCCTCGTAAACGTCCTCTTCTCATTGGGCAAGAAGACGCACAAACGTTCGCTCGCGGAACTCTTTTTGGTGGTTGTACTGAAGTTTTGATGACTTACCTCGCTTCTGGCTATCCTCTTCGGGTTCCTACTGCTGATGAAAGAATCATTTTATTCTTGGAAACTTCGGAGTCTATGCCTCATGCTGGCTCTGTTGCAGATTTGATTCGCGCCTTGAGTCTACGTGGTTTTCTGAAGCATCTTGTTGGCGTTATCGTGGCGCTTCCGAAAATCGAGTTTCTAGGCCAAACAGCCAGACCTGATCCCGAAAGTTTCAGAAAGGCACAGAAAACTGCCATTTTAGAAGCGTTGAAAGAACACTACGTTGACTACACCTGTTCCATTGCTGCTGGCCCTCTACCTCTACCAGATAAGATGCCAGTAGTTTTTAACATCCATGCAGGCCATGTCGATCCACAAGCGATCGTCCCTTTAGGTCGCGAATGCCTATTGGATGTGGAGAGAAAACGAATTTTCTTCAACTACGGTGACGAGAGCTGGCGCGACGAAATCGAAATCTGTTGATGAACTAGGATTATACTCGAAAACTGAAAATAACCGATTTACTGACTGAAATAAGGGAGCAGGTAGCTTTAAGTTAAGCCTTAACATCAAGGCTACTCTTCCTTCCCGTGAGTATCTCGCTTATTTCAGTTTATCGAATACATGACTTTTTGAGCTGTCTGAAAATAAGTTGTACGCATGCTATGTTGTCGCATCTTCGTTCTCTTGGTATCGACTTGATCCATGGATCAATACATTTATGTCTGAACCTGAAGAAATTATCTTGGAAACAGGTACAAGAGGAAGGCGTGACCTAAAAAAGACTCAGAAAATAAGCGGATCATGTCCCCGATCCTGATCCAGATCGTAGTGTCCACTTTGAGGTTGTTGTACTTTACGATCTCTCATCAACATGGTTCGAGAGTGAAGAACCATGATGAACATCTTCAGCGAATCCAAATGTAGTGGAGATGCCGCTGTTCAAGAATTTAAATAATGAAACTACTGAAATTGTGGTAGCTAGTGGTACAACAGAGACAAATTGTAATTGAAATTGATTACGTCCTCTTGATGTGAATCAAATTTTTGTAGTCGTGATCCAAATTTCGAAGATGAAATCATGATCATCTAAATCTCTTTGGAGGGGGTTTAGCTTTAGCTGACTACCAATACTTATATATACAACAACTGTACTAGAGTATGGGTAGTAGCGCTTAGTCATTATTCTCGTGGCGGTAATTTTCAACCACTTCCTTGTACGACAAAAACAGCTGATCCTCAGATTTAACCAGTCACGGGACAGATTAAGTAGAAGAGGACTACTAGTAGAAGAGGACTAGGACTAAGATGAAGAAGAGTGATCGATTTCCTCATAGTGCTGCTAATCTTGTTATGTTGCTCGCTTAGCTTATATGGAATCGCGTTTTGCAATTTGCATGACAGACAAAAATGATGGTCGCAACAAGAAGAGCATACGGATACGCAGAACACCAAGGGTCCACGGAGCTCCTTGTGAACCACATCATGGACGAGGCAGTGGTGGACCAAGGTAAAGCAGGAGGCGGACTAAGTGCCGCTCCTTCATCGACAAGTGAAGCGCTACGCAACATCTTACGCAACATCTGGATGGAATTTGAAGCGATTACAAAGTCCATACCTTTACCAACTACGAACAATCCAAGTCAACTACAGGAGCATGGACTACTTGAGAATAAGAAGCTTCTCCTCGTCGACTGTTTCGAAAGGTCTATTAAATCGCGACTTTCACCGACACATCCATTTCACCTCTCAAGAACGCAGCTACACTTTGCAGTGCTGGTGTATTGTTGCTCCTGTAGCAGGGCTCACATCGGAAGCGGAGTCTACGCGTCATTACTTCAACGATTGGACTCTTGGTTTGTAGACGAATTGCGACTTTGGTTGGAAGCGACTAGTACTTGCGCAGGAGAACAAGGAGATGCTGATGCTCCTCTTGAGGACAAGATGAATTGGCGAAATTTCATAGCCGAGAACGATATGCAGGGATTACGCGGATACCTCGTGGAACGAGGAGACCTAGTACGTTTATTTGCCGAGAACGATATGACAAGAAGGACCTCCAATCTTTCCAATGCAGCCTTGTCCACTTCTGAAGAACTCCGAGTATTAGCTTCATTTGTCGGAGTGAGCGTCATCACGGAAGATCTTGACGCTGCGGAGAAGAAACGTCGAGAGTCACTAGGAGGAGGCCTACATTTCGCCAAGAAAGGTGAGAAGACTCTACTGTCTGACGATGAAATCCACAACCTGTTGCAGCAGCTCGAGCAAGGTGCAATGGATCCTTCTAGCCTATATGCTGTCTCCAGCACCGACAGAGAGTGGCTTCACGAATTACCTTGGCGCAAACGTATAGAACTCTGGTTGAACCGATTATCAGCTGAAATCCACACTTCTCAAGCTCAACAACAAGAGAGTAGTTCCTGTGCCAACACGGGTGGGCTAATATTAAGTCTTACGAAAGCTTTGAAAGGACAGGAGGCTATCTGGTTACCACTTTTTCTCGACTCTGATGATAGGAGAAAAAAATTCTTAGGAGCGACGGGAGATACTAGGAATGTGGTAGCGATTGCAGCTGTTTTAGATTGTCTTGCGTCCCAATCGCTGACCGCAATGGACATCGAAGAAGCAGTTGGACCAGCTGCAGTGCAGTTGAAAGTCTTTGAGCTTTTGTGTCTGTCTGGGTCTGCTAACAAGACGTGGAGATCATGCGATCTGCCACGTTTGGAACTATGGTCAGAAGTTGCTCTTCGCAGTGCCACTAGCTACTACTTAGAAGTAGGTCGTTGTCAACCTCAACGGAGAGCGGCAGAGGTAGAGGAGGCGGAAGCCTCGTCCCTGATGAAAATTCCACTTCCTCTCTCTAACAAGCGGATGCCTCTCCCCGATCTTTTGCGCTTGTTGAAGGGATTGGCACAGAATGCGGAAACCTTGTTAGACGACCTCAAAGCCGCTGCTAGAGGATCATGTAGTAAAGTCGAAGAGAGTCCTCGTCATGATCTATTAACTCGAATCATTCAAAACTTGTGTGTCCCCGCGTTAGTACAAATAGGTCTTGCCTTCTTTCAAAACGAAAAGGCAAACGACTGCCATCTTGCGGAAGGAGCAGATGGGACTTTCCTTTCTCCAGCTCGAAACGGTGTGGATCATGTTCCCCAAGACCAAGAGCAGTCAGCGTGTGCGTGGACCCGTGACTGTGCTGACGTTTTTGAAGAGGCTCACTGTGCCTGGCTGTCCGTTGTTACTAGAGCCCTCGCTGGCGGAGTAGAGCAAGGTGAAAGTCGAAGAACTGCTCGTCTTTTCCTGCCTCTAGAGGCGCAGCTGGAAATCGAACAACTACCCCAACAAGGGCCACCACCAGGGGAGAGGACAGTCTATTTTCAAGTAGTGATAGATGATTACAGGCAAAGAGGTCTTCATGTACATGTTCTTCCAGAAGGAGGTTTGTTCGATTCCCCTGCTCAGACAAGACGCGTCAACACGGCAGAAATAGACGGTGCATCCTTATTGCGAGCTGCGCGTGCCTTTGGAAAACAAGAAGTGCTGCAGCTAGAAGTACCGGAACAATTATACGAGCATGAGGAACAATTGTACAACGAGCGCGACTACCCTACACTCCTAGTAAGCGAAGCTTTGACACAATGGCCGCGTCCGCTGCTGCTGAACATGGCCCTTTTGATGCAGGAACAAGGCTCCACCGAGGTCTTCTTCGGCGCAGCGTCGTTGCTCATAGCAGAGGCGTGGGATTGCCTTCTGGATGCTGTGGGAAGTAGTGCTGACTCCTCGCCCAACTCCTCGATGATGAAAAAAAATATGGGGCGAGAAAAAATTCTGCATGCACTCCTCCACGATGAAGATGCTATAATGCTCTCCTTGGCGACGGACGAACACGAAGATGCTACTACAAGAGCAGAACTACAGGATGGCTATGTTGTGGTTGACGAAGCACGGATGGAAACTGCTGAAGATGCAACAGACAAGGACCATTCTTCTTGGGGCTTCATGGCGGACGATTCATCTAGATTAACTCCGAACAAGAAGAACCTCCGTCTTTTCGCAACCTCCTTAAATTAAGGCTTCCCCTAAAAATCCATTCCTTCTATAGGGATCGATCCCTCTCTCACACATAGATAATATGCGCGCCAATACATCAAGGGAACTACTGGTGACGCATGATATGCTTGAGGGATTTCCACAGGGATGGATAATCAAAAATAGAATGCTCTAATTAGAGGAAGCTCGCGCAAGCAAGTCCAGGATTGTGGAACTCATCGATGTTACTGCTCGCGTAACCAGAGGTCTTCTAGAAAAAGACCGAGAACATCAGATGTTGTATTTAGGAGCAACTCTCAGTCCAGTGGAAGCTAGCTTTGCAAAGTTTCTAGAGGACGTAAGAGATGTGATGACTGAAGACGATCAGAATGAACTAGAGACTCAACTCACGAATCGCCGCGCGCCAGCTCCGACGATGTACTTCTGCGGCAAAATACATCAACTGACACAGGTCTTATTGGAGCCCCTGAAGGTAATGAGATTTACCATGCTTCGAAGAGGGTCGTTTTCTTGAGGTAGGAAGACCAAGATTCCGAACACGAAGATGGGAGCGCAAAATCGCTTTTGATAGTACCCCACACCCCGCATTCCTCCTCGCGCTTCCTTTCCTTGACCTTCTAAATAATTGGTACACATTCTTGCACTGCGTGCATCCGGATTTCCTCTTCTTTGCCGTGCGAAGGCTACCTTATATCGAAGATAGTGCTCTTCGTCGAGATGCTGGTGCATTCCCCTGAGAATGAGTTTGCGTGTTCGTCTTTATCAACATAATCCAAACTCGCCTACGCGTACTGAATGACGAGCATATTAAGTGTCTGCCTGCATGTTGTGAATCATGCAAGTCCGATTCTTGACCAGAAGAACGCCACAAAATGAAAAGATGAAGCGACGACTTGATCAGGATGTGATGAAACTTAAACAAAATCTTCTGTGCCAGTGATGAAGAGTGAACCCATGATCTGTTTGCTGATGAAGACGTTGAGAGCTGCAAAGCCAAAGGCCGCTTATTGCAAAAACGGGTTTATTCTGTGGTGAAGATGAGGATCCTCTCATTCTTCTGTGAAGATACAAAATTTGAGATGAAATGATCATGAAATTTGTGATGCTCCTGTCGTGGTCATTCTGGAACTTTTCTTGAGCGCTATTTAACATCTTCTTACATATCAATCATGAAGACTGCAAGCACTACTGCATCTTGAATACTTCTCACTGCAATTCATTTCATTTCATCTTCATCTCACTCCAATCAAAAAAACGCAGTTTAGGAGGTCTACTGTAAGAAGCCCAAGCTTCTCGAGCTCGAAGTCGAACGATGAGAAGGAATTTTGTACACTACAGACTCGTACTTATCTTATCAAAATCATCTAAGTATTATCTCTGAAGATAATTCAAATTCATCTCAATCACCAATCCTATCACTGGTCTCGTCGTTAAGAAGTCCTCTCAAATTTGACGAGTACTAAGACTATCTAAAAAAAACTTAATCATATCCCTAACCTCGTATATAATTTTCGTCGTCCCACGACTTCCCCTTCATGGTCTTCCTTGAGCAACTTGATTTTCTTCACTTCAACGAGTTTCGCACTCTTGATATATGCCTTCAGTATTGATGGCATACGCAAACTAGAAGAAGTAGAAGAGTAGTCGTTGTTTAAGTGATTCGCCAAACATATTGGATAGGTATAGGTTTGGGCGTATTACCTCATCCTCGACAAGGTTTTTTGTTCGCTTACCAGGAACGCTAAGAATGACGACGTGACAGAATTCACTTGGATTTGGACCGTCCACTTGTTGGACATATATTTGTATTCAACTTGAAAAAATTGTAGTTTAATCTTCCTATTCTTAGAGCAGCAAGAACAAGATCAAGTCTTGATATCGACATGACATTGTTATAAACTAAAATTTTTTTCTTTATTCTTGGACGATAATGCAAGATATAATCGACTACGTTCCTTTCATCGATATCCACAAGATGTTGAAGCCGGTGAAAGAATACGATGAAGTCAACAGCGTTCAATTTCAAGATTGCTGCGACTTTATTGAAGATCAGCATGCTCTTGTACATGGAGTTTTCGACTATGGTGATGATGTCGCGGATTCCACTTGGTACGGACGCAGAGTTCTTGAACATGAACATGATCATGAGTATCAACGAACCTTTCGGAAGAAGGGCAACTTCTTCTACTGCTATCGTCGTAGAGGTGGACAAGAAGCTCATCGTCGAGGTGGACAAGAGGCTCATACGGTTAGAACAAGAACACGTCGTCCAGCTGGAGTTCGTCGGCACCACCGCGGCTATCCTTCTGCAAGCGGCACGACCATCAAAATCTTGAATGTGCCGCGCTTGATTTTTTTCCAAATCCGATTCCTCCTGCTCTACATGTTGCACCAGGAGGTTTTCTGCTCCCAAGGTGGAGAGGCTGGTGGAGGCACATCAACTCCCTATCTTAGTACCACTTCAAGAACGACGAGCACAACACTTTCCTATGAAACAACTTTGATGTACAAGCACTTCTATGCAAAGGACTTCTACAAGGACATGGACGAGAAAGGCGAAAAATATCCAGCGACTTACAACTCCTACAACTACGACAGCGACACCAAGAATATATCACCTCCTGTACTACAATCTCCTTCGTGGAATGTCGAGTCTAGTAGACCGCATTCGACTTCGGCTGGCTCCGCTGTCGACGTCTCCTATAAAGGAGACGTAGATGTTGCAAAGCCTTATCATGATGAAGAAAATCATCGTCTACTAGTAGAAAAATATGATCATTTGATCATGAACGGCACTACCGCCTGTACGAAAGCTACTTCGTCAACTGCTGCGAGCTCATCATCCGGCATCTCAACGTCTACTCCCTCATCTTCGCTGATGACCCCATACAATATGTCACATCCTGATCCTTTTGTTGATGGCAATAATATCAATATGTTCATGCCCGACATGGAGACGCCTAGTACTTTGCCTACTTCGCAACAAGTAGAGCCTTCAGGAGTGGCAGAAGCGTCTTTCTTGCAGCACCTGAACAGAGAGGACAAGTTTGACGTTGTCGACGGGCCTCCAAATAGTCATGGTGCCGCAGCGCGTAATGAGGCAGGAGGGGTAACAAAATTATCGCGACCTCGTACTTCTGCGAAAAAGCGCTTCTCAGAAGTATCGTCCTTTCTCTCTGCGTCTTCATCTTATCAACATGGCGATACGCCTGGAGCCCGTCGTGTGAAAGAACAGTTAAGGGCTTTATTTTTCTTAGATCTTGTTGTCCAAATCTGGTTTTCTAACTTCAGCTCATCACACGCTGCACTTTTCTCCTTGTTTCTCGAATTTCATTGTTGCGACTAACACTAAAACTAATGGTTGTTCCTTTACTTAGATCTTCTTAATATACTCCCATCCACGAGGACCACGACCTATGATGTATGACGTAGATGTGTGTCTCTACTACTTTTTCATCTTCCCTCTAACTCTTCAAGAGGCAGAGGAGATGCTGGTCAGAAGCATGGTCGCTCCGTTCAGAGGAAATTTTGGGAAAGACGACATATCTGCTGCATTCTATGGCGATCGACAACAGAACACTCACAAAATCAATCTAGCACGATGGGAGGAGGCAACAAAGACCGACAAGCACAGAAATCCTGCATCCACCTCTGTAGCGCACAGACTGAAAACATGCCTTGACTTAAGGCTGAGGTCGAGAAAGATATCTGTTACACTATCTGATTACCGTGAAGATTTTGGTCAACATCTGTTTTGATACAAATATTGGATTAGCAACAACTATTATTACTAGTGTGCTAGTATTACCTTTACCTGCTCCAGTAGTAGAGCATGCGCATTCTACTTAAGTATTTGTTATTTTCAACACCGACGTAGCACTTAGTTTTAGTTATAGGCCATACATCAATCATCAACAGGTGGAGCTTCTTTTTAGTGCTTCCTCGTGGTTGTAACTGTAGTCTTTCACCTCTAATCGGAGCGTCGACATCGAAAGTAAAGGGAAATTTCGCGCGTGTCATGGAGAGCAAGGCAAAAGCAAAGCTACTTCAATTTGAAAGCGGAGCGCCTCCTCCTCCACAGCGTTTCATCAAAGACTACTACAAATCTGACGCCGATTGGTCAGCTACTTTGCGAAGCAATGCCATCGCGATGTGCTTACAAGACGCAATACTTTACTCCTCCATTCTTCGACAGGCTTCCTCTCTCCTGTGGTCTTCTCACCGTCTTCCTAAAGACCAGGTTCCGCAGGAGGAGATGACCCGCATCCAAAGCCTAAGGAGTACAACTTGGAACGTCAAGCGCGTTATCGTCCCTGCCGTCGAGGGAAGGAGAGAAGCCCCAGGGACATTGCCAACAGTGACTCAAGCCTCTCAAGGACGAACACTAGTATAATAACCTTATTCTATAACTATAACTACTAGTACTAGTACACTACTTTCAATTTCATCAACGTTTGAGTTTGGAACGTCCTATTGATGAAACGAAAAAGAACTGCATTTTTAATGATATAATCAGGAAAGAGTAACTGTAACGTTGAAGATGTAGTTAGTTGATCTTCGAAGGGCTGTCGTTTGGGTTTGTCCTCTTCAAGATGATAAGGCTCTTTTATGTTGTCAGGAGCGCACTGCCACTGGTAAATATTACTGGTTATCTCGCGCTCACGCAGTTCATAGTCACATACTCTCATTACTACAACCACTTGTTTCACCTCGACGTCCTTTTCAACAACTACAGCCACGAAACGAACAGTCTGCTCCAGCACGAGGAATGGTGTCGAAAAGTTTCGATGTACAATTGTTCTCGAATTTGGAAGCCATCCCGATAATTTCTCCTCTACATTCTCGTCATGGGACCACCTCCACCCCTGCAGCTGCAGAGCTGCCACGACATGCCTCTGAAAGTTCAATATGGGCCTCGCCACATGATGAAAGTTCTGCAGCCTTGTCTCTGAGTAATCCGGGTGGTCCGCAGACTAATTCTTTGTTGACCTTTTTGACCATGCTTGGGACCGAAGAACCCTCGGAGGATTTTCTCAAGAAACTCCTCGAACAAATGGCCTCTAGAACAAGAACAACATTAAGGCTATTCCTAAGGCTTCCCCTGATCCATCTCTGTAGACAGGAGCCCTCAAGCATATGCATGCGCCCCTCGTCCAATAGTACGGGGAGAGACGAGAGGCTGACAACGCATTATATGCTTGACGGATAATTTCCAGAGGGATACATAGATAGGGGACACATAGATAGCATGGCGTCTAACAACAAGGACAGACTCTGTTGAGAAACTTGCAAAGATTCCGCGGGATTTCGAAGAAGAAGGCTCTCGATTCAAATGGCTCAGCCGACATTTCGCTTCCGCTCCTGGTGAAAACTTGAAAATTTTTGAATTTCCATTTTCGAGCCATATTAATCCTCCACCAGTATACGAGACTCCGCAACACGACGCTGAACTGCAGTTCATGATCAAGAAAGAGTGGAATCCTCGAGCATTCAGATATGGACATATTCATATTGGTGGATACTCATATGGTGGAACTGGAGGATATTCATATGGTGGAACTGGAAGAAGCTTCGTTGAACTTGAAGCAGGTGCGGCTGGAACTGGAGCTGTTCTTGGAGCAGCAACTACAGTTATGTTGGGTGTAGGGAATTCATCTGGAAGAGAAAAGTCATCTGGAAGAAGAGAGAAGTAGAAGACCACGACAAGAGGAAAATGGCACCCAGATGATGAGCGCCGAGATGGATTTCCTATGTATACTTGTTCTAATACAGGTCGTGGCGATGCTATTCTTGGAGCAGATGGAGCTGTTCTTGGAGCAGATGGAGCTGTTCTTGGAGCAGATGTTGGAGGAAGAGGAGGTGACATCGATGCTGAAGTCGAGGACTCGTCAGACGAAGAGTTTGTCTTTGAGACCTTCTCCACAGTGTACCACTCCGACGAAGATGACAATGAAGTTCGTATTGAATATTCTTCTTTCAAGCCTATTCCAGTTGCATGGACCTTTGCACCCCCTCCGTCACTAGTACAACATGGAAGACAAAAATTACAACAGCCTCTGCCTCTGGTGCCCGCACCAACAAATACAAACCATGAACTACCCCATCATCTCGTTCCGCTATCGCTATCATTGCAAATACCCTCCGACGGACTAAGTGCTGTTTTGGCTATTCAACGAGCAGACGACAACAAGATCAGGGCTTCAGATGAAGTGAAGACGCTTCCTAGCGACAGCACTATCATGCGTACCAGGTCGCCTGAGCACGTACGATGGCAAAAGCGGAAAAAGGATGCAGAGGACACACTGTTGGCGCAAATCTTTGATCGCCATAGTGACGCGCCAGAAGTTCTTAACCGTGAGCTCCATTTTTTTGGTGGTGCTGTTTTCGGTGCTGCAGCACGTTTAGGTGAAGCTGAAGACGAACTTGAGGAGGCGGACCCGGAGCAAGATGAGCAACAGGCTGCTGCGTCCATTCATCCTGATGAGACTGCGCCACCAAGAATCCTTGAAGAGGCGAAGAGGCGAGACAAAGAGATGCAGGAAAAAGGAGGAGCATTCAGAGAGAGCTACACTTTCAAGTTTTCGATCGTACCAGGTCGTGGAGGGGATGAAGATGGAGAGGAGCACCTCTACAAGGACGATGCCAGTCCTCGTGTTGATTACGTCCACAACATGTACGATGACGATGAGTTTGCGGCCGTGCGGGAGCATTACAAATGGGCATGGAAGGAGGTGGACCGAATGAAGGCCAAACAGCAAACAGGTGCAAATGTTGAGGCAGGAGACAAGTCTGGGTCCTTCGACGCTTTAGTTGGAGATCGAGAATCAGATCCATCTACTGGAGAAACTACGTTTTTACAAGCAGCTCTTAGTTCACGACCTGGTGGAGGTACTAGTCGAGGTGGAGGTAGTCGAGGTGGAGCTTCTTCTGGGAGAAGATTTACTGCACTTAAGGGTCTCGACCTTGGTCCATATTATCAAAGAAGCTCTAATAATGATTTTCCTAGTTCCGAATAAAAAGGCGTTGTGGATCATGCTCTATACCTACTAAAATTTGAATAATATGATCGCCTCCACCTATACCTATGAATATGATGTATTACAATTTGAATAATATGATCGCCTCCACCTATAGACCTATTACAATTTGAATCAATATGATCGTCAACGATCATTCAAGATAATCATGTTATTAAGTTCTTGTAGTCGTAGTGATGAAGATTATGCTCCTTATGATGATGATCATGATGATGATGATGATGATGATCATGATGATGTGCTTCATCTATACTTATCCCTCTAACTTCTCAGCTTCAAGGACCAAAGCAGCTCCTCCTCCTACGCCAAAAAAAGAATCGACGCCACCAAAAGATGAGAATGTTGAAGCAGCAAAGAAATACAAAGGTCGGGTTCTTACTACGCGACACTTTCCCTTTCCACCCGCTAAAAAGGTAGATGAACATGAAGACACAGGAGTAGACAGGAGCAAACCGCATGCACAAGATGGAGAGCCTTCAAACAAGCAAAAGAAAGAGCTGCGTGACTCGTCCTCCGATTATCTTCTTTTTGACAAGATTAAAAATACATGGAGCAGTGCCCAGCAGTTCTTCCAGCTGGACGAAGAGGCCCGCAGAACACAAATCAGGGCTGACTGGAAGACGGGACTAAAAATGCCACCACATGATTAAGGCGATAATTACTTCTTTTTAGAACAAGATATCACTGCTCTCAGTTGTAGAACGACGATTAATACAAGTTGTAGAACAACATATCACTGTACAAAACAACTGAACATATGTACTATCACTACAAACAACATGAACAAGAACAAGTTGTAGAACTAGAACAAGATAACTTAGAGGACACTAGCACCATCTTCGTTCCAACCTGAGGTTGGACAGCAACATTCGACGTCTACTACTACTGTTAATGCTTGTAGATACTTTCTGTTAATCTCAATGACAATCGTAAGAAAGCGAACGTTGTGGTAGCTCTAACATGCATGGTACGAGGTTGAAGTCACGGTAGAACCGTATGTAGCAGTGCCAGATGTTGCACAGGACGCAGCAGCAGAGGAAGAAGCAACTCCTGACGTTGTAGGGCAGCCACCTTCAAGACCCAGCAGGAGGAGACTCATCAACATTCGGAACCTCCTTTTTCCGTCAAGGAAATCTTTAAGCAGCGCAAGCCCCAGGTCAGCAAGCATATGATAAAAAGATCCCGGCTGGTCACCGGGGTCCCATAGGGACAACACTAACGCGCGAAACATCGAAAGATGACCTGCGCACTCCGATCCCCTTAACGGGTCGGGGCATGGATGCCTTACGCTTACTGCCGCGACGGTACGGCCGAGCTGTCTGGTGCCGCGAACTGCGGCGCGATACTTTCTCCCCTCCCTGGCTGGGAGGGTCTCCAATGGAGCCATACTTTGGCCGCTGCTGCGCAGGGACCTATCGCTGGGTCCTGTCGACGTTGAGAGTGCCCCTGCTTCATGGTCGACAGCGTCTGTCCACGTTTCCTGGTGCCTGCGGCGATGCTTCCCTCTCTGTCTTGAGCCTTGTGTGATCATTATTGCCACTGGGCAGGCTCTGCTCTCGTTTATGTGTCTGTCCTTGAGTGACGAGAACCGCCATTCTGTTCCGAGGGAGTTCGTCCACAGTGTTTGAGAGTACCAAAAAAGACGACCGAAAAAAGTGGGGTACATTTTCGGTCGATGTTTTTCGTTCCGGCCCTTGAGATGAGAAGATACCCACGTCTGTCGTGCTACGGTGATGTGCCTTCTGGTGAGAGTTGCCTGCTCTGGATGATCGTCTGTTCTCCGAGAGAAGTAGCTGCTCCTGTTGAGGAGAATCGTGTCTGTTCTGAGTGGGTCCGCGAGAACCTCTGCACGAGAGACTACGTGTGCCTCTGTCCTCTGAGCCTTTCTTCTGGTAGAGATGACTCCTGGGGAGAGTCGCTGAAGCTGCGCCTTGAGATTCTGCGGTGTGGCCGCCGTGGTTTGGAGTTCTGCTCGCAAGTGACACATCTCCGCCCTACCTCGACAGAATGCATGCATGGTTTTTCCTCCTCTGCCTCCTTTGAGTAGAGCCATCACATCACCTCGTTACACGTAGTCATTTAGTACCTTTCTCCTCTTCTTTTCCTAGTATTGTTCTTGGTCGCACCTGTTTCTCTGGTATCATAGATCCCTCTCTTGGCTCGTCTCCCCGGAAAAACGCGATGGATCCGAATACGTACCCGTCCAGCGGGCTGCACCATGCATGGGGTCCGCTACAAGGGGCTTCCACGGGGCATCCGTGGTGGTCTCGTCCAAACATGCCTCCGACCCTCGTGCCCCCGCTTCCGCACGGTTTCTCCACCCTCCCGCTACCGGTGCCGCCGATCTTCCTGGTTCCTGGAGTTCCGCCACCACTTCCGCCTACCTTGGCTCCAGCAACCCCCGCTTCAACGGTTCCTCATGCTCCCTTGGTGCGGGCGCCACCTATGGAAAGCTGGATGTCTCACATGCAGGCGAGTCTCCCGGCAGCTCCGGCAGGACCTGCTCAGTCCGACACCATCCGACCGACGAGACACCTAAGGGGGCTCCGCCTGTATGAACAAGATCGTCCTGCGCGTGACTCGCGATCTCGGAGTCGTTGCCGAGGACGCAGAGGACGCTCTCTGAGGCCTGTTACACGTGCCTGCTCCCGGAGTGCTCCCCGACGGCGGTGTCGAGATGAGGAGAGGCTACGACCGGGCACACCTGACCGTGGACCACGAGACGTAGATCGGCCTCCGCGACGGCTACCCGGCAGGGAAAAGGCCCGCGTACGATCCCGCAGCGATTCCCGGCGGCGGCGTCGAGCGTCAAGCACTCCCTCTGATCGCAGGGGGACGCGTCCTCGGGCCGACCCCTCCCCTGACCACCGCAGAGGTCAGCCTCGCTCACTGCACCGCGCTGGGGAGTTGGATCCTGTCCCTGCTGACACCCGACGCGACGCGAACGACGAGACGACGAGTGCCTCCGAGACCAAACCGCGCCCTGCTCGGTCCGAGGTCTGGAAGTACCTCCGAGTGGAACAGCCTCAACACGCTGCGGCCGTTGCGAAACTCCTCCGTGCGAAGTTCGGGCTGGAGAAGAAAGCGGCGAAGAAGGTGCTGGGCTGCTCCTTAGGAAAAGCGTCTTCATCTGTCAAGCCTCCGCGGGAGCAGCAACAGGAGGTCTTACCTACGGCGGGAGAGGCCCTCGCGCCTCCGCCGACTCGACGCTGGCCGAAAGGGAGCGGGAAAGGAGCCCCGATCACTCCTAGGGGAAAGCGCCTGTACTTGGATCGCCTCGCGCGTGAAGCTGAAACTGCCCCTCCCTCCTCCGAGCTCCATGCCCGAGACTTGCCGAGCAGTAGTGCCACTGGGGCACCTCGTGACACTCGCGAGGGTGACTGTGGGGCACTCCCCGGAAGCAAGATGACTCCGGTCACTGCCTCAGAAAAGGCCAGTAAGGAGGAGGTGCTCCAAGCGATTCGTGATCTACCGCCGTACCTCGACGTGATGGAGATCGGATTCCGCCTCTACTCGAGGTTCAGGCTGCGGGAGCCGGCTCTGCAGAAGCTACTCGGGCACAGTCTCGCGACCCTCGCGCGCAAGCACAACCGGCCCGCACTCTCTGAAGGCGACGCGCAGTGGGTTCTTTCTGTCGTGGGAAAAGGCACTAGTCCCGCTGAAGGAGGGCAGTCACAGCTTGACTGGCTACATACGCTTAACCGCAGAGGGATTACCTCGGCCCTTGTGACCGAGTGCCTGGATCGCCCCGACCGACTCTTCCGCCGGCTCAGTGAGGGGCGCCCTCTGGCGCTGCGCACCGGCCTGGAATATGGATTCGAGGACGTCCTCACGCGCGAAGTGCGGGATGCCCTACAGCCTGACCCCAGTGTCTCTCGTCCCTCGCCGGGGCCTCTTCCTGGGATGCGCTCAACAGGTAGCACCTCGATCAAGGGCGGTATGGGTCCACCGTCTGGCCCTCCTCCTCGCCTAGCTGGAAAAGGTGTGCTGCCTGAAGCTGCGGCGCCTACTGATGCTAGATGCGCCATGCGCATCCCACGTGCGCCTTGCTCTCGCGAGAAGGGAGAGGGGACGCCTTCGCTCCTCACGTTGGACGGCGCCTCCTCCCAATCGGTTGAAGTCCTGCCGGATACACCGCCATCCCAGTCCCAGTCGGCGGAATTCGCCGGCGGCGACGCCACCCCCTGGGGTGATGACGACTTACCCTGAGACGACACCGAAGATGTCACGGCTTTGGGCCTTCGGGCTGTGACATGGAACGTACGGGGCCTGCGAAACAAGACCAGCGAAGTCCTCCGCGCGCTGGTTCACTGGGACGCTGACATCGCAGGCCTCACGGAGGTCCACCTTGAGGACGCCGATCTGCCGCTGCTCGTACGGCAATTCGGAAAATATGGATATGAGGTGCTTGCGCACAGTCTGCGGAATCACCACGGGGGCGGTGTCCTTCTGCTTGGACGCTCAAGACACCTCGTGGTTAGCCCTCATACCGGCTTTCGGAAAGTAGCTCGACTACCCGCACTAGTCGAGGCTGCATCGCGGACGCTTCTCATCCCGACCGTGGATGGTTGGCAGGAGCTCTTAGTTACCGTCGCGTACGTCTCCCCCTGCGTCCGTGACCTGACCCGCGTGGAGCGGGATGCGCTTCTACCTGGGTCCTCTGCTGCGCTTCTCCTTGGTGACCTCAATGCTGAGCGAAAACCCTGGCTCGAGCGCTGGCATGATGAGGGCACGCTGTGGCGCCTCAGTGGGCCTAACCTCCGCACCTATCCGGCGCGTCAGCCGCAGAGTTGTCCAGATGTGATCCTCTACCGCCCGGCACCCACTGGCGCCTGCCTCTTCCCCGACATGTACATGACTGATGGAGCGGAGATGCCCGCGGAAGCCTTACGAAGTGTCGTCTCGGATCACCTCCCTCTCTCTGTTGACCTCCATGCCCACTGTGCCGCGCGTGGGCACGATGCTGCGCGCAACGACCAGCCGCGGTACGACCTCCGCCTTCTCACCGGGGCGAGGTTGCAGCGGGCCCAGGACTACCTCCGGCATGCACTCGGCTCGGCCCCTGACGCCCAAACTGCGGACTTAGAGCAGCTGGATGGTGAAGAGATGACTGCCCGGCTCGACACCGTCCTCCGGGTCGCTTACTCTGAGTGTCGCATCTGGAGACCGACTGCCAGAGGCCCAGACGGACTCAGTGGCGACTTTGACCGCCGCTATGCGTGGCACCCGTCAATCAACGACTTCAAGCGTGCACGAGACCGAGGAGAGCTCCACCGTGCGCGAACTCTGGCCACCCGGATACGGCGAGATGGGTGGCGGCGCTACCTCTCCTCCCGCAACTGGGATGACCTCACGGGCCTGTGGCGATACATAGCGAAAGAAGACGGGCGCTCTGGCTGGAATCGTGACGAGGGCCTTACCAAGCCGCTGTTCTTGCATGGTGCATGGCATCACAGTCCCGAAGATAAGGCCAATGCGCTGGGTAGAGCCTACAGGGACAAGTTCTCAATGCCCCCACCTGACGGCGCTCAGGGTCAAACTGGTGCTCGGGTCTTTCCAGGGGTGCGACTCGTGCGGAAAGTCACGGAGGACGAGGTCAGACGGGCGGTCTCTGCAGTTGACGCTGCTCGCGCGCCTGGTCCTGATGGATGGACGTCAGCAGCATACCGTGACCCCGCCGTTATACGATATCTTGCGCTCCTCTTTTCAGTCGTCTTGGATGCTGGTGCGCTGCCGCCCACTTTCACTGACTCCATCATCGTATTCTTGGCAAAGCCCGGCCGTGACCTGACGCAGTTCAAATCTTGGAGGCCGATCACCTTGACTAATTCGCTCACGAAAATCCTGGAACGGGTTGTACTGTCGCGCATCGAGGAGACGGGTTTCGAAGAAGACCCACACCAGTACGCCTACGCCCCAGGGCGCAACTGCGAGCAGCTGCTTGTAGAACTTTTTGATCGCGCAACGACAAACGGCGACAAAGAGCAGGCCATTATTGGCACAGACATCCAGGGTGCCTTCGACTCGGTGGACCACTCCACGCTGCTGAACAGGTTGGGCGCCACGCTTACCCTGGAGCCGGCGATCACTCGCTTCGTTGCGTTATGGCTTGATCGGCGCTTTCGGGTACGCCTTGGCCCTGGTGTCTCCACTTGCTACCGCCTCCATCGTGGCATCCCGCAAGGGGGCATCTTAAGTCCGTTCTTGTGGAACTTAATGGTGCGCGGCTTCTCCGCTCAGCTCAACCAACTTCCTGGGACCCATCTTCGCTTCTACAGTGACGACGGTACGCTCCACGTTTTGGGTGCCACTCGAGCTGAGGTCGCTACACGCGCGCGGCATGCCCTCACTCGGCTCTCTCAGCTCCTGGAAACGCGAAAGCTCAAGCTCGAACGGAGTAAGTGTGAATGTCTCTGGTTGAACCTTCCTGAGCGCCCTCATCGGCGACCGCAAGACGACCGTCTCCCTGGATCGAATCCCCCTAGACGAGCGGAAGTGGACGCTGACTGGGGTGCCGATGGGCTCCTTGACCTCGGCGGCGCTACTACGGTCCGATCTCTGCGAGTGCTTGGCGTTCTCATCGACCCCGGCTTCGCCTTCACTGACCACCTCGAGTACGTTGTGTCGAAGTGTCAGCGACGCGTGCAGGTGCTGCGCCGGCTGGCATCCTCCTCCTGGGGCCTCAGCACTGCCCTCTTAGCACACACGGCGTGTGCCTTATTGCATCACGTTGCTTGCTTCGGTATCGTCGCGATCGGCCCGTATGTCGACCAACGTGCTGCGCGGAGGTACGACGTCCGGATCGGTCACGTGGCGGCGCGCTTGGTCCTTGGTGTTTCCCGCACTGTCCGACGCGAGGCCCTGTACACACTCTCTGGCCTCTCCTCTTACCTCAACCTGTACCAGCAACGGGCGGCCACCTTCCTGGATAGCGTCTTACGTGGTCCTTCTACAAGTTTCCGGTCTTCGCTGCTGACGCGACACGCTTGGCTTCGCCCTACTCACGTGTTGGGGTCTCCCGCTGACACTCACCCGGTCTCCTGGAACGAACCGGTCTCGCACCCCTTGGCCAGCGGCTGCGCGCGTGCCGCTGTTGTCGCCGCCTTAGGTAATCTCGCGGACAACCACTATGCCTCCGCCGCGTGTCGTGGAGCCATCTGGTGTGGCGCCTCTGTTGCCCCTGCTGTCTCTCGTGCGCACGTTTGGACTACAACTCCGGCCACGACTGCCCGACCACTGGCGCACACCATGGCGCCGGAGCTCTCCGATAACCAAATCCGGCGGCTCCCTGCGGCTTGGACAGCTGTCGGCGCTCAGCTTTTGCGTGGTATTGGCTGGTCACCCAATCGCATAACGCCCCTGCGGCCTTTCCGCTCCTCGGTTCACTCCCGTCCGGTTGTCTTCCACCTTGATGGGATTCTCCCGCCTCAGCTCGGAGACGTCGCGACGATTCTGGCTACGGATGGCGCACACCTCCCGGGAACTCCTTACGGTGCGTACGCTGCTCTCATACTCGGTCGCGGGGTTCCCTCTTCTGGTCAGGATTCGGCGCTCCCTTCTGAGCTTGCTTGCGTCGCTGTCAACGGTGCGCTCAGTGCTTGGCACATGGAAATTGCTGCTGCTGCGCGTGGCTTTCGGCAGGCTCTCCTCGCTGCTTCTCGTGACTCCGCTGACCCGCTGGCCCTCGGGCCGCGCTCCCTGCTCTGGGTGTTCGACTGCCTGGGAATCGGGCAACTCCTGGCCAACCGGCACCTTGGGCATGAGCGGTCTTGCGCGTCTGAGCACGAGCTGCTGGACCTCTTCGCGCGTTGCTGTGCGGTGTACGATACCGCTGCTGTCCACTGGACTCCGTCGCACATCGGGAACCCGGTCAACGACGTGGCTGACGTTGCTGCTGGGGCCCTCCTCAAGTACGCTCCTGCTGCTGGGTGCACTCCTCCGCTTCTCTCCTCTGTGAACGTCAAAGGGGCGATTAAGGTCTTGCTTGCCGCCGAGGAGCACCGGCTGCTTGTCACCTTGGACCACCAGCATGACAGTGCTAGTGGCGACGTTCTTGCTGCGCTGCAGCTATCCCGCTCGTCTGCGCGGGCGTTGTTCTTACGGCTCTGCCAGGATCCCTCTGATGTCTCTGCGGAACCGGATGGGGCTGGGGCGCTTGCGCCGTTGGAGGCTCGCTGCCCCCGAGAGGTGCAGACCTTTGCCGCCAAGTTACTGTCTGGGTCGCGCTTCAAACACGCTGGCCCCTTCGGTCTGGAGCCTGTGGCCTGCTACTGTGGTGAACAGGACACGCCTCGCCACTTCTTCGGGAAGTTCTGCGCGGATGTCACGCAGTTACGTACAACTGAGGCACTCGCGGACCTCGTTCGCTGCGCGCATGTAGTTGAGCGCGCTGCTTGGGTGGAGCACTACGACGACCTCTTCGGGGATGGTCTCGCTGTTGTCTAGGTTTCCGGCCTTTCGGTGGTGCGGTGCCTCGCTTTGACTGGTTTGGCTTTTCCTCTTTTTGCGGCTTACCTCTCTGCTATTTCATTCTACGGGACTGTGGGTTGCGGTCAGTGATGCGTTGGCTTTTCGGAAACTATACGAGCGAGCGGCGGCACTGTGCAGGAGTGTCGCTGCTCCCTTCCCGCGCACTTAGTAAGTGCTGGCCTGCTGCTGTCGTTGAGCTCTCGCTCCACACTACGACGCGGCTCGCCGCGGGGAGGTCCGGTGCTTTGGGGCTGCCTTGGCGCGGCGCACCGGCTTTCGACTAAATGCCCCCGACGATGTTTCTCTGCTTTTTTCACCGCTGCACCTGCTTACCCTTTTTCGGTGTTGGTTCGAGGTCTCTGGCTTCTTCTTACTTACCATGACGGCACCGGCAAACGCACCCGGACCGCGGCGCCTCCTGTTAGGACTCTCCTGTATTTGCCTAACGCGTCGTTGTGCTTCAGATTCCGCCCCCCGGGCCGTCTGTAGGTCTGTGGATAACCGTCTATCCTTCTCCTAATAATAATAATATGATAAAAAGATCATGTTTCATAAGCCTAAGCATTACCACCAGATGCAGTTGAGGTGTAGGTGTACAAAGTAAGTTTCTTCATTTTATGTTTCTACCACATCCTTGATAGAGTTGAATAGAAGATTTGTTCATCTACTTGCTTCGTGCTGTTGTTCTTGTTTCATCAGAAACAGAACTACAACAAGGAATTGGAATGACAAGTGAAATTGTATCAATGATCACAGCCCTCCTTTCTCTTTCATAAAAAACGTACTTGGCAAGGAACTACAACATTAGAAAAAATATCGCGGCTCGATTTCGCAACGTGCTGCGGCGAACGCGGTCTGCAAAGGAGAGTGCTGCATCTTCGCGTGTACCAGAACAAGAACAAGGTCAAAGTACTGCAAGTGCTGGACAAGAAAAATTGCAAGAAACAGGACACTTCTCACCAGAAACTGTCGAACTCCAACAAGATCATCTTCAAGAAGCATTGTTTCAAGAAGATGAAGAAGGTGCCGAGGAAGTAGAAGATTGGACGAAATTCATTGTCCAGAGCATCGTTAGTGTGAAGGTGAGACACTTCAAATTCGACGAAAGTTTGTGGATGCTCTCTCACTTTCAAGAAGATTTTAGTGATTCCACCTCATCAGTAAGAACAGCTGAAGTTGGGTTCTCGCTAGATCTGAATCGACTAAAAGACCTAAAATTAAGGCTACCGCTAACGCATCCTCAACACCATCCTCGGCTTCTTTTTGAAGCGAGAAAAGGCCCGGGGATCGATGGGCTCAAGGATGCGACGTGGTAGCTCTAAAAAAACATACGAGCAGTCGCGACATGGAAAAGAACCCAATTTTCGCTGAACCTACGCACCGGGAAAACCCACATGTGAATGGTCATCTTAAGGCTTGTTCCCCTGTAATTCTTCATTCCTGAGAAGAACTTTACATGATATTCTCTAGTACTCACAGGACATGGACTCTTGACATAGTACTTTTTAGGAAGATCATTCTCAGACGAACACGATGAACCCAGCAAATAGAGTAGATATCCTTCTGAGAAGAACATGAAGAACCCAGCAAGTAGAGTAAGTACTCATATCATTCTCAGAAGAACATGAACCCAGCAAGTAGAGATGAAGCATGAATATCCTGAGGAGCTCCTCCATTAGGGTCGTCGTGCGCTCCCTGAGCAGCTCCAGGAGGGTGGTGCGCTCTAATCATGTGGCCTTTGAAATTGCTAGTCCGATTCTGGACCTCGTAAGGCAGCTGCAGCAGGAGGATACCAAAGATTAAGGGTTGGAAGTTGACATCTCTATGCGCATCTCTATGGCTTCTGCAAGTAGGAAAGCCATAGATCTGCGAGCTAGAGACGCCAACTCTCAACCTCTAAAAAGAGGGCACTACGAGCACAACGACAAGAACTGACATTTCCAAGGTTGACGTCTTTCCAGCTTTGGATCTGCATTTCTCGGAACACATCTCAAAATTGGAGCTCGGCCTCACGTTCTTCGCAAGCATTGAGGGACAAACGACGAGAACAGTAAGGCCGATCTCTAAACAACAACAACAACAACTTCAATTCTTGTCGGAAGCAGACAGCTTGGAGTGCGAGACAGAGAACTTCATACGTTTGCTAACTGTGGCGAAACAGACAAAGATAGCACTGCAGCTCGAAGGGGTAGACGACCAAGAAGCTCCTTCTACTTGGTCAGGAGGCAGTGGAACTGGAGGACCGTCTTCAACTTCATCTGCGACATCTCTTACTCCGCTTAGTCCGGAAATTACTCCGGAAACTTCTCGTCATTCTGGCGAGGATACTGTAGTTGTACCTGCAGTTCGTGCACCTCCAGCTCCACCTGTTCTTGCAAAAATACAAAAATATCGAGCATGGGGGGCTCTTTCACGATCATATAGAGGGTCGTCAGCGACTGCTGCGAAGATAGATTCCTCACATGGAAGAACTACAACTGGTACGCCCGAAACTTCCGAATCCGGACACGTCAGTGCTCATGACCTTGGTGTACCTCTTAGGAGAAGTTCTATGGGTCGTATGTTGGACCAGGAGGAGTACAAAGCCACCGGCGCTTCTTCAATGACGAGTCTTGTTCCGAGAAAAACTGAATCAGATCATCCACATGTTGACCTTCAGCAAACAGCACAAGGACAACATGATCAAGGGCGTGGTCGTCATCTTCAAGAAGTCACTGCTTTAGAAAGACGTGGACCGAACTTTAAGGTGTATGGTTCTACCAGTTTGGTCATTGCACAACGCAAAGAGAAGTTAAAAACAAAACAGCAGCATCTTCCACCCAGAATACACGGCGTGACAGGTCCAATACTGAAAGTGTACGGTCTAGAAACAGAAACTGTACCACTAGTGGAAGAAGCTGAAGAAGAAGTCCAGCAGGGGACCAAAGGTGGACGTCAAGATGCTGATATCACTCCAGGAAGAAAGCCTGCTCAAGGAGAGGACGAACCAGGTCAACAGGAGACCGTCACGACTGACACAGAGTCCCCTGAACAGGCTGCTCGTGCAGGTCATGGAGAAAGTGGCGCTGATGGTGACAAGATGAAAACAATTGTGAAGCTCTAGATGGCAACGTTTTTTAGATATTTATTTAATATTACTCTTGGATTGTTGCTCCAACAAGAAACAATAACTTAACAAGATGTACTCAGAAGCGGAGTAATTCACTTCTTCTATTGTTTCTGATGTACCTACTTGTAATAGTACCTCCAATATTGAATTATAAGCAAGTAGTAGTTGTAGGTAGTCCGACTTCGATTTCAAAATATAATTGTCTTTTTTTTTTCTCGTTCTTGTTCCGTTTCCGACGAAAGCCAACAGAATTTCTTTCTCAACACCAGCCGGACGTTTATGAATATTTAATCAGATATGATTCTTTTCAAGAATAATATATATGGCATGATTCTTTTCAATGCATAGTCCATCAGTCCATCGCATGATAAAATGAAATAAGTGACCTCTGTCAGTTATCAAAAATATGGAACAAAGTCGTGACTCACATATTTATGTACTCTTACTCGTCTTAGTCTTACATTGGAAAAAACAAATTGGAATTGTACAAAAACAAAATTGACAGGGACCGAAAAGTCAGCTATTATTGAATATTGAAATTGATAGAAAGCTAAAATAATCTATGTACTTACTTTGCGCACGACCAATTACACACGAGCATATTGTGACTTACAATCAATTGTTGAAAAACAGAACAAGAAAGCACGAGCATAAACAACTACTAAACACAGAACAAGAACGACAAGACCAAAAAATGCATAAAGATAAGAACATGAGGTGCAGGATACAGAGGTAATTCCTGTATGATAATTGTCGTTAATTGTCGTTGTTCTACTTCGTCGTGTATGAATTGTAGATCATCCACCTTCACAGCTTATTTTCTAGCTGATGGTCATGATTTGTCATCTGTTCCGATGTCGGTACTCAGCAGTGCCCTGTTCGATCGGATTGATCTTCAATGTCAATCTGTGAAAGATCTTCATGTTCATCATCATGAACATCCCGGCTGGTCACCGGGGTCCCATAGGGACAACACTACCGCGCGAAACATCGAAAGATGACCTGCGCACTCCGATGCCCTTGACGGGTCGGGGCATGGCTACCTCCTCTACGCTTACTGGTGGAGCGGTATGGCTGCGAGCTGTCTGGCACCGCTTTCCTTCGCAGGGAACTCGCCCCTGTCAGCGGACTGCGAGGCGATGCCCTTCCCCCCTCCCTAACCGGGAGGGTCTCCACTGGAGCAACGCCTTGGCAAGGGGCTTCCGCGGGGCAGGCGTGGCGGTCTCGTCCAGCGACGACCTCTGCGGAGACGGTCTTGGTGGCGTCTAGGTTTTCCGGCCCTTTGGTGGTGCTCCGCTGGCGCCTTGCCTTCGCTGCTTTGGCTCTTCTTTTTGGCGGTTTTACCTCTCTGCTATTTCTACGGGACTGCGGGTTGCGGTCAGTGATGCGTTGGCTTTTCGGAAACAATACGAGCGAGCGGCGGCACTGTGCAGGAGTGCCGCTGCTTCCTTCCCGCGCACCTGGTAAGTGCTGGCCTGCTGCTGTCGTTGAGCTCTCGCTCCATACTACGACGCGGCTCGCCGCGGGGAGGACCGGCGCTGTGGGGCTGCCTTGGCGCGGCGCGCCGGCTTCCGACTAAATGCCCCCGACGATGCTTCTCTGCTGTCTTCACCGCTGCACCTGCTTACCCTTTTTCGGTGTTGGTTCGAGGTCTCAGGCTTCTTCTTACTTACCATGACGGCACCGGCAAACGCACCCGGACCGCGGCGCCTCTTGTTAGGACTCTCCTGAATTTGCCTAACGCGTCGATGTGCTTCAGATTCCGCCCACCGGGCCGTCTGTAGGTCTGTGGATAACCGTCTATCCTTCTCCTAATAATAATAATCATCATGAACATGAGATCAGAATATGATGTAATGTCCCAAATGAAACGCTCTTACTCGGGTGCCTGACCATAAGGCGCCATAGCATAGTAGAAAGACTGTGGATCCAGATCCTAGATTGTTTCCTCCTTACTGGTTAGAGCCTAACTACGTCGAATCCACCTTGGTTCTTCCTCCTCAAGCTCAACCTCAAGAGGATGAAGATCCAGTAGTCGATCTATGGGGCTGACAGGACGACGATAGCGCCGGCGCTTAGTTAGTTTTAGCAGTTAGCAGGATACTTCAGGATGCTTGTTGATAGTGGCCCTTTTCTCTTTTATATCTTCCGCTGGTCTGTCTTTTTTCTAGTTAGGTCGGCTCCACCACAAATATTAATATTTCGACTATGAAACCAAAAACCACTTTGCTAGGCACCTCAGCAGCCGCTAAAGTCTGCCACATCGGATGGTAGGCCCCAACCTAAACTAACCTAAAAACTTTACTCATACTCAGAAAATTTGAAATTTTGTCGGGATTCCTTCGTGAGCATGCTCTGAACTGCCTAGGCTGAAGGAAGTGGCTGAGGATGAGGCCGGCAGGACTGTGTGCAGAATCACAGCCGAAAGAAGGCGCAAAAGCGTGCGCTGCCACATCCTAAAGCCTCCGACGCCGTAGGCCCATTGGCTGTCCTCTCAGATTCGTGAAGACTGGAGGTCTTGGGAAGCCTCCAAAAAGTTTCCCCACCCCTAGACGCTTGGGGGTCAGCTACGAGGGTAGCTACGAGCACTCTGTCGAGCGGAATTTCTCGAGTATCTCGAGCGGGGAGCCTTCCGGAAGTCGAATCCGAAAGGGGCCGACTTCCGACAGTAGCTCCAACCCAAAACTTCTGAGGTGAGTAAGCTTTTTGGAGGATTCAAGAGACCCAGACGTCTCAGGAATCTGAGGAGACGAGAAAGGGGCCACGGTACTCGCAATCTCTGAAGCGGGAAAGTGGGGCAGGCACCTTACATGGGTAGCCAGCCTCCCCTCAGTCCTTCCCATCCAGTCCTTTGCCATCGACTATGGGCTCGGCCTTTGTCTGCTTACTGTGTGCAAATTGCTCGCAAAGTTTCAAACTTTCTGAGTATGAGTAAGGATTTCGGGGAGACTTCGCAAGAAATATTCGGAGTTTCGCTTCATCGAGAATATGGTCCATCATTATAGTTTTACTTAGCTGTAGGTTGTTCATAGGCATAGCGGTTGCCGTCGTGCTTAACCGTTTGCGTATTTTTAGTGCCTGACCGTCGTGCTTCAGGCTTCCCGCTGGGTAGTTGAATGCTCGCCGTGCGGGAACTCGTAGACCCAGGTAACAAAAAAAAACGGGTCTAATCTGAGCTGCATTGCCGGATGAGTCAATGATAATTATGAGCTGTAATATCTGTTTTATGTCGGTTCTTGATGTGACCATCGGTGTAATGTCATCGTATCGGACGAATCTGGATTCGTCGTTATCACTCATACATGAAGCCCGAATCCCGATACTTCTACTTCAACGCGTATGTTAGTGCCTAGAAATACATCACATGAAAACGAGTTCTCCTGGTTGTAGAAGATGAAATCAGTAGATGCAATTACGACCAACTACCTTGATTTCCTTGCATGTGTATAGAAAAAACGAACAGATGTCTGTAGGTGTCATGCATGCCAACGCGAAAATATCTTGATTTCGACATCATCTCAGCGAAACATCTTCTCCAGCGAGTTCCACTTTTCTATATTGAATGTATTGATCGAACTGCACCCTCTTCATAAACAAGAAAGGAGACCGACAATGATTTCTGAAGTGATCTAACAGTCATGAAAGAGACAGCCATCAACATCAAGAGAATCACTATTCTTCAAAATGACTTCCTATCATAACTATTTTAATGGGGTTAATCTTGAAGATCACCTATTGACCTCAGCCCCACGACGACCGCGACTGTCATCCAGCACAACACCGACATCGTTCTATCATGCGTGCAACCCTTTACGGGGTCAGGCAGACGCCACAGAAGCAATACCCTTGATTGAACGACTAGCCGATGACGTGGCACAACTACGTCTTATCATTGATCCGGCAATCACAAAGATTAGCGGATTATCACAAAGCCTCAGGTCTGATTTTGGTCTTTCGGGAGAAGACGGACGAGTTACGATGAGGAAGTTCACTGACACTATCGCTAACAATAGACCACAAACACGAACAAGACTTACACTTCTAGCACTTCTAGCGACTCTAATGATGAAGTAGGGTGTGCATGATGAAGTAGCTTTCTGATGAATGAAGTATGATGAATGATCTATGTTTGATCACCACTTCTTCTAGATTTTATCTGGTCCTTCTAAGAATATATTTTATAATCTTCTCTTCAGCTCTCTAATCGGACATCATCGGTATCCTCGCAGGAAGAGGAACAAGACCGGATTTGCAAGAACGTGTGCGAAATCATGCTCACAAATTTGAGCAACAGGGAAATGACCGACGAACATGAAGGACTAGCGAGAATTGGCAAGAGCAACCTCGTGGTCTATAATGGAGGAGGACTTGCTAGTGCTTCACAAGAAGATGGCGAGCATCATCTTCGTCCCAGTAGTGCAAGCATAGCAGCAACGATGGAGAGGTCGATTCTTTCTCCAGGTGGGGCACTTCTGCGTGGCCTACGACATTTTGTGTCTGTTGCAGCTCAACTTCGTGACGAGCTGACCTTCGCAGATAGAAATCTCGTGGTAGTAAAGCGGAACATACTTCTTGAGTCCATGCTCCCTTCCCTCACATCGAAAGACAAGAAGCTGCTTGAGACGGTTTATCCCAGTCCTGCACCAGTGGAACTCGATCCGGCTGCTGGAGGAGACAGTTTGATGGAAAAGGGAGCAGCTCTTTATAATCGTGTGGCTGCTGCTGCTGCTGGCACAAGGGCTCCCTTGTTTGGACGTGGATTCCCATTTTTTCCCCGTGGAAGACGTTCCACCTCTCCCTTTGCTGCAGTAGATAAGCAAACAGCTGCAGCAAATAAACTAGGATCTCGATGCACTCGAGACGGCTTTGCTGTGTTTGCGGCACAGATGGAGCAACTATCAGAAGGGACAGGCGACATTGCGCGGAGACTCACGAAGATCCAGAACGACTTCCTCGATCAAGCTGAAGTTATGGAATTCCAGTAAGAATCATCCACATGATCGCGGGAGCAATGCAAAATTGTTTTAGATCTGCTTACATTTATATAAATATTGACTCCTATTACATCAATGAACTAGTATATCTAGAACTAGTGGGTCTAGAAGAAAAAGCAAACAGACTCAGATTTTTGTGTAAAGGTAAACATTAACATAGTTCGTATGGAATAAATTTGACTTCTCTAGACTACTCATGCTACTCTCAATATCGCTTTTTATGCACTGTGACTATGTAATCCTTTCATCAGTAGCCCTTCATAATATTCATTTTCACTTACACTTATGAGCAAAACCTACTACAACTTTGGGTTTGGCCCATCACAACTACTACCAATAGCAATACGAACAACATCTGGAATTTCCTATTGCTGCTCATGCGCATCCGACCTCTAACAAAACCCTACTAGGCCACGGCAAACCTGGCACAGGCGTTGACGTGAAGAAGCCAGGTCTCATCCATCCAGTCCACCAAGTAGACGGAGGCCAAGGCGTCTACAGACCTCCACAGGACAGCGATTCTATAAACTTAGAAGATGACGTCTCCAGTGGTAAAAAGACTGGTGCTGGTGCTGGGACTGCTGGTGCTAGTCATAATGCGACTCCTGAAGTCGCATCATCTTCAGGTGATGATCATGTATCATCCACGTCTTCTCGTAGCACTGAAACTGCCATCAGTGCTGCACCCGCTACTATTCCCACAACATCATCTTCTGCTTCTCCAGAGGACCAACCAGCAACTTCCGATCAAGATGACCAGCCAGCTCCTACAGTAAAAAGTAAACCCCCCTTTGGTTCGAAATGTGTAGATCGTGTTGACGAAGAATCAAGCGTCATCAATCTTTTCAAAGCTGGATCCATGCAAGACTTTATGGGAACTCAGCTGGATGGGACTGATGCAGCTGCAGGTGCTCCTGCTCAACAACGTGGCGGATCACTTCTGCGAAGGATGAAGAAAATGCTCCCTTCGCTTGGAAAACCAGCAAAAGCACCAAAGAAAGGGAGCTATTATTCGCCGCATGCAGTACTAGGTGAACTAGTGAGAAAAGCGGAAAGAGCTGAAGTTGAGGCGAAACTGCTAATCCAACGCGCAGAGCAGATTTTCGTACAGTTATGGGTGTAGGGAATTCATCTCCACAGTCATCTGGAACAGAAAGACAAGAGGAAAAAGGGACGACCCAGATGAAGATCCCTGAGATGAATTCCCAGAATAGTACCTCTAATACAAGCGCCAGAACTATCAGGTATTTTGAACACTGTAACGATACCGAAGAGCTGTAAGATACCGAAGAACGTTTTACAAGAGGGGCAACCAGCTGCAAAGGCAATGCATGAAGGCCCTCCAGGAGAAGCTGTTAGAGGGCTAGAAGATCCTGGTGAACAAGCAACTTCGGGAGCTCCTGTCGTGCCACCAACAGTAAAAGCATAACTCATCACAGAGATGGCAATGGGTTTGACGTAACACTTCGGTAATTCCCAAGAAACTCTAGCAAACTCACGCTATCATTATAAATGCTGAACTTTATCTTCAAATTTCGGTTTCGGAGAAGAGAAAAGCATCCTACTCTGCGCACTGCTTGTGGAGCTCCTTAACCTGCTCTGTTTTTATCTTTCAAGAAAAGGGGAGTCAGCGCGTCTGTGAGAGGGATAGAAGGAGAGGATAGTTGACTGTGTCGCTGCCTGTGGTTTTATTAATCGAGTGGTAAGTCAGACTCGAGTAGTGGATGACTGCAATAAGTCCAAGTCAAAGAGAAGGTCGTCGTGGTAAGAGTGACGAGAAATGCAAGCATGAAAGGTGGCGTTGTGATGTCCCATGAGCTGTCCCTTTGTCAACTCAATTGAAACAAGGACACAAAATTAGACATTGCTAGCTCCAAATCAAAGTCCAAAATAAATCTAAAGTCCGCAAAAATCTAAAGTTGATGGTTTTTGAGCCACCTTCGGCTACAACTGCTCAGTCGGCTGTCCACTCCATCTCCAATAGCGTTAGCGTCCGGTCTTGAATATAGATGTGAGTGAAGATACGCTGGTAGATGAGAGACAAAGAAGCGAAACAACCTATGAGTCTGCAGAGAATGAGCATGAGGAATGTAGGAATATTGAAAACCTGCGCCGCGCCCCAGTTGTCCCGAACACGGCAAATTGCATCATTATCTTGAATCTCACGTGATGTGGTGTACAATTGCTTTGTAAGAGAAAAACGACGTAAAAAAATGAAGTAATTCTAAAGATGATTGTTTTCGAGCCACCTTCGGCAACGCGGCGAGCCGCGCGCCTCCAAATACTGGATTTCGACGTGGGAAGAGCCAACAAAATAGATGATGAACACGAGTTGGCAGTCGAATTCGCACAGAGACACTTTCGAACACGGACAAAGCCGCATGTTGGTGCAGCAGCAGCTCTGTTGGGTAGAGGTGCGGAGGTAGATGAAGGCGGGTCGTTGACGTTAACTGAGGAACATTCCGGTGCTGGTGCTGGAGGGGCGGTAAAAGATGCTCATGCTTATGGATCCATGTTGTGTCAACATTACTTATAGCATGTTGATCTTTGGTCTGGAAGCCCGAGCCCGTCTTCACTATGATTAATAGTTATTTGATCGCACTCGTGTAGGTGTAGCTACCTTCATTTCGCCCTCGTCCTCTAACTTTCATCTGTCGAGGGAGAGTCCTCCAGCAACCCCTGCAGTATTCCCACTGGCCATGTCTCCAGTATTCCGACTGACACCACCACTACGTTCGAAGCCGAGTATTACGAGGACCCGCTTGTGGTGAAGTTTCAACTATGGAGGCTCGGGAAAGGTCTTTTTCGTAGACGCGTATTGCTTGGAGAAACGAGCTATTGCTGTCCAGCGACTTTTGTCGCGGGTTCCGCAACTTCAAGAGATGTTGTGTGTCCCAGATTGCACCTGTCTAGAACACGCAAGTCAAAAAGGCAGAAATTTCAGGAGCTGATGGGTGGGAGGAAAGTCGGGGTGGATCAGGTAGAGTCTTTGATGTATGCAGCTTTGTAGTTGTTGCTGCAACATGTGATGGAAATTGATTCTTCACAATCGCCGTCTTCTAGATCTCCACCCAGCACAGCCACAGTGTTTTCTCTCTACAAGAAACCCGTCTAACACTTGCCAATCAGGGCGCACCCGACTCCCCTTCATCGCCCTTGCCGTCGTGCGGATCGATCTTGGTCCGAATCGAATACGGCATTGACGTAGTGACTGCTGCGAGAAGAAAAGAAGCTTTCTGGTCTGAGATTCGACATCGATTTTCTGATGAAAAGCGATTTTTTCATCGAAACTTTCTGTTCCTCGATGAATTGGAAGGAGGTGGTGAAGGACATCTCGAAGATGGCTCCTGTACGGCATCCAAAGATAGTGAAACCCGTGGCAGGCGTGTTGATTCACAAGTTGGCTTTCTGAGGCCAGGGTTGCTGTTAGACGACACCCTGGATGACATCATGGACGACGACATCGGAAGTTTCAGACCGGGACTGCGCGTTAGACACCCCACTGAAGGAGCTGGAACCGTGCTGGACTTGGATGCAGATGCTGCAGAGGCAACGCGTATTTTTGTCCGTTTTGACCATAGTCCCGCATGTGCAGATCGGCGCCATGTGCTTGACACTCGTGGTGTCCCGCGTGAAGAACTGAGTGCCATTTGTTCTTACAATCTTGGTGAAAGCGACTACGGGGAGCAACATGCAGATCAACGCCTTGAGAACCCAAACTACAACGTGCAGCTGCAGGTTGTGTCAGCAAATAATAGAAATGCAGAACGGGGGCGAGAGCAACACAGAACGATGCAGCAGGAAATGATTCTAGTCGGAAGCTTCGTACGTGTCAAAGTCGCTCATCCTTGTCGAGGTTGGGGCAAGGTTACGCCGAGCTGCGTCGGACTAGTCGCTAAACTCGAAGGAACGAAAGCCATCTGCATTTTCCCATCTCAGAAACACTGTCAATGGACAGGTACAGTCGACGAGCTAGAAGTCGTGAGGCCAAAGCCACAAACTCTCGTAGTACTTAGAGCCGAGGGACCCTTCAGCAGTGGTGAGGAGGTCTTTGTTCTGAGGCAAGAGAGGGACATTTTGGAAGAAGACACGGAAGCTGAAGCTGGAGAGAAAAGGCATGGTGCGGCTGAAGCCTCTGCTCCTCAAAGAGAATCGACTCTATCGTCAACGACCACGATTCCAGATCCCTCTGCATACAGGACTATTGCCGATGACACAGCGGTGCCGACGAGTTTCGATACAACAAGCACACCGAGCAGCAGCTCTTCGACTGGTCCGATGCCTGCTCAACGTCAACAAGCAACACCAGACACCTTCTTCCCTCCACCACGCGCTGGAGCTGGTTCCTTCGTCGACTTGCATGGGCGTGCTGGGAGGAGGAGGGATATTTTTGGAGAACATCACTCCTCTAGTCGTGTAGGTGTTGGAGGATACAACGGAGAACAAGAGGATTACGAAGGACAAGTACAACCACGTTTCTCAGCACCTGAACCCTCGTGGTCAACACGTGAATCAACAACGGCTCAACACTTAGACAATCGTGGACGACCCCATCGCGGACCTCCCGGCGGACCTCCCGGACGAGAACCACCACCTCGCTCCTCCTTCCGTCTACGAGTTAGAAGAGCGTTTCGTAAGCGATTACGACGAGCAAACTGTCTTCGAGGAGAGCCAACTAGTCCAACTTTACCGGCTATTCACGAGAATTTCCACGAAGATAACGGCTTGATCGAAGGTGCAGGTGGTTTCAGTGTTTTTGATGCCAGAAGTAGTGCGGCAACGACATTGCGAAATACCACATCATCTTCAGCCACGGATAGCGTCGCTGGTCGGACAACGACAAGAACGACGAGGGGACAAGAAGAGGGTCCTATCTTCTGTGGAATAGGGGAGCAAGGTACTACGCAAGAGTCGAGGGGAACATCAAGACGGCAAGGTCATCAAGAAGCCGGTTCATCATCCTCTACTCTCACTGAGCCTGCCAACACCGAAGGGGAACAACGCACCAAGCCGCTGGGACGCCTGAACTACCAGTGCATGAATAAGCACGGCGCTTCTTGGTGGATTTACGCTGACCTCGAAGGAGATGTCTTCAAGACAAAAGCCGACGAGTCGCTGGAGGACGAGTTGTTTTCGGACGATAGCGGTGACGAAGGTGGTTGCACTGCTGGAACAAATGTTGGTTCGGGAACAAGACATGCTCATGATCGTAGTATCATTAAGGCTCAACTTTCATTGGTCATAGAGGTTGGTCACTGAAATCGAAGAGGGTCCCTCTGAGAGAACAGGGGAAAATGAAGGGAAAGGGGAGAGCCTTGGAGGAGGTCTCTTCCGTTCAGAGTCAGTGACCAATGAATGCTGAGCTTTAATATCACCAGTTGCGCCTCTGCTCATCCTTTGAAGCTCTTACTCACCAATCGATCGGCCTGGCTGGATCAGGTAGTTCTTCATCAGCAAGATGACCAGCGAGAAAGCCCAACATCACGAGGTGAAGATGAAGACGAAAATCTTAGTTCTAGCACTTCCTCTTCACGCGGTGAAGAAGACGAAAATCTTAGTTCTAGCACAGCCTCTCCCGCACCACTCTCTCTATCCCGCGCAGTTCGTGGAGTGATGCGCACGTTTGCGCTACCACGAAGTCAGAGACCGCTTTTACGGAAGCGTTTGCGTGAGAAATGGAACTTTCCATTGACCAAAGAAGAAGCTTTAGATCTAGGCGTGCTCAAGCCTGGGGATCATGCGCTTTTGGTGGGGATGGGGACATCTGGTGGTGCGAGTGCGACATCTAACGAAGTAGACACCACAAGCACAACAAACTCGATAGTAGAGGTCGTTTCGGTGCTAGGGAGGTGTATAGATCAACAAGAAACTACATCCAGCAAAGACACGACTTGTGGTGTTAGCTCGAAAGAGGTTGGTGAAGACAAGCGCGAAAGGGAGACCACTCAGACGGTCGTGTATTACATCGTCGAAAACAAGACCGGTGATGTTTCAACTGTACCCCGCGATCGCCTAATCGCACTGTGTGGCGCTATCGATTCAGGCAATGTGGCTGCCTACAACACGACCTCGGAGAGTAGAGAAGAACAAGTAGAGAACTCCCAAGAAAACCATCTTCAACATGATCTCATCGTTGTCAATGCTGGTGGCAAAGGCGAACGTTGTAATGGCAATTATGGCAGGAAACCGGTGCGGAGTTTCCGCGGTCGACCCGTTTACAAGAACGAAAGGGGAGCAATCATATATTGGGCAGGCTTCTGGAAGATGAACTACTTCGATGATACAGGGAGTTGGTATTTAAGGCTTCCCCTAATCCATCCCTGTAGACACACATCTTCCCTCAAACAACATATGCTCCCCAATTCCAATACAAGGGAGATACTGACGCATATGCTTGAGGGATTTCCACAGGGATGAAAAGGAGAGAGCTCTAAGGTATTTTGCGGTCAGGGACAGTCGCAAGTTGATGGAGCCACCACTCACTACATCTTTCTCTGCATCCTTTGACGATGCGGATTATGTCACTCCAGCCCAGAGCGTATCGTGGAGTAACTACGGCTACACTGGTGGAAAAGCGAGGCCCTGTCCGATTGTGACACGAAGCGGTCGACTACCCAGCGGTGTGCGTTTGCTGGGAGAATCGGAGGAAATGCGGGCGCCGCCAGCGCCGGGGAAGCGGATAGTGGTCTTACCATCAGCGAAGAATCGGCTAGAAGAAGGTCAAGATCATCTTCATGCTCTTGAAATATTGGAAGTAGTTGCCGCACACAGTCACAGCAGCTTGCCGAAGTCCCCCACCACCGACCAGTCTTGCGCACTCCTCGTACGAAGTGCTGTCAGCGGCCACATCAAATTCCTAGACAACGTGCCTCTCAGAGACATCTGGAGTCCCAGTCTCGTCCAGGACGTAGCCACAGTCGTGAAGTTTAGAGGTCAGCGTGAGAGCTTTGCAGCATGGTGTTTGCGGGAGTTTTTGCCTCCTCCAGAAGCTGCGGCAGGACTCTGGGAGGCTGTAGCTGCGAATGGGACTCTGGTGAGGCAAGTAGATGAGAAGAAGAGGCAGGAGGAAACAGAAGCCTTCGCTAGTTCTACTTGTGAGAGGAAAAGTGGGAGGAGATCATCTACATCTTGCGCGAATGCAATTGCCAAGAAGAGTCCTTCCGTTTTACCACCTGGAAGAATTTCACGCAGCAGTGATGTGGTAGTATTGAAGCGGCCCGAGGAGATAAACTCAGAGAATAAAGGCAACATGATAGAAGCACGAACGGAAGTTAGCAGACTGTTGAGGACTTCGAACCCAGCCCGTCCAACTGCACGAACGCAAGTTAGCAGACTGTTGAGGACTGCAAGACTGCTGGAAGGCAATATGGAAGAGACACTACGCGAGACGAGTCTTAACACCTGGCGACAGGAGGTGAAGAGGCTTGCGTCGCAGGAGGCGTTGCAGGACGAGAATGCTGTTCATGGCGTGGCGAATAGAAGGAGAACCTCAGCTAATGTCTCGCTATCGTGGATACCGGATCCGGGAGGTGACTTGCTTGGACGAGACCAGGGCTACCTCAACACGCGTGATACAGAGGTGGACCTGGTGGCGGGCCCGCTTCCGTCATCCTCCGTATCGATTTCACAAGCAAATCAAGCGCCTCATAGTGATAATCGTTTTTCCGCATCCTCAGCCACCTCCTCTGCTTCGTGTCCAGCTTGCGCGGTTGTGCGAGGAATCTCTCAATTGCGCACCAGTGGCCGCCTAGGACAGCTAAACCCTATTCTAGAGGGCATTTTAGACGAAGACGAGCTTCTCGCGACACTGGAGACAGTAGTGGAGTTGCAGGCTGCTCCACCTGACTTGGATGTAGGAGAGGGGCAACTGCCGCGACGAGTAAGCGTCGTTCAACAAGGGGCTACAGATGATCAACAGCAACAGGCTATGGTGAATACACCTCCCCGGTCCCCTGCCGAAATGGATGATGACACAGCAACGGGACTGCTTTGTCCGGCACATGCTGCTTCTCTAGTCGGATCGGCGACGTCATCGTCTCCTAGACTTCTTGGGAGTCAAGATGCGGCAACTGACGGAGCATTAGCACCAGTGACCGAAGCTGCACCAGAAATAGTTGTAGTCGACGCGAACAGAAACAACGATGAAGCAGTAGTCCTCACTCCTGAACGCAGACAATCTTTGCGAAATTCCGCAAACCTCGACGCTGCCATTGAGCATGAGCAAGCGATGCTGCACTTGGCTGGTAGAGACAGCGCAAGCGGTGAGCTACAACTTGCGACGATAAATGACGAGTGGGGCGCGGACGATGATTTGAGTTTGACGACGAGTCGAAGGGTTTTTCTCATTAGTACTGTAGTTGAGGGTGGACCTGCTCCTGCTTCACATGAAGATGCTACTAGTGCTGGAGATGCGACAGAGCTCAAACAAATATATCAGAAGCAGCAGAATGAGCGGTCTGAGCCTTCATCAGCAAGTCCTTTCCTTGGAAGAAGCAGTTGGATCACGAAGTCCTTCTCTGGCGCTGGGAACGACGTTGGAGAAGGGTCGTCAGCCCAGAAATACGTCAGCAAGAGTTCTACCTCTCACCTCGATAATGTCCTCAGTGATTTCCTTTATCCAGGTGCATCTTTGCCATCTTCAAGAAGTCCTGGCATGGGAACTGCGTTTGGAGCTTCCTCGTCATCATTTGGCATATCATCTTTCTTTACGAGAAATCCAACGACTGGTGCCGCATCGTCTTCCTCCTCTTGTTCCTCGTCATCCTCGAGGAGAGACCAGGCGTCTTCCTCAACAAAGACCCCCGATTCCGATTCCTCCTCATCCAGTAGTCGCCTCACCCCCTTCGAGCTCTTTGCCCTTGAGGAAACCTGCAGAGAAATCGACCGACTACGCGCCAAATTCGCTTGGCCCAAAAGTAGTGAGAAGCCAAAGCCGCCTCCCGGTGTACCTGAAATCCTTCTGCGGAGACCTGACTCTGAAGAACGTGGGAGAGCATTGAACCTGTTCCTCAAAGTCTTTCAGCAACTAGGCACGAAAGGAGCTGAATTTTTTCAGAGGGGATTCACTATCAATTAAGGCTCTACATCAAAATCCAACCCCACTTGGATTATCCTGTTAGTTGTTAAAATACTACAAGGCTGGTAGTGCCTCGTGGATTCTCGGGCTGTACTGAGGCAAGTACTTCTGGGGCGAGTATTTTAGCGGGATCTTCTTTATGGCGGGAGTGGAACTACTTCTACAGTTACGAAAGCTGTCCCCCCGACTTGTCAACACGGGATGATGGGTTCCCATTAAGGTTAATATAAGGGTAGCGCTAAATCAAATTTTCCCAAGACAGAGGTGTCGACTGGGGAGCATTGACGAAGGCCTTTGCTAATTTGATGGTCGAAGACGTTTTTAGAGTGGATGCAGCGTTGTTTTTGGCGGTGGTGCCGGGTCACGCGGATGTGGTGGTGGTGAGAAAGGAAGTAGGTGGCGGAGGAGGCGCTCGAAGAACTGCGAGAAACACATCAAGTCATGACCGTGGTCAGAGAGAAATGGACACTAGTACCGGTCGCGCAGCGATAATTCCGGCTGAAGTCCCTTCGCCAGGGAACAGCCAGAAATCCAAGGAGAGAGACGCACTGTCTCCAGAAGCCTTGCACATCGATTGTCCAGCAGCAATAGCGAGGCGGTGTAGTGCTTTAGAGGAGCCAGAAGAAGCGTCTACAGCTGATGCAACATCTACCACAGCATCATCTTCTGGCTCATCCTGTGCCACTTCAAGAAGTCATTCCAAGTCTCAGGCGTTTGAAGCAGCATCACCACCAACTGTTGAGGATTCGTCTCTGACCATTGGCCCAGCAGACCCAACAGATAGAGATGGTGACATCTTTCTAGCAGAATCAGTAGCAGACAATCTTCACAAGAAAGTTGTCCCGGACTACATTCCAGATGAAGCCCTTCTCGAGGCCCATGAGGACGTAGTGTCTGCCCTTCAACAACAACAGCATACAGCAGAAGCTGAACAGGAATTAGCAACAACCAATCTGGCCGCATCCTCAGCTGATATGGAGGAACTCCTTGGTGGTGGCAAATTCGTTACGCCTGACTGGGCTTTGGAAATCTTAGGTCGCGATCCGAGTTACGTGCGGATCCTCTACAGTTTCCTTGGACGCTTTCTCGCCTATTGCCTCTATATGCGGGTACGGGTTACGGTTCGCTTATCCGCGTACTTCTACAAGTGTTTGCTAACGCCAGAGATTTGGCTAGTCTTTAGACGATACTCAGGGGGAATGCAGAAACCGCCGAAACAAGAAGGTAGAAGAAAAGACCTCGTCAAGAACAACTACAGGGCAACTACATCTAGCCCGACGTTGGCGGACCGCGATAAGGAAGAGAAGCGTCGACTGACACCACAAGACTACGACAACAGCAAAACCGCAACTACTCCAAGTGCCAGTCTTCTTCAATACGACCCCCAACTAGAACTCGATGACGCTTGTTTTGTCGGAGGCGGTCCTTCATGGCGCTCAGCTGCCGAAGCTATTCGTGATTTGGCTTCAGTTGACCGGCTCAAAGCCAAAGGCTTATCCGAACTGTTGGCCTACGAACCGGCCTCAGATGTCGAGCACGTTTTTTGTCTTGATTTTTCTTTGGATTTCGCTTTTTGTGGGACTAAGAGAAGGTTTTTGTTGAAAGAGACTTCGTCGACTACATCGTCATCAAAAGGAGTAATAGAAGGCACTCAAGACGAGGACCAAGAGGACGATCCAGCTCCAGTGACAGGCGAGAACCGCAATGAGTATGTTATGTTAGTCTGCAAGTTCCTTCTCAAAACCTCAGTCCGCAACTCTCTCTCCGCTTTCGTCCTCGGATTCCAATCCGTCGTTCCTCAACGATGTCTCCGTCACCTCACTGCGCCTTTACTGGAATCAGTTTTGTGTGGGAAAAGTGCGATATCGGATCAAGATATTCTAGAGTTGAAAAAAAAGCATTTAAGGATTACGACATTCGATGGGGTGCCTCCGACATCGGCTGGGATGAGGGAGCTAGTGGATTGGTTCTTCGATGTGATATTGAACGACTTCGATAGTGAAGAAAGGACTAGTATGGCGAAAAATAAAGAGCAGCACTAAGACAGGCATGTCGATGTTCATCAACATCTGTGAGTGAGTCTCGACTATCATGATTTTACCAAAGTCAGCCGAATGTCCTCGTCACCTACAAGTCAGCATAGTGTCCTCGTCACCTACAACCTCCAATTATAGATTCTCTCTCTAATCCAAGACTCCTCATCTTCTGGATCGGCGTCGCAGTCGTGCCAGCAGCTGGTTTTGGCGAGATTTTTCCGCCCATCACATTGTCGATCGCTAGTTGGTGTGCTGATAGTGGAGTGAATAATCTTCATGCTCCAACAAGAACATCTTCTTCAACAGAGCTGCAGCATCAAAGTGCAGAAAGCAGTGCCGCTGGTAGTTCTAGCTCCTCCTCTTCGTCTTCTTCCACAAACCATCAAGGCAGAAGACGACACGTCACCTCTTCTAGCGACAAGTCAGCACTACTGCGGAACGAGTCCCTGCCACAGTCTCATGTGTGCTTCAATCGACTGGATCTACCGTTTTATCACTCACGGGAACAGCTCAGCCTCAAGTTGCGGAAAGCAGTGCAGCTCTGTGGAAATGCGGTGAGTATTGAATAACGAGGACCTAGGTTTAGTACCATAAATAGCGATGGAGGATTTTCTTATTTTTAGATTGAAGATAGATAGAGAGTGAATGAGAATGTGAACCAAAACTGTGAAATCTTCTTAAATCTTGAAACGAACGAAAAAGAACATATTAACCGATTGGAGTTATAACGAACCCTGAAGTAGAAAGATTCCAATCCTTGTAAAAATGTCACTTTTTAATAGCACTACTAGCTACAACGTAGCTTTAGCTAGGCGAGAGGACAACATCTCTTTCTTCAATGCCATCATAGCAAAAAATGTCTAGTTTAAATGTGCTTTGCACAGTAAAAGTGCCCAACACAATTTTTTTTGCAAATGAATGCGTCTCGATTTTTTCCACATTCATCTCTTAATGTCACTACATGTCTCATAATCATATTCATTGAGTTTGAGTGCTAGCACAGCAACAAGGCCGTCTCCTTCATGAGTAATTCTACGTACTTCTTTACTCCACGCGCACCCATGTGGATCACCATAAGAATGAATTTTCATATTGAACAGAAATGAGACTGCCCTGAATTATTTGTCAACAGTAGTTGATGTTGATCTTGATGACGACAGCCTCATTATATATGAGGTCTTAGTAGAAACATTCGCGAATATTCAATAGCTGCAACAGCAGAACCACAACCAGGAGAGTCTTCGAAAATATCAGCAGAATCTTCCGAAATTAACTTCTGATAGGCTTCATCTTCAAACAATCATGATCATCGTCCTCGAGTACGTTTACACTATCATCTACTTCCAACTCACACGCAACGTAAAAAGAGGCTTGCCGTTCTGGTTCAAACACAATTCCTTACTCCTTCCTACTACAGTAGACCAGCCAGACTCTTTGAATCCTTCTTACTCCAAGTAGCGTGGTTACTAGCCTACATTTCCCTATCTTCTCCTCGTATCTCCTAGACCACAAGCTAAAAATCCGCATGATATTGTAGGCGATACAGGAGTTTCAACTTGAGTTTATGCGTAAGTAGCTGTTCTTGGCTCTTGAGCGTGAATCGGTGCCTCACCGGCTTCTGACAGCAAAAATGCAGAAGATGAAGGTCGCGGTCGGTTGATGTTGAACTAATATCTTTGATATTACCCAGATCTAAATCAACTGTGAACTGATCCGAGCGTAGAGGTGCGGAGAGGTCGGCGCCCTGTGGTGGAGGCAAACTGATTGATTGCTCGGTTTGTCCATGGTCAATGTCCTAATGTTTTATTATGCGTCATCTTCGTCTTCCCTTCGGTGACGCTAAGCTAGTCTCGAGAGGAGTTATCGGTTATAGTCTCAATAGTCTCGACCTCGAGAGCAGCCTCATCGGTCCTCACTTTCCTCCATATGGACCCGTTGATCCCCTCTATTAAATTCGACGTCGACAAATTTTTTTCTGAAGAAAAGCGAGTTCTTCCCACAGAATTATCTTCTTCACGCAAAGTTCAAGTTAGGCTAGCATTCTAAGTAGAAGATGAAACAAATTTTCTGAAAGGTTACCAAATATGGAAGTCAAAATGCGCACACGTCAAGATGCGCGTGATCACGACCAGCATATTGGTCTGGCTGATGTCGACTCCCCAGAGCATGTGGGGGAAGCATTCTCCGTGCGACCGAACAGTTTCGAGGACCGACCATGGTCCGAGAAAACAGGTGACGTGGTGTACGTCATTTTAAGGCTATCTTCCTTAATCCATCTCCAGATAGTTCTTAGCCATCTCAAGATTATAGTTAGGACTATAATCTTAGCTTGGAGCTGTTCAATAGGTGGAATGAAGGAAGAACAAGCATCTTACTTCAGGATGTAACTGGAGAAGATGCTGGATGTCCTGTCGGGGACGCTCTAATCACTGGCGGCGGGATGCTCGTCGTTAGCGTGATTTTGATCACGTCGCTGATTTTACGCCACATCTATCTATCTAGAAATAGAAGTCGCAAAGCCAAAGAACATGCAGGATCGGTGTTGAAAAGTTCGAGGACTGGTACTGTTTGAGGACTTTAAGTATGCTGATGTGCAGATGGAAGAAGTACAACAAGTACAACTAGGTACTCGTAAGTTTTTTTTTTAAGCCCCATATTTATATATTAGATACCCATTGCCATTCACTTTGTTCGTTACAGGTCGACGTCTTCACAATGTGAGTGGTGCCAATACTGATATTTTCGCTAGCGACAGCGACTCCTCGTCGGAGGAAAAGCTGCTGTTGAACCTTGCGGATCGAGAAGGTCATTCTCATGTTGCCAACATCATGACAGCAAGCAATCTGTCGTTTCTGCAGAATGAGACGTCTGTAGCCAGAGCTATTCCAGATCCAGGGACGCAAGAGTGGAGGCTGCTCTTGTGCGAGAACACGCTTGCGAATAAGGCTTTGAGCAAGCCCTATGCGTTGGTCGCGCCAACGGAGATAGCTGCGGCGAAGGCGTACTGATTACAATTAATATATATTAATAACAAATTTTGTCTTACCGTTATAATACCCTTACCCCCTCCCCTTGAGCCCCCCCCTTTGAACCGTTGCGCCGACCCTTATGACCCTTACGCCCCCTCTTGCGATACCCTTTGAGACCCTTGCGACACCCTTACAGCCCCCCCTTACAACCCCTCCCTTATGAAGCAGGCGACCCCTTATGATTTCTCCCCCCCTTTGTGACCCCCTTACAGGTTGGCACCTTTTTCCAACGGAGATAGCTGCGGCGAAGGCGTACTGATTACAAAGAAATACAATTTCATCATGGGAGATTCAGGCTTCCACTTCCTAGTTCCTTTTCGATCGAATGTTTCTTCCTTTCAGTTTTTTGCGAAGAACAGGTTGTATAGACCATATCTTATAGATACTCGCATTTTCTAACTTCGACTTCTGACAACTATACCCGACTCGGACCATTCATAACATCAGAACCAGCGGCGCCAAAAGCAGAAACGTCAAGTGGCGTTCTGATGGTAAGGCTAAAGCCGGTAAGCCTGAATGCGACTCTTGGGAGACTGGATGGTACGAGTCAGGGCTTGACGACCTCCCTTTCTGGCAATTCCTGCCACATCAAACCCACGAAGCCGGAAAATCAGTACAACAACGTCCTCTGCTGTTGAGGGGGAGCATGTTTTTATGACGGACTCTAACATCACTAGTCGTGTCACTCTGATGAAGTGGAATCGGAGTTGTCCTTGAGTATCATGGTCCTTGAGCAGCACGCCGTTCTTGTTTCGACGTCCTGTAGCTATAATTACAACGGCTTCGCGTCAAGATTATTTATTTGTCACACCTACATCATCTTCGCATACTCTAAGACTCCGTTCCCCTCGCGACGACACGCACGAATCGATCATTGCGCGGACTACGGCCATGTTTCAGGATCCGGGAGAAGAGGCCGATTATCACGCCTGGGAAGAATATGGCGCAACTTTCATTGGTCACCATTTATAGATTGGAGTCACTGAGATCGAAGAGGCGACCTCCCCTTGGGAGAGTCGCAACTTTTGTAAATAGACCAAGTTATCATGGAGGCGTAGGCTCAGGCTCAGGTTGTACTAGAAGCGGTAGGAGTCCTCAAGAGGATCCGAGTACAGCTAGAAGGGGACCCCTTGAGAGAACAGAGGGAAAGGGGAGAGCTTTGAAGAGGGTCTCTTCCGTTCAGAGTCAGTGACCCGTGAATGTTGAGCTTTAAGAAGAGTTCCTGAAGCCTGTCCATCTCCGAAACCACGCCAGGATCGAGAAGGAGCTGACGAACACAACGAAGTACGTGGTAAAGAAGATGCTCGGGATGAAGAAGGATTCATCGTCTGGGAGTTATGGAAAGGCATGCTAGGTGGTTTGCTTTCGCATGCACTACCTTCTGTACTGTGTGTGTGGATTGCTTCGTATGCATGTTTCTGAAGTTGCACTACCTTCTGTACTAAGCTTTGCCACGTCCTGTTCAGATGTAAAAGTCGTTTTTTCATCTAACTCCACCAAGCCGACGACCGTTCCGAGGGTAGCGTCCACAGACACGCAGATGGTGAGGCGGTCTTCAATCCTCTGACTGGGTCTGACATGAAAAAAAGAACTCCTAGAACTAGGTCTTCCTCTATCCGAGGCAGTCTCGCAAGTCGGCGAAGTAGCTCAGGAGGTCATCAGCGCTCTATGTCGGAAGGGCGCAGATCCATCGGATTCCAGAGGAAGCATCATAGCAACAAGTCTAGCATGGCGTCGAGCCTAGCAAACAACATGCACGACGCGTTGGACGCGATGGGGGTCGTGTAGGAAATTTCCGGATTTTTGATTTGGATTTTCGAAGAAATGATGAACAACGAACAATGATCTAAAAAATGTTCTTCTTTGAGACAGTGATAGACTAAAATTCTCGAAGATAGGATCTGTTTTGACAACAGAACAATATTCCCCGAGCCAGAACACATCACCTATCTTCACAGTAAAAACGTAACGTCGCATAGTACTCCTATGATCCCAAATGTTAGTTTCTGCAAAAAGTCACATACATGTTGCATATGAAGTAGAAGTAGTTGCTTCACCAGCTGCATGAGTAAAGTTAGCAGAAGTATGCAAGGAACTAGTAAGTAGGTATGCAGGACGAGTACTAGATGTAGAAAGTATGTCACATCATCTTCATCAAGAGTACCCTGACCCATATCCATCAGTAGACACGAAAAACCTCGACCCGTAATCTTATCATACATCATACCCTTAGCCTTACTTTCACGTGCGATGACTTTAATCCTCAAAATCCCCTTGTTGATAACGCTAACTACCCCCCCATGATAATGCCAAAAGCTGCAACTTCTGCACAGCTTGACTTCGTAGAAACTGTTTTGTCCTCCATAACCATATGCATGTCTCTCAACACCCATTCGTTCCACATCCTTCTCACGAACAAAAACATGATATCTTGATTGTGATATCAAAACTAAAACATCATCTGTTTCGACTCCGACGAGACCATCCTTCTACTTGGCATCAGTCCCTCGGTAGCTAGATTTGCCATGCGTCTCACTCAACAAAGTGAAATCCGTCGATGCAGTCCTCGATTACAGCTGCCTTTTAAATAACATCGACCAAGCTTGGCATCGATTCGACGCAGTGTCCTCGTGTGCCACGTGTCGTTAGGGCAAGGGCTGTTCTCCTCATACGTTGATCATCTTTATACTTATAAATATATAGTGTTAGTCAACATCAGGGAAATCATCAGGGAAATCCGTAAAACTCAGAAGAGATTCAGGGAAGTCGTAGGACAATTCCGAACCGACTAACATCGTCATCAGTGTTAGGCACAGTCATCTTCTTAGTCTTGAACTTGCGCGGGTACTACGGGTAGTTGACCTAGCGAAGATGCCTGCCGCTAGCAACGTCACTAGTCTCTTGGAGGATCTCCAGCAACACAATGAACATCCAACATCCTTCCCCCAACTCCAGCATCCATCCTTCCACCACCAACAGTCACTAAGATTAAGGCTCAGCTTTCAATGGTCATTGGGGTTGGTCACTGAGATCCCTCTTGAGAGAACAGGGGAAAATGAAGGAAAAGCAAAGGGAGAGGCATGGGGCCCATTTCTTTCAGAGTCAGTGACCATTGAATGCTGAGCTTTAATAAGAACACCAACATCTTTCTGCGTCGGCACTGATGTTAACCTCGCAACGGTGTATACCTCGATGCGCGCAGCAAAAGCACTTGCCGCGGATTTGCAGAATAGCAATGCTTTTCCAGAACAAGGATCGGAACCTCCACAACTTGCCCAGACTTTCCGCGATCCAAGAGAGGACGATAGTACTAGTATTAAGGCTCAACTTTCAACGGTCACCATTTAGGTTGGAGTCACTGAGATCGAAGAGGCGACCCCTTCTTGAGAGAACCAACAGGAGAAATAGACGAAGGGACGAAAGGGGAGAGCTGTGAAGGGGGTCCCTTCCGTTCAGAGTGAGTCATGGTGACCATTGAAGGCTGAGCTTTAACAGTAGTCCCTCCGAGAAGATGCAAGGTTTCCAAACCGCTTCCGATCCAGATGCACGGCAAGAACAGAAACTAGAACTCCGCAAGTTTTTGACGAAACTACGCCAACCTGGAAGACGAGTAGCTGGACTAGAGTGGGTCGACGAACTATTTCGCGGGATACCACTAGGCAATGTTGCCCAAGATAAGAAGCTTCAGACGGAAGCAGCCAGTGCGCATGGGACACGATTTTCGTTTTGGCGCCCTGCGGATCTTGATACGAGTGTAGGGAGAGCAGACGGAGGAATTGGTTCGATCTATGGCTTTAGTGGTAGTTGGAAGTGCATACCTACTTTTGATATCGACTCTCATTTTGTTGCGAGTTGTAGAACTTCTACCTCAAGCGGGAGAACAAGGTGAGCATTACCTATTTAGAAGCAATAGAAGTGCAATTTTTTCCTCTTGCTCTAATTATATCCCACTCGCATGGTTCCCAAGCAATCAACTCTGCAGATGGAGAATAGCTTGCAACGGCTCGGCGCTGACGCTACCGACATCGAACAACGGACACAGCGCGATCTTGCTGCGATCAATAACCTCCAGAGACTACTCTCCGACGCTGCGCAAAGACTTCGTGGCTTCTCACAAGTAAGTGAGGATGCGACTGAAGCTGTACGAGAAATAGTTGGGTGGAAGGAGAAAAAGTATAAACACAGCTGCGAAACTGTCACCGACATGTCTTTGTGTAGGCAGTTGGAGAACGATGGGTATTGTGTGCTTAACAAAGCCGACAACACATGCTTACCATGGGATTGCGGAAAATTCGCGTCGGAGAACGAGTGTACAACGACAACGATGACCTCGGGAACGTCGCGTAGTGCTAAGGGTGACCATTCCGCTAATGGTAATGCGACTGGCACTAGTCGTGTTCACGAAGAACTCTGTGAATGGGCAAAAGCGGATGAGGCGGGTTTTGATAATGGTGTTGGGGAGAAGCTCGCAAACGGAGGAAAGGAACATAGTGCGGACGCGGCGGGGGCAAAGGCAACTTCCGGAGAGGCACATACTGAAGCCGCAAGGGCAGCTTCTGATAATGTCGCTACACCCACCCAGGATGCTAGAAGTTACGATGGCGGCAAGCCAGGCTCTTCCGGATTCAACGAGATCGACCGGCACGCCGTCGCGAGATCGGGTACAAAACCAACTTTATCTACTTCCACTGCCTTTGCTGACGCGAAAACAAAAGAAGAAGCAAAACAAGCAGGAGGTGCAGAGGTGACAGAGACAAGCGCTGGAGCTGGGGGTAAGAGCGCTACAGCTGCATCTGACGGAGGTGCCCCAGCAGACGAGAAGGCAGCCGAAGCCGAAGCACCTTCATCTTCATCTCCCCAGGCGAATATGACCGATAATCATGCCGAAGGAGATAATACTTCTGCGCAAGAACAAGAAACAGGAGCTGAGGCAGAGCACACAAGAACAGCATCACCAGATGACCCGTCGGCTAAGAGCTCGCAAGTAGAGCGTGAAAGTGGCGACGCAGCAGGGGCAGGAGCAGGGGATGCGCCGAAGGAAGACGTAGTGAGAGATGTCGATTCTCAGAGTGCTAAGAAAATCATTGGTGACGTAGAGGTAAAGCCTCGTCCTTCATCACCTGAATCTGACGCACAAGACGGTACTGGTGATCATGGGGAAGGTGCGAAAGTCGATGGCGCCGCAGACGACCAGGAGCCGGCAACGAGTGCGCACGTCGATTCGCAAGAAAAAGTTTATACAGTTACAGACACGAAGGCGACAACAGATCATAAAGTAGAGGACGACAAACAAGACAACCAGACTCCAGCATCCTCTGATTCTAGCGCTTCCTCTCCACCAAAACCTGGCATCTGTCAACCGAAAGAAGAGACTGTAATCACTCCTGCCATGGTGATACGTGGAGGTCGAGGTGGTGGCTTCATCGTCATGGCCGAGAGGAATCCTGAAGTAGATGCAGAAAATGAGGATCAGGGCTTGGAGGGTCCATTTCGAGCTTCTGCAGGGGATGGTGAGGAGCAAGAACAACGTGTGGCGGGGGAATCTAAGGGAAGTCCGACAGGAACAGGTGGCGATGAAGCGGCAGGAGGAGGTTCACATCCAGTAGATGAACATGGAGGAAAAGAAGGTAAGGCGGCATCAGATGCGGATCGACCTCATGCTGATGCTGGGACCACATCAAGCAAAGAACCTTCATCATCTACAACTTCGAAGAAGAGCAAAAGCAGACACGAAGGAGCCCACCGAATAGCCTTCAAAGGTGTAGCAAAAAAATCCGAAGAAGCGCCGACAAGTACAGCAGCCTTGATGCAGATGCGCGTGCAAAAAGCAGAGCTAAAAGATAAGAAATACAGGTTTCCAGATCACACTGACATATTAGAGGAGATTCGATACGTCAATCTTCCCAAGAACAAAAATGCTTCTGGCTCTGATGCTGCTGGTGAGGGAGGCGACTCTAGTAACACAGATGAAGCTTCTTCTTCTTCTACAGCACTGAAGGCTGCTCTGAAAGCTGAGCTGGAAAAAAAGCCAAGTAAAACTTCCAACGACTTAGACGACGATGAGTGTAGGGGAATCACGCTTGTTCCTGGACCCGAGGGTGGAGGTGACAGGGATGGTTCTGGAAAGGCGAAAGGACTTCATTGGGAGCGTGTTAACCTCGATCCAGACAAAGTTGCCGTTCAAATGGTCGAAGATAAGAGCGACTACGCAGATTTCTTGTTTTCACAGTCTAAGTTCGACCTGATCGTGGCACCTCGTGAAGATGAAGTGCAGTGTATGCAACTCGTCTTTCGTCGTCCAGTCGCAGTTGAGAAGGATGCTCGCGGCTACACAGATATGACAGAAAAAAGTGTACTCATACTCAAGAAAAGAGGTTCTTTCCTATTTAGAATGTGTCTACTTTCTTGAGGATGAGTACACTTTTTCGCTTCATAACAGATGAAGGACCGTTTACGCGGTGGCTACTGCATCCGAATCCGAAAGGAGGATCGAAATCGGAGAAACGACACTGGAACATTTTGAGCAAGTATTTGGAGTTAAGACTGGCAAAAGTAAAAACTGAGAATGTAGTAGTGAATAAGATTTTCATCCCCCGTATTTTAGTAGAACTAGAAGATTTACTAACTAGATAATTAAAAATGTACTTACAACTTCACTTGTACCATCTCGCTCTTCCCTATCCCTGAACAACGGTTGTTCTTTCTGTGCCCTCATCTCTAATCCGCGACTTCGCTACGGACGTAACGCATGGAGACACTGGTTCTCTCTCCAACGCGTTCGTTCTAGAACAGGGTCTTCCGACGGTCATGAGCACGGGAGCCAAGCTTTATGAGCGCTGGAATGCCCTGGAGAAATTGAAGGCGACATTTCCGAAGAAGATAGCACGCCTAGCACAGCAGTTTTACGAGATATTGCCAGGGACAAGTCATGAAGAAGGTGCTGCATCTGAAACCGAGAAACCCACATCTTCTTCCCGTACAGAAGAAGATGACATTTCCCATCTTTCTGGTACTGCGGATTCCTATGTTAAGGGTTGGAAATGGAAGTTGACCTAGATCATCTCTATGCGCATCTCTAGTATGGCTTCTTCAAGTAGGAACGCGGCCATAGCTATGCGAGCTAGAGACGCCAACTCTCAACCTCTAAGTATGCCTGTGTCAATGCAGGGGAAAAACATGCAGCAATGGAACAACTTTCGCATCAAATGCATGCACTAAGTTTAGACCTGAAAAAAGCTGAGGAGTATACCTACGACGTCGAGATTTGGGCCCGAACGGCAACATTAGCGACTCATCGGAGCTTAGGGCTGTTGTCGGGTATCAGGCCACCGTCAATAGATCCGAATGTGAACCGAGCATGATTAGCATGAAGTAAGTAGGCAGAATTATGAGAACAGGAGCTCTGCTCTGATTCTGAATCAATCAGATGCGATTGAAACTGAAACTAGCAAGTAGCTTTAAAACGATGCGAACGAATTGATTTCGAGGCTTTCCTAGAAAGGACGGAAAAGCTAGATTTCTTTGATACGTTCGTTCGAGTTGCATGTGCGGCATTTCGTCGTCTAAAGCCAGTGACACAGGCATGCAGTTTTGCTACAGTGTTCGCTCACACAACGACTGCTGTTATGTTGTCCAGTATTTCCTGATCATTTTGTTTGCGAAAGGAAAATCGCTTCCACCACTGCTTTCCGCTTCTGGATACGGTAGCAACCAATGAACACTTGAAATAAATCTGCTCTTGATTTTGATTTGAGACAGACTAAGGCCGAAAAAAACGACTCCCCTCTACCTTGAAGATTTTCATGATCAAACCCTAATTTCACATCATGATGTCATCCTTCACCTTCAACCAACCCAAACTTTTTAGGGACCGACATATGCACCTTTGCCGCCACGCACTTTGAGAGTACAATAACCTCGAATGATCGGTCAGTGAAGAAATGATTTTCTTTCTTTGGTCATCTTTTTTAACTTCTACGTATTTTACTCGATACTTGGATGTTGACGCAGTATCAGGAACGTAGCCCCCACGCGCATAGTATAATATCATCCTAGGAAAATTACGCCGCTCTCGTAGCTTTGTTCTAGTACAAAAGATAGCTAGAAGGCATTCTTCGTCAGCTTTCACAAACAATCAAGGAGATTTCATTCACTTCGGCGAAAAAAGGTCCCAAAGAGGGCGAGGTGATAGCCTTAGTCTAGTTTCAACTACGAAAGAATTCTTCTCTACAGCATTCGCTTAAAAAGTATGCTCGTCGTCTTATACCTATCCGCTGAGTAATAGTAGACGTTAGAGCCGATATTTCAACGTTCAATGACTTTGACTTTCTTGTTTGAAGTATGTAGCCTTTTCTTCGGAACAGTTACACTAACTAGCACTTCTAGTCGTTTTTTCAAAGCGTCAACATAGATGTATATTTGATAAATACCTACTTATGCCTCAGCTGCACCTCATTCATCCTTCCCACTTAGACATACACATATCTACTTCTAACTGAAATAAGACTTACACGCCGTAACCATTGTTATTTAATACAAAAAGAACCTTGAAGATGAAACGCATTTTCTCTTTTACAGTCGTCCTTCTCGTTCTGCTTCGTGGTGCAAATGCCGCGTCGGAGGGGCGTCCGAAAAATTATCAGGCGTCCGACGACAATGGAAATCTTCGCTTAGTTGTACCTAGACGCCGAAGTAGTCAAAGGCTCCAACAAGGTCAAGGTGTCAGGACTTCGGAAGAACAAAGCCTTCACTGGCTTTCAGCAAGGTCAAGGCTTCAGGGCTTCGAGCAGCATCAAAAGCCCTTACTGGATCTCGAGCAGGGTGAAGGAGCGCAAGGACGAGGATCATCCTCAGTTCACCAGGCTGTAACAGCAACTAATGCTTCCTCACCTGTAGTTCCAAGACGTCGACGTCGCCGCCCAACCTCATCGTCGAAATGCGGCGGTCACCTTTCCCGTGGCCTTTTGTCCCTAGGTCGTTTTCTTTTTGGAGGAGCAACCGGCGGCGCGTCGAGTACTGACATCTCGTCTCGTCTCGGGATTGCAGCAACCTCAGAATCTGGCGGAGGTCTGCAATCCCGAGACGAGATCTACTGTCTCAGCAGAAGTACATCTGTTCGAAGTAGCGATCAGGACGTTGAAAGCGGTGGAGGAGGCTCTACTCTCTCTGGCTGCTACAACAATGTGCAAGTACAACCAAGTTGTAAAGTTGGACTGCAACTGCGCCAGCATCCAGAAGATGAGTTTTACCTCTCTGTGCCTAGTCGAAGTAAAGCACCTCCGACACTACTAGTAGCAGAACCTCCTGATGTACATACAGAAGCTACTGCAGTAGGTACTCGCACTGGTGGTCGTGAACAATATTATGAATGCTCCTCACATCAACTACCTGTACTAGAACGATCTAAAAAGAGTCGTTTTCACCTTCAGCAGGGTCAAGGTCATGACCATCAATTTGGCTTAGGATCCGCAGAAACCGATGGTGCAATAGCGTGGACAACGAGTGGTGGAAGTCGCGAAAGCGGAGCATCAGCATCAAGCGGAGGATCACTATCAGCTCTTTCCCGCTTCCTTCCAGCTTACTTTGTAAATAATCCCTTTGGAGCTACTTTTGGTAGTACTTCTGGAGCTTCGAGTAGTCTTACTAATTCTGAGCAACACGACGTAATTCATCCAGAAGCTTCCGCTGTTGCAGCTATTGGGGGAACCAACCTGAATTTTGAGATTGCAGAAGCTGCTGCTCAAATAAGACAAGACCCGGATCATGTTGGACCCACTGGCTGTGGCTCCCCTCCTTCTAAGAGTTGCATATCGAACAGACGGAGCAGCGAGCACGAGCACCATCTCAAACTTGAAGACATTGGCGAAGACGACGAGCATGACCTTGTTCGAAGTCAAGAGGTGCTAGACCGAAGCTTGGCAAGGGAGTTTGGCGCACATCAAGGACATCAGGAGTCTTATAGAACAGCCCTCCACCAAGAGGATGAGAACAATGAGAGACGTCCAAAAGTCCTACTAAGATCGAGTCATGTAGTGACCACTTCTGTTGGCGGAAATATTCTGGGCGGCCACACTTCTAGTTCTTTGTCGAAAGACGAGGACAGGGCCAAGAAACACACACTTCATCTTCTAGAAGAAGATGTTCCTGTTCCATTTACAAGGACAGCCTCTGCTGGATCCAGCACGGGAGCGGCAGCGTATGCGTGTGGCAGCTTATGCACGCTAATGTGCGGATCCGGTTGTTTCTGTTGCGTTGCGTCTAAGCCTACTAAGCCTTCGATCAACAACGTCCTCTCCGCCAGGACGGTTTCGAAAGAGCGAAGGAACTCAAAAGATCATAGTATGGCTCTTGCAGCAAAGCGATGTAAAGACCTGGATCCGGATGAACGGCAAGTTTCAGACCACGAAGAAGCAGGACAAGGACTACATTACTACTGCAGTTCGGAAGAGACATCGTCCGCTCAACATCAGCCTGGTACAACCATGAGCAGGTCTTATGCCACACCTAGTACTCGAACATCCCGCGAACAAGCTATTGGAGGTGATCAAGCACTTTCTTTTTTCCACGACAGGCATGAAGCGAACTATCGACTGTCACTGGCAAATACAGCGTCGTCTTCATCCTCACTTATGACGGATAGTCGTGTTGGTGGCGCCTCAAAAGGAGATGATCTTCAAGCAGAACAATCAGAAGCAGCCGACCGCCAACAAGTTCAAAACGTCGTCCCTGCCCCTCCACCCCCATACGTAACAAGAGCAACCAACCTCAACGACATGATCTACTCAAGAACAGAAGCACAAGAGATTTTAGAGGCCTCTCGCCCTTCAAGAACCACTACTTTGGGTTTCACAACAACCGCACCTCCAGCAAGTTTTTACAACAACAACGCACCCTGTTGGACAGAAGCAGCTTTTTATCAAGCTCGTGAAGAACCGCAACTACGCCTGCGTCAACAGAACGATAGTAGTACCCATTTTCCGAGTTCTGGCCGTCGAGGAGGACGGCATCTTGAGATCGACACCTCTGAAGAAACGCTGTATTACAGTTATTGGTCTGGTCCCACCTACGCACCACAAAGCACGCCACGACTACAGCCTATTCGCCTCTCATCTCCTACTACTGGACGAGGCGTAGTCAAGCCACTGGTGATGGAAAACACGGTAGCGCAGCAGGTGGACCTCGACAACAGGATGCAGGGTCGAAAAGATCGTAGTCCTGGAGAAATATATGACCGTGAGGACGACAGTTCTAAGAATTTCTTATGCAGTGCTGCAACAGCAACAGGTTCGAATGAAGATATGACTAGAGAAGTGCGAGGACTAGCTGCTTTTGGCAAGACCTCTAGCCGACCTACTGTTCGTCTCCCAGCCATTGCCGTTGCCAGAACCGTACTGGCTGAGAACATCCCTCGTGGGGATGTCCTTGTCGACCAAGAACAACCTGATGGAACCACGAAAACGACAAGAATCCCCAGCCCCCCTTCGATAGCTGAATTCGCAAGGAACAAGAAAATCGATGAGAAGAACGAAGAGAACATCGCAGCAACGTACGCCTCAATGACGTTTAATCCAAGACAAGCGGCTATTCAGGCGTTATTTGAGGCTGGATACACAGCAGGAGTCTTGAAGCAGATGTTTCGATTGCATGTTCTTGACGAAGAGTTTGTGCTCAATCACAACAATCGAGGCGCAACCTTCGAATCTAAATCGGACATCGTATCTCTTGCCGATGCCCGATACATGGCGCAACAGGTAGCGGGCAGAATGTTTGCAGCCATACTTAAGGCTCAGCTTTCATTGGTCACCTCATTGAGGTTAGCCACTGAGATCGAAGAGGTGCCCCGTGAGAGAACAGGGGAAAACGAAGGAAATAAAACCAAGGGAAAACCGACGTGGTCCACATTATTTCATTCAGATGAATCAGTGACCACTGATTGCTGACCTTTAACATACTCAACAGACGTCGTCCTAGTGGAAGCGGTAGTTCTCTAGGGGAAGTTCATGATGGTGCTTCTCCTGCTGATGCCGCGGAAGTAGGCAGTAGCAGTGCCGGTAAAGCTACACTTAGTTAAGGCTTACCGTAATGCATCCTAAGAAGCATCTTTGCCGTTGCCTGCCCCATTACTTCGAAGGGGAAGAAAATGCGTCAAAGATGCTTATGCTTTTCAAGATGAATATAATAAGTAAGAAAAAGGTCTAACTTACGCAACTTCTTGCCAAGAACAGTCTGGCTTCATCTCCTCCACCGGAAATGTCGGGTTGGCGTAGAGCCAAACAGACGGCTGCGTCTTCGACGGTTTCTGCGTTGTCTGCTCCGACTGTTTTAGAGTCGCAAGCGCATGCGCCGGATAAAGAGTATTTCAAAGAGCGTCAAAAAGCAGACATTGGCGGGAAATTAACGACAGCTGGAATTGGTAGTGCTACTGGTACTGGAGCTGGCGCACCACCCTCTACTTCTTTTCAATATTCATTAGACGAACAACGCGACTACCCCGCCAGTGCCAGTGCTCCTAGACTGCAACGTGCTTCACTACAACAAAGATCACGACACGTTGATCTGGAACTGGATGCTGACAAAAATAAAGAACCAAGGCCTGGGCATGTTGCTATAGACACAACAGGGACTAGAAGGGGCGAAGATGAGATTGAGGACACCGACGGCGTACATGAACCTCTAGTTTGTCCTCCAGCGCCAACATCAGCGTCGTTGCGAAATAGGAACAAGATGATGCTAACATTTGGAGCTGAAGTAGATGAAGGGCCAAGCCGCGGTACATCATGTTGTAGCCTCGATGCTCATATGCCTTCGCCCGAGGAGGCAGGGGATGAAGATCGTGAACAGCAAGAGAAGAGCGATGAACACAACGAAGAACATGACGATTTTCAAAAGGCAAGTTGGCGTGCTGGAGACAGAGATATTAAACCTAAAGGAGTACAACTACAAGGCTGCGTTCCAGGATCATCTGGAGACGTGGAACCCGGGATCCCGTCAGTACGCCCGTCTTCTAAGGTCCCTGCTATGCCGCAGACAGGTCGCGATGCAGGTCAAAAGATGGCTTCTCAAACTGGAGAGAAGGATCGTCAAGAAGGTCAGCAAGATCAAGAAGACCTCCTTCTACCCGCGGACAGACCCCCACCTCTTCCTCCCAGAAATCGAAAACCTTCCCTATCTGAGCTCACCGCTGCTCTCGGCGCCACTGTCAGAGCGATTCCACCCGCATCTTCTAGGAAGAAGAAGACAACTAGACAACATAGTGAAGAAGAACTGTCAAAGTGTGCTCTACCTCTATGTTTTCCGAGACACGCCGCAGAGTACACGAACTTGGTCAAGCAGGTATTGCCGAAGGGAAGGAGGAAAGGTTTTCTGAGGAAAGGCAATGCAAATCCAAATGATGATCACACAAGAACAGGTACGCGTGAAGATACATTTATTGGTGCAGGAGCTGGTCCAGGTACCAGTTCTAGCAGTGGCCAAGCGATCGGAACATCAGCACATCAGGATGTCAATCGTCTGCTTGAAGGCGACAGGATCAAGAGAAAAACAGGCTCAGCTGCTAGCACGGAAAGCAGAATGTTTTTAAGGCTGTCTATGATTCGTTTTCGCATTGAATGCAGTTCTTCGACAATGGTCAAGATTGACATTGTCATCCTTATTTATTTTTCGCAACGTTTTTATTTTGTGGCCGCCGTGAGACTATGCATCTAGAAAATGAATCATCAAACGCTCTTTCTAAGAAATGACGCTGCACCTTACGCTGCACCTCCACCCAGCACACCTGCTGTTCTCACTACAACTTATGCAGCATCTTTACCACTACCTCCAGACCTACAACACCAGCAGCAGTCACGACATGCAACCACTACAACGGTAACAAGTTCTAACTACTCGAGGCGTCCACCTACAGGCTCATTGCGACAGCCTGATGTTGGAATATTCTCAAGTCAACGAGACGTCGGAGACCAGGGTTCTAGTTGTAGAATATCCTCTCACACATCCGCCCACACTTCTCAAAGCTCTACTTCTACTCACGAAACAAGAATACTACAACATTTACCAAGACGTGTCGCTACAACTTCTAGTTCTAGTGGCTCTCATTCTCAACATTCTCAATCTCAACAAGGAATCTTACCAAGACGCGCTGCTACACCATCAGCAAGCACCTCTGCCACACACACCATGCCCCAAAGAAGAAGTTCAACCGGGAATGCCCTTGCTTTCAGACTAATGGAGGACATGAGATTGGCCAATGAACGCAGGAGGGCAGAACGGCGTGCTCAAAGGGATGGTGAGGCAATTGTTGGTGGTGGAGCCACAAGTGGTGCAACTACAAATACGGGGACTACTCCGGGTGGACCTCCTGAGGGCGGTGGCTCATCTACTGCTTCTGCAAGTGATACAACTAAAGGTGGAGGAGGGAGAGCATCACGGCCGAGAAACGCGCCAACCACCACCAGCCTTTGAGGAAAAGGAGAGCATCACGGCGCAGAAACGCGCCAACCACCACCAGCCTTTGTCTCTGCCCAGAGTCGAATCCATATCAGTTACATCGATACAGTACCAGGAATATGACATGATGTTGATATGTTCTTGTCTATACAGTCGTTGAAAAATAACTAGAACAAGTAGTTAGTAGTGCAGATTGTGAAGCAGAAGCGTAAATAGACAATCTGTTACAAACGGAACGATAAAGACAGACGAAGATGACCGATTTGAATTTGGTATTTTTTTTTTTTGACACCGGTCTATTGCATAGATGATACCTTCTGCGACTTTCACTTTTGTCGGTTTTAAAAACACACAAAATATAAAGTTAAAGGATTGATGATGCAGCTGCCTCACAGATCGATGCACCAAGAAACACGGTTCGCACGTACAACATATTCTCACAAATTTAGACTTGCAAAAACATCTGATGATGTCGGACGCATATGCTGCGGAGGTCAGTAAATATTTATAGGGTCGTTACTCGTATTTCGTAGATGGATTAGACCGCATGTGAAGAAGGATCAACGTCGTCAACCCATAGTGCGCTAAAAAAGGAGACTTCAATATCTATATCCGACGACTGGAATCCTTGATGATCATGCTTGCTGGGTTGTACAAGGGGACAGATAGGACGATCCACAATGATGATGACATTCTTGCAAACACCTACTAGTTAGATCTGATCTACTACATCGCGCCTAAAAACATGACCAGCGACAACTACAAGGATAATTGGCAGCTGCATCTCAAGTTATGCATTTGTGTCGTGTTGATAGTACGACGGGGAAATTACGTTCTTGTGGATGACGCAGGCGCAGCATAGGGCGAAAAGACGGAATCTGAGTGCTAAGCTTATGCAGAGCTTCTAAAATCCAGACCTCAGTGCTGTCACGGAGAGGCATGTGACTTCACTGGTCGAGATCAAAAAGTTACTATTTATTACTTCCGATCTCTGCGCTTAACCTTAGCACAGGCCTGCTCGTCTGTTTTAGTGTTTTCTAGTCGTAGTTAATTCGTTAACCAAGGGAGGCATCTCGTAGGAGCGGGTAAGCCAGTAAACCGAGCTAATGCAGAGCTTCTGTAAACCAGAAATTTTTCAGTCTGGTTTTTAGAAGCTCTGCATCCAGCAGGTGATGTGGTTTCCGATGGCGCTGAGTAGTTTATTGCTTTCACTTGACACGTGCAAAAACAAGCCGGGGCGAGAGACGGCAAGCCAGATGTGAGAACAACTGAGTGAAAACAACAGCCTCACCCTCTTTCATCAAATAATAAAATCTGGCATTCCACCTCCCATCTGCTAAAAACGCGAAAGAAAATTTCCTGCCCCTGGTGCATGAGACTGAAAAAAGTCCCAAGAGGACGATGAAACAAGCTGTGATAGTACGAAGTCGAAGGTGTGTCTTAGCTTAGGTATATGATTAGGGCAGCGATATTTCCAATTTTGATGTAGTCTACTTTTGAAATAATCCCTTCTGGACCGAGAAGGAAAAGATGACTGCTGATTGCTGATGAGTCATGAAGATCTTAAACTTTGACAGGAATCTCATAACTCTGACTTAAAAGGCCATGGTCTCATTTCTCGGCCGACTCGCCTTCGGGCGAAAGAAAAACGCGCAGCAGAGCGGAGCCAATGACAATGGAGCAGGTGGCACGAATGCCGCTTCAAGCGGTACGACCGCAGCTACAACAAAAGCCGCAACTCGTCGTGGGTCTTTTTGGAGACGCAGCAAAAAGCCGGATCTTCAACTGAGCAACATAAACGCATCGTCAGACGTTTATGGAGGAGGTGCATCCTCCTCAAAAGCATCTACGTCCGCAAACAACAACAATTTCTATTTCATGAACGATGCAACTTATCAGCAGGAAAGCGCAGGTGCGAGAGGAAGAGGGCGTGGCCCTTCTGGCGATGGTTCGGGTAATCGTTCTAGGAATGCCTCGAAAGCATCATCAAATGCAGGTGGACAGCACGACAAGAATGCATCAGCTTCAGGCGCAAACAGCAGACACAACAGTAGAAAAAACAAGCGTGGTGGAGGTTCTACTTCTTCTAAAAATCGTCCACATAGTCCTCGTGTGGACGAGTTACGAGAGGTGGATGACCCGGATTCCAACGCGTGGATCACGTCCTGGTTGTCAGCGTGCTTGCTAGAGTGTCCTTTGCCTGTACACTGGCGGAGAAATGGAAGAGGCTTTTTCTTGAATGCACAAACGAATTTATGTGGAGCGGACGATACCTCGAAGAAGAAGACCATACTTCTTCTAGATCTAGTACTTAGTTGGAGGTACTAGTAGTGATGTGGTACTACTACTAGTAGTGTTTGTCTATTTCGAAGCGGGTACACTAGTAGTGTTTTTACTGTTTCTTGTCTATTTCGAAGCGGGTACACTAGCGGCGGGTTCAGTCAATTGTAAGTCGATTGTATTTGTAATCCACCTCGATTGATTGTTGTATTTGTAATCTTCCACCTCCTCGATGAGACCTCCTCATCTTCCCCTTTACATCTTCCCTTTCATCCTGCGCTGTCTCCGTCGAGCATCCTTTGAAAGTCAAATTCGACGAAATGCATCGACACGGCTTAAACGGCGTCGACTACCTGATTCGATACAGAGAAGAGGTCAGCTTGGAGTTAGAAGAGCAGGAGAACATCTGGCTCGGGCCCTACCGAGACCCGCAGAGTGGTGAGGAATACTATGCGAACAGTCTGACGCGGCAGTCCGTGTGGGACAACCCATTCGACGCTTTGAGCTACACGTTGGCGACGTGCGATTCATTCTTGTACTACTTGTATCGAGTAGTGTGGAACGGGGCGGAGTATGATTATGGTTTGTTTCTTCGAGATCGTGTTTTTTTTCACATTTTTTTTATCGAAGATCAGATACAGATTCAACTACAACGACTTGATCATATAATAACACGACCACGAATGTTATAGCCGCGTTAATATTCTGGTCAACAATTGCAGCAGTCTTATTGGTAATACAACATAGGGCCTCTAAATCTCATACGTCGAGGACGATGAAGCTGATGGTGATCAGGCGTACGATTTCGGACTGGGTGATAACGGAGACGTCTTCGCAGGTCTCGGATTAGCAGGTCTCGGACTCGAAGATTACTCTTTAGGCCTAGAAGACAGTGATGACGACGACGGCCTCTCCTCTTCGGGGGACTACTCAGACGACGACTACTCAGATGAAGATGATGAAGACGACCTAGGTTTGGATGATAGCGACGATGACGAATTGGCAACCTCCTATGGCAAGAACTACAGTACTTCTGGCTATGCTGCTGGAGGTGCGAGTCCGTCAGCAGGGCAGTTAGAAGATGCACCAGAAAGGAGGCGCAAGAACGACGTTTCCTTAGCAGCTTTTCGTGAATTGCATCAACGACAGAAGCTGGGAAAAGATGGCAGCAAAAAGAAACACAAGAAAGGAACACGTTATTTGAAAGGCGAACAATTGCCGCCAGTACCTGGAATTGCAGCATTGTCAGAAGCGGGTAGTCCTGCACTTGAACTAGCAGATATTTTAGAGGCGAAGCGACTTCGAGAAGAGCGGAAGAGCAGGGCTAAACAAGCTGGAACTGCTGGGGTTGGCGTGGATCAAGATGTGTACGGAGGTGGTGAGCAGTACGACTACGGAAATCAAGCAGCAGCGCAGCCACCCGCGAAAGGCGCAGCACCCCCAGCAGGTAAAGGTGGCAAGAAAGGCGCTGGGAAAGGACCACCTGTTCCGGGGGCAGCTTCGGGTTCGCCGGGTGGTGGCAAAGACGCGGGAGCAGCAGCTCCACCAGCTGGAAAAGGTGGAAAAGCAGCTCCGCCACCGGCTGGGAAAGGTAAAGGAGCGCCTCCACCCGGTGGTAAGGGAGCAGCGCCGCCTGCAGGCAAGGGCGCGCCGGTGCCAGCCGCAAAAGGTGCACCCGTGCCGGGAGGAGGTAAAGGTGCTCCTGTACCAGGAGGCGGAAAGGGAGCCCCGGTTCCAGGTGGCAAAGGCGCAGCGATCGCTGGCGGCAAGGGTGCAGCACTACCGGCAGGTGGCGGCAAGGGAAAAGGAAAGGGCAAAGGCAAAAGCGGACCAAAAGGAAAGCCAAAGTTCGGGAGAAAATGGCACTGGAAGCCGCTAAACGCAATCGAGGAAACAGTTTGGGAGGCTCTGAAGAAGGAAAAGACTCTGATAGCCAAGGATCTCCTGAACTTGCAGAAATTGGAGGAGTTCTTCAACGTCGTAGCAAAGCCGCCATCACTGCCGAAGGATCAAGACTTATGAGAGAGAAGAACTGCAAACAAAAATATTGTTGTTGTAGAGATCGTCAGCATACCGTGTTAAGTTATAGAATCAATATCTATTCGTGGTAGTTCATAGTCTCCCCTTCATTTTCCGCTTCCGGAGAAGGTAAAGGCGGTGGCGGAAAGGGCGTCCTTGAAGGTGGGAGACTACATGTGGTGGGCATAGGGCTGAGTCGCTTTACGCCCGAGGAAGTGAGTGACGCACTGCTGATTTTGCAGGGAGCGAAAGAAAGCAAGGCGTCACTCAAACGGTTTGGCGAAGACCATGTCGAGAGGCTAGAAGTACGGTCCCTACCTGAAGCCTTTAATGCTGAAAATATGACCATGTCGAGAGGCTAGAAGTACGGTCCCTACCTGAAGACTTTAATGCTGAAAATATGACCATGTCGAGAGGCTAGAAGTACGGTCCCTACCTGAAGTCTTCAATTCTGATAGGTTTTCCCGTGATACACAAAAATTGATCATTTTGATTGATTCATCGTTGTTTTCGTACATAGATATGGAGGGAATGATCTTCATTTTTCATATTCATCTCAAATTCAAATACACAGGGCGTCATGCCAACAGAAGCAGAAGTTGCAGTGCTCTCGGACGCGCCGGCAGAAAGACTTTTAGCTGTGGAGGCGAAACTAGTGCCGTTTTGCCAGATAGCGAAGGTCCACGCAAGGCTGAGGGTGTTGGCTTTTCTGTTATGGAGCATTGCATTTTATTTTTGTTCACTCGGGCTCGGCATGAGCACCGGACGACTTCTGAAGAATCAGTCACGAATCTACTTACAACGCCTGAAGAGTGAGTCTTAGTCTTTTCTAATGCTCAAAAAGCGGAGCTGGGAGCAGGTTTCGTCGAAGCTGCAGTGCCTGGCTGAGATTTCCAGCGTATTGACACGATCGGCCCATGTGAAGAAGTTTCTGCGGTTACTGTTGGTGCTTGGGAACTACGTGAACCACAGCTTGGAGATGAACACAGGAGACAGCAACTGGCTAGCAGAAAAGGAAACGGAGGTAGTTTGGGGAATCAGCGTTGAGTCACTGCAGAAGCTCTCAGACTACAAGGGCAACAACGAGAAAACCCTCTTACATGGAATTGCAGCATGTGATGGAGAGCTTTTGCCCAAGATCAAGATTGAACTAGACCATTGGATGAGCGAGATATGGACGAAGAAACTCGGAAAGCCAGTGTTGGTGGACATTGTTGCGGATTTGCAAACACTTTTGCGTGAAATAGAGTTCGTCAAGACCTTCAGTTTCTACGGGAAGAAGCCAACGCCGACCGAGAGCCAAGACAGATTGAACTTATTGCTGGAATCGCGTGATGCGTGATATGTATTTTTTAGCTAGTTAAAATAGAAGGAAGCTGCACTGGCATTCGCCACAGTGTTCTTGAGTAAAAATCGTTTTCATACTTCTCTAACAGGAATCTACTCGAGTCCTCTACTCGAGGATGCGCGCGATCAAATCAAGGACCTAGAAGAAGGCGTGCTGACGAAGCAGAGAGGCTATCTATCGAGCGTGGTGGATTTGTGCGCGCACTTGGGATGCCAGGGACCGTATTTCATGTCTTTTTACTGCTTCTGTGGGGGAGTTGTTATCTTCAATTGATAGATAAGATGGTGGCATTCATCATTATTTAGTCATGGCAAGAACTTAATACAACGGTACTTTGGATTTGCTCTCCCCTCATTCGTTTCAGTTTCACCTCTCACTTTTACTCCACCACCAAACCATCATTCAACTAAGGTACTACGCCACCGCACAATCGAAGTGCCAAATGAAGGAGATTTTTCAAGACAACAAAGTCCTGTCGCAGAGCGGCAAGCTGGTAAACGAAATGTCGGAGCAAGTGGGCAATATTTTCTCCGTTTTTCACGAACTTGCGTTTTTCTTTACGGACAAGCTAGCAGAAGAGGAGAAACAGGCTAAGGCCTTGCAGAAGCAGAACGAAGCCGCAGAATTTATGCGAAGTTTGAAAAGAGAAAGCAGCGTGAGGCCTTCTACGAGGAATTTTTCGAGCTCATCAAGCGGTCAGAATCCAGGAGCATCAAGAGGAGCGTTTGCCCCTGCGTCTCGTGTGTCATCTAGTGGAGGTGGAGCTGGCGGGAGAGCATCTACAGGCTCAACAACCGAGGCGTCTAATAGTAGGAGTAGCAACAACATTGGTGGGGGTATAACAGCAGTGACTGGGTCTACTTCCGGTTCTTCAAGTCGTCCTCCAACAGCAACAACAGCAGACCACCAGGGTAAAAATTCTCTTGCGGGACGTGAGAGTGTTGATTCCTCAAGCTCTCTGATGAAGAGTCTTAGGCGGTCTGCAGACAACAAGCAACTTGTATCTCCGGAAAAGCGAAATAGTGCTGCCTCTGTGAGGGCTCGCAGCTCAGCGAAGTTTAACCCGGCGAACAGGGTGACTGATAGGAGAGTGAGGCGCGCCTCCTCAAGTGACTCCGAGGGCAGCAGTGATCGCGAACGACGGATGAGTGGGAAGAGGTGAGGCGACTTGTGCCCATGCGGCCTCTGGGTGCGTGCATAGAGTATGAAGATTTCTCCATGCTACATCCAGTCTAACGGATGAAGATTTTGACGGTGGAACTGGAAGTCTGAGGAATGAAGACCCATAGTATATGGATGAAGATATCCAACTCATCCTCGTATGTACTGGAAGTCTGATTCATATCCATCCGATGGCGGTATCCACCGTCTAATCTTTTTCAGATGCATGCTCCTAGTCCAACTTCAAAATCTTCATAGGGTATTAGATTCTTGTGGTGGAACTGGACGTCTTAATCTTTTCCGTTCAATATTGAACACGACCAACAATTTACCACGAATTTGTATTGTTGAATGACGAGTGCGACCTGAACCTGCTACTATCCAACCTAAGTCTAACTAACCTCGAAGACAAACTTGTACCTAACCTTTGGTATGCATCTGGCTAATAGCCGTCCTATGGTAACCTTGTTTTTCGCCGTAATGAATACTTAAGATGAATCCTGAACTCTAGCTATGTATCCCGATTGCTTGCTCCCATGTACACTACTGGCATACGACCGCACCACATACTTCTTTCTGATTGGTATAGGACGCAGTAATTGCGGGAAAAGACCCGGAAAACGTGTTACAGCAAGACAACTTCTACGCAAAAACGTGCATTGCTGACTCGACTAGTAGACTAGAGCTTAGGCGTAAAGCTACGCAGTAGCAACCAGATCGATGTGGAGGTAGAAGCAGTGTTATTTCAGGGTGATGAATGTTCGTTGAGTACGTCCGCGACGCAACTGGAGGCCTCGCGAGGAGGAGCATTCAGAGCAACATGCGCGGACAAATAGAGATCATGATGAAGATCTACGGCGACGCTTCTGGTTGCGCTGTGCAGTGGGCATGAGACTGCCGCGAAGATCTGCAGATGATCTACGAGTCCTGTAGGCTGAAGACCTATGAGAGTCCTATGAGAGTTACCACAGGATCTGGAGAGCCTTGATGAGAGAAAGAGAGAGAGGTTGTCTTTCATCACATTTTCCCAGTCATTTTCCCAGTGACACGTGCATCCTCGTCTTAAATCTACTTCGATCCATTTTGATTACCATCTCAAAACGCATAGGGAAGAGAGATGTCATAGAGAGACCTAGGGTTTCATGTGATTTGTCTCCAGATTCCTACATGCTTATCTAATAACGGAGCCCGTGTCATAACTGCAACGGTCCTGTTGAGACAATTCTTGGTTGTACGACGATCCTTGCGTAACAGGAGTGAGCTCTAACTGTATTATCTGCGAAACTACTTTTACTGTATGATCTCTAATATATAAGAGCCTCTTGCTTCTTTATTAAATCTACAAAGATATTTTCGACGACATCACAAACACAAGGATACCTACTGAATACAACAAGAGCAAATCATCACCATGCGATTTCTTGCTTGTCTGGTCTCGGCCAGCTTGGCTGGCACTACAACCGGCGTTCTGATGAAGCCCACCTCCGGTGGTGAGTTCCTCCAACGCGCACCGCAGACGGGTGATCACGACCCCACGGCCATGGAGGAAGACCCTATGGAAGAGGAGCTTCTTCCTGCTGGTGCAAGCTGCTCTAGCAGCGATGCTTCTGACTCTTCCGCTAGTGCTGGAGGTTTTTTCAAACGTATGCCCAGTGTCAAACGTATTGCGAAGGGCGCTTTGGGGGGCCTCGTGCTCGCCGCCCTGGGCGGAACGTGCTATCTAGGAGGTCAACAGCATGGAGGAATGCAGACTGCACCCGCCATGGCTGATACAATCGAGGACGACGCACTTATGGGAGGAAGCCAACCCTTTGGGTACTTTCACTTCGCTGAAACTTCAAAGATTCAACATGTTTTCAATTTCTTATAGTATACATAGTTTGATTTGCAAATATGAATGTCTCAGTCTCACATTCACCGAATGATCAAGAAGACCAAAGCAACAACCAATTTTCCCAGGCATTTCTGTGTCCGTACCAAGTTCCCCCGCTTCGGTACCAACGGTCGCGCTACCGCAGTCGACGCGAAGATTGAGGGTCCAATTACTGTTCCGGTGACCATCAACCCCGATGGGGGAGAACAAGGAGGTGCTTGGACCGAAGGTCCGGGCGCTGGCGGCAACTTTGATTTCCCCTCTATCAAAGGCAAGCCAGAGGTAGGATTTGGCGGAAAGTTGCTCGGGACAGTCCTCAGCATGGACTTGAAGAAGATGGGACGGATCCCCTGCGGATGCCAGAGTACTCCTTCTATTTGATTTTTTTTTTGAGTGAAGAAGGAAGAAGATCTTGATCTTGTCTACTCCTTGCATGATCATGTGTATTTGAATTTGCTGATTGTTGGGACCTATCATAAGTATTTATATATAGGAAGAGAGGAAAACATTATCCTTCTCAACTACATCAAGATCCAGCTCAACTACAATCCACATCCTTACAGCCAACTTCTACCTGACGAAGGCCCCGAAGGACAACAGCCCTGGCACTTGCGACTCTGGTGCTAACGGTACTTCTACACATCAATTTTGAAGTCATACAAATTTGAAATGAGCTTATTTTTGGTATATTAGTTCTCTTCAACGTCTTCGTGTTTGTTCAACTTTCTACTTTCTTTCGTCTTTTGACTTTACACGAGTTTTCCTATCATGGATCTTGTCTGCCATCTATCAACCTTCCACGCCAGTTGAACCATGATGCAGCAAGATCGCCAGCCTTGTCCGGGCCCGTCTCTTCAGGCCTAGCTATTTAACTCCCTAGCTAAGAACTACCTAACTCAAGAGTACCTGCAAAATTTTGGTTTTCCGAGGATGAGCACCCTTTTACGTGTGATATCTTTGGGATAGTTCTGCTCAGTGTCGTGTCTGTTATGGTCGTATTTTCGAACATAATTATGTGTAAAAATTGAAAAATGATGTTCTTGAATTTCACCACCACAACATGATCAACAGGTTACGGCTGCCCGGAATTGGATTTCATGGAAGGTAATGGCCAAGCCCTTGGTACGACTCTGCACTTGTGTGACTCTACTGAGGGAGCGCGAGGCGTCTTCACCTGCGGATGGCAAGACAGCTGCCTCACCAGCAAACTGGGCGGAAAGAAACCAGGAGTACTTTTTTTTTGCTTCTGTACAACTAGTAGTTCTAGAACTTGATGTAGTAAATACGTTCTTGTTTCTCCTTTGGAGATCTCGAGTAAAATGATGTGCATGCTCTAGTTTAAGATTTTCCCTCTTTCCTTGTCAGCTTCGTCCGTCATAACTCTTGTCATTTAATCAACGACTTTTCGTATCTTTATCGTATTTCCTCTCTCACCCTCCTCTCAGGGCGCCGCCTGTGATGCTTGGGGCTGCCAAACTAAGACGGTTGGCATGAAGCATTGGGGCAAGGCTGCTTACGGTCATGGTGGTTACATCAACTCAGACGAGGACTTCAACATGCAGGTTTATTTTCAACCGGTAGCAGGTAACTTGGAAAATGTCTGGGTAAAGTTATCCCAAGGAACCAAGGAGCCGCTTGTTTACTCGGTACTACTTCTTCTGATTATATTTTGAATGATATATAAATGCTTCCTCACACTATATGACTCAGGCATTGATTCTTGTTCCTTACAATTTCGCATGCTGATTCTCATTAGGAGTTTTTTGTGGTCGAAAAAAGGAGAAGAGGAAAAACAAGAATCTGAGTGGTAACCTGATTTATTTGATCATAAGGTCATTTCAAAATAGCAACAAAACCCATGATCCAGGCTTGCGTGAACGAGGACTACAAGCATGCGGTGACGCACGACTTGATGTCCGGATGGTCCCACCACAGCACCTATTGGGGTGGATTTGATGGTATGGAGTGGCTCAATGGTCCTTGCCCGCAACATCCCAGTCACTGCGCAGGCAATGCTGCCGACCACATCCAGAATGTCAAAGTCATCGAGATCGACCAGGCCTAATCGACGAAGGCTTGTTGAAGATGTGTGGTCCTTTCTGTGGTCAATACTGAGAGGTGGTCCATTCAGCTACCGAATTCCTCAGAGCTGAAAGTTTCCAGCATGATGATGATATCGATTCTGCCTCTTGTTTTGTCCAGAATATATCATGTCCAGAAAAGAGGCTCCTCGAAGATATTCATATTGGATTCCATGAGGATGATGCCGTAACGTCATATAATTAGGTGAACGAGATATACTTCCCTCTTAAGAATATAGCCTGTTATCTATCATATTTCAACTATACAGACTCAGACATGTTAGTCCCACACGACGATAATCATATTATACTCTGATCTTAGAAGGTTTTTTCTTCGATATGTTTCCACCAGATGTTGTCCTTGTTGTAGGGCCTGTGTCTCCGATACAAGGGCTTCCTTCGTAAGAACTCTGGTCGGCACTATTTCAGTGCCTTTCCTCAACCAACTGCGAATATATATTCTTATACCATAAATTTATACAACTGTTACATTTTTTACCAGAGTGTCTAAGTCTACTAGACATATCGAAATCTTTATCTAGGCTCCTGTAAAAACATCTGTGAAACACTGTAGTATGAGTGTAGGGATGACTTCTGTTGTAAGGATTTCCTCGATGTGCATATCTCACAGGTGTCTTGAACCCAGGCCACATCGTAATTGCTTTGGGTTGGGGGACATGGACTCCATATTCTTAGCTTCATGGAGCTATGATGTCATCTGCACAGGAGATTGTCTGCAATTATAGCAAGAAGCGAAGAACTTTCAACCACATTTTGACAAGCGACGGCCCATAATCCGGTGCCAGTCGCTCCAAAACGACTACAGGGTCGCACTGTTCGGCCCCTCTTGCATGGCAATCCGGCGACAACTATCCATAGTTTACTGCACTTCGGTACTTCGGTTGGATCTGTTGCCATCGTTGACAGCAATGGAGTTGACGCTATCTTGTTTCAAATCTTGACTTTTCACGCAGCCCCCGAGCCCTTCCTCTAATGCTTTTGACTATCCCATACCAACTTTATGCGCTTTTTTTGCCCACGACGACAATCAAAGATTTGATTAGCGCTGTATGGGTGTTTCATTTGTGAGTTGTATTTGAACCGTTCCCATAGTTTTTTAAGAAGCCCCGAGATGTGACATCCTTGAGCCATTTTTTCAAGCAGTAATGCTTTTTTCATGTGTAACCACGTATTTGTGGGCTTTTTTCATGTGTAACTTATTTGTGGCTGCTTCCGGAGCAACAAGATGACGTCAATGACATGCGTATTTTGGAAAAGTACTGCAGATCCTGCGTCGTCCTCTTATCGACAGGCGTTGCAGACCTGTTCCGCTCGCCGCTTCGGACGTACTGTAATGACAGGCATCGAGAAGTATTTGGTCCAGTCGCGGAGTTTCAGGTGGAAAGGATCAGGGATCGGGACGCTTCGTCTGTTGCAGAAGCGCGACTTAATGCCTTTGTGGGCGTCCTCGCGGACAGCATCTTATCCGGTCTCGACTGCGCTAGCGTCCCCATTCTACTTACCACAATCGGCACAGTATTCGACCGACGCAACTACATCTTCCAGCGCTCGTGCAGAGCCGATTCTATCCGGCATCCGCTGTGTGGAGTTATGCAGTGTTCTCGCTGGGCCGAGTGTTGGCCAGTTCTTGGCAGAGCTGGGCTGTGAGGTCATCAAAGTTGAAAGTCCGAGTGGAGACGTCACACGAACGTGGTACACAGGCAAGCACGATCCACAGCCATCGAGCTATTTTCAAGGCTGCAACCTTGGCAAAAAGGGCGTGGCGTTGACGTTAAACAAGAAAGGAAATACTACAAAGAATGGCCTTGATGATGACTACGATCACCTTCTAAAGCTAGTCTCTACCGCGGACATCGTACTGGCGTCGTACAAGCCTGGCGACGCAAAGAAGCTTGGAGTCGATTTCGAAACACTCCGAGCGAAAGCGAACAGTGTGGGGCTTATCTATGCCCAGATTACTGGATATGGAGATGCTGGATATGGAGATCAGCAACAGGAGGTGGAGGTGGCTGAAGACGGACATGAAGCAAGAACAAGTGCAGCAGCACGAGAAGAAGCAAAATGTGTGCCATCTTATGTCTTAAGGCAGGAACAAATACTCCTACAAGAGAAATTATTTTTGCCTCGGCGCTGCTGCTGATAACTATAACTACGTTGCGTCCGGTGGTTTACTGGCAGCATGAACTCCACATTCAGTACGTTGCGTCCGGTGGTTTACTGGCAGCATGACCTCGGCATTCCGTCACGATCTCTAATCCTCAGCAATACCACTCGTCCCGGCTACGACGCCTGTATTCAAGCGGAAGCAGGTTGGATGCATTTGAACGGAGAAGCCGATGGACCCCCAACTAAGATGCCTGTCGCACTGATGGACTTGCTCGCAGCCCATCAACTGAAGCAAGCCATTTTGTTGGCGCTGTATGAAAGGGAGAAGTGTAGAACTACAAGTAGAGGTGGTGCATCTCAATCTCCGGTCTGGCAAGGGAAATTCCTCTCCGTTTCACTTCTTCGCGCAGCTGTGTGTTCGCTCGCGAATCAGGGTAGCGCCTTCCTCTTAAGTGAAGGAAAAACAGAACCGAAGCGTCGAGGTTCAGATCATCCAAGCATCGTTCCGTACGGGACAGTCTTCTACGACAAAGCGCGTAAGCCCTTCGTTCTCGCAGTTGGCACAGATACACAGTTTAGGAAGTTGTGTGAAGTAGTTGTTGTACTAGGGCAACGTCGACAAAATGGACATCAAGGAGAGCAAGTGCTAGACGAACCACACCCCTCTTGGTCAACGAATCTTGGTCGTTGTGCAGACCGTGCACGCGTGAAAGAGTGGTTGCAGAAACGGTTTGATTTAATGTTAAGGATGGTAAGTGTAATCAAGTTGTCAAGGAACTAGAAGGTGTTGTACTTAGAAGATCATGAGTGTGGTTGTAGCTCTTCCCCACTCTCATTATCGATCAGCTTAGCAACCTGTTCTCTCATCTGTCTATCTCTAAACCTCGACCGAGGGCACATTCTCAACGAATGCACGAAGCAGCAGATACCAGCTGGGCCCGTGAATTCGCTAGAGGAGGTTTTCGACTATCCGGAAGCGAAGAGGGCGATTCTAGCCTCTGAGAAAGGAGCGCATCATCTAAGTCAAATCGCTTGGGACGAACCGGGGAGAGCTAGAATAGGGTCGCTTCGTGCTCCGACATTTGAAATTGGACAGGATAATAAAGAGTTGCTGATGAACAGTGATGAGGGAACTCAGAAGAATTAGAAGAAAGTAGGCGCAACAGGATCAGGATTTGTGTATAAATAAAGTTTTTGAAAACTTCTCGTTGTTTTTGATGCAAAAACGAGCTCATACTACGAGCAAGTACGAGAGTTGACGAAAAGAGGCAGTTGATGAAAGGAGGATTGAAGATCACCTATAGCTATAATCGAGACGAGCTCAAATTTGCCTCTCTCATGATTAGTGTGCTTGCCATTCGTGTTGCCTTTCTTCATCACACATAGAAAATAAGCTGAATCTTCCAAGAAGTACACGCAACTGCAGCAAGCAGCTGCGTATGCGTAAAAAAACTCACTTTCTTTTCGAATAAAGAACGTCCAACACGAACAAGAAACCTTACTTACTGGAAAAAATGCCATCCCCTTCCCCACCTCCAGTCGTCCGATACCCGAAAATCTTGTGTTTCGGCGATTCGTTGACACAAGGAGGAACGCACAACAATGAGGGATGGGTCATTCGTTTACAGCGGTATTTTCTCCGACGAGCAGACGTCCTGAATCGAGGTCTGTCGGGATACAACACGCGATGGGCGCTGCCAGCGATTCAAGCGATAATGGCGGGTGATTATGATCTCAAGGGTGTGCGTGTGGGTGTGGAAACAAATAGAAGTAGATAATTAGCGGGTAGAAATCGTCGGGGAAATCTTAGGCGGGTCGCCGAGTAGATTAGCGCGCCATCGTCATCACTTCTATTTCAACATCAATGTGAACGCTCTAGCGTCGTCACGTTCACGACCACCCTTTTCTGATACTATTAAGTATTAACCCCCCTTCCTCAGGCTTCACGCCTCGCCCTAATCCTAGATTTTCTTCCTTCCACTTTTTTCACTTTGTGTACGTGTAGTCCCTTTTCTACTTATTCTAATCCACGACGGTTCAAAGAACAGACCAGTCCAAAGATGACGTTCTCTTCGCAACTCTATGGTTCGGCGCAAATGATGCAGCTGTTGTGACAGACGGTTCTCTTGAGAAACTCGCATCAGCCAATCCAGACGTTCTCAAGACGCTGTCCGATAACGAGTAATATGGCTTCCTCAAAAAAAGATCCAGCATCGTGTAAACCATCTATGACGCCCTTAAGGCAGTCTGCACTGAACTTTGTGCGGGATTAATTGTATGGTATTGTATTGCATCCTGGGAGATTTATTGTGGAAAGAAGAAGTATTGTATTGTATTGTATTTGTGCGAGATAATTGCATCCTGGGAGAACCTGCTCAACCTTTTTTGAAGGGGAAATAAAAAGTTCCTCATCCTCGCGGAGGAGTTCCAGGATGCACTATTTCCATTCTTGCAAGATAGTTTTTTTAGAGAAGCTCACCTAAGAGTATCAACATGTTTCAGTCGGCGAATTCGAGAAGAACCTCGAAACTATCGCACGAACGATACTCAAGGGAACAAATTGTCTCATCTTGCTCACACCTCCCTGTGTAGGCGAGAAAAACCGGATGGGGTTTCTGATAGAGCAAGATGGCTTTGCGGCAGAGTTAGGCGAAGACCAGCTAGAGATCGGAGGAGAAGAGCAGAAGACTTTATGAACTGGAGATCGGAGGAGAAGGACAGAAGACTTTATGTAGTTTTTGAATCTCAAAAATAGCCTGGTTGTAGTGACGTTGAGGATTCTAATTTATATTTTTGTAATTCTAATTGATGTATTTGTATCTACTTCTACATCTACTGTGAAAATCAGGTTGTTGTAGGTCGCACCATAGAAGAATTTTTTACGACAACGACCTACACCTACATAGACGAGAAGATGATCCTGATTGAAATTAAGTCCACGACTGAAAATTCTAACATTCCGAGTATCGCTCACCTCTTCAACGCATTTGGACCGCAGCAACAAAAGCGTGGTACAATATCGTGACGCTGTGAAACGCGTGACTGAGAAGCTCACAGCAGAAAGTGCCGAGAATTATGGTCATGGTGTCAGTGCAAATTGCTCTTCTATCTTTTTGCTTTTGAGCTGCTTATGCAGCAACGTTTACATTGCAGTGTCAATTTCACCAAGTGCGATAGTTTATGCCCAGGTAGAAAAATTAAGTAGAAGAAATGAAGATTCTACATTGCCCTAGTCCTCCCCCTCGTCAATCATCTAAACCCCTACTTCATCTAACGCATTGCCTGGACCATTTGCGTAATCGACACTTACGCTTTGTTTTTCGAAGAAAGGGAGGCGATTTTACACCCTGATGGCTTACACATCAACTGGAAAGGCGAGCAGATCATTTTCAAAGCGATTCTAGACCAAGTGCTAGAACGAAAGAAAGATCAAGGTGTTTTGGCGGTTGAAGAAGGAGCAAAAGATTATGGCAATATTTGTTGATTACTGGTGTAGCCGTGTAGTAGTGACTAATATGCATCTTTGTTGTGCTTGTGAGCATTCTTTGTTTTTATAGTCTTGAAAAATATTCTATCTAAATCTTGATCTTTATTTTCTTTATTCCACTTTTTGCTCATTGATTTTCTTTTCGAAGTACCTAGCACGTGAAAATAGCTGAAGCCAGGAGGAGATCTCCTTCTTAATGTCAACTGGTCTTCATGACGGATGATCATCCTCTACTACAAGTGCAGGCATCATGCATTATGCAAAGTTTAAGTTCTTTATATCGCAGAAGCAAACAATAACAATTCTAAGAATAAGCTGAAGCGACAAGAGCTGGCACAGAACAAGATGCAGCAGAGGCAGAGACAGCAGCTGAAGAAGATGGTTTTTCTCGTTTTTCCGTGATACCTGATCCAGTTACGAAGCATTACGGCCATGGTCGTTCGCAGGACAGCGGATTACCTATGCCATTCCCGTATTGGAACGATAGGGAAAAGATCTTGTCTTCTTCTAGTGGTGCGTGATCAGCTTGTAGCCCTTCATAGCTTGATGAAGAGGAGTGGACGTTGATGAGCTTGAGGTTGAGAATATCGATGACAATGTTGATTGCTACTTACATCAAATCAAACCCGCCTAAGGATCGTTGCTCTGAAACTACAAATAATAATAATATTTAAGAAAGCTATTGCTGTCCTCGTTTGGGTCGTGCAAAACGAAGGGCAAACATAATTTCAAGGAAGTTGTCATTGTTCGTTGTTATCGTAGCTGGTGACGGGGGGTACAGCAAAAGGAGTTAGCGTATCTGTGAAATTAATTGCGCATCTCATGCGTGTCCGCAGCCGTCCGAGTTGACATTGAAGGGCTGCTGGAAAGACAAGGTCAGTCAGGAGAACAGCCTGAGAAGTTTACTGAAAAAGAGCGATTGCTGGGAGTGAGAAAGAGAATCAAAATAGAGTCAGTGGAACAAGGGTCGGCGACATCTGAGAGTCGCAGAGTGAAGGAGAGGCTTTTTCTTGTAGTTCAAGCTTGATGGCACATCTCTCGGTCTCGCTACCGTGATTTCGCTCTATCGAGAGGATGGTTTATTTACCGAGACTGTTATCCTTCCCGTTGTCACTGTCATCTGATGTGGCGGTCGAGAGGATGGTTTTACCGAGAATATTATTCTTCCCGTTGATAGATTGTGACTGCCATCTGCTGTGGCGGATCAAGCTTTACTCAGTCATCCGACCTCTCACGGAGTTAGCAACGACTTCGCTCCATGCTCTACTTCAGACTCTTGCTCAAGGCTTGATAAAGTTAAAGTACTTAATTAAAAACAGCTCCTGAACCTGAACACGAGATAGCTTTTTTTTATCGCACATCTTGCAGGGTACTAGGACTAGCGCTACAGATCATATGTAGCAAGATTTATAGAAGCTCACGCACATCAGGTACAACATGTATCCCGCTCTAAATCTGCAGGTCATACATGAGGTTCAGTCTCATCATGCGAGGCAAGCAGAAGGTTTGTCGATCATTGTGTTCGCACAACAAGATTAGAGTACCTTGACCCTGAGGAACGAGTATAGCATGTGCGGATGTTCTCTAGTGTCTGGGTCTCATTTTTTATCGAGTTCCGATAAATGTTTCATGCGTACAGTTGCAGTTCGTGTTGGTTCTTGTATTGTCCTACTTCGACATACTTATTTTGATTCTTATCCATCAATCAGAAAAACTAAAGTTGACCATCCACGCGCTTTCCTCTATCCTCTTTTTCTCAACTTCATCAGGGATGTTGTTTATTATGGTTGTCTGCGTGGGCTGTCGTTTCATCTTTTTGATTGTTGGCGAGCCAATTGTGAATCCCGCTTTGATGATTGCGTCCCGTAGTCCTGTTACGTAGCCGAAAAGCCATGACCACTCGCACGTCTGTGGCGTTTTGTCGTCCAAATCTTTGGCACCATAAGAAACCGTCCAATCGCTGACCCCCAGAAGCACCTCTTTCACGGTGAGTTCTACCCGCATGGCTCCGACTTCTTCAGCTGTTTTTTGCGCAGCCTTTGCAATGTTCCTGACAATGCCTGCACGGACTTTCTTCTGGTGCTCCTTTGCAAGTGCGCGTGCTTTCTCAGCAACATTGCTGCTAACTGCGACTTCGTCATCTGCACTAATGTCCCCGATGAATCGAAAGACCTGCATTTTAATACCAGGCTCCAGCTGCGAGGCCTGACCCTGAGTTTTTAATTGGTAAGTGGGGAGTGACACGTGAGTTGAAGTTCTAGTTTTTGTCTCAAAATCATTTCCGGTAGGTGCGTAAGGTAGTTTTTTGTATTGCTTCTCTTCTTATTTCCTTGCGGCTAGTCCTTGACGCTGTCTTCCACTTGTCTGCTGCTTGCTAATCGTAACGTGCCCCTTGTGGTGGCCAAAAACTCCAAACTTTCAGTATAACCTCTATGTCTATACATAGGAATAATTCCTCGAACATCGCTGCAACCTGCATTAGCGAGTTTTCACCTGTCCCAATGCGCTCTTCTTCCACGCACATGCTTCCCATACGTTGATCCTCATGATATTCATTTTGCGGCCAATTGCCTTTGGTAGAAGATTTGTTATCTCGTGTCTCGTCAAATCCCTTGCTACATTTAGAGACCTGGCCTGTCGTGAAGTAATCCCGTTAAAATACTCGACGCAGTACGGCACTCAGTTGTAGAGCCCGAGCCCCTGGCACACGTCACCTGTGCAGAAGTACTTTAAGGGACCCACGTGAGGTCGGGTCATTTTTAGCCTTAATATATCTGCGGCAGAACGCGGCTCTTCACCGTTATTTACTTTTGCGAATATCGGCATCGAGTTCGGGAAAATCTTGCCCTCTCGGGGAGGAATCACTGCAGCAGGAGGTGCTTCCGCTCCACCACCTGACCCCGCTGCAGCCGCAGCACCCGCTGCAGCGCCTTCTGCTGCCTCTCTGTTCGCTGCAGCGTTTGCTGCGCGCCCGCCACGTCGTCCTCGCGGAGGCATTATTCTTCTATTTCAGGAAAATTGCAGCTTTAGATGTACTAGATCTAGTTCTAGCAATGTAGTCAAATAAAATAATAAACTACTAACAATCTTGCTGGTGGAACTGGAAGTGAAGAAGAAGCTTCTAGTTGTATTCGCGAATAAAATGATCTGAGTTATTCTCTATTCTACGTCTACAGACACGACGAAGATGAACCTCATATACCAGGAGTTTTCGGTCTAGTTTTAGTCGCTACAACATGTCGTGTTGTCTTTTGATAAAGATTCTAATTCTTTCAAGTTCAAAGTGACGATGAAAGTGACACCTTCGTGGTCAGCGCAGATTATTCTTGAGTCTCCGTCCAGGAGAATGACTCATAGCCTCCTGTGCATATTTAAGAAAGGTGAAAGATATTTTATCCATATCGCCATGTCATGGCCATCTAGCTACCAAGAACGTGCTTCTACTTCGTTTTGAGCAAGAGGAACGACGATTTTTTCCCATGTTGATCAGGATACTTTTACCGCGAGAGGGAACTCCAGCAAAGACGAGGGACCACTGCAATTTAGCACCTCGGTCGGCTGTAGTGGTCACCACAGATGAAGCTGTCTTTTCTTCTTCTGTTGAGTCAACTTTGGATTGTAGCTCCATGGCCATGATGAGGTCTTATTACTTCTCAGCAAATAAAGATACCACGATACGGAATGCTTGGTTAGAACCTAACTTTCTTTACGGAGTTATCAATTCCAATTGTTCTGCAAGAGCTACGTACCTAAAACCATAATATTCAAATCTGAGGGGTCATCTCTTGTTCGTCTGCTCTGTGTCCTGCTTGTTCTTGTCGAATGCTCGCACTGGAGACTCTTCTGATGAAGATGTATTTGCTACTCCTAGCGGCCTCGTCTTAACTTCATTAAGCTCAAAAAAAATGATCCTCGGTTTTTTGCGGAGTAGTCTACAGCCTCTACGACCCGTGGTCCAATTCTAGTTTGAGGAGTTAGGCTTCTCTTCTCCTTCTTCTGGTCCTTATGTAGCAGGAGACAATTGAAGATGAAATCGGATCAACTACATATTCGTCTTAACATCTAGTACTGAAATGCCAACCTACAGCGCCACCAGTGGCAACGCCTGTAGTGCTGCTTCTAGTGCCTCCGCCCACATCTGCTCCTGTTGTCGCGTCTCGTCCCGCACTCACGACACCTCCTGCTGGTGTGCTGCCAGCTACGGCATCGCCGGTGGCAACAGCGCCGCTTGTCACGACAGCGCCGCCAGTGGCGACAGCGCCACCAGTGGCAACAGAGCCGTTTGTCGCGACAGCGCCAGCCGTCGACGGTAAACCGCTGGCGCCTCCGCCCGCAGCCATTGCCTTTGTCGAGCCTCCAGCACCCACGCCTGCTACTGCGGTCGATGTTGCTTGTTGTGCGCCTGTCGTGGAGCTCCTAGTGCCCATGATTACGTTGACGTCATCAGTTTGGCTCACAGAGGTAGTGACGCCAGCAGTACCCGGAACCGTTGTCCCTGCCACCACACCCGCTGTCGTGCTGCTGCCAACCGCTGTGCCATCAGTATTGACAGCGCCCGTTGTCGAGGGTGCGCCGCTCACGCTGCCGCCCGATGCAAATTCATTTGTCGAGGGTGAGCCGCTGGTCCCGCCTGATCCTCCTGCAAGCGTGCGACTGTTGTGGAGGTTTTTGTCCCCGTAGTGATTTTAACGTCATGAGACTCTGTCGTCGACGTCGAGACACCGCCTGCAGCCCCCGCCGACGTCCCTACAGCACCCGTACGCCTCCTGCGGTGCTGCTTCCAGCCGCAGAGGCGCCACCAGTGTGCACAGCACCGATCGTCGAGGATGTGCCGCCTCCACCGCCAGCAGCCATTGCTGTTGTCACGCCTCCAGCATTTGCACTAGATGTTGCTGGCTGTGCGCCTGTCGTGACGGCCTGGGTTCCCGTCTGATGCATGGTGTTCGCGTTCCTGTGATCTCGAATAGTCGTCTGTCATCATCGGAGGCAGCACCGCACTGCTTCTGGTTCAAGAAGCTTGTGCCACCAATTTCGGATAGATTGCAATATTTGCAAGATCCTTGTTGATCTGCATTCCGCGCTCATCGTAATCATGGAAGTTCGTATACATAGGACAAGTAAAACCAAAAGTATGTTGTTCTTGTTGGAGGATGTTGTAACTTGGAAACGACCCTTAACTGCAACTGTATATGCGTAGGAATCTTTCTTTGCAACATGCAGCTATCTCCGTCAACGGCTGCTCGCTCGTGGTAGAACAAGGTAAACGAATCACATTGGACGGTGGCGGCGCACACTCTTACACAATCTTTCTCTGTCCGACTAGGCACTAGAAGCTAGTTGGTACTGAGGTGCAATGTAAATCATGGTCCCTACTTGCATGTTTCCGTTTCGCATGTGTTTTTCGCAGAGGTTGTTTTTGTCCCAGGTTGGCGGGGCTCTAATGACCACGCCCAATTCGTATTCTATTGAAGATGTCTCGACTTGAACCTTGAGCCTCGACTTGATTTCTTCTTCCACCTTTCCGCCTTCTTTTTTTCGAATCTCCGCTAGGCCTAAGTCATTTGAGAAGTCTTGTATTAGAACTAAGGGAAGCCCATCCTCAGCAGCATCGTGGAGGTGGTCTTGTAGGTTGGCATCTTGGGCTCCCCTCTTCCCCTGTGCCTTGGTCATCGTGGATTTGGTTTTGTAGGTTGGCATCTTGGGCTCCCCTCTTCCCCTGTGCCTTTGTCATCGTGGATTTGAGCAAATCGGGCATGACCTCCATTTATACTACGGTTTATTCTACCGTTCCTCTGTGGTGGAGCAGGTTGTGCTTGTGGGTCCTTCTCTTCTACAAAGAAATGATTTTCTTAGAACATCCGTCGTTTCTCCCCACGAGGTTACCACTTCTGCCTTCGTCTGACTCTTCTCTTTCGCCCAGTGGCCTAAAAAATTATGCAACATGAAAGTGCTCCTGTTCTCGATTCAAAAATTGTATGAGCTCCTCTGGACTGCTCCTGACCCTGCGAAGATCCCACTGGGCCTGATGAAATTAATTCGAAAAAAAAAGAACCTCCATTGCTCAGAGTCGCATAGAAAGCCAAGCTTGACCAGAAGGTGTATCGCCGTAGCAACAGTCGTCGAAACGAGGGTCGCAGCACCATCTTGGAATGATCGCGTGTATCGTGTGAAAAAGATGGCTCCACTTCTACTTCAGACACAGTACTTGGTGGGATATTATAGATACAAACATATATATTTATAATTATACAGGTCGTGTAAGTGTAGATAAATTATTCCTTATGTTAATCGCCATGTTGTTCTTGTCTTGACGCTTTCCAGATGGTGTCTTCTTCTTTTTCTTAATTCTAAGGTTCCATGTTGTTGAGGCAAGCAAGTCCAAGTGGGAGGTTCTATTGCGCCATCATGTTGTTCGTCTTGAACATCTACTTCGATCTTTTCCTATCAGAATGACCATTGTTCTCTTTATTACCATGTCATGAACATGCATCACTGCGAAGACCAAGACAAGCTTTACCAGCACTTCATAATACTCTTGACGGGTACATCAAGAAAGGACGGCTGAACGAGTGCATTTATCAAGCTAGCATAGTGAGAACCCCTTCCACGTACGTCGCATCTCTCATCGTCAACATCAATCCCTCTGCCATAGTGAATCCCTCTATCATGCTTTTGTTTACTCCCTCATTCTCCTCCTCCTTACTCCATCTGGAGAAGAGTCACTCTTTTCGTCTTTACTCATATGTTCCATTGCTGAGCCGAAAAAGATATCTGTTTTCTGGGTTCGTGTCCCCCTTGATCTGTCGTGTGCTAGAGCTCATGCATCTTGGAGCTACCTCCCATTTGAAGGGCAACTACGTGACTTTTTCCATCAACCTATAAACAACTATAACAAACTTGTTTTACTTCTCGTCGATTTTGAGAACTGATTCTACCCATCCAAAATGGACTTCTCAGCGATCGTGTTTTCAGGTCCTGTCAAAGGCACGCGGCCTTTTAGTGGTTTTATCATTCGTTCCACTTCCACCGTTGGCCGTGGTCATCTTTCAGATTGTTTCAACAAGTTGAACTACTTGTTCGTGTAGGATTTTCATTGCCTTGCCCACTTTCATATTTATTATTAACTACCATTCAGGTCGTAGTCGTTTTGGTTTGGGTTTAAGGTTTATCAGTATAGCAGATAGGAACATCTGGTTAACACCATTGCTCAAACTTTAGTACAACAGTGTTCTCTGCCTCGCATACGCATTGTCGAAAAACTACGTAATTATGGGCACTATTTGTAATGATTAGATGAATGAGCGCAAAAACGTACAACTGGTATAGTAGAACATTCTTGTTCCTCCTCACTTCTTTTGTAATACCTGCAAGCTACTTTGAGCAAATAACAAAATCTTCTACTTATACAAATACATGATGATGATACAGTCACACACAGATGAATACTCGTACTTACATTCATTAAATCACAAAGAAAGTCCTTCCTTCGTTATAATATCGAGCTTATACAACTCTTCATAATGTTACTCTTCATACTGACTCCAACCATTACCATTTTTACGTCAGAAAAAACTAAATAAAAGGGCTCACTTCCATATCGATGCTTATACCTCTAAGTAGTATCTGTACCACTACGTTTTGAGCAATTTAATACTACTTTGGTATTTCGTACAAAAGAAATTAGTCTTCTTGCATGATCGTTTTTGACCATAGAGGGGAAAGCCTCGTCAAACGCATAAAAATGAGCGACTCTAGTCCATTTTAATTTCGCAATTTTTACGAGCAAAGTTGCTTACTATGCTGTGAAGTTTCAACTTTTGGGAAGCCAAGATCCCTAACGCGCGCGCGGGTTAGCGATTACGCGATACAAACGCGCGCGCGCGCGTGGGGGAAAGTGGCGATCGCGGGGCCGGCTCGGGGTCGGGCCCGCGGGGCACCAGCTCAGGCTCGCGGAGCGCCGGCTCAAGCCCGCGGGGCGCCCGGTAAGGGTGGGCTCGCGGGGCGCCAGGTTTGGCACGCGGTGCACCAGTTCAAGCTCGCGGGGCGCCGGCTTGGGCTCGCGGGGCGCCGGGCTTAGCTCGCGCGGCGCAGGTGCCCTCTCAGACGCTCGTGCCTGCAAGGAGCCCAGCCGCTGCTCAAGCTCGCGAGGCTCCCACCCAAGCTTGCGGGGCGCCCTCTTGAGCTCGCCCCCGACGCAGGCTCCTTCGCAGGCAGCTCAAGCTCTCCCCCGGCTCAAGCTCGCCCCCAGCCGGCGGGCGGGGGCGGAGCTAACCACCGGCTCGGGCCTGCCCTCGACGCGGGCTCACCTCCGGCCCGGGCTCTCCCCCGGCGCGGGCTCCCCCCCGGCTCAAACAAGCCTGCTCCCGACCCGGGCTCGCCCCCAGCTCAAGATCATGAGGCAGCCGCCCAGGCTCGCGAGGCGGCAGCTTGGCCCCTCGGGGCGGGAGCCCAAGGAAGCCCGCGGCCTAAGCCTGCGGGGGCGGCAGTAGACTGCAAGCATGCATAGCATGAGAGCCAAGGCGTTTACCCTGCTGTGCAGCGAGCTTTCCTACCATTTTGAAAATGGAAGAGAAGCAAACAGCCCAACGAATGAAGAACCAACAACACGAAAGAGGACAAACATGACCACAAGCGCCCCCCTCCTGTGCGGGGCGATGCGCGGACGCTTTCAGGCACCGCGCCGGCCGACAAGGTGAGCGCCCAAAAACTGGGAGTGGCAAAAATAACCGACCACGCCGAGGCGAGGACAGCGAAAGACACAAGACCACAGCAAAAAACCTGCCGCACCAGTTGCCCGCGCACCAAGGAGCACCGACATGGCGGGGTGCTCCGTTCTCGGTTCTTTCATAGAAGGAGCGAGCGACACTGCTGCAGATTTTTCAAACGAACAACCACACAAACCAAAAAAAATAGACGGCGGCGACGGTGTCCCGCGAGGGAACAGCCGTGGCCACGTTTTATCCAGCAAAGCAATTTCCCCAGACATTGCCGAAATCATCAGTAGTTCTAAAAATAAGATCCGTACTCGCTTGAGTATAAATTTAATTTCACCATCAACAGAAAATCCACGATTTTCCTGATCTCTCTAGTAATAAAAAGACAAATGAAGTACAAACTACTTCTTGGAAATATTTTTGACTCCTATGGGATAATTCAGAGGTCATCTTCTGTGAAAATTGGGTAGTTGTATAATGTTCTTGCTCTTTTCTGAGTACTACGAATTCGTCAATCCACTTCCACATCCACTTAACATACCTCAACAATCATCATCTACATCTTAATCTTTTGAAATTCTAGGACATCGACACGTCTCTTGCTTCTACAGGCGCTCTCTTTGGAGCTGTAAAAAATACCCTGGCAGTAGCAATAAGCGCGTAGGCGTGGATGGTGTTACTTCCATCTGGGCAGACCATCGAAGCTACCCCTTTTCCCTTAAAAGCGTATAGGCTATGGGCGGGCCTCGATGGTCGTAAAGATGGAATGAACATCATTCGTAGTAGTTCAATAGCCCCTCTCCATTTCTAACATTTAGTGGTACTCGAAGTTGAAAAAAGTACTCATGCTCATGCTCTTGCCAATCTCCCTCTTCCTCATCGGATCTCAGTACAACTACGTAGTACAAGATGTACTAGAAATATAATTTTTCTAGATCATATATAGTTCAAGTTTAACATCCCCTTACCATCTTTCTAGTAGAAATTACAGCTCCGCCTCCTCTTCCCAATCCCATCTTCGGGTCCTTTGTACATAACTAGAAGTTGAAGTTTGCAGCTGTATTGCCCAAAAGCAGGCGGATTCGGTCGAAGGTCATGGAGACACGCTCTTCCCAGTTCGCACTCACCCCAGCTCTCCCCAGTTGCAGCATATTCGTCACAGACTCAAACTCAGTCTTGAATTAGAAGGCGAGGGGCCCCTATGGATTTCATTCTTATATGCTGTTTCATGTACTTCTATATAAAATATTCATATGGTGCTGACTTCATTCTTCTAAATATGCTTATATATGAGTCTCAGCTCCCTCTTTTACATACTTCATTTTTCTGCGCTACGTTTCTACGAGGAAGACGTCGACTATCGTCGATTCTTCAGATGACATCGACTATCGCCGATTTTTTGGCGAGTATCAGTATTCGACCAGAAACAGTATGTGTTTGGAGGAGAATACCCTATCAGCCGAGGACTCGAGCCGCGTATTCAGTGAATTCTACACAGACGCTGGAAAAGAAATGAGGTGCCAGAAGTGTCCATCTTTGATGTGTAAGAAAAAAAAAGATTTTAGTTGAACTCTAATTCAGATTGACCTTAACTTGATGCAGTAGCAACCCGGTCGCCGTCCAGCGTGTCCACGTGTAGGGACCTAAACGCGATATTCTGACCACTTTTCGATCTCAACTCGAGCCCGTGTGCTTGGCGTGCGGGAAGGGTTAGAAAAACAAAGATCGATTTCTATGGTACAACATAGTACTATAGTACACATCATAAATAGACGAGATAGAAGATTCATTGCCTAGAACATCAAAACATAGCTATAGGAACTGGCTCTGTATTCTGTTCCTCCATACAATCAACAGTGAGCATTCAGTTTCAGGTGTTTCAAGAAGAAAAATAAGAAAGGTGCACAGCTTCTATTCCAAGAAGTTCTACAGGGAGAACTGTTGTAATAGCATCTTCAGTACCGTTTCAAAAGGACGAGGTCACGATGATCTATAAGTACGCCTTCTACTAGTACTAGCATCTTCATGAGGACTAAAATCTTCAAAAAGGGATATCTTCAGCTATTCGAAAACTCAAAATAAGCGAGTTACTGACTGAAGTACGAGGGTCTTGACTAGTGCACTCCTCTTCTTTCAGTATTTCCCTTATTTCGAAAAACTGAAATAAGCAAGTAACTGATCAGAATAAGCGAGATACTGATGAGAAGGAAGAGTAGCCTTGATGTTCAGCTACCTCCCTTATTTCAGTCGCTATCGCTAACTCGGTTATTTCAGTTTATCGAATACAAAAACGCGTACTAGAAGTTGTAGTGGACCCCTTCATCTTCAGTTTATCGAATACAAAAAGTCGTACTAGAAGTTGTAGTGGACCCCTTCATCTTCAGTTTATCGAATACA